ACAGACACAGGAATAGATGTAGAATAGATCAGGCTGGTAACTTGCCGGTTTACATAACTAGTGGTGTGCCTTTTCATGGAAGTCCCACGGAATGGATAATGACTGTTTACTTTGCCATTGTGTTGTTTAAACCTTGGGATGAGGTAGTAATACTCCCAACTTTGTGATGTACGATCATGTTCGCTTGGAGATGGTTGTTATAGTGGTCAGCCTCACTCATGATTATTTGTGGGGAATTGGAGATCTGTTATTTTTGTGTGTATTTTGGTCAGAGGCTTGTCATGGTAATGTTCGGATGTTACAGGTGAGATTGGGTAGGCTGGAGTCTGGGGACCAATCATTAACTATTTTGAGGAGGGGACAGCGATTTATGTTCAACACAGGATATCTTTTCACTCACTTCTTTTTAAGACATGCAATTCTTTTCTCTGAAGGATGAGCTGAACAATTTTTCATTTTTTTTCACAACACTTAAATTATTTTTTTTATTTCCCCTTGTATTTTCTGGAACAAATCATTTATTTTTCAGAATTATGGCAGCCCCTGTCCCCACATTATTCAGTGTTTCCTGTTGAGCTAAACAATTCTTCTTCTTTTTGTCTGGCCAATTTTTGTCCTTAATTTTCTTTCTTTGTATTTTCTGAAACAAATTTTTATTTTTCAAAAATTATTAAATGGTTGCTTCCTTACCAAAAAATGATGTGTTTTTAACGGATATTTATTTTTTAACAGCGTGTTTGTCCCACACGTTTAAGGTTAAGGTAGCAGCAGATGTGTCATGGGAGCTGGTATGGTGTTGACATGCTGCCAACATTGACCTATATAATATTTTTTTGTCATCTGGATGATATATGTATGTTAGAGGAAATGTGTACTTTTAAAGTAGGTCACCTCACAATCAAATCTCGGTGATGTTATTCCAAGTATTTTGTTGTTGGGAAAGTTTTCAAAACAGATACCTGATATTTTGGAATTTCAAATTCACTTGCAGAAATTCTGCTCATAATATCAGACATTTGAAAATATTCACAATATGCACATTGTGTAGATGAAGGAAAATTAATGAATTATGAATAGAATTAATGAAAAATTATTCTAATGCCCGACAATTTAGATTATTTCATTATTTTGTTCATGGATATTCTTGGTCAGTATGCTGAATAGCAGGAGGCAATTTACAACATTTTAAAACATTGTCATGGTTGAGGATTATGCCCAAATACAAGTAGGGAAATGAGATAGACCACCTGGAGTTATGAGATGTTAAAAATTAGCATTGACACCATGTTTTTATTGTTTTATTATTTTACCACTCAAAAGAAATTAATGAACAACTCTTTTTTTCCATACAACTGTGGTTAATCTATCATGGCTTGTGGGTTTTGCAACACAGCCTACTATTTGTGGGTATTCTTTTACTTGTTAAAGTAGTATATATGGTGAATGATAAGGATTATCTGTAAAGAAAAATTATTTTTGTGGTCTCATAAGAGGTAAAAAATACAAGTTTAAATTGAATTTGATTAAAATTTGTACAGCACATTTTCCAAGTAACAGCTGCTCAAATACATTTTGACCATGATAGTTTTTGTGAAAGGCTCTCTTGAAAAGACAGGTCTTGAGTGTCTTTGTAAAGTTTGTCAGTTTTCTGCTTCTTGGATTTCTTTTGGCGGATTGTTCCATAGCAATGTGGCCCAGCCTGTCGCCATATGTTTTGGTACGTGTCTTTGTCACCACTAGCAGATGCTGATCTTTTGATGGTAGAGAATGTGCTGGCTTGAACATACTCTCAGTTCCTATAAGTATGCAGAAGCCAAGCATTGCCTCGTAGACCAGTGAGTAGTTTAGATTGCACTCTTTATTGGATGGGCAGCCAGTGTAATTAAATAAATCAAGCTTTCAAAAAACTTCTGTTGTTGCCATTGGTACATGTACTTTATGAAAATGCAGCAGCTTCAGCTATATCATACAGCACATGACTTACTTCGATGGCTCAGTGTACACAGTGGTAGAAGATGTGAAATGTTATAGCCCAAGGATACCTTCACTACCTGTTTACCTGTGAGGTCTCACAAATTGACAACAGCTTGTGTTACTCCGATTGTAGCTGTGATACTGAGTGTATGGGAACAGGCCTGGTATAGCATTGTCTGTCAGGTGTGTGAGGTGTGTGATAATTAATCTTGTTACCCTGTATTGCATTAGGTTCTTGGGTAAACCGAATAACCAGCTCATCTACCAAACCTAGGTTTTCAAGCGGTTCTCTTTCTAACCTAGGTTTCGAAATGGGTCACTTCTAAACCTGCTTTGAGCTTTTACACTTCAGTTGTTATACCTTGGTTTTACAATTGACATTTTACAAACTGGCCTCTTAATATATTGATTTTTGATTGGTTGAAAGTCAGAATTTCTTGTGTGAATCGAATCTGCAACCTAACATATCGTGTTAAGTTTTGTAAATCAATGTTTTCCCACTGAGCCACTGAGGCAGGTGATGAAAACTTGTTCAATTTTACATGTCATGACTCCAGCTGGTACATGCTGCCAGTTGTTTTTCTCTCACACGCTTTGATCGAATTGCTTTTATACTGCGATATGCTGTATTGTTTCACTATAAGGGATCTCAATGTTTTCTTATTTCTTCTGGTATTTCTTGCATTTAGATGGTTCATAAATTGGACAAAACATGCCTCCGGGGTTTGGGTTGTAAATGTAAAACAATGTTTTACATTTTTAAACCAAAGCCTCAGAGGCGTGTTTTATAGTATACATAATGCTGTTTCAATGGGGGCTTGACTTGGAATGCTGGGACTAGTGCTAGGATGAGAAGGAGGCAATTATCCCAATGTTCAAAATTTGTCATGGAGGTCAAGGGGTCTTTATAATTAACATAATTTTAGATTTGGTATGTGTTCTTGGATTCAAATTGTTTGTTTGATGTTTAATGTCACACTCAGCAATATTCCATTTATATGACATCAGACTGTAAATAATTAAGTCTGGACCAGACAATCTAATGATTGACATCCTGAATATTGATCTAGGCAAATGGGATACGATGACATGCATCAACCAAGTCAGCGAGTCTGACCGCCTGATTTCGTTAGTCTCCTCTTACGACAAGCATGGGTTGATGAAGACCATTTCTAACCTGGATATTCACGGTCTTGGGATTCAGATACTCTAGCAGTGACTCTCAAGGAACCTGGGACTTTCCTTAATTTCTTACACTGCTAAATATTCATGGAACTCAGCACTGAGTTTTATGTAAACACTGCTGTTTGGGGTTTATTTGCTTGTCTTTGGGACATGTTCAAACCTATTCATGAGTTCATGGCCAGTGAAGGAATATGAAAAAGGGAAACTGTCAGTTAGGAATGCAGTAGAGGGCATTCCTCCTACTGATAAATAAAAGTAGAGACTTACTCATGAAGTTGCAGTTATATTTAAACAGTTTAAAAAAGTACTTAAATTTGAGGTTCCTTGGTCCATTATAGGACCTCAGTGCTGCATGTTTAGCACCATCTTGGTGGTTCATTCACAATAATTTCTGTGAAGACAAACTAGTAATGACCACCTATGAGCAGCTTTTTGTTGGTTGTTGATTGTTTGGTGTCACTGGTGTTATAGGTTATTGCTCACAATATCAACCATAGGTTTGTTTGGTCAAGACATCATTTCTTACAGGGCACGGTGTTGTAACTATCGTATTGCTGGCAAAGGATAAAACATAACTATCACTATATTACTTGCCTGAATTCATTTGGTGGCCACTGTCAGTATATTTTGAAAAGTGATAATTTTGAACCATTTGGCGTTATATTTTGCCTATTTGGTTTACAAGACCGACAATAAAACTATTGAAATTGTACAAGTTATATGACGATTTTTGAAATGTGCTTTTTTGACTGACTCTGTGTTACAAGTAGGTGAAATGAAGGAAACAAACAAGATTTTATCACTGCTGTTAGTAAGAAATGGTGAACAATATCTATAATAATCTTTATTCTATTTAAATACAATCAATTAGCTTGTTTATCATTTTGCAATCGTATGTCTGTCATGGTGTGACCTACGAGTTAGTGTTTCATTCATAGTGGCATTACTAATCTGGAAGTTGAAAAATGAAAAACAAATTTGATCACCTACATTGGATATTAGACCAAAACACACTAATGAACAATAAAAGTCAGAAGAGTAGATTTGGGAAGATTTGAAATACCGGTAGTTGGATCTTATCCGATATTTTGGCAAGACCTCTTTCCTTGATTACATGGTTGTAACAGTATGGTCGGTGATGGAAGAAAAAAATGCAACACAGTTTCAAAAACATGTACCGTATTCGACGTAATAAGCGCCCAGGGCGCTCTCAAAATTAGGAATAGTGGGCTCTTATTAGAATATTATTTTGAGTTGAACGATCGTAAATTTTGTGGTTTATGCTGACAACCTGAAATGTTTATATACGACAGAAATATTTTTCCAGGATTTAATTGCCCATAATTAAGGGTGCATATAACATGCAAGTGCGTATTTTACACGAATAAATAAGTCTTGTGTACAGTTGGAAGGGGTGCTAATTGAGATTGTTCACTAGCCAATAAATTAGCAAATATCGCCGTGGGCGCTTATTAGAGCAGGGTGCTTATTACGTCGAATACGGTATTGTTTTAGTGTTTTCTGTTGGTTGGATGTAATCTAAAACAATAATCAACAGGAAATGTTTCTTCTGAAATGACAGGAAAACGTCTCTTCTTATATTAAACTCCTTTCAAGGTTTCTTAATTACTGTAAATAGTTTATAGACTTGGTGGTAGGAAAAAAGGACTTTAAATGTTAATGTTATTCCACTTTTGTGTAATTTGGGTCTGCAGATCATAAACCAAGTTGTTAGCAAACACCCAACAGCAACTAGGAAATGCATGTTTCAAGGATAAGCAGACGTGTACAGAGCACATTGACACAGCAGGGGCTTGACCAAGGTGTTGTATATATTCCAGATCAGTCCCATCATGCCATAAACACGGATATCGTCATGGTCAACCAGCAGCCAGGACAGAATGAGGTCGTCAAGTGCGTTGTCGTTGGTGACTCGGGGGTTGGCAAGACGTGTATGATCTGTGCCTGGGCCTGCGGAACTAAATATGACCTTCATCAGCTGGTCAAGACTCATGTAGCCACCGTCTGGGCGATCGACCACTACCGACATGATCGAGAGGTAAGTCAGGGCCATTGTCTGGGCGATCGACCACTATCGACATGATCAAGAGGTAAGTCAAGGCCACTTAAGGCCATGGACCACTACCATCATCTTGGAGAGGCCAGTCAAGGCCACTTTAGGCCATGGACCACTCCCATGATGATTGAGAGGCAGTCTAGGCCACTTTAGGGCCATGAACCACTACCATGATTGGGGGGTGAGTCAAGGCCACTTTAGGCCATGGACCACTACCATGATCGAGAGGCAAGTCCAGGCCACTTTAGGCCATGGACCACTGCAATCATGATTGAGAGGCAAGTCTAGGCCACTTTAGGCCATGGAAACATTATGTTTCTTCCTAATGTGATGCATAAATTTGACTACTCATTGTAATATTGAATCCTAATTGATTCTGCTGAAAGTTCTGAGTGGGGGCAACTTTGGAAATCAGAATGGTGCCAGTTTTTACAACGTACATTTAAACAGGCATGGTATCTTCAGTCAGGCTCACAGGCAATTTCATCAAGTAAATTAGCCACTCTCAAAGATTAAAAATCAACTTGTCACATTGCTCCTCTCTCCTGCTCAGTCAACCCTGAACAGCCTTGACTCTCCATCATCAATCAGTGTGGATTCCTACACGTCATCTACAGTCACCCTGCAGATACTGCTGCAGGCTAAGTAGGCGATATATACTTTGATTATTGATGGTAGCTGTCTTTAGCTTGCACCAAGAAATACTAAACTTGTATTAAGCCTTCTAAAGCAACACAAGAGGTGAAATTGCGTTGGATGGCCATCCTCCTCATGTAACAGGGAAAAGGTGAAATAAAATGTATAAAAAAAAAGAAAAAAAAAAAGAAATACTAAACTCTGTATTATGATGTATTATTTATTATATGATTAGTTCAGGGGTAAGTGTTGTTCAAGTATTTTGAATGTGTAATATTTGATAAAACAAAAAATAAATTGCAGGTAATTCCATGGTATTTGTTTGGTTAACCAAGCTTTTTTTACGTATTTAAATTTCCATAAATGTAAACAAAGTAGGCGTTACCCGTTAGTGGACTACTTTCAACTCTTGAGTTGGATTATTGCAGTCACCCTGCAGATACTGCTGCAGGCTAAGTAGGCGATATATACTTTGATTATTGATGGTAGCTGTCTTTAGCTTGCACCAAGAAATACTAAACTTGTATTAAGCCTTCTAAAGCAACACAAGAGGTGAAATTGCGTTGGTTTCAGTATCGAATCATACATAGAATACTTGCAACTAATTCTTTGTTGTTTAAAATGAATATTTCTGATACCACGCTTTGTTCTTTTTGCAAATGTTATGATGAAACTATTGTACACATTTTTTGGGAATGTGAACTAGTACAAGTATTTTGGAAAACCTTCTTAGATTGGATAAATAAATGTAGCCATATACATCATATGAAATTAAGTGCTGAACTTGTTTTATTTGGTGTTAAAGAAAATATTGTTACTGACAAAGTTTTTGATCTTCTTATTTTAATAGCTAAATCTTTTATATATTTTTGCAGATTCAAAAAAACAAATATTTGCTTCGCAATATTTCAAAAAGATGTTAGTCTGAGATACAAAATTGAGAAGAATATAGCCTTTACAAATGGTAATGTAGCTACATTTTATAAATCATGGATCTTTTATCACATATTGTTTGAAGAAGCAGAACAGCAATAACATATGTATCTCTTTCTCATATTTGTTTCTTGCCAGGATCAGTGTTTGAATAATATTTTGAATGTTTGACTGTGTGTATGTTTTGTTATATTTCTTAAAAATCACCTTGGCACCATTTCCAATACTTGTATTTAATTTTCCCCAAATGTATACATACATTGTCTTCAGAATGTGAGGGTGACCATTGCCCTGGATGGCCATCCTCCTCATGTAACAGGGAAAAGGTGAAATAAAATGTATAAAAAAAAAGAAAAAAAAAAAGAAATACTAAACTCTGTATTATGATGTATTATTTATTATATGATTAGTTCAGGGGTAAGTGTTGTTCAAGTATTTTGAATGTGTAATATTTGATAAAACAAAAAATAAATTGCAGGTAATTCCATGGTATTTGTTTGGTTAACCAAGCTTTTTTTACGTATTTAAATTTCCATAAATGTAAACAAAGTAGGCGTTACCCGTTAGTGGACTACTTTCAACTCTTGAGTTGGATTATTGCACTGAATGATGCAACTGTTTTGGTATCATTGTCCACACTGTTTGTTGTGTGTTGATGGAATAAGCAATGTGGGAAGTTAGTTTTGTTGACTTATTTATTAAAATTGTCTTCAATACCTTCTGGCTTATGGGTATATAAACTTAAAAATATGTGAGCAGACTTTGCTTAAATCTGCGAAATAGTAGTCAATAGCTACCCGTTGAATAAAATAATAGCTGACAGTCTCAGAAAAAAGGAAAATGTCTACCATGTAGAACATACTTGAGTGAAATACAGGCAAATCTTGTAACCTAGAAACCAGTTAACTGGAAAAACCGGACAAGTAGATATTTCCTGACTACATCCTTCTGTATTTAATATGATGTGAAACCGGATGTGTTTGTAGTTATTAAGACTGTGCTTCATTACCTGAAAGTGCTTTTATATCGATGTGTTTGTTTATGCAGGTTACATTTAAAACAAGTCATTAATTCACTTAGGAGTAAGATTGAATGTCAAGGGTAAATAATTTATTATGAAGGTAAAAGAGCTTTCAGGAGATATTTTGTTCTAAATCAATAGCCACACGTATTGCCACAAGGGTGAACAGACAACATGTCTCTGCTGTTGTGGGATAAAACAATTAGCCAAGGGACCACAGTAACTACAACAAATAGCTCTCAAGATGATGATTTACTAGTTCCACCAACCATGATCAGACATTAAGAACAATAACGGTTGTAATAAGTAAGTGCCTCTCGTAGGTCTTGTTCATTTAATATAATTGTTCACACTTTCATTATGTTTTCACGTTAGTGAAAAGAAATTCGCTTTAAATGATTGATGAATGTAAGCTTTTTAGAAAACAATTAAATGTGATACTGGTTAATTACTGAAAATAGCAGTTTTCTGACAATCAAGAAAAACAATCCAAAATTGAAAAATGTGAACTCGCACCTATATTCTTCCAGCTATTTGTTCAGCTGTGTTTTTTACTTAAATACCATTATGACTGAAACACTGGTAAAATCCACGTGTCCACTCACTAACACACTCTCACACATGGCAATCTATCAGTGATAGTTTTTACTTGAGAAAAACAAATAGTGAACTTGTAAATACAGTAAACTACGGTTATAACGAACTCAAAGGGACTTTTAGTTCGTAATAATCATAGTTTGTTATAAGCAAATATACAGCATATATACAACAAATGGCCGGGACTAAAAAATAAGTTCGTTATATCGGTCAGTTTTTTTTTAACTCTGTTCATTATAAACTTAGTTTACTGTAGTCGCACTATCCCTTCTCTGTGGACACTAGCTCCTGGGCAGACTAGGTCCCCAGTATCCCATTGTAATAAGACATTTCTTTTTACTTTTCCACCTCCTGCCTTCAGATATTTTTGACATTTAAATCAATAACAAGTAATTCAGTTATTATTGCCTTAACATTATCAGAGTTCGAAATTAACATTAGATTGCTTGTCAGGCACTGGTAAAGTTCTGGAAGGACTTTTGACATTTCCATGAGGACGATCACTTCTGCCATGGTAACGCTGCAGCAGAAATTTTTATATTGACTAGTGAAAATAAAAATAAAATTCTAACCCTGATTGTAGTAATTATTAGCAATGACCCTGGTATGTGTTGCAGGTGCTGGAGCGGTCATGGTGCGAGGTGGATGGTGTTCGAGTCTCGCTGCGTCTCTGGGATACTTTCGGCTACCATGATAAAGACAGAGGTTTTGCCTACAGGGGGTAAGTGTTTACAACTTCTATACAGACACAGGGACCTTGTTAAACTTAGTCAAGGGTCCTGGGCCCTGTGGTCTTTACTGTTGAAGTAGACTGTGTCCCTTTACTGTCATGAGCTGTAAATTGTGGGTTCAAATCCTAGGTTGACCTTCATTATGGTCCTTGGTTTGTCAGCACAAGTATGGCTCCCACGGCCCTCCTCATGGGTCTTCAGCACCATATAGTGTGTTGATGAGTTTCGTCATGGGTCTCGAGCACCAAACATGTGCTGATGACTCTCGTCATGGGTCTCCAGCACCAAACATGTGCTGATGAGTCTCGTCATGGGTCTCCAGCACCAAACATGTGTTGATGAGTCTCGTCATGGGTCTCCAGCACCAAACATGTGTTGATGAGTCTCCTCATGGGTCTCCAGCACCAAACATGTGTTGATGAGTTTCGTCATTGGTCTCCAACACCATCAATGTGCTCATGGGTCTCCAGCACCAAACATGTGCTGATGAGTCTCGTCATGGGTCTCAAGCACCAAACATGTGCTGATGACTCTCGTCATGGGTCTCCAGCACCAAACATGTGCTGATGAGTCTCGTCATGGGTCTCCAGCACCAAACATGTGTTGATGAGTCTCGTCATGGGTCTCCAGCACCAAACATGTGTTGATGAGTTTCGTCATTGGTCTCCAACACCATCAATGTGCTCATGGGTCTCCAGAACCAAACATGTGCTGATGAGTCTCGTCATGGGTCTCCAGCACCATACATGTGCTCATGGGTCTCCAGCACCAAACATGTGCTGATGAGTCTCGTCATGGGTCTCCAGCACCAAACATGTGCTGATGAGTCTCGTCATGGGTCTCCAGCACCATACATGTATTGATGAGTCTCCTCATGGGTCTCCAGCACCGTACATGTATTGATGAATCTCGTCATGGGTCTCCAGCACCGTACATGTATTGATGAATCTCGTCATGGGTCTCCAGCACCAAACATGTGCTGATGAGTCTCGTCATGGGTCTCCAGCACCATACATGTATTGATGAGTCTCGTCATGGGTCTCCAGCACCAAACATGTGCTGATGAGTCTCGTCATGGGTCTCCAGCACCATACATGTATTGATGAGTCTCGTCATGGGTCTCCAGCACCAAACATGTGTTGATGAGTCTCCTCATGGGTCTCCAGCACCAAACATGTGTTGATGAGTTTCGTCATTGGTCTCCAACACCATCAATGTGCTCATGGGTCTCCAGCACCAAACATGTGCTGATGAGTCTCGTCATGGGTCTCAAGCACCAAACATGTGCTGATGACTCTCGTCATGGGTCTCCAGCACCAAACATGTGCTGATGAGTCTCGTCATGGGTCTCCAGCACCAAACATGTGTTGATGAGTCTCGTCATGGGTCTCCAGCACCATACATGTGCTCATGGGTCTCCAGCACCAAACATGTGCTGATGAGTCTCGTCATGGGTCTCCAGCACCAAACATGTGCTGATGAGTCTCGTCATGGGTCTCCAGCACCATACATGTATTGATGAGTCTCCTCATGGGTCTCCAGCACCGTACATGTATTGATGAATCTCGTCATGGGTCTCCAGCACCGTACATGTATTGATGAATCTCGTCATGGGTCTCCAGCACCAAACATGTGCTGATGAGTCTCGTCATGGGTCTCCAGCACCATACATGTATTGATGAGTCTCGTCATGGGTCTCCAGCACCAAACATGTGCTGATGAGTCTCGTCATGGGTCTCCAGCACCATACATGTATTGATGAGTCTCCTCATGGGTCTCCAGCACCAAACATGTGCTGATGAGTCTCGTCATGGGTCTCCAGCACCAAACATGTGCTGATGAGTCTCGTCATGGGTCTCCAGCACCAAACATGTGTTGATGAGTCTCTTCATGGGTCTCCAGCACCATACATGTGCTGATGAGTCTCGTCATGGGTCTCCAGCACCAAACATGTGCTGATGAGTCTCGTCATGGGTCTCCAGCACCATACATGTATTGATGAGTCTCCTCATGGGTCTCCAGCACCGTACATGTATTGATGAATCTCGTCATGGGTCTCCAGCACCGTACATGTATTGATGAATCTCGTCATGGGTCTCCAGCACCAAACATGTGCTGATGAGTCTCGTCATGGGTCTCCAGCACCAAACATGTGCTGATGAGTCTCTTCATGGGTCTCCAGCACCATACATGTGCTGATGAGTCTCGTCATGGGTCTCCAGCACCGTACATGTGCTGATGAGTCTCGTCATGGGTCTCCAGCACCGTACATGTGCTCATGGGTCTCCAGCACCAAACATGTGCTGATGAGTCTCGTCATGGGTCTCCAGCACCATACATGTATTGATGAGTCTCCTCATGGGTTTCCAGCACCGTACATGTATTGATGAATCTCGTCATGGGTCTCCAGCACCGTACATGTGCTCATGGGTCTCCAGCACCAAACATGTGCTGATGAGTCTCGTCATGGGTCTCCAGCACCAAACATGTGCTGATGAGTCTCCTCATGGGTCTCCAGCACCATACATGTATTGATGAGTCTCCTCATGGGTCTCCAGCACCATACATGTATTGATGAGTCTCGTCATGGGTCTCCAGCACCATACATGTATTGATGAATCTCGTCATGGGTCTCCAGCACCGTACATGTGCTCATGGGTCTCCAGAACCAAACATGTGCTCGTGGGTCTCCAGCACCAAACATGTGCTCGTGGGTCTCCAGCACCAAACATGTGCTTGTGGGTCTCTAGCACCAAACATGTGCTCGTGGGTCTCCAGCACCAAAAATGTGCTGATGGATCTCTCCTCATGATTCTCCAGTACCATACATGTACTGATGAGTCTCAAGCACCATACATGAGAGTTTCTTACAAACCAAAGAAAAAAGACAAAACATGTGATTCAAGCATAACCAAGGCAGACACCACAATTATATCACAATCTTCCCTATAGAACAGTAAGTCAAAAAGTAAGTCAGTTTGCTCCCAGAAAAGCTATAATCTTTATTTTGTTTTTATGATGTGCTGACTGTGTGTTTCCCTATTGCAGGGCGGACGTGGTCATCCTCTGCTTCAGTGTTATGCGTCCCAACTCCCTGAGGAACATCAAGAAGTACTGGTACCCTGATGTGCGACGCTTCTGTCCCACCACACCCATCATCCTGGCAGGGACACAGGCGGACCTCCGCTACATGTACAAGGATGAGAACTACATCAACATGGAGAAGGGCCTGCTGTACAGGTACAACTACCCTCACTCAGTAATATGTTCCTGTCAACTAGTTCGCATCACAACAAATAGCAACATTTCCCATAGAACTATACAGCTGACACTACATCAACATATTGACTAGTTTACATCACTCTACATTTGCTCTACAGGGTTATTAGATTGACTGTTCCTTTACATATTCCTTGTTTTTGTTACAGATCTATTATCTCGGATCTCAACACCAACACATCAAATGTTAAAATATATTTCAGTCTTAGAAAAATATTATATAGTGAAATAATATTTTTGCTTGTTTAATTGGTTGAGTGTATTTTCAGACCTATTGAAGAGAAAGATCTGATCACCTCTGAGGTTGGTCGTGATATTGCCAAAGACATCGGTGCACCCTACTATGAGACGAGTGTCCTAACCCATCATGGCGTCGAGGACGTCTTCATCAACACTGTTAGAGCAGCCATGATTGAACGACGAAAACTCAAATTTTGGAATGCTCAACTCCGCCGAGTCCAGCGCCCCTTAATTCAACCTCCAATGAAGGTCCCGAAACCACTGCTGCCCAAAATAGCTGTCCCTCCTCCAACGTTGTTGACTGATATCTCCCAGCTGCTGTACAATCAAAATGAAGGAGATGCCGTCTTCTTGGTTCAGGACCGCTGTATACGTGCTCACAAGATCTGTCTTATGGTATCCTCTCCATTATTCGAGGAACTTTTTACCTTGGAAGCCCCTGTTATAGTCCCAGCCGAGCAGAAGCAGACACAACTGATGAGAAGTGAGTTTTCAGGGGAACAGAATCACAACGATGAAGAGAAGCTGCTGGAGAGTGATCAAGAATCGGTCAGCATGGACGGAGATTGTCTTCGTAGATCAGTTGGTTATGAAAATGCAATCACCACGCCAGACGCCAACAATGGAAATTTTCAAAAGTTAATGTCATTCACTCACCCCTCGATCGCATGCGCAGAAGTGAAGCTAGTTGACGATCCTTTTCATCCCAGTCATTCGATGGTGCAGACTTTTGTTACGATGAGCCGTGAGATTACTCCGAGGGCGTTCCAGCACATCCTGGAGTACTTGTACACAGGACAGGCCTGGGAGGACTATGATGTCCTCAATGAGGTCAAGCGAGCTGCTGAACTGATGAAGCTGAATGACTTCCTTATCATTATATCCAACATGTTGTCAGGGGAACGCTTTCTCAATGCTGATATTCAGAGACGTTTTCAGGAAGCTCGTTGCGCAAAGTTGAGGGAACTGGCATTGGAGAAAGAGGTGTTAACAGGTTGGTTTCAGGTTATAGCAATTTTGATGTAATTGGAGACTCATCTGTTGTTATTGATTATTTACTGAAAACTTGAATCCAATAGATATCATTTAGTTATAAACAACTCTTTCAAGTTTTTTTATTGTTCTTTTTTCCAGAATTCACCTTGTTGGACGAATCAATTTCTATCTATTTGTAGCACATTTGTAACTTGATATATATAAGATACTTGCTGATACTTGCCCAGAATACCGAGCTATATATTCAACTAGGCATTGGCAAACTCCCTACTCCTGGTCCCTACTCCACACACACACATGCATGCAAGTCGCTATAGAAGTGCCATGATCTTGAACGTGATGTTAAACCCCGTTTCACCTCACCTCACATCCAGACATGGTTATTGCGAGGGTAATGTAATATAGCTAGAATATTGCTTTGGCGTTAATTGAGTGTGGCGTGAAACAACAAACAAACAACAGATAAGAATGCTGTGATCATTATCCCTAATTACTATACTATATACTAAACCAGTGAGAAGATGGGACTCTCAACAATAATTTAGGGAGTTCAAGCTAATAACATGGATGGTCTAGACTGGTCAACATGGCATGCCTCACTTGCTTTTGAAGAAATCTACTAACATCATTGCACATGCTCAGAAACATTAAGCCTATAACAGATTGGGATTTCAATATAAGATTGAAGAAAATCAACCACTTATGTTTTAAGTCTATACAAAATAGAAATATCAGTTATGTGTAACTTGCAGTCTACAGGTTTGATTATCGTACCTCCATGACAGAATGATGACATCTGATTGGTCCATGTGATCTTGATAAAATACTGTGTATCCTGCCTTTGAGGGTATTAAATTTCTCAGAGGGGGAATACATCTCTTATACCCCACCACATGCAAGTCAGGCTGTACCTGGATTCCTTGGGCTCGTGGTATAAAACACGGGATGTAAAACCCCATGTACCCCGAGTGATCCTGCTACAACTTATATTATATGGCTTTTTATAATAACAGCCATTTGTTTTTGCATCCTGAATGGATCACAATGTAAATTATTTGCATCCATTCTCAATTTGTTTGCATATAAGATGCAATGTTTTGCGTTTGGTTAAACACTGAATGTATATGCCAATGACTGTTGCTGTATGTGTGTTGCAGACATTGCTTTCAAGGTTGATAATGGCATAGTGGCAGCCCACAAGCCCCTGTTGATGGCTCGCTGTGAGATGATGTATGCCATGTTCAGCAGTGATTTCATCGAGTCCTCAGCCAAAGTGGTAATATTAATTTACGTGACTAACCTGATTGTGTGAAGCCATGTCAGTCAGCCAGTCATATATGGGTTCAACATCTACTTTTGATCCAGTCAATTTCATGTTTGGGTGTACTTCATCACGTTTATACCGAAATATTGCTTAAAACCAAACACATTCTTCCAAAGATAGCTTGCATAAAATATATTCTCTGCTGTGGTAGTTTAAAAGTTTATTTAAAGCATGTGTCACTTTTGGATGGAAATATTATTTGATGTGGCCTTCCCTTTCATCTGTTGGTAGTTTTGGAGTCAATATGATCAGGAGATCACAAGTCGGTCATGACATCACAGACCATTTATAAGCCTTAGGGGTAGCCATTGAACCCTATTTTCATGAACGGTTTGTGCTCTTTCAAAGAAAACACAAGGGAGTTCAATGTGTACTGGAACAAATTGTTTGGCTGGATATATGTTTAATCAATGTGCTGCGGACGTGTGCAGAAAAGAAATTTCATTGTGACATTATTATGCCGCATGTTACCTTTGTCTTCCAGCTCTTCTACCTTTAAGGCTAAAAAAAAAATAGTCTTGGTTTTCAGGCACCACCCACATCATCATAAAGTCTGCTGCACGTTTTGTTTTTATTCCATTTAAAAAGAAATCCTCATAATTAAAAACAATGCAATCCAATAGAGTTACTTCCCTTTATATGTGCACTGCTTTACTGCACATCTTGTGTTATGGTCATGGCAGCAATAGGAGTTTGTATGCTTGTTTATGTAGGGAGACCCTTTCCCAGGTAGATGGTACACAACTATTTATTTGGTTACATACTAGTTTGAACAAGCCAAAAAAAACCCAAACCCACCACCCATCCACACTTTATATTTAAAAGTCATTGCCGAAAGAACTGATTCTTTTATTTTTTTAATTTTCATCAACCATGAAGTGAGAAACATCTGTTATCTGTGTGTTGATACCTGCTTCGTGACAGATGTGCTTGTTGCACTAGATCCCGTTCCCGGGCATCACGGAGGATACCTTCAAGGCGCTGCGCGAGTACCTGTACACTGGGAGCCAGCCAGACATGACCGGGGTCGACTGTATCTCCCTCATCGAGGTGGCCAACCGACTCTGTCTGCCCAGGCTCGTGTGTCTCACCGAGAACTTCATCGTGCAGGAACTGCAGAAAGCAGAAAAGGATGAGGAAGATATTCTTGAGGAGGTCTTGCTTATCCTGGAACCTGCACAGGTAGGTGATTGCTGAGTCGTGCTTATGTGACCTAGTGTGTTTAAAGTAATGAAGTCAGGCTTCTCGTCCTGGACCCTGCACAGGTAGGTTGTTTCTGGCTTGCGCAAGTTCATTGTACTGTAACTAATGAAGCATAATAATAGCTCAAGTACTACTTATTACACATTATCAGGTATTCTCAAGATTGACAAGGAAACTTCACCTTCTGGAGGATTATTTTGTATCTGATTATTTAATATCATGGTTGGAAAGTCTCATTCCTAAGGGGCCTACCATTCGATATTCTTGTGTTTGTGTGTGTGTAGTGGCGGTGTCTGGGATTTAAAAAAGAAGTCTGTGCCCTAAAATGCTGTAAAACATCAAATTTGTCCACATGGTTATCCCCAAAAAGAAGTCTTTCACTGGACATGCTGGATGTTTCGGATGGATGTTTGTGAGCTGAAATATCATTGGAATGTTATTTTTCTCCACAACACAGTTCGGTCACCATTGACTGATCATTGCAGTGTTATGGATTAAGTACAGTTGATCATGGGAACATGAATCTGTGTTGCAGCTTCACAACGCGTCGCAGCTGGCCAAGTGGTGCCTCAACTTCCTGGTGTGCCACCACAATGAGCTGCACCACAAGTATCACAAGATGCTCAGGTCTCTCCAGAAGGACAATCAGGAACACATTGAGAAGCACAGGTGGCCTCCGATCTGGTGAGTCTTGCCCGACACAACTCACTAGTTGTAGGTGATTTTACAGACATGGAACAAGGCAGCCTTAGTGCTTTCATTGGTGATGAGTGAGTGTTGGGTGTGTTGTTGGTACAGATATCTGCAGTTTCCTGACAGGGGATAGACTTCACTGATTATATCATCCAGCTGGGGTCTTCTACATGACACAATCTTATCAGTGCGTCAGGCACATTGCTGGTACAGATACCCGTGAAGATCCGGGGTAGAATATAGGTCTTCAGCAACCCATGCTTGCTGTAAAAGGTGACTATGCTTGTCGTAAAAGGTGACTAACGGGATTGGGTGGTCAGGCTCGCTGACTTGGTTGATGCATGTCATCGATCCCAATTGCGTGGATCGATGCTTATGATATTAATCACTGGATTGTCTGGTCCAGACTCGATTATATACAGACCGCCGTCATATAGCTGGAATATTGCTGAGTACGGCGTTAAACAACAACAAACCAACCAATTGCTAGTACAGATGTTGCTGCAATATCCTGACAGTGGAGGCTCTGACACAGATTGTATCCATCCAACCTAGGAATTTCATCTGTACCAGTTGAGAAAACCAAGATGACACCTGAAGAGTACCAGATCCAAATCAAGACTTTCATGTGGTATGCATGCTGTATATTTTCAAGGGCACGCTGTAGGAACTGGAACACTAAGTCAATCATATATCCGTCTGTCATTTGTGCATGTCCATCATTTATGTGTGTCCATCATTTTTCTGTGTCTGCCGTGGACATGTGTTCTATTCCTATGTCTGTGTTGTAGGTACCTGAAGGAGCTGGAACACTATGACAAGATCATGCACAACTCCTCCCAGTATCCCGAACAACAGCAGGAACAGGACTTCAACCGCTGGCCTCGCTGCACTGGCGGCTGCCTCTGCTTTAGTCGGCGTGGTCGAGCCAGGATTGATGAAGCCACATCCATTGATATGCCTTTCTGAGCTTCACCCATTCACCATCATGGAATAATATAATGAAAAGTAAAGACCTATGGCTTCGGTAGTTTTTGAAGCTCCTCATTCCACTGAACCTGATGTAGATTGATGAAGGCCTGTTCGTTTGCCGTCTGCTTCCCATGACATCTTTATTTAACAATGGCCAGTTACATTGAGATTATTTCGATTGAAGAGGCTTGTTGAATCTTCAGAAGCTGTATCATGAGCTTTGTCCTATTTCAGCCAGCCAATGAACAATGTCTTTGCAGATTATCAATTACCACATGTTTTGTTTGAAGTTAACTATCTAAAGGTTTGCTGTTATTGAGCCTCCAACTGGGAGTCAAGCCTTAAGACTTAGCCAGTTTGATGAGGCAATGGTCTATGACTTTGTGTGTCTGGAATGGTTGATACAGATTTGAGAGGACTGAGGAAGCGATACAAGTAGTATGAGTACCAGATGATCTTTTACCAGAACCTTTTGGGGATGACCCATGATTGAAGACTGATTGACCATCTGGTCCTCTGTACCATATCCAGCTCACTGTGTGAAAAAAATAGTGTCATCCAACATTAATAAGTACATAAAGTGTTTAGAAGTGTCACTATTAACCATTTTGACAAACAATTCAAACCTTAGCAGTAATGATCACCCTTTAGCGTCAGTGGTACATATTTCACTGTCTCTCTGAACTCTATTATTAAGGCATTAACATGTTTGGATTTTCCAAATGATCTTCAGGCAAATGTTTCGTGATGACTTGACTGTGTTTTCAAATTTTAAGTACAAATGGTATAAATGGTACAAAGTAAATCATGTGCTGAGCAATGTCAGTATATTGAACAACTTCAATGCATTTATTTAAATCATTGGCAACCATGACCTTGCAGTTCAAGGTTTCATAGCTTTCTAGTTTCATTTTTCTATCAGAGTCAGTGGTTTGATAAAACTGTCCATCATAAATCCATTTGATGTGAGATTCAGATATGTACTTTGAGGTTTGAGTGGAGAGCCCTGATACGATGTTTCAAGGTCATGGAAACAAGTGACCTCTGAGCCTGGACAGGGTAGGTCCAGAGGTACCAGTGTTATGCAAGATCAGGTGTTGCATGAGCTGTCACGTCATCAATGTTTGTGATTTCACGCTTAGTGTGGATGGATGACAATAGAAGAACACATTGAACCGGTTGAGTATTTGAAGGATGTAGTTAGCTTTGTCCATCCTCACTCTGGACATGACGGACATGTTGGAAAAACACAAACTGATGACTTGCTGGATACTTGCATCTACCATTTCTTAACACAGGAACCGGTTGAGTATTTGAAGGATGTAGTTAGCTTTGTCCATCCTCACTCTGGACATGACAGACATGTTGGAAAAACACAAACTGATGACTTGCTGGATACTTGCATCTACCATTTCTTAACACAGGAACCGGTTGAGTATTTGAAGGATGTAGTTAGCTTTGTCCATCCTCACTCTGGACATGACAGACATGTTGGAAAAACACAAACTGATGACTTGCTGGATACTTGCATCTACCATTTCTTAACACAGGAACCGGTTGAGTATTTGAAGGATGTAGTTAGCTTTGTCCATCCTCACTCTGGACATGACAGACATGTTGGAAAAACACAAACTGATGACTTGCTGGATACTTGCATCTACCATTTCTTAACACGGGAACCAGTTGAAGATTTGAAGCATTGTCCATCCTTTGTGTGTCCTTCATCAGATGGATAGGGTGTTGGATAATACCATCTTGGGATCCATTTCGTACCATCAGGATGTACATCACATTACCTATTCACCTGCCATTTTGTGCTACATTTGTACATGTGCTGCTATCAACATCTATAAAATATTCTCATTTTGTTAACACAACCATGGCTACGCAGATATGTAATGTCTTTGAATGACTTGGGTCAGTTGCAATGTTGTAGTGGTAGCTTGTTAATGATTCACACACAGGTTGGTGTATTGAATAAGCTGTCTGTGTTTAAGATATGATAGATATAATTATAGATGAATACTGATATATGTTATTTGTATTTGGGGATATATACAGTTATGCAGTTTTGTTACCATGGATATGTGTTTGTAATGCACTAAAAAATGGCCATTTAAAAACTGAATAAAAAAAGCATTATTTTGTTCAGATTGAGAGGTTTGTAGGGAGGGTGCATATTTTGTAAAACAGTTGTGTGATTTCTTGTCATTGATGAGATTATACAAGACTTTGATCTGATTTTGCTTTATTTGATTTGTATATATATATATTTACAGCCATATATATGTTATGTATACATTCTAATATGTCAAATGTACGAAATATTTTGCATGCATTTTGTAGATGAATTGATAATATTTCTTGTAGCAGACAATCTACAAGACAATCCAGAATATATCCAGAGATCCTAGCTATCAATCTTTGTCCTGGTGAGGAGACATGTCAACAGCATACAGAAGAGCAAGAATACAAGAACTATTTTCTTTGTATCCTTACAGACCAAGGAACTATTTTTTTTAGGACAAGCTATAATTTCAAATATTTTTACATAGGTCTATGCTGGTTTGTTTACTGAGCATTTATTGATTATGATATTGGCATTTTGAAAATTTGAAAGCAAAATGAAGTCAAAACAAAATTTGTTTAATGTGTTCAAGTAGCAACTAGCTGCCATTTGATATTGAAATGATTGCACATAGTTTAGTCACAGAAAAAAACAGTTTGTGTCATTGCTTACTGTTTTAAATGACTTGTGACACATGTCACATGACTTGACTTGAATGTCAGATATGTCACATGACTTGAGTTTTGAATGTGATGACTTCTTCATGTACATTTGATGTCCTTTGATGTTATTCGTAATGTCTTGATTGTGCAATGAGAACTTGCTGAGAGTTATGAATGTGATGCTACTGTCAGTGATACATGTTGCTTTGAAAACCAGTAATATGCCCTATGTATAGTATGGGTATACATTAGAGCTGGGACGAGTCCAAATTTTAGTATCTGGTACCCACACCCCTATTACCCGACCCTACCTGGGTACCCGCTGTTGGTGTCAAGAGATAAGTACAAAATGTCCGATGGGGAATAGTTTGACAGTAGCCCTGGTAAAATGTATAAAACGATGTGGTCATGCATACACTGAAGTTGACTGAAGTTTTATCTTTGTTCAAACATATAAGTCAGAAGGAATGCGTTCATAGTCATGAAGAAACGCGAACAGTAGAGACTTTGAATTGTTGTGAAACCATGAAGGGATAGTGAATTATTTTCATGAAACAATATATCTCGTGACTAACCACGGGTCGGGGTAGTCCTGTGAGTACCTGGGTCCTACTCAGTACCCACCTGACCTGAGTACCTGAGTTACCCATCCCAGCCCTAGTATACATGTTTTAAAAAGTAATCAATTTGGACAACTCGGCTGAACATCTTGCAAACAAAATTTATTGTTTGTAAATTTGATTGGTGCATTAATTTTTAGATGATGCAAGACTCACAGGAGAATGATTTGATGGTATAATACGAAAGGCATTATCAAGTTGTGTCTATATCTAGGCAAATATTTTTGACATTTTGTCACTAGTCAAATGTACCTTAATGTTGAGTTGTCAAAATTCTGTGAGACAATTTCTGCTGTCCTTGAAGTTGTAGCAGGTACTCCTTCTTGCTCCATACTTCATCTCAGCCCTGTAGTACGTAATTTCCAGTTGTTGATACATGACACTGTGTACAGACAGTTTACAGCACATCCATTTGCATCACTAGAATGTGACTGAAATTCTTTATCTCTTTAATATTGGTTAGGGGGCACAGGTGGCACAGTTGCAGAAGCATCCCTTGGTCACACCAGAAACCTATGATTGTGGGTTCAAATCCTGGTTTGCCCCAATTATGTTTCTAGGTTTGTCAGCACTATACCTGTGCTTTTGGGTTTCACCGAAGTGGTAAACATCTAAGACCTGCATTACTTCGGGCTTTCCTCCCACATTAAGCTGATACACTGTGATGTAACTGGAATAATGTTAAAAGTGGTGTTAAAACCAACTCACTCACTCACTCATCTTGGTTAAACTTGGTTTGAATATCGTAATACAGATTGCTATGGGTTTGACTTGGATGATAAATTTTGCTGTTTATATGTAAATGATACTGTATTACAAAGCAGTTATTCATTATGATATCAATGTCTGTCACTATGGTCATTGGTTACTAAGTCCCCATATTATCAATGTTTGCTATTCCTTTGTTACCGTGCATGCAAGAGACAGATAAATATCAACAATGTCACAGGTCACGAAGTAGTAACACCAAAATGCATTTAACATGAAAACAAATCTGCAATGTGCAGTTGCCTTTGTGCACATAATGTACAATTAGTCCAATGTTTATGTCAAGTTCATTCTCAACTGACAGTTTCTGCCAAGATTTTACCTGAAGCAAGTCAAGATGTTTTGTCTCCACATTATATACAAAAGCACATTTGTTCCTCATTACTGCTAATACTGTTAGTTGTGGTCAGAAAATATGATTACATGCATTGAGTGAGAGAGAGAGTATGTTTTTACGCTCTTTTAGCAATATTCCAGCAATATCATGGCGGGGGACATCAGAAATGGGCTTCACACATTGTACCCATGTGGGGAATTGAACCCAGGTCTTCAGTGCGATGAGCTTACGCTTAACCTGCTAGGCTACCCCACTGCCTGAATTACATGCATTGGAAACATAATGACAAAATAATGTGTTTCAAACAACAACCTCAGACCCCTCCTCCCTAAAATAAATGGTCTTGCCCAGTCTTTTGTATGCTTCTTTTGCTTCAGTTTAAAGTGGGCTGGTCTACTGTAGGTGGGGCAAGATGGAAATGACTTGTCATGAAATCAAGGACACATTTTGCGCTGTGTTTGTCACCTGTTTAGTGTTATGAACCAATGGCCTTGACCTTCTCAAATGTGCTTTATGAACTCTGATAGCGAGCTTGATGCACCATGTGCCTAGTTGATCGTGTAGCTAGCGTGTGTGTAAATGTTCTTCAGTACTGACCATGCCATGTTGTGAAATAAACATATCACCTACTGCTAAACAAACTTAAGTAAAATCGATTTGGGATAGTAGGCTGTCTGAGTGAAATGGAAGAATCCATTTTCTGTGAACAGGGGAGTGATTGTGTGTCATTCAGTGGACATGGAGTTCATGCTGTACGTGTATTTGTCGACCCGACACTGTTGCTGTTCACATTAGTGAATTGATTGTCAAAGATTAGTTCTCCTCCACTCACATATTTTTCATTGATTTTTCCAACAAAAATCATGGTTGGAAACCTTCCACCCCTGCTGTTGTTATGAACTGTACAGACTATGGAGATCCATGGGTTAAATTGTCAGGTTGTGATTTTTCTTAAGTTTGTTTAGCGGAACAGTTAGTTAACGTGTCCGTGCCCATCCTCCTGGAGCTTATCTGTAGCGTACACTGAAACCCTTCTAGTCTGGACCCTAACTCTATATATATACTGTTTATTTACAAAGGGACGTCAAAAGTTCTTCTAACCCGACTTCTAACTCATGCTGAATACAATAAAAAATCCATTGATACAGTTTGTGCCAAACACTTTTGAGACTACTTGCCCGATTGCCAGTGAATTTAGTATTATTATAGGTATTATTATTAACTGAGCTTACAAGACCAATGACTATAATTCTTGCAAACCCTCTACCTCTATTACATCTTTGCCATAAATCCTGTATTTTGGCTTTAATCACACTTACTAAAATTTTCAGATTTTTAACAGACATCCTCTTCACTGTCAGTTGCACAATTAGTTGTTCCCAATATAGCACTATAGCAGCCCAAGCTATGACTACGTAATGGTCAGAACCTCAGTACTTTCCTGTGTGGGCTTGAGTCAACACCTATTGTTAAAATTGTAACTATCTAGCACTTGGTATTAGTCACATTAATCTAAGATTTTCTATAAGTTTTCTTAAAACAAACATTAAGTCCATATTAATTTTACTGGACTCAGGCTTCAGACTTGTGTCTCAAGTCACAGGCATTGATGGTAATCATCAGTGACCAGTAACACTTTCGGACTATGACTCTCTACCAGTTCTCCATGCTTGAGTTTACTACAATTCATCCTTGTAGGACTAACTACATACTCTGAGGACTAGCTTATTAAGTTTTGCACTAGTCCTCTGCACTCTTACTCTTATTTGCACTAGTCATTAAATAAAAATTTTCTAAGGCCAACCTTACTTCGAAATGATACATTAATCTGTAAATTTTAAAATCAAAACAGTATCACTGGGAACTGTGTGATGAAGATTAGCCAGGTACCATTGTAGGGTGGTGTATAGCTTCCATGACAGGGGTTTCAGGTGGTACTCATATCTTCCCAATTGGGATGTAAGCTCAATGTCAGATCAGTGGACTATTTCTTACAAACAAAGCAGTTCTTTGTAAACGACTAGATTAGCAATTTGTAAGGTTCTACCATCAATCATGTCTCATTGAGACCAAAACCTGTTGAAAATTTGATAATATCCTATTTATACCTTGTTTTTAACAAGTTGTTTTTTATTGTAGTAGGTTTGAGCTCACAATTCAAGTATTGTGGATAGAACTTTGTGGATATAACATTTTGTATATATATTTATATAATTATATCAGTGTATACCAATATACTCATACATGTAGTTTGTTAATGGCAAAAGGTAGCTTTTTCCTGAATATTGTCAGAATACAGTCGCATAGAATATACTAATATTTGTGACTACAAGGGTCAATATACATGAAGCTAGGCATTGTACGTGGCACCTGTCTGTACTGTTGCAGTAGCAATTATGATGGTGATTTATTTGTATTTGTGGTACTAATGTTGGTTTACATGAATTCAGTATTGAAAACTCACGCACACTTGTACGTATTCATGTGTCATGGTCATAATGTTGACTGTATTTTGCCTGTGATGTTAGACAAGTTTTTGCACATACCAAGGGAGATCACTCTGTGCAAACTGGACTTCCATTTAGCTTCATACAAATACCACTGTCTATGTATAATATTTCATCTATTGAGGGCAGTTGGACTCAACATGCTCACTGTCCCAGTACAAAGCACTTTGATGATAAGGGAAAGGGGTCTACTGTCACCATTCTTAAATTTTCCGTCAGTTAGGGTAATAATACACAAATTCATGTTTAATATTTTGATTATTACATTCCATTTTTCCAATTTATGGCCCTTGTGATTTGTATGAAATCCTCCAGTCAAAAAAATCTTATTCAGTGCCATGGAACAGTTATGGCAGATATGTGGCCTTTTTATGCTTGTGAAAATCTGGACTTTATGATATTTGTTGTCAGAAGATTTTTGTTATACATAGATGTAAATGATGTTGTTTTGAAAAATATCTCAAAATATTTGGTCAATGGTTTCTTTATGAAGCTGCTTGGTTGAAAGTTTTGGCCTTTACTGAATATGTGACTTCGATGTGTGTTGAGTGATGCTTCCATGGGTTGTCTTCCCCCTGCTTATGGGTCATGTCAAAAGTATACAAGTCATTTTCAAACATCTATGGAGGTTGTGTGTCATGGGTAGTGGTAAAAGATGGATCTAGCTAACCAGTCTTTCAAACTCACATTTATGAGTTACATTTTCAGCGAAAATTAATTTTTAAATGAAATTGACATGTGTACCATTGACATAATCCCTTGATATACTATTCATATTTATTTATACATTCTAGTCCCCGTTTAACCCTATGATGAGATTTGATGAACTTAATTGAGTTTATCCGTCCCACAATCTTTATTCTTAATACTACTTTCTTAACAAAGTGCTTTCATATAGTGATCACATTGAAATCTGCATTTCAGTTATATATACTTGATTAGGTTTGACTTTTTCACTACTTCTTAGTATTTATGGTGGGATTGTGAATGAATTTGTCTTTTCTTTAAAATAAATGCTTGTCTGAAAGCTTATTCTGATCTTGAGACTTTTAGCATAACTTGTAATGATCTCACAAATATATTTGTGAGAATTTTGCCTTTTTAATTTTGTGATCAAAGACGAAAGTCAGATATGATGAATTAATATTTATTCTGGAAACAGTGGTACTACAGGTGTACCAATGAATGAAGTTTTAGTCATATTAAGAAACTAATTGTTGGTCTCAGGAAAATCACGTTTTGATTAATTTTCTTTGTGCTATTGCCAAAATGTGCTAAAATGTTTTTTGAACACCCCATTTCAACTGTAGTGCTGTTAAAAAGGGTTTTTTGAAAGTACTTAAACCCAACTACCAGTTAACAAATTTAAGAGCTTTTGCCCTTGATTTATGTATGTTTGTATCTTTTCATTTCTTGTTTTTTAAAAAGATGTAAGCTGATTTTTATTATGTATGTACTTTATCTTCATGATTTTTTTTATCCAAAGTTTAAAAACCTGTCTATATTTGTATGGTTTAGGCCTGTAGTACTCAAATGTATAACAAGTGATAACGAATCTAAATTCATCAATGTTGATTAATGAGATTACAGTAAGTATAACTAAAATAATTTTTCTGTTCTTTAAAACTAGTTTTTATTATTCATTGCTGAATTGGGTGCTGATTTTAAGAAATATGTGTATCTACCCATCAGGCAGTTAATAGGTATTTCAAATATATTTTCAGTCATTCATTATTCTGATATTTCCAATCATTCCCAGCGATGTTCATTCATGAAGTCCAAAATCAGTCCTAAAGGCCATTTTCAATATGAGCCTCTGTCTACACTCAGGTGATTAAACATTACTGGTGCCACACACCATTGTCTCTAGGGTTTAAACCTTATACAGTTTCCAAGCCATTTACATGTGATAGCTGAAATATGGAAAGGATAAGGTATGGTAAGGGCCCATTTTGGCCTCAGGATCTGTATATTTTAATAAAAGGGCAAAACTTTAAGAAGTGTTATGGAAATTATCCAATGTGCTTTAATAATACCATATGTATTGGTAATTTTAAAATTGTCAAAGGGGTGATGTTAGCTTTTCTAATATCTTATCATGAGCAAGTCTTGGGCTGAATCTGAGTTTCTTCGGAGTAAAAACTTGGAGAGAACAAATAATCTGGGGTTATCGACTTGCTCAACAGATCTCACCTTTCACAAGTATTAAGTATACTTATGTACTTAATCATGTCCAGAGCCCCAAACCTGCAGATGTAAGGAAGAAAAAAGGTTACCGTATATCACCTTCTATAAAGCCCCCTAATTCTAGGTACGAAAAACACACTGGAGTACGGTGGTTTAGTTGAATTGTCATCACATTTGTCGTGAAGTTCAGATGAATGAACACCCCTCTTTCAGTAGATAGTGACTGATAATTTATTCTATACAAAGTACCATCACAATAATACAATGTAGATGCATCCTTAGGGACAGTGGAAACTAAATGCAAGACACAGTTCATGGTTCACCATATGATAGGAGTTGAGTAAAAAGGGCCATATTTAGGTGCCAATACTGAATACAGATACGGACAGTAAAGATCCATCAAATATATTGTACAAAGCTGGTCTTGTACTTTGAAACTTTCTGATTTTGGACTCTTGACTATCATCTAAAGACATTCTAGATACATATTTCATTCCGTGTGATTTGCTCATTTTTAATAATATAATATTGATTTGTTTTCAACCATAACATAGAATATCTCCATCTTACATACATATTTTTTGTTTGTTTTAAAACCCCAGTTTAAAATTGAGTAAATAAAACAGTTTTTAATAACTTTGGATGAATTTTCATTAACAATGATAATGTTTACATCAAAAGTGTTCAGAAGTGTATTCATAAATTGTTTTAAGTACTGTATAGTCAATCGTATTTGTGACTTTCAACTTGTTATGAATTACCGGTAGTTGTTTTTTGTTCTTGATATTATAAGGGCTGGGCCCTTCCATACCCATAGCTAGAAATCTTGATTTATCTACAGGGGCAATATTTTGATAATCAAACTGTATAGTTTATATTTGTTTGTTATGATCATACTATTTGTATTATGTTTATTGATCTGTAGGGTATTGAGAATGTAGCCAACAAGTTTAGCCATAGCGAACAAACAGTTCAACAAATACTGGTGAATGGGTGCTAAGAGTTTAATCCAATGAAGATTTTGTAGCAATTTTAATATTTTACCCATCTGTTATAACTTGGGGACATTCGTTCTTAGACATATGTTAATGGCATTATCCACACCAGGTATGACTTGTCTCATCCTTTTAAACTAAGATCATGTTAGCATTTAAAAAATAAAATTTCACAAATTTTTAAATTTTCTTCCATAATGAAAATTGTGTTGAATGAATTCAAATATGGAATATTTCATGTCACTTAGATTTGTCATTGTAAAAAACAAACTTTCATTCTGAATTCTTGCCAGCAATTTCATGTGCAATCCGTTCAAACCTTTGTGACACAAACTATCGTAAGAGACGTTTTCGAGGTCTACATTATTTTTCACAGAATTCCTTGTACAAGTTCTTGTCTCTGATGGTAGATATCAACCATGAGCACGTGCTTCTAAGCTCTGGCTCTCAATTTTTTAAACAAAAGTGTTAATACACAATGAATAAATCAATGTCGAGTCTTATTTATTTTTTTGTTTTTGTGGCAGTATTTATTGGGGCTGGTATTGTAGTATTGTGTACACAGAATGACTTTTCTATTAACTTGTTGTGACAAGGTGGGCATAGTCCGAAATAAAACACTTTGTGCAGAGTTGTGTCCCTTAGCCATTGCAGGATCAGACGGCCTGATGATGTTCTGTCAGCACCATGGTGTGCTTGTAAATTTTATGAAAGTGGTTAATTTTTGCAACCAGAGTAACATAGTGCTGTCCTTTACGAAGCTGAACCCATGATACAAACATATTCTCATACTCTGGCATACTGACATACCAATCCAGCCCTAGTAATTACAGTATGTAGCATGTCTGAAAATACTGCTTTTTGTACTTGAATCTGCCATAAGAGATGTATGAAGATATTGTGTAGACAATGTGGTGTAGGATGTCCAATGTGTCATGTAATTGGTATCTATATTCTCTGTAATATTGGCAGCATTGCTACTAGCTACAGGTAAAATGACAATATTTTTGGTTTAGAATAACATGTTTAGATATAGTCTTTTTGAATTGTCACATGGATATAGTTTAGATTGTGCTATGGGTTGAACCTTCTTCACCAAACAGCATGATGTCTAGTTTAGGTCTTGTCAACTCGAAGATCATCTTCCCGAGGAAAGGGAGTTAACTGACTTATAAAAGTCCAGTTTCCACCCTTGCCGAACTAGGCTGGTATTATGGAGTTACATTTTGGCTGGACTAACGAGTCTATGCCTAGTCCAATCAAAATTGCGCCCTGAAATCAAAATCCGGTTTGTAAACTGTCGTGCAGATTTCGGTCGATTGCAGGATTTGCAAAGCATGTGCACCGCCAACTCGTTGTCAGCGGATATTTTCCAAATCTTTTCATGTTTTTAATCAAGGTGCTCACATGATTTGATGCATTTCGCGATGTAAGACCCCTTTTATCACAATATATATCTTGATTATCGATCAGATCGTCCTGACTCGGCTCCACCATTTTGTGTGAAGCAAACGCAAGTGATACGAGAGGTGGAATCTGATTGGTCCATAGGAAAGGCTTAGAAGGGACATAACTGGTATTAGCCACTGGTGGCGCTACGATCGAGCCCAGTAATTCCAGCCTAGTTCGGCAAGGGTGGAAACTGGACTTTTAAAGTCAGTTAACTCTCTTGCCTCGGGAAGATGCTCGAAGATGGGTTCGTCATTGGTGACATGTGAGTAACCCGGTTAATACAAAAATAGTATCACTGAAACTTAGCAAATCCATGAAATGTTCGCACTTTTGTATATATGTTTAATCTGAAATTGCATGTAATGGAATATGGTATCGTTTATTTAGACATATCAGTGATTAGTGTTATCAGCTTTGCATTTTCAATATAGAAATACTTTCACTGAAAGAGATTAACAGTCACGTTATTATTTGAAAACTTGAAATTAAGTCTTTGAAAGGCATTTAGAAGTGATACACATAAGGGGTAGAATTTATGGATGTCAACTTCTTTATCATGAGGAACACTACGTTTTGGAGGATATACTTACTCCTTCATCAGGTGAATATATTCTATGAGGCAAAGAACATATGTATCTACCTGTAAGAACAACAAAAGTAATAAGATAACAAAGGTGGAAACTTAATAAGCGAGATCAAGTTATTTACCACTGATAAGTGATAGCGATGGACAACTGGAAGCCAGGACACCTATCAGCACCAATTACCTGTGGGCTGTTTGTTAAGTTTCCACCTTTCCACCTCATAATAGGTGAAATTTGGTTTAACGTCGCGTCTAAGATTATTGCACTTGTATAGCGACATGCATGCACGTGTGTGTGTGTGGCTGCTTGTTCTAGTCCTGACTGATGCCGATTTATAGTGCTAGCCCACTGAGATACCATGCTGCAGTTTAACATGAATACCCCACTCAAACACAGTATACTGACTCCAAGCTGACCAGTCCTTGTTTTAGCCCCTTAATGCCGAGCGCCAGACAGGGTAACAACATTTACCATCTTTTAACGCCTTTTGGTATGACGCGGCAGGGGATCGAACCCCGGACCTTCCGCTCTCCGGGCGGATGCTCTACCACTAGACCATGGAGGCGGTCTCCACCTCATAATAAAGAAGCATCCGCCCGGAGAGCGGATGCTCTACCACTAGACCATGGAGGCGGTCTCCACCTCATAATAAAGAAGTTGACATCTATAAATTCTGTTCCCTAACTTGAAATGATGTTACATCTCTGAAACTTTATTTTCAGTGCTGATTGTCATTCTAGGACATTCGTAACTCAGCATCTTTGGTGCATATTAGATGAATATTTGACATGTCATGAGTTATGTCCCATGGTTCAAGAACACGTTGGTTTCAGAGTTACTTGACACACAAACAAGATCAGAAACTTCTTGCTCATTAGAACTTGTGAACTTACTTTTTACCTGGATTTTAGTTGTTGCTGACATATGATAATTCAGAAAGTGATATTTCAGAGATGTAACAATACTGTGTCAAAAACAGACAAACACTTTTTTATTACATGGATCACAGAAAAGCAGGTATTTTGAGATTGTGAGAAACATGGGGATGGGCCCAGGGATTAGTGTATGTTTACCAACATGCTAGCCCTGGAGATGTAGAGGATATAAAGTAGATAAAAAATACCAATTGATTTTCTAATGGCATTTTGGTTTCCATTTCATTTATCATGTCCACCAACTGCTTGGTTCGACGTGAATTATGTCTTCGATCCAAGTGACAAAAAGTGTTTGGTCTGAACATTATGGTTTTTTTCATAAATTTTCCGATATTTTAGATTTTAATAAAGATACCTGAATACCACTGTCACAAATAAAACCAATGTAATGCAGCAGCACAATGATATATTCAATCTGGTGCTTATGAACATTTTGAATGTGAGTGTTGTTGGTCTTTAAGATTTGTAGTGAGTGTTTTGTTCGATATGCTTTGAGTAAATTGACTTTGTGCTTGACAGCATGTTGTATGAGTGCTTTGAGATTGACAGACTCGCTGAGTACATCTACTTTCAATCAACGACTATTGATTTAAGTCTTTCAATTCATACTTTGTCCATTACCCCGAATTATTAAATGGCAAGGTTTTCAAGTGTTCCAGAAAGGTCTGCGACTAATGATAAATGTCTTTAGACAAAACCATTACTGGTAGATGGTCTTCCATAGTATCTTCTAATTTATCGTGTCTAAATATTCTTTATTAGACAAAAACAGTGACAAGAAGTTCATTGATGTTTTTTATCAATTTAAACCTCAGTGTCCACTTGAACAAAACTATCTTAGCATTATGACGATCTCAACTCCCATACTCTAAACATAGATGTACGATAGTCATATTGCTAAGATCATCTTGTGGAAGTGGACCCTGATATATAAATCCAAGTTGTAAAAAGCAAATGTGTCCATAGAAATGACAATGGTTTGGGACATTAATCATCTGATGTCCAAACTTTTAAGTATAAAAAAATGCAGAAACCAGTGTTACAGATAAGTTATGTCAAAGTTTTGTCAATGGATTTTCATTAGTAGAGGGGTTAATATCTGAGAAAAATAAATCAGAAGTACTGAATAATAAATCCTTAGTCTTATGTTACTTTGTCCAATGGTTCTTGCCAAAATATATTCCTTGTAATGCTACGGTACTTGCATACTTTGAGTAAGAGACAATTGAGTTGTGTTTAGGGGGATCATAGTTGGCACATTATTTATGTCCTGGAGTTGGGATGGTTTCAAGATTTATTAACTCCCATACTGGTCACATTTCCAAGCACAAAACTTTTGGCATGTTTGAACTACTTTTAATATTATTATGTAATTTTTTATATCCATGAAATAGAACTTTGAGGTTAATAAACAAAAAAGGATGTATAAAATATTTTATAAAATTTTCCAAGTGCCATTTTGAAGTTAGATATGTAATTACTGACAAATGGTTTGGATTCTCGACTTTATTACAATTGTGGCAACATTTTGAGTGTATCCTGACACTTAATTCAGGTAGTTGCCGAGTATTAGATCTGCCTTAGTTACATAGTAAAATAATTTTTATACCGTTACATAAAATCTGGGTGGTCACAATCTTCACAGAAAAGTGACATACTGAAATGGTAAACTAGCACCAGTCCCTAATCACAACCCAGCCTTGTCTCGACTAGTCATGCAGACATGCAGAATGTAAGTTTGATCAGCATTATGCCACCTTTCTTAAGAGCAATGAGCATTTGAATGAATGAATTTCCTTCTTCCAAAGTTAAGAACTGCTGTACCGTGTTCACTTGCCATGTTTAGGGAATTCTCTCTTGGAGCCCATGAGGCAGGGTAATGGTTAGAGGGTCAACAAGCATCACTTCCATACCAAGGATCCCAACACAGTCAAAGTGTTATAACGAAGGGAAGTACAAGTCCAAATTAGGGGTGTCATTGATTGGAAAGTTTAGTATCGGTATCTTGACTCAAAAGTATCACGATATATTAATGAATCGATAAATAACATTTATTATTCTGTATGTACATGGATAAAAACATTCTTATCAAATTAATGCTAGATATGGACTACCCCAGGGAATTTTGATCCATTAAATATGTTTATAAATGAATTTCTGCCTTCTAATTGTCCATCTTAACCATGGTCATCTTAAACGTCATGTTTCTGTGGGAGTGAAGTATTGAGAATCGATATTCATAAATGGTAGCAATATTAAAAAATTATTGATACATTGATTATTGTGAAATATGATGACTTCCCTGAAGCCATTCTCATTTATCAAGGGCATTATATAAAGATGTTCTTTCCAATATGATAAATACCTTGGACTCATTTGTCTCCAAAGCTTCATTTCCAGAGTGATGTCACCACCTCTATCTATCCTATCGCTAACTTATTCGCCACCAAACCTTTTGTATCGGACGTGACATCACCACTTCCATCTATCCTATCGCTGTCCTAGCACAGGGTTTCTCTTGCTCACAACTGTAGTTTGATTGGGTGGCTAAATTTTGTGTTGTATCATTCACATTATGGCTCAAAACGTAGCTGTCTAGGGTGTCAAATATGTACTGGGTATTTATCATCATTGAATGGATGTCCTAATGCAGGAAAAATGTTACACTTATGTGCTATGTTAGATGTTCAGGATCAGGTTGTTAACAAAGACAACTGACAAGGCCAGTGTGTATTTTCACACCACAGTCATGAGTATTCCAGCTTTAACACAGTAAAGCTTAGTGAAGGTGAAAGAAATATTTTGGGCATATTCTTGGAGGGTAGTATCAGGTATGTTCCTTTCCTTTCAAGACTTTGAGGGACCTTACACAATGGTAAGCCATCTTATATCCTCCTCCATGATGATTTTGTCTCAAATGTAGGATTTACAGATTGATGTCTGCCTACACCTGGAACAAATTCGGTAACTTTCGTTCTCTAGACTTGTCTTACCCAAAATGTTAGTATGGTTTCAAACAATACACATCATGTGTATGTTAATAGGGTGTGTTGACGAGTGAAGAAAATGTGCACTATTTTGTTTATTTATGTATAACAGAATAAAAACAGTTGATTCTCAGGCACTTACTTTTCGCAAGTTGTTGTTTAGTTTTGAAAGTTGTGCTTCCTAGGTTTCCGATGTATCACTTTTGTGTGTTTAGTCAGAACTGATACATGTTATGAGAGGTCAGTGTCTGAGAACCAAAGGTTTTAATCTTTAACCCATGCTTCTAGCAAAGCAAGTGTCATAACCACCTATATTGTTCAGTCATTTTAGTCGAAACAAAATAAATATAATATTGAAATAATATTATCTTCAGAATGAATTTTTGTTCCTTTAGTTATTTATTGAGTTTCTTTAGGGCCCTGCTGCAGAAGCAGTGCAACGACTGTCCTATACTGTGAAATCCTATACTCTTTCCAGGACATGTTGCTGTGCTTGTTCTTGCTGCAGGATCTGATACCGATAGGTATCGATTGGATGTTTACAAGAAATTAGAAAAACACAATTCATAATAAAGCAGCATTTATTTTTGTTGAGTATTTCTCATGCAGAAAACCAGTGAGGACTGTGATAGTACGTTTGAATAACAGAGCAGGCATCATGTTAACTCTCATTTGTGAATTCACGCAAATAATATCACTTTGCAAAAGAATTAGCAGTCATTACACTGAATTATCAGTTCTCATTTTTGAATCTTAGATTTAAAAAGTCACATATTTGTCAGCAAAATGATTGCATGAAGGGATGCATAGGCCAATAGCTAGCATGATGTCTGTCAACAGAATGTACCAATAGTGGATTTCACGAACATCACAAACTTTACAGATCTTTAAGAATGTGAATAATTGTCATTTAATAATACCGGTACAAGGGAGATCTGGCAGTATCAATTCATTGTCTACTAGTCTTGTGTGTATGACTGCTTTAGACATTTGAAATAGTGCGAGGGTGAACCTGCAATCGCTGCTGTGTAGAATATTCACCGGGATACAGGGCTAAATGTACCGTTAGTTGCCATGGTTACATGTCAATAAACACTGTCACCTGTTCTTCTGGGTTCTGTGGTTTGTTCAATTTGCATGAGTTCTTGCGTGCTTATTCATGGACTGAATTAATGTGTATCACTTTTGATTGGTTCTAAGAGGGCTAAGCATGGAAACGTGTCCTCTAGTACTGCTTGTAACGTGGCTGCATATTTTTGGTAGCACAGTTGCTGTTGGGACTCTTGGTATTAAACAGTATGGTTCAACACCAACTGTCTTACATAAATGTTCTGGACAACGAAACTGCAGTGTCATAGACAACTATCATGGCTGCCTGATAATTGGCCCCACAGTGTTCTGGACAGCGAAACTGCAGTGTCACAGATGACTATCATGGCTGCCTGATAAATTGGCCCCACAGTGGCACGCTTGATCAGAGTGAGTGGGTTTGACATTGGTTTGAACCTGATTTCAGTTGTCACAGTGTGACGTGAGTATGTTTGAGCTAACATTTTATTTTATAACAGTAAAAATAGTGTAGGGGTAAACTAATAATGAAACATGCTACAACTTGGGAAGTCGATGCATCAGTCAACAATGCTGTTGACATTTCAATATTCTAGTTTGCATTTTTGGATACAAACTCCTGAACCCTACCATGTACATACACTTTCTCGTTAAATGTCAAACCAGGAAATGATAGCATTAATCTGCAAAAGCATGCACTGAAAATGTCCAGCCAGCCAGTCAATGGTGGTTTGTAAAGTCTTATGAGGCAAATAAAATATTTTCTCTAAAGAGTAGGACTTGTTCTGCAGCAGATGAACTGTGGAGAATTCATATTTTGTTATCACGTTTTAATGTTGTTAAATTGAAATCAACTGGTTTGTGCAATGGATTCTGAACCCCCGAGGAAGGGGGAACTGCCCTGGTCCTGAGAAGCGGGGGTGCATTGTTTACCTATGTCTACACAAGGCATATACATTATCAAGTTATATTATAAGGTAAAACCTTGGTGTGTCAATTTGCTGTCCAAAAACAACCCATAACAAATGTAAACGTAACAGTTACATTGGATACACAGTCATTGACACTTCAGTAGACACCCTGGACATAATATTAAAACCAATGAAAAGAAGTAATTGATACTCGGGGAAATTACAATTTCAAAAGCACAAATTGATTCTCCGATTCTTATACTGAAGCTGATACAGATACAGATACAACATTGTTTCAAAGTGCATGTCAGAAGGACTAAAGACCACTTTCAAAAGTTATACTTAACATTCAATAACAATAGTTTTTTTCCAACTTAAAGGTCATCAATGAGTGGTAACAGAAAACTTCCAGACTTGAAGCATCACATGACATAGATGGATTTCTTTTAGCACTTGACACGGCACATGTCACATGTACACAGACTCCTCAATTCTGTGTTACCAAACATAGACTGACAATAAAAATGCTTCAACTTTCACTTGAAGGACAAGAAAATGATTTTAGCAGTAGATATTTACTTGCATGAGAAAGCATGATGACTGTGTGACAAAGTGACATTGTTGTGTGTGATTATCTCAAACCTAAATACACAGAACATCTTAATTTGATTTTAGTGGCCAATTGGTCAAATTTAATAAATAATCGAATATGTGTTTACAAGTTCTTCAGACTATTTTACTGCCTGGAAAGTTCCTTAACCCAGTTATAGTAAAACCATGCTGACCTGGGATTTACCATTAACTTGTGCAGTGAGTACAGAGTAGGAATCACCTGTACAGAATTGGAAAGTAAACCTTATTCAAGCTAAGCCTTGTGCAGTTATGTGTCTCATTGATAACCTATAAAAGTTTGTTAAGCATGAAGTATTTTCAAAAGTTGTTTGTTATCCTACAATTTTTTTCACAAACTTACACTGAGTGTGTCCACCACATGATTGTCTTTTTTCTCTCCCCCACAAAAATCCCACTAACCACAAGCAAATATAACTTGCCATATGATTCTCTACTTCCAGTAATTATTAATAAGGCAATTACGAATTAGGAATTGGACCACTGAAAGAATTTCTTTGTGTAAAAAATGTGAGTTCATTTGCAACATTTTGCAAATCACCTTGTTAGAAGGTTATTTATTTATAAGGCTTGTAATTAATAAGGCCATGGAAAAAAGGTCCTGGATATACTTCTAAAAGGCCATTAGTCAATTAATACAAATATGTTGGACATAAAGATGGCAGGAAATGAAGGACGAATGATTGATGAACAAGAAGGAACTGCTCTTGGACAAAGCAGTTCTACACGACATGTACAATTGTACAATGATACAACCCTCACAATCAGTTGACAATACCGTCAGATCTGAATGACAAAATCAAAACATGGTGGCATGGATCTCTTGGAGAAGGTGAAACACAACAGCCTTAATTCTGTGGATTGCAATTACTGGTAACTATACATAGCACCTATGTGCTTCAAACTGGTTTTAAGTGAAATGAAACAAAACACAAGTAAACATGGAAAGTCATTACAAAAGTATCTGTCCCCAGTCGGAGTAAGGTTTTCTGAATTTCATGATTACCGTATTTGCCGTATTAAGCACCCTGCTCCAATAATCACCCCAAGCAACTTCTAGAACAATCTGTAAGTAATCTTTATAAGCGCCCCTATTACTAAAACTTTACATGACCATGATGACAGACCATGTTTTCTTGAGTATTATTAACAGACAACAGAAGGGTAGAAGAAGAAAATAACTGCCTATTATCAAAAACATATTTTCATTGACGTTTGAACTATGGTCACTACTGGTGGATCTCTGACATCAAACTTAACTGTGAATGGTTTTAAAAGGCCTTTGTCAATTTTCTAAGCCCCTGAGGCACTTATTACGGCAAATATGGTAAATGTGTAGTCTTATATGTTTCAGTACTATACAACATAGAAAAACATCAACTGGTTCTGAGGCAATGACAATATTGGTGAAGCCTAAAAAACTCCTTTTCATATATATCAAGTGCCCTGTGGTGCCCTGTGGTGCCCTGTGGTAATCAAAACAGGGGGCAGAGCAATACATCAAATTTATACTACATTCACCGGCTTACTGAACCAATCACACACTGTCAATCAAGCAAAGGTGATGACATTAATTGAGCATATACACCTACACTAAAGACCAAATAATATAACAGTGAGTGTGAGTGAGTGAGTATGGTTTTACACCGCTTTTAGCAATATTCCAGCAATATCACGGCGGGGGACACCAGAAATGGGCTTCACACATTGTACCCATGTCGGGAGCCAAACCCGGGTCTTCGGTGTGACGAGCGAACGCTTTAACCACTAGGCTACCCAACCGCCCCAAATAATATAACAATGACCACTGGTGAAACGGGGTATTTGCAGGATGGTGACCAGTTGACCAAATATATTCACATGGCGTTCCAATGTGCTATCCTTTGATGCTTAATTCACTTAAATGTCTTTGTTTTAACTGGGCAATGTTACCATAAGCGTGGGTTAGTTTAACCAACTTCTAGTGAGCGATGTTTCATATTAATTGAGCGATGTTATGTTACTCACATTACTTCGTGTCAAATTGTCAAGTACTTTAAAAGGAAGGGTGATACGATACATTTCATGAAGAATTTTACTGTGTGTAATTGTATATGTATTTTGCAATAAATAATAATGAAATATGAATGTACATCAATGTATATATATGTCAACGTATTCGCTCATGTGAGTTATGTAATAACACACCTACTTTGGTAAACGCAATAATTTGGTAAATTGGTCATTTAAGCTGTGATACACATTGCAATATTGAATCTTGATGCAAATCTTTACTATCCACACTAAGTCTTGATACTGTATTGTAATATTACACATTGTATCATGATGCATTGTGTGTTTTCAATATTAAAGCATGGTACAATATTTTTATATGCACATTGTATCATAAAACAGTATTGTAACATACACATTGTATCTTAATCATAATACAATCTTGTAATACACGCATATAGTATACAATATTAATATATGCATCTTATCATGAAGCCATAGTGTAGTATTAGTATTGATGTACTGTTTTACCCCTTTCACAAAATAAGCAACTAGTTTACTGCGTTCAAGTGTTAACACACTGATCGTTTTCAGCCTTCACTCTTATGTATGCACCTAACCTCCTCAAGAAAACAATGGAACAATAAAGTCAAAGGAGGTCTTCAAGTGGTGTTTACTGTGCTCAAGACAACAAAAACAATATTTGTTTAAAATGGCAGGCAACCTCTCTTCAAAGAACAAAAAGTGTCAATTTTAATTTTCAAATTAAGTCCTATCTGCTGTCATGGCTAAAATTGTTCTATCTGTAACTGTCTGTAGCGCTAAATTTACATGTTATCAAACTGTCGTCATTTTAAGAAAAAAAAGTGACATTTTATTTCAACTTCAGTTTTAGATGTTACCACAGGGAATATCTTAAAGTTATCATAATTTTTTAACACTCCACATTAAACAGTGTGTGAAGACATGTTTTCATGACAACCAAATGTCTGATTAGCAAAATGCAGAGAAAAATCCCGGAAAGTGACAAAAAGTTCATTGTCACGTCCTTTGATGCGTACAAAAAAAGAAACAACTTCTAACTAATAGACATATTCTGTTCATATCCCTTAAGACCAAGACCACATATGATGTCTGACGACTTCCTTTAACAGTTTACAGTAAACACCTGCACAAAAATATGAGAATGACAGCAGTGTAAAATATTCAGCCTTATCTGCTATGACCAGTCATACTGTCAGCTGACACACTGATAAATAGTTCACATCATTTCCAAACACTCTACCAATCATGTGACCTGTCAATCAACCAATCAGAAGTCAGCCTTCATCTCCAGCAGGGCCCTGACTGCCGTGTCCATCGATGTGTCTCTTGGCTGCGTGTCGTGGTGGTTTGTACCTGGCACAACAAAAGAGGATCTACTTATTAGATAATCTGAAATGACAATCTCATTAAAATCACATCCTTTACTCCGACATGATATCTATGTGTGTGAGGAGTGACAACCTATCCATAGGTCGTGTCAGATGAGCGAAAATTGAGTGCCCAGCCTAAGTGAAGGATGCATGGGTTCTTAAGCCATTCAGATGTCAATTTTCTAAAACGATTTCTTTTTATTTCTCTACCAGTTCAAATTAGGAAATTATGATATTAACAAAATTAACTCACACTTAACATAAATATTCCTTTGATGGTGCTCCAGTTTGGGTGTTGATACCATGGTGACCAGAAACGACAGGGTGTAAAAAGCACGCACAACAATATAATAACCTTGCCTTTCTTATTTTCATTTGGAACTGGTTATTTAAGCAACGTTAAGTTTGTTGTCCACATATGCTGCACTCAATACTTTGCTCACACATACGATAACTTAGAAGCCTCGGCACTGATTGGCTGAAAGTTCACCTGACAACCTCCAATGGAAACATTCTTTTATTCAAGACATGTCTAATGAAAAACAAATGTGAATTATGATCAAAAGCAGTTCCAAATACTGAAAGAAAAAAACAACTATTCCCTTTGTAGATGATGTTTCTCTGTGGTAATCAATTTTGTTGACTTGTGGGCTTGTGTAGTAAGTTACCAATCCAGATGCAATCTACTCTGTACAATCAGATACTAAGTAAGCCATCCTGCCTTACTGGTCATGAACTCAGTTTTGATTGAGGCACCTTTAAACAATACTGATGACATATTCCACACCTTTAAACCGTGAGTGAGGGTGTGAATTGAGTTTAACGACACTTTTAACAGTATTCCAGTTACACCATAGCATGTCAGCTTGATGTGGGAGGAAAGCTTGAGGAGATGCAGATCTAAGACGGTGACCACTTTGGTGAAACCCACGAGCACAGGTGCTGACAAACCTAGAAACATTTTGAGGCGAACCGGGATTCAAAAACACGATCATAGGTTTCTGGCATGTCCAAATGACGCAATTCTGCACAATGAACTGTGGTGCCTTAGACGACTGGGCCATCCATGCCCCCTCTTTGAACAGTGCGCAAGTGAATTTTTATGCCAGTTTTACCAATATACGTACACCAGAAATGGGCGTCATTCATTGTACCAATGCAAGGAATCGACCCCAGGCCTTCGGTGTGACGATTGAATCACTAGACCACACCCAAAACAGGGAAGCAAACAGAACTGATGAGAGTAGGCTAAAAAATAATCACCTTTCCCATTTCTTGTGATTGAGACAGGAAAAATCTTCCAGCTGAGCGATGTCCTTCAGGTATCTTGACAGTTTTAACAACTCTGTATCAGACTCACGGTTGAAGTGGGCTTTCTTAAATGGTTTGATCTGAAAGACAAATGTGCACAAATACTACCTTGTCAGGTCCAGTCCATAAATGTTACATTAACATTAACTCTCCTAAAGATGCAAGAAGCAATGATCATGGTATTTTGTGCAACAAGAAATCCATCAAATTAATCACACATCTTTCGACTAAAAATAACGGAAAGTATTTTGTCCTTGTGCATAGCATATTGTATCATCATGATCATCTTATATGACTCACCAATGAACTTCAGACAGCAACTATGTTGCTCTTTATACACAAACATTAAAAGTAACATATATACTCAAAATCATTATCAGATAATAAGAGATAAAAGTATGAGATTACAGTAAACTATAATGAACAGACCAATATAACAAACTTATTTTTTAGTCCCGACCATTTGTTGTATATATGCTGTATATATATGCTTATGATGAACTATGGTTATTACGAACTAAAATTAGTGGTCCCTTTCGGTTTGTTATAACCATAGTTAACTGTATAACATTTTCAACTTCCAAGAGAGCAGATCAATTGCATCGGGCATGCACCACTTCATACCCACATTGAAAGTGAGTGAGCATGCGTTTATGCCGCTTTTAGCAATATTCCGGCAATATCACAGCGGAGGACACCAGAAATGGGCTTCACACATTGTACCCATCTGGGGAATCAAACCCGGGTCTTTGGCGTGATGAGTGAACGCTTTAACCACTAGGCTACCCCACCGCCCTTATACCCACATTGATAGCTACTTGTCCTGCATTGCATGGGCATTGGTTAAACCACTGGTTGAGTTCAGGCATGATTCAGGCTTTTTCCATTTTCTTCAATCTTGACCTTTTCATTAGTTTTAGTACATAGCCATCCATTTTTCCAGTCTCATAAAAGCATCCGTGTGACACAGGCATAAACAACATGTTCTTCAACTGTTAATCACACTGTCAACATACTATTGGTGCTTGTAGTTCATGTTTGACACCCTAAATATCCAGGTGTTCCTTCCATACTGATGCTGAGTATTGTTTCAATAACATCCATTTATCAGTACTCACTTTCAGGCCATTTTGTGGATTCATGATGAAGTTCCGACGGATGTCGTCAAACATGATTGTGTTCTTGGCAGTCCATTGTTCAAACTTGCCCCAGATAACCCCAAGTGGTTTCACCTTTAACACAAAAACAAACTTGGTTAACAATACATGTCTCAAGTTGCCATGGTTGAGTATCAGCGTATTATATGTTTTCGGACATCATACATTTTAAATGACCATATTTTTCGTGATTTCACGTGATTGAACAAAGTTTCCAGCTTCTAAAAAACAATTCACCTGAACATACCCGAGCATCACCATGGTTACCACCCAAACTGGGTCATGCACGACTCTCGTGCCAAGCGACCTACAGGAAAACACACTAAATAAGTGATACAATCCTGATATGTTAATCAAACAAAATGTATGATATCAGGAATAACATGCGGCATGTGTATTCACATATGTCATCTTTCCATAAACGACCGCATAGTTGTAAAGGACAAGAAATACAGAGTACAACTTATAACATTTACACATCACTATCTCCAGCCAATTGATTCAATGAGACAGGACACAATCACTATCTCCCATGAACAAAAGGGTGCACCTGCTCGGCATCTCTCTTAACACATTTTTTAAGCAATAAATCATGACCATGGGATTGAAACATGCTAAGACGAGAAGAGGAACGATCCAGGATTTCCACAAAAGGGATCTTTGAACCAGTACCCGTCAACACATGTACTAGACAGGTGAGCGGAATAAAGGAACGGGATACCATTAAACAATGATGACTAAAGTCTCTACATAATAAATGCAGGAATGAAAATACCAAGATTTTATTCTGTATATACACAAAGCATAGAAAAACAAACAGGATTGGGAATATGCCTTGATTATCTGTGCTGCTGTGCCAGGACTTAGGGACCAAATTGACATGTCACAGAGGTAGTGGGAAGCGAAGACCGTAACCGACTTCACAGAAAAAACAGCCTTCCATAATGGTGGCTATGTAAAACCAAGATGGACACGACTGCTCAGGTCTCATGAGGATTGGACGCAACAGGCAAAGGCAATCAAGCAAAAGTGTAAGCCCAGAATTAGAGTGTGGTATGGGAAACTTTGGTTAAAGCGGCAGTTTAGAGCAGGCATGAAGAGTCTCTTCAGTGAGCGCCGAAGTGGTCTTGCAGCCGCCAAGAGCGCTCGCACCAGACATAAGGAGAGATTTTCAAGGTCATCATGGATGCCAGCGACAGAATCGTAAACAGGCGATCTGGAAGCTGGTTCTTTGCGATGAAATTCCAGTGAAGACAAAGGCACAGAAAAACCTTCCCGTTCTCTGACTGTTAACATTTAGAGCATGGATCTTGCTAACACAGACAGCAGTCAGAAGGGCCAGTAAAAAATGATCGTGAAAGTGATTATTCTGAGCTCTTTGTCAGCAAGCATTCATAGTCAGCCAATGTGAAATGATGAAGGGTGACGTTAAGATCCCAGGTGGAAGGCCCGAAACAGGATGACTGGTCCGCCAACTTGTAGGACCGAATGAGAGAGTAGCAATGAACCGAAATTGACGCAGCTAGATAAGTGGCCCAAGCAGATCCCTTAAGTTTCCACATAGGAGTGGAGATGTCACAAGCACAAGAATGGGCTTTGACAGCCTTCCACTTATGGTCATAGAGGGTCTTAGTAAAAGAACATCGAGCCTCTGAAATGGTCTAAGCTACCTGCTTGGAATAGACAAGGGGCCTCTGTATATGCGCCAAATGCAAAGATGGAGCATTTGGAGAGATGGGTGGAGTGAGGCTGCAAGACAAGGTCGTCTTGTGGAGGAAGACGGTGGAACCTTCTGTCAGCGAGCTGTACCAATGTGGGAAACCAATTCTGAGTTTGCTAAAAGGGAGCGATCTAAAACAGTGTGAGGAGACTGGTGGCAGCTACTTTCTGAGGTTGAACACCGGTTGGGGGAAAGGCACAGGTGTTGAGGCCTTCCCAGAGATCATCAGTTCATCTTGGTCCCAAGCTGGAGGATCGGGGACGGGAGGGACAAACCGTGATAGCTGAGTGTTGAACCTTGTAGTGAACAGATCAACTTCTAGGAGCGGATAGAGTTGGCAGATCCACCTTAAGATCAACGGATAGAGATGTTATTCCGCTGGTGATGGCTGGTCGGATCAGGATAGGGAGTAGGTTATCACAATGGAGACCCCTGAAATGTGCCTCACTCGAACCTGAATGTTGAGGGAGTTGATCAACCGGCAGAAGTCGAGTGAGAGTGGCAGGAGTGAAATCGACTTGTGGAAGCCATCTTATTGATGTACCAAACGACTGAGATGTTGTCCGACTGGATCATGAGGTGAAATGAATGAAGAAGCTCAGGCCAAAGGGAGATTGCCAGGATTACTGCCTTGAACTCGAGGTTGTTGATGTGAAGTCGCTTTTCTTCGCCTACTGGTGAGGGTACAGCAGGAATGGCTGGAGGCAGAAGTTCCCAGTTGAACTGAATTTGAAGCAAGTCACTTGGCAGACTCGCTGCTGAGAATGATACAGTGCATCCTGAGGACTTTGACCCATGTTGTTCCTGGCGGCCACATCCATGTCCACGAAAGGAAGAGGATCTACCACTGTTGGGATCATGGAGGTCATGTTGAGCAGGAACGAATGTAGGAAGTCGACGATCCTTCTTTTTCTGGTCTTCAAGATGTTGACACTGCAGGCGTAGGAGATCGACTGTCACTCGAAGTGGAGGATCAGACAAAGTCTACTGCAGATGGAGGGACGTGATCTGAAGAGGAGTGATCAGCAGTATCTCCAGTAGTACTTGTGGAAGTAGTTGACGACAAACGACTAATTGTGGACTTCCTGGGAGCAGGCGAGGCAAAGATTATATTATTTATACTCTCTGGATCCTTCGACTTGGAACGCCTGTCCATCTCTCGACGCTGACATTTGTGCAGGTGAGATGCTGAAGGATTCATCAGAACGATGAATGCAAAGCAGACATCGTGAAGAAGAGCTGCAGCGACCCTGGTGGTCAAACCAGTTGTCATGTGGGTTGGAGGGTGAAAAGGTATGTCTGCAAACCAAACAAGCCATGCGATGTATTTCTTGGTAGTCCATGATCTCTTATTTGCGTAGAAAACATGTGGTTGCAGGGTACTGTTACCACAAAAAAACAACCAAACTGTATTCTCTAACTCACAAGCATGTCACCGTCTGGCTATTAGAGAGAGAATGAGATAGATGGAGTGGTCAATTGTTCAGTGGGTGTAGGTTGCTTGGGGGCGAGAGTGATGCATGACCAAGTTTGTCAGGGTGGTGACCATGGTGATGCTGGGGTTTGTTCTAGTGAATTGCTTTTAAGAAGCTGGAAACTTTGTTCAAGCACATTTCCACATAGGATCAAAAGAGGTGACTTAAGGTGAAATGAGGCTTAACTTTGCGTCCAAAATTATTGCATTTACATAGCGACGTAGGATCAAAAGAAAAGAAGAAAGAAGAAATGAATTATGTGAGAGAGGATAAATGTAAAATAATTTATGTGACTCCTTAAGGATGTTAATAAAATGTACAAGATCTAAAGATATTAACACATATTTAAATAATCTCCAGTCATGATAGAACAATGTTTTATCGTGAAATAAACCACGTTTCGTTCTTCATTGTTCTTTGCGATCTATCGCGTAGCTATCCTATATTTGAGTATAATCACATAAGAGTTATTCAAACTGTACCTCGATGACCCCATACTTTGGTGTGTGCACACTAATCATTGCATCACAGTCTACATAGAAGGAGATCTTGTAGTTGGCATTGGTTTCAACTCCCAACCCCTTCATCTTTGTCTCGATCCATTTCATACCTGTGGCAGCTGAAACACACAGAGACATTGTCAAAACAACATAACAACACAGATACATTGTCAAAACAACATAACACACAGAGACATTGTCAAAACAACATAGCAACACAGAGACATTGTCAAAACAACATAACAACACACAGACACATTGTCAAAACAACATAACAACACAGAGACATTGTCAAAACAACATAACAACACAGAGACATTGTCAAAACAACATAACAACACAGAGACATTGTCAAAACAACATAACAACACACAGAGACATTGACTATAAACATTGTGTTTCAGATTTGTAGGCTTAAATGGGTATTTGATGCCCAAAATGTTTGCGTTTGAAACCCCTGGCTAATGGAGAACTTTCCTGCCATTCAATACTCAAACATTTGAATACTCAAGTTATGTCATGGTGGCCTGTAGTGAGTGAGTGAGTGAGTGAGTGAGTGAGTTGGGTTTAACGCCGCTTTCACCAGTATTCTAGTTATATTGTGGCGTGTCAGCTTACTGTGGGAGGAAAGCCCAAAGTGATGCAGGTCTCAGACGTTTACCACTTCTGTGAAACCCACGAGCACGGGTATGGTGCTGACAAACCTAGAAACATAATTGGGGCGAACCCGGATTCGAACCCACAATCATATGTTTCTGGCGTACCCAAGGGACACAACACTGCACAGCGAATTGCAGCGCCTTAGACGATTTGGCCACCCGTGCCCCCATGGTGGCCTGTAAATATGGGTACATAATCAAATCTGGATCAGACAAACCAATGGTTGGTAATATGAGTAATGACCCACACCTCTGTGATACAATGACGCACAATCAGCCTGGTCACTGAGCCTGACCATGTGATCCATTTTAGTCTTCTATTACAAGCATAGGTTGCTGGGGATCTATTCAAACTAGGAACACCCACACGTCATGTGGGGTGAGTGAGTGAGTGAGTTGGGTTTAATGCTGATTTTAACAGTATTTCAGTCATATCATGGTATGTCAATAAAAGAGTGAATGACTTGGGTTTAACACTATATCAGTTATGTCATGGCGTCAGCCTAATGTGGGAAAGCCTGAAGTGATGCAGGTCTCAGACATTTACCACTTTGGTAAAACCCATGAGCACAGGTATGGTGCTGACAAACCCAGAAACATAATTAGGGTAAACTAGGATTTGAACCCACAATCAGAAGTTTCTGGCATGTCCAAGGGATGCAACTCTGCACGGCGAATTAAGACGACCGGGCCACCCATACCCCTACATGTTATACATAGAATGATGACAGTAGTATGAAGCATAATGCAAGGAACATTAACATAAACTCACACCAAATGACGATGTCATAGTCCTCATATGCTGTGGTCAGAAACTCGTGAAGGTGTGGCCTCATCAACTCCAGGGCATTTTCGGCCACTGACCTGTGATCTGCAATTAGGCAATAAACACATGTCATCTTCATTCAGTTTATTTTGCGAATATATCATCATAAACTAAATATATTAATTAAATTCATGACAGGTCCAATGGATTTCTTCTTTCCTCGAGATTCAGACAAGCTACTGCTGAGTGAGTGAGAAAATGTTGTGTAAAGTTGTAGTCTGATTGTTTTTTAATGCTGCACTTAGCAATATCCCAGTTATATGTGGGGAGCTTGTCAATATCTGAGTGAGCCGGATAATCCAGTGATCAATATTGTGAACAATCCACGCTGTTGGGATACAATGACATGCAATCGACCAAGTCACCAAGCCTGACCACCTAATCCATTGGGTCACCTTTTATGACCAACATAGTTTGTTGAGGACCTACCCTAACCCAGAGTCCTCCCACGGTAGGTTGTAGTCAGTAATTAAGGTCATAGTAAGTCATCCAAATAATAGTCCGTCCAAAACTGTGATTGAGTACTGCCTGAGCAATGATCCACAGTCATGGTATGATGCAACATAAATATCAACATCTACCAAACAGTGTATAATCTCCATATAGCATCCATCTACCTAACAATGTATAATGTCCATATAGCACCTACCAAACATTGTTTAATCTTCATACAGCACCTACCAAACACTGAATAATCTACATATAGCACCTACCAAACAGTTTATAATCTACATATTGCACCTTTCAAACATTGTCTAATCTACATATGGCACCTACCAAACAATGTATAATCTATATCCAGCACCAACAGTTTCTTGCCAGGTCGAGGTTCATTGAGGATGTTGATCTTGTAATCTTTCACTCGTCTTGCCACTTTTTCCAGATATTCTTCTCTGAAGTAAAATGAAGAGAAATTAAGCTGGGCATGTAGAAATATTCCATCTGAGAGATGTTATTGTAGATTTTCACACAGGAAAAAGAATATTAGTAAAATCTAAATATTTTTTACATTTGTATACTTATCCTGCATTACTCCTTAATGCATTCACTGCTTACCTTGCGACAAAAAAACTGGGACAGCGTACCGGCGATGGTCCTTGGGTAAAGGCTCTGTTCCGCAATCCCACTTTTACACCCCGCCGTCGCTGTCCCTGTGACCTCACGTGACCAAAGGTCAACTCTTCACATCACAGCCTGTCGCCTGAGCTTAAAAAACATACTTTTGAGGTTTCTGAAGCCAAAGTGGGGAGGCAAGTCTGCGACAGGTGGGCCTTAAACGTAGTAATGCAGGATAAGTATACAAAGTAAAAAATATTTAGATTTTACTAAATTTTTTACTTATCCTGCCTTACTCCTTAATGCATCTGTATCGGACAGTTTGGAGGTGGGAAATCCTCACAATACAGAAACCTCAATAATTCACACCCTGAAAACATGACACAGATTGGTCAGTAAACCGTTAAGCGGAAAAGTTGAGAGAAAACGCAAATAAGGTAGGGTATCGCAAACTTCGAAGTACCACGTTCAGATCCCACGCAGGTGGGCGGAACTTGGTCTTCTGATCCTCAAGCCTCAATGAGCGTAATAAGGCCTGTAGTTCCGGGATCTTAGTAATCTTACGATTATCCGGAACGGCCAACACTGAGTTAAGTGCAACCAAGTACGTGGTAATGGTGCTACCTTTCAAGTGTCTATGGGTACGCAAATGTAGGAGGTATTCAGCTAAAAACTGAGGTGATGCAGTAGTAGGATCTTGACCTTTTGCATTGCAAAAAGTTTCAAAAGATCCCCACTTGTCATCGTAAAGGCCTCTAGTAGAGGGACGATGAGCTAAGGTTATAGCTTTTCCTGCCCGAGCCGAATAGCCTTTTGCACTTAATGCCTTTTTAAGACGAACCAACCATGCAGACGAAATCTGTCTGGTGTTGGATGAGGCAATTTGCTGTGAGGGTGGATAAGTAGGTTGGACTGTGGGAGGGGTAGTGGATCGTTTCCTGCTAGCTTTCTGAGCTCGACGAACCACCCTCTGGCTGGCCACCAGGGCGCGACCAAAGTCAGAGCAAGTATTCTTGTCTCTTGGATCTTTTGTATTACCCTGGGAAGTAGAACTGGTGGCGGAAATGCATACGCTTTTAGTCCTTCCCAAGGAATACTGAATGCGTCCACCGCCCAAGCCTTCGGATCTGGTAAGGGGGAGACATATGTCAAGAGTTGGTGGTTTTGGCAAGTTGCAAACAGGTCGATGTTTGGTTGTCCGAACTTCTGAAGCAATAATTGGAATGCTTCTGTGTGAAGTTTCCACTCGGTGGGTGCTACCCTGTCTGGGCGTGAGAGAGCATCGGCCAGAATGTTTCGACATCTGGGGATGTGCTGAACTATGAACTGTAGTTGCAGCCGATCCACTAGATGGAAAAACCTGAATGTCTGTTGAAGTAGCGAGTGGGAGTGTGTTGTTCCCTGATTGCACAGGCACCACACCACAGTGCTGTTGTCTGTGGATATGGAGAGTTGGGTTGATTGTAGTTGATTCTGCCAATGGAATATGGCTAGAATTACGGCTTCCAACTCCAGATTGTTTATGTGCCATTTCCGATGAGCGCTTGACCATAGCCCTGAGACTGTCTGGTCTTGTAGGTGAGCACCCCACCCCTGAAGGGAAGCGTCTACGAATAGGTGTAGATTCGGGGACAACCCTGATAAAGAGATTCCTCCTAAGACATTCGACTCTATCGTCCACCAACGGAGGTAAGGTCTCAAATGGATCCTGACTCCTGATGTAGGGATTCAGGAATTGTTGTATTGGGCATAACTGTAATCGGCCTGTTGGTTAGGTCCTGGGCTGAGGTGAGTAGCCCTAGCAACACTTGCCATTGGTGAAGTGTGCGTGGTTGACAAAGAGCAGGTGACAGGAGGCGTAAAATCTTGTGCCATCTGTCCCTGGGGACCGACAGGAGGTTCTGATCTGTTTGAAATAGTCCTCCTATGAACTGGAGTCGAAATGATGGAGTTAACTCCGATTTTGCCTCGTAGACTATCCAACCCAGTTGATAAAGTAGCCTTCTGGTGAATTCCCGGTGGCATACTAACGTCGGTGTGTGTTGATGACACAGGAGACAGTCGTCTATGTACGACTCGAACCAAATGTTCCTCAGGTGTAGAAACGCAGTTATGGGCTTCATTATTCGTGTAAATAGCCACGGGGCCACTGAAATGCCAAATGGGAATACTGCCCACTGGTAGTGGACCCCATTGAACTGGAACCTGAGGAATCTGCGATCGTTGGGATGGATCGGTATGTGCAGATATGCATCCTGTAGATCGATACTGATCAAGGAATCGAACACTTTTATGCTGGTTCTGAGTAGTCTCAATGTAATGAGGCGAGAATAGGGTGGACGCTTCAGATAATGCTCGTTGAAAACAGAGAGATTGTGTATCATTCTCATCTTGTCTGAGCCCTTCTTGGGTACCAGGAAGATGTGAGAATAAAACCCCGGAGTTAGCACTTGGGTGCGTATAATCTCCACGGCTCTTTCTCCAATAGTAAGTCTATGTTGGCCTTTAAAAGGATATGTTGCTTCCTTGGATAATTCCCCGGAATGGGAGCCGTGGTCAACGGAGGAAAAACCTCTATGTCCAGTTGGTAACCGTGGCGTAGAATGTTGAGAACATAATCCTCCAAGAGGATGCTCCAGTTCTTCCAAAAGCGACTCAGTCTCCCACCTACAGGGGTATCGACAATTGGGGTGACTGGGGGTAGGAGATCCCAGTCGTGACTGTCCAACATTTCAATGTTTGCCCCTCCTATCACCTCCCTTACTGTGGTCAGGATTGATAAGAACCCTGGGGTTTGCCTATGCCACGAAAGGAATCTTGCACCTGTCCTTCCTTAAGAGACTCACGTCTAGGCCTGTAGTTGCCTGACTTGCCTGATCGCTGGGAAAAATTCTGAGAAACATGCTCCAAAGCCTTGAGTCTGTTTCATCCCTAGCGTGACTGGAAACCTTGGCATGTGTGTCTGAAATCTGTTCGTTGAACAGAGATGAGGAAGACCAAGGTTGACGTAGCAATCTGCGCTTAAACTCTGAGTCCCAAGTAGATAAGGCTAAATAACCCAATCTCCGAGTGACAGTTATTTCTGTCAATGCAGCTTTAAGATGATTCCTCATATGGTCAATCTGATGCTGTTGAAAATCAACTATAGTTTGGGGGTGATCTAGTCGGTTAGGATTATCCTCTGACAGATCCTGCTCTACCGCCCGAGTAGACGATGCTAATGCTGATAAAGGTTTTAATACCCTTCAAATTTCTGTTTCAATAAACGCAACTCTGGTATCCTGAACCTTAAGAGTGGTAGGCCTTGTCGAGCCTGTCATTCTCTGTATATCCTCATCCAAACTATGTGCCTGGTTTGCTGCCTCAAAGCCATGAATAGGAAATTCATCTTTCCTAAACCTGGGAGGCCTGAATGACGGCGTAAGTGTTAGCCTGGAGAAGTCCTCATCCAAAGATCTAATCATATCTGACATCATAGGGTCAATCGGAATCGACGTAGGATGTGTCCAAAAAGTATCTTTTTTATCTACCCCACTACCTGGAGAAGGTACTGAAATGAGGCGGTCAGCTACCCAATCAGGTACTTGAGCCAGGCTAAGGTGAGTATTCCATTCAGTCGCGGAATCTCCCTCCTCACCATTAGAACAATCTGATGAATCAGAACGATGTTGATGTGAATGTCTTGATGGTGAACGACTTCTACTCTGATGTGCAGTATAACCTCTGACCGAGGGCTTAGATGAACTGCCTGGTGACAAGGAATCATAAGTTGATGTCCAAGTACGAGCAGGTGTACTGGTACTACTAAACGAAGAATGTACTGTATTATGACTCACAATAGGAGTGTTATATACATTAGTCACTGGAGTAGGTGGTAAAATATGTGCCGTAGATGTAGTTGATGCAGGTGTCTGATACATAGGCATAGGCGTAGGCGCAGGATACAATTGTGTCATAGACTGCTGCCACATTGATTGTAGAAAATTTTGCATCCAATTAGTGTTAGGAATTGGCATAGGCGCCTGCATCTCCTGCGCTGGATACGTTGGTACAGCGCTAAGCTGATCGTGCGCTGCTTGCGTAATATCGTACGCTGATAGCCCTGGGGCTGATGTCATTGTAGATGCGCTTGGGTAGTAGGCCTTGGCTGCGCTCGGCGCAGGCATATGAGACGCAATGCTCAATGAAGTAGACTTGAGTCTAGCTTAGCTTGGCTTGGCGCTACCCCAATTCCAAATGGCGGGGAACAGATAGCACGTGGCGGGAAAAAAAAGACAGTCTTTTTTTCCGCCTCAAAACATCAAATACAACTTCACAACATGTTGAAAGTAATATGAAAAGAATACATCACCGATCGCAGAAGAATTTAGAATGGTAGACGAATTGGAAGGTCTAAATAAATCCAAAAATGAGGGCTCCGCTGGAAACGTCCTAGCTGTGTCGCGACAGGCAGTGATGTGAAGAGTTGACCTTTGGTCACGTGAGGTCACAGGGACAGCGACGGCGGGGTGTAAAAGTGGGATTGCGGAACAGAGCCTTCACCCAAGGACCATCGCCGGTACGCTGTCCCAGTTTTTTTGTCGCAAGGTAAGCAGTGAATACATTAAGGAGTAATGCAGGATAAGTAAAACATATTAAGAATTATAATTTATGTTCAATCCAAATTAACTTCTTAATTAGAATACTCTGCAAACAAGCATTGATTACAACACTTCCCCGTTGCTCTTCATTGCTAGTGTCAGCCATGTTTTGCGTGTTTTGGCAACAGTAATGCAGAATTTAACAGATATGACTGAATGTGTTTGATTGCCGATGCTGTCGGTTCAAAAAGCGGCGTGTGACGATTCCAATGAGGACCGCTGTTACAATGAAAGTTACTGCATTTATATCACATTTGAAACTATTCCTTCACACTTGGTAGCTATACACCTAATAATAACCATGATAAAACTACTACTTTATCATGGTTTTTTTAATTCAAGACTTGAATATCCCACAGACATGATGACAGAACTACTCTTAAATTTTAGTGCTATTCTAAACTCATTCATAAACACCTGTTTTCAATGGCAATTTCTTCTTCTTCAATATCGAAATCATTCACAACTTCCGGCATATCAGCAGGTGGCTCAATGACCTTTGCCTGGAAAGAAATGAATGAACAAATATATGCTGTTTTTTCATGATTCATTGAGGGAGGAAATGGGGATTCCAGGCAGTGGAAACTGAAATAACTACTGGACAATCAGTTCAAGATGACATGGTGTTACAGGCCTGTGGCTACTTTAGACATTACCACTTCCGTGAAACCCTGTGATGGGTATGGAGCTGAAAGAGCAAAGATCATAATCAATGTCATCACTGATTCACAACCATGATCACAACATCCTGACGTGGCTAAGGGACTCAACACTATACAACTACAGTAGTTACATACAAAAACTAAGATGCATTTCCATCAATCACACTAAAATCAAATCTGTGACTCATATCAGGGTAGTAAGATAAATTTATTGTAGGCTTATCTATCATGGAATAGTTTGATGAACCCTCTGTTCCACAAAGAGACGTATTCCATGATGCATTAACCTACAACTTCTATACAACAAAAATAGCATGCAATCGAAGGAACATTTGTGTCGTGTGTGGATTGTCTTTTGTTCAGACTGAAATTTCGTGAACTGCCAAATCATTATAGAAAGTTGACATCTGATTGGCTCAAACACCAATGCATCCTATCAAAGTTCAGATAGCTAGACTGATTATGCCTATTTTTTCTGATATTGGCAAAAAGAGGTATCAAATCAGAGTATAAGGTTCCATGCTAATGAGGTAATTTTCCTAAAAGTAAAACAGCATAAAACATTCCAATTTATTTATTGATTTAAGTAAGATATACTACTCAAAACATGTACAGACTACCAGATGACATGTCATGACAGATTAACCATTGGAGTGATCATTAACCTTTTTGAGTAGTATACATCAGTGAATTCATATATTCAACATGGATTCTATCAAAATGTATCACAGCCAACAATGTGGGGAGACTCACCAGCTCTTCCTCCCTGGTGCCAACAAGCATGATCTTAGAATTTGGTTTCAACTTCAAAGATGCTAGAGACATTCCATCTTCCAGCTGGTTGCCTACAAAACAAGTTCCAATGTTTTATTCAGATGTTCAGAGGAAAGACCAAAGAAACATTCCTATCTTGAGCATTATTCATAAATCTCTTATCGTATTGCCAATAATCATGATAATAAATATGATTGACATTAATTACCTTTCTGATCATGTTACTGAAGGTTTTTGTATTCAACTAAAGCTAGAGGTCACACAAAAGAAAACATAAATATTGAAGACAAAATGATAAAAAAAACTAGCAAATTTAAGTAAGTCACCATCAGTGTTCGAAATTAAGGGGTGTCCTGGGGTCCTTCACGTCTTCCATGGCAACTGAATCTCGGGGCCCTCTAAATCTTTCACTTTGGGGTTAGGATTAGGGCCCCTTCATTTACATCATGTTCATGCTTAAGTCCGAACACTGAGAATATCGTTATTTTTGGGCTGACAACCAAACATAGTTAAAAAAAAGAAAATGAGAAATGATAACCATTACATCTTCAACATATTTCCCAAACAAATATTAAACTTAACATGCTTAGACCAAACAAAAAATATCTGTGTTTCAGGAAACATGACCCGTACAGACATGGGTCGGCAAGTATGTCTTTTTGTTGTTTATAAAATTATATAAATAACGTTTGAGACAAACTGCTTGTTCAGAACTGATGTTAGATGCAATGTTTCATAAACTTGTTGATCCAAATAGCTTGGGCAATGACAGTACAGTGTTGCACTTGCAGGGGCCTATCTGATTCATTCATCAAAAGTTTGTGTGTGGGCTTTTTCCAACCAATATATTCTGGAGTCAAGTATCCATTGTGTCAACCAGTAAGCAATGGTAAAACTTATCATACACATACACTCTTATAGTGTACCAGTTATGCCATGGAATAGTTCACTAACTAAATATGCTGAACTTTTGGTATTTTATGATCTAAAATATAAATAAAATAAATGTGTAAATACAAATAAATTTGTCAAGTGTGTTACATGTATTTTTTACCAGGTTTATTTGATGAAATATACCACTCAATATTTGATAGGGATATTCCGAGTATACAGGTGATAAATCTGACTAGTTGTGTGGAGCTGTCGTCCGAATAGAATGATCTTTGGGCTTGACCTTAAGCAATCAACTTTCTTGACAGCTGTTTCCAGCAGTGATAAAAACATTAGGATTGCAAGTGAAGAAACAATGTGATGGTCATGTTGGTTGGGTTACCAGAAACACATGTATAATATTTTATCTGGCCTTAGACCACCTTTCACATGTTTCTTGAAAGTATTTTGTACTTTGTCAACAATGGTATTACATGAAATAACCGATAAAGGCTGTTAAAGACATGACATATGGTGATTATTGGCATATGTATAAACTCAGTATGATGTGCAGATTGATAGCTTCTGGCAATATTAACATGATAAACTTGTGTAGAATTAATGAGAACACAGAAATAGAGTATGAAGTTATTCTACTTTGTTTAGCCATCACAATGTTACTTCAGTGCCTGGTAATATGATAACTTCTCATAATATTGACAGTGATTGATAAAATTCATAAATTTCCTAGGGTTTCAAATCAGTTAATTCTCAAGAACATTGACAGATTCTCATCAGATAATGATCAAAATGTTTGTTTCAAAATTGTTCAGGATACAGAAGAATGTCCTATAAAAACAAGAGAAAAAAACACAAATATGTCCTCATGTCAATTGTCTCCAGCAAAATCAATGTATACTCTGGAGACAGTGGGAACAAACAGAAGCATTTATTTGTTAGGATATTTTGTTTGAAATGAAAAAGCTAGATCTCTACCATGTCTACTACCATAAACTTGTTATTGATAAAAGGGTTTTTTATGCCTTTAAACCTTCTAACAACGATACACAATGAACTAGTGTCTACAAGGATCTAACGAGCACAATGAATGAAAATAGGCAAACGTGACCAGGTGTCACCAAATTCTAACCGCCAATGATTTAATAAAACAATACCTTTTACTTTGAGGCCAAGAAGTTTTTGTCTCTCGGGACATACTTGTGTTGCTTTATATATGGCATTTTTTAGGTCTGATACCGTGTCAGTATCAACAAGACCTGTTATTTTATGTTCTTCTCTTTGAAACTTTACAATCAAATCTCCCACTTCTGTCATGTTTACTAACTTTGTGCAGTGAAACTACATTCCTACTCACTAGTAAAACACATTTCCACTATTGTCATAAATGTTACTCTCCGATATTGTCATATACTTACACAATAATTTTAAGATATACTTAAACTATTTTTGGTATTTTACTTGTTATTTGGGAGTTATATGTTTAATAAAGAAATCCGAAATATATGTCAAGCACAATTTGTATCTATATATGTTATTAGTTTTTGAGAAACTACTACTGCAGGTGCACCGAGAAGTAAAGTTACTTCTAAAGGAGTCATATGAAATAAACATTTACGACTTAAATGGACGATTGGTTGGTGTAGACCTTTGTATAATATTTGATTTAGATTTAAAATATGATTATGACGGTCTTATTATTACTTATTGATTAATGCGAAGCTATGGATTAAGAGCTCACGTGACTTCCTCTAAGCAGCAATGGCGGCTGCTAGACGAAGGTGTTTCCCAGAAAATGTGACACGACGAGGAAAAGATGTCATATGAAACACGTATGCTACTCATACCCACATGCATTAATGAGAAGAATTTGAAGCTTTCTTTAAGTAAATGTAAGTGTCATCGATGTTATGAGTAGCAAATGGAGGTTCTGAGGAAACAGCGGTCGCGTCACTAACCCCCGCAAATGTCATATTTATGTTTCCTAATTTTGGTCTAGGTGATGTTTACTTATGCACTTGTAATTTACAATGGCGATTCTATAAAGTATGACACGTGATTGAGTGCACTTCATAACTGATAATATGCCATGATAATTATAGTTTTAAAATACTGTTTCAGTGATCATGGCAACTTTCTATGTGACTGACAAATCCTTTTTTTTTATCATTATTGTAGATAATTATTAGCACGGATAGCCTATCAGTGACTGCAAAAATTAAAGTCATCATACTGCAATATAAGTGTGTAATTAAATATGTTGTAGCACTCCGATGAAACAATGTGTTGCTTCTTGATGACTGTTTGCATCAAGCATGCTACTGATTTATGTACATCTGAGGGGCCACGGTTGGCCCAGTTGTCTAAGTCACCACAATTTGCGGTGCAGAGTTGCATCCCTTGGGCATGCCAGGAACCTATGATTGTGGGTTTGAATCCCGGTTTGCCCCGATTATGTTTTTATGTTTGTCAGCACCATGCCCATGCTTGTGGCTTTCACTAAAGTAGTAAACATCTGTGACCTGCTTCACTTCGTGCTTTCCTCCCACATTAAGCTGACATGCTGTGATATAACTGGAATACTGTTCAAAGCGCCATTAAACCCAACTCACTCACTCACTCACTCACTCACTCACTCACTCACTCACTCACTCACTCACTCACTCACTCACTCACTCACTCACTCACTCACTCACTCACTCACTCACTCACTCACTCACTCACTCTGTACATCTGATGATTTGGAGCATAACCAGAAACACATCTACCTTACAAAAGGTATGGATGACACTAATGTAGTAATCAAGGTTTAATATCGTGGTAGTAATGATACAGTTGTCAGCCATGCATGTATAAAATACATGTGCACGGCAGACAAATTGTATCATAATTATCATGTTAAACTCCATTCAAATATTTACTCACTCAGCTCTATCTACATATAGGCCTAATATATAGAGTTGAAAGTCTTGATTGTTTGTTAGAACATAAATTTGCACTCCTTTCATTAACATGATTAATGGATCATTCTTTTTCACTGATGTTAATTATCAGTTGACTCTCTGGTTTGTCTTCATGTCTGTTTTCATATAGCTTGTATATGGCATATATGATATTTCATCAGCATGTCATATGATGCTGAAAAAGACACATTCTTTATGATATGATACGTATCATGATACTTTGGAGACCTGATTTTGCTAGACCAGAGGAAAATAAAACACCAACACCAAAATGTTGGACAATTCATAGCCTATCTGATGCCCATATAACATTGCTGGAATATTGTTGAGTGCTGCGTTAAACAACAAACAAACATGAAAATTGAAACAGTATATGAAATGTTACATATTGAAAGAATTGAAGCATAATTAATAATCATGATGAGATAAATATCACTGTACACGTTTGATAGTTTCAACATCTGATTTGTCCTGACATAATTAATAATCATGATGAGATAAATATTACTGTGCACGTTTGATTCATTTCAGCATCGGATTTGTCCTGACAATCACCATGTGATAACTAATATCCCTGTCAGAATATGCAGTTACCGTATATCGCTGTCTATAAAGTGACCCCCACGTATAAGGCAACCCCTTCTGTACAAGCCTTTATAATCGATGCTAATTTATATGCCCCGTCTATTTTGAATAAAATTAATGAAATAAGTTACAAACATAAGTCCAGATATACAAAGAACACTTTTTATAGCCAGACAGTGTAATTACATGATTAGTTTGCGTACTTCAGTATGGATTTGTTGACATGGTATTTCCAGTGTTACATGCTCACAGTAATGTCTTTGTGTTAGGGGAAAAAACCATCAAAACTCTTCAACCCTGTGTATAAGACGACTCCCCTTGAAAGCCCCCTAAATTCTAGGTATGAAAAACTCACCTTATACACAGCTATATACGGTAACTTACAACATTCACAATATGGTCATTAGGTTGTTGATTTGCTTTTTTCAGCGGTGAATATTTCCTAACCATGGCCACCATTGAGAAGCTCATCAAGGCCTTTGAGGGCCTGAAAGTCTTCCAGCCTGGTGGCCTGGGCACCGAAGAAACAACTAAGTAAGTTTTATCATTAACACTGCTGGAAATTAATCTGGAAATCCAGTTACAAGACCGAGACACCTAAATTTGAAATGGGAACCAAACTGCTCCACAATCAGAGCTCATTAACAGGCAACCTATGTTTGACCTATGTTGACTATCGGACACTCACCTTGAAATGCTTGAAGAGATCACAATGTTTTTTCTTCACTAATTAGCATGATCAGCCTCAGACTTGTATGTACACATATAATTGATCTGTTTGTATAATGACACTTTTGATTATCTACTGTTGGGACATTTTAAGTAATGCTTGTTTGTATATAAATGATTAACTGTCGCTATCTTAATTTGGAAGGTTTGTGAATTTGAGTAATTTTGCCTGCAATGGCAGTGTCAGGATTTACAGGGTAGTATTATTAGTGTGTTATGTTATATTATATCTCTATATGCAACACTGACAACTTTAATATGTTGTATATTCCTTCACAGAAAAAAGGACCAACCTCCTAGCAAGAAAGACAAGATGGTCAACTGCAACATTGTAGCAGACTGTATATGTGCTCCTAACATGAGGTAAAACTGATATATAACCTCTTTTCAAACTATAACTTAATGTTTATAGACAACGTTTTAGTTAATGTTTTACAGTTAAATAACAATGATAACATGGCTGACAATAATGCATTTACTGGTTACTAAAGAGTTTCATGCAGCTGAGATTTTGTACATGAAAGAAACAGGTACCAACAGTCCTCAACATTCATGCTAGTCAACTTGCCCGATACTACCATCTTGTGGTGAGGACAAGTAGAAATCCAATGATTGTAGTTCTCTTTGACAAGTAGCATTTGATGGCTTAACTTCTGGACAGATCTCAATGCTTCAATTCTGCTACAAACTGGAACTAAATAAAACTGGCAGAAATGTATACATCGTAAACAACTTTGTCTCATTCAAGCAGGACTAGCTACATACTCCGAAAACTAGTGAAATAAGATTTATACTTGTCTTTTGGACTTGTTTTATGAAATAACAAATTTCTTAGGCTGCCATACCATGCTATATAATTTTTTTTATCATTCTTATTTATTTGAGACAATTTAAGTTATGAATTCTCAGAATGTATATCGTATGTATTCTTACAATGGGTATGTGTGTGTATGTATATATATAGACATTAAGTCAAGATGTTAACAAGCCTATTCCATGCATAATGTATGAGAAAAGTGAATGCTGTCAGTGACTGTTGCTGGTGTGTTCAGCATGATGACATGTTGTTTACTGTGCCAGGTCTATTGCGGACTTCCCCAAGTTCCTTGGCATTGCAATGGAAGCATTCCTAACTCTGTGTGACGATCAGGAGTCGGATATACGAATGGTGGCAGATGAGTGCTTAAATCGAACAATAAAGGTATGACGTTTTGAGGAGGATATATCTGTATGTTGCTAGGAACATATAATATAGTGATGTTTATTGCTTCAAAAATTCTTGTCATGAACTGGCACACTTCTAATACCCTGTTGGGAAGCCTGGATAGAATTGGTTCCAAGAAACTGATGCTTGTAAGAGGCGACTAAAATGGATCAGGTGGTCAAGTTGTATTTGTATCATTATACCCCATTGTTTGTCAGGTCCAGAATTGATTGGGGGCACAGGTGACCCAGTCGTCTAGGGCGCCGCGATTCACTGTGCAGAGTTGCGTCCCTTGGGCACGCCAGAAATCTATGATTGTGGGTTCGAATCCCGGTTCACCCCGATTATGTTTCTAGGTTTGTCAGCACCATAACCGTGCTCATGGGTTTCACCGAAGTGGTAAACGTCTGAGACCTGCATCACTTCGGGCTTTCCTCCCACATTAAGCTGACATGCTGCGATATAACTGGAATACTGTTAAAAGCAGCGCTAAACCCAATCACTCACTCACTCCAGACTTGATTATGTACAGGCCACTGTGATGAAGCTGGACTATTGCTCACTGCAGTGTAAAACTACATGAGGCAGAAGCTCTTTAATCTTGTTAATTATAATTTGATTGTTACCATAGTTACTATGCTGTCTCTCCTCCTTATCAAATGTTTATATAAGTATACACTTTTTAACATGCTATTGCTAAATAATTAAGCTGGTTAAAATCAACTGTTAAATAGACATGAAGAGAATGAGCCAAGATTGCTGACATAATAATTGCCATTATACCAGCCACCTGCAGATGAAAAATATGTTGTTTAATTCAAGTGGTTACAGTAATTACAATAAAAACAGTGATCATGTTAATACTGAATGTTTTATGTTTTTTTCTCCTAGCCTTAATACCGGAGGTTGAGGTGAACCAATTTTAAGTCAGAATAGTCATGATAGCCACTGAATTATGATAGTTTTATTTGCTTTCTTGAACACTGTCACTCCTTTCCAAGAGGGGTTGGTGCGGTAGCCTAGTGGTTAAAGTGTTCAATCATCACATCGAAGTCCCGGTTTCAATTCCCCACATGGGTACAATGTGTGAGGCCCATTTCTGGTGTCCCACACTGTGAATATTGCTAAAAGCAGTGTAAAATAATACTCACTCACTATCCAAGAGCTGTCCAATGAACGGCAGACAAATAATTACTGGTGGATGACCGTCTCTTAAACACTTTGTTTACAGATGGGTTTTCTTAAAAACAGGATGTGTGAAATTCGAAAAGAAGAAGAATTAAGCATTATTTCCGCATTTGTGAAATGTTTGTTGTGTTTTCAGACTCTGTTGGAAACAAACCTGGGTCGCCTGCAGGTGGAGCTGTACAAGGAAATTAAGAAGTGTGGCCCCTCGCGTAGTCTGAGGGGGGCACTGTGGAGGTTTGCGGACATGTGCCACTTAATCAGGCCCCAAAAGTGCAGGTACAGTCATGTTGTGGATCTTTTGGTGTTCACTGTCTCAGCTTTATCTTCAGTGGTTGTCTCATCCACTAACTTGTAGGCTGCCATCTGTTACTACTAACTGTGATATTACTGAAAACACCAGACATTTCCTGATGATTACGCAGGTTATCTTCTGAATATACCCCTTGCAGTGTATGTAAACAAACTGTTTAGCAGGATTGCTTTTCATGAACGTTTAATGTAGTATTTAGGAAAGACTATTCAAATAAATTGTTAACATTGTTAATAGGGTTCTTATGTAGTATTTAATATTTTTTGTTTGAAGAGCTAAAACTTTCTGAAGCATAAAAATGTTCTTATTTTTCTCACTTTAAATTTCCATGATCATGATCATACGATATAAGCTGACAAGGGAGGTAACTCCAAGGAAATGTGGAATATTTTGGGCAATTATGAGTTGTTAAAGTAAAACATTCATGTTATTTGTTTCATTTACAGACCCTACATCGTCAATTTACTTCCTTGTTTGGCACGCATCTGTCGCCGTGACGATGAAGAGGCAGTCCAGGAGACTTTATCTTCTTCCATGCAGAAAATATGTCCTGGCCTCATGGGCTTTGCGAATGATACAGAAGTTAAAGGTTTACTGAAAGCATTCCTACCAAACCTGAAATCTAACTCTGCCGTGTGTCGACGTACAGCGGCGAGCAGCCTGACTCTCATCTGCCAATACTCCCGTTGTCCAATCACCTTCTTCTCATATCTCATCACCATTCTCCTTGGTAAGTTACTGCTTATGTTACAGTAAAGGAACAGGTATCATATATACAAAGGCCAATCCCGGACGAAAAGTATCTGCCTGAAGGGCCTTGTTCTTTTTTTATTTCTTTCAGTTTTCATTCAGTGGTAATGTGACATCAAAAAACTAGTTTGTCTTTATATATTTTCTGAAAAAAGTTTGAAAATAAAATGTTCTAAGAGTTCTAAATTTTGAACTGTGGATTTTTAAAACTTATCCTCTTTCACAGTGTGCATTTCCCCTTCTTTCTCAATCCTTGCATGGAAATGATCCTTAAACATATTTCCAGATTAAAAAAACATTGCACCCCAACTCATACCAGCTGTCTCCATGGCTACCATCACCAACAATAGCCTGTACTATGGCTTGCTTCCTGCCTAATTGATCACATAATGTCTCAAGCTAGTCAGAACTATTGTTACAGTCGCTTGTGTATTTCATAGCTAGGTTTACAGGTGCTTGTGTATTTCATAGCTAGTGTCACAGGTGCTTGTGTATTTCAGAGCTAGTGTCACAGGTGCTTGTTTATTTCATGGTTAGTGTTACAGGTGCTTGTGTATTTCAGAACTAGTGTCACAGGTGCTTGTGTATTTCAGAGCTAGTGTCACATGTGCTTGTCAAGTTCAGAGCTAGTGTTACTGGTGCTTGTGTATTTCAGAGCTAGTGTAACAGGCGCTTGTGTAGTTCAGAGCTAGTGTTACAGGTGCTTGTGTATTTCATGGTTAGTGTTACAGGTGCTTGTGTATTTCAGAGCTAGTGTCACAGGTGCTTGTGTATTTCAGAGCAAGTGTCACAGGTGCTTGTGTATTTCAGAGCAAGTGTCACAGGTGCTTGTGTATTTCAGAGCTAGTGTCACAGGTGCTTGTGTATTTCATGGTTAGTGTTACAGGTGCTTGTGTATTTCAGAGCAAGTGTCACAGGTGCTTGTGTATTTCAGAGCTAGTGTCACAGGTGCTTGTGTATTTCATGGTTAGTGTTACAGGTGCTTGTGTATTTCAGAGCTAGTGTCACAGGTGCTTGTGTATTTCAGAGCAAGTGTCACAGGTGCTTGTGTATTTCAGAGCAAGTGTCACAGGTGCTTGTGTATTTCAGAGCTAGTGTTGCCAGTGGACGTGGAGCATGATGTGTACACACTGCTGGGTGTGATCTTGTGTATGCGGACCATCATCCCCCAACTGGTACAGTCGGATACACGGGACCAGGGACTCAAGGGCAGCTTCGGGGTCATCCAGAAGGAGAAGGAGGAGGGGGTCAACCATGATCAGATTCTCAAGGTCACATGAATATTACTATTAATCAGTTAAAACATCACCTTTTTAATAGAAATAGATATGTCATATGATAGTTACATGATGTTTGAACTCTGCACATACAGTAAACTACGGTTATAAAGAACTCAAAGGGACCACCCATTTTAGTTCGTAATAACCTTAGTTCATTATAAGCATATATACAGCATACATGCAACACATGGCCGGCGCTAACAAGTAAGTTCGTTATATCGGTCAGTTCGTTATAAGCGTGTTCGTTATAACCGTAGTTTACTGTATTACCAAGGAAGTGATTAGGCTGTCTGTAATAAACCACATGTTCATGCTGAAAGTCATTTCAGATTAATTAGGTTAATTTAAACAAGTAAAATGAGTATTGAGTATTAATTATCATTATTTTTTATCTGAGATATTATGACCATAGTGCTTGATGATAGGTAAAGTAGATCCCAAGTACCTGCTAGAATGGGCAGTGGGTGTCATCACATGCCTGATGTGTGCATGCTTAGAATTGCATGTACTTGCATTGGTGACCATCAGTCTGATTATGTGTCATGGATCTCTGCTCCCACTTGGTCCTCAGTGTGTCGTAAGACCTGACTTTAAGCATTGGGTGGTCAGTTAGTGACTTGGTGTTGCATGTCTTTGTGACCTGACGGCATGGATCATTGCTCATGATATTAATCACTGGTTTATCCGATCCAGACTGGATTATGTTCAGACCTAAGTCATATAGCTGGAATTGTGCTGAGTACAGCGTTATACAACACAAACAAAACATTTCTGTAATAGTAATCATTATGGCTATAAATTCTCTTCACATGCTCACATTTTTCGGGATTTTTTTCTGGTAATGTGTATTAGTTATAATGTGGCAATTGAGGAAACTGTATTTCTGTTTTGCTTATAGATGTTCCAGCTACTACTGTTCTACACAAACCACCCTGACCACAACGTTGTGACGGCGGCGCTGGAGGCAATGCAGCAACTTCTGCGCACCCCGCCGCCCCAGCTCCGCCCTCTTCTGTTGTCATCAGGCAGCATCCAGAGAACCCTGATCTACCAGAAGGACTTTGAGGAGAGGGAGCGCTTCAGGGTAGAAAGTGAGTGTTTCGTTTTCATCATTTCTGATGTAGCCGAGCACTGATTTTCAATTTGTGTTGCATTGTAATGAATACAGTGGTCAACTGATGACACTATGCTGGGTTCACTCAAGGAATTTTCTAACATGGGCCTTTTATATGAAAATGTCAAATCTTCCATAGGTACGCCCATACAACACAATGTTAAATGCCGCAATTGTATTTACAAATATGGGCCTTTTTTCAACTTTAAGAGACTAAAAGCTCACTAAAAGCACCCTGACTATGTTATAGTACTGTAGGGAAGTTTTACATAGGACTGACACAAGGATGAAGTATAGGTCTGGAGTTTATGGTTTGGCTTTAGAAACTGGAGCTAGTCAAAGAAGCCCAACCAAAATTTAGGTCAAGGTATCCAAGGGTCTGGGCTCGTCACACTGATGGCCCTCACTCACTCCATTGTTCTATTAGCAATTACAGAAAGTTAATGGCATTCCCACATATATAGTCATCAAGACTGGTTATCAAAATGAATTGATTTCTGTCTGTATTTTTCTTGTATTTACAGAAGCTACTGTTAAATAACTCTTTGACATTGCTAGACATGTTGAATCCTAATGTTGGTTGTTAGTTGTAAGTGACCAATAAAAACTTTAATTCTTGCTGTGATGAAAAATTCTTTACGTTTCCCAGGTTCAGCGGAGCTGCCAACTATCTCAGACGACACTGGTCTGGAAGAGGAAGAAGGTTCTGATGTGACAGGGCAGACAGCATCATCATCTGACACATCTGCTTTTGTATCCGACCTTGACCCTGGATCAGTTGAAGGTCTTAATATGCGGAGGTTGTCCGCGGACTCAAGACGAGAGGGCAAATCTGAATCCGATCTGACAGACTTGATGGCGGGGACAGACGCAACTGTGGTTGTGACATCAGACAATGATTATTCCAATGTAGAAATAGGAGATTTGAATGAAGAAAAGTCTGAACGTTCCACATTATCACATAGCAGTAGTGTTGAAACTCTTCTTAGCATCAAGAGTCTTAGCCCTAAACGGCGACCATCTTTGAGGAAAGGCGTGAGTCAGGACTTGAATGGAAACCCAGAGTATGACCTCTTGGGGGGCTCAGATACACCGGAGAGGTCGTCTCCCCTTCCCAGTCCTGTACCCCCAGGAATGAGAGAGGATGCGGGCAATGACATCGGTTCACTGTTAGACGAGGAGCTGCCACTGCTGTACTGTGTTCGGTTATTGTGTCGGGGGTTCCTGTTGAATGGAAGTGAGGGGGGCCTTCTCCCAGATAAAGTTGCCCGAGTGAGCCTCAAGTCACTGGCTCTCAGCTGTGTGGCTTCAGCGTTATCTCTCTGCCCAAAGATCTTCCTCTACAAGCTGTTTCCCCAGGACCTGGAGAGTGAGTGTTAATGATGGCATCGTGCATAGCCTCCTGGTATACAAGTTGATCAGAAAGTGCTTAGCATGTTTGTCCTTCTGTCCCCAATCACTAGTCTTCAGAGCATAACACACCAACAGATGATTTCATTTCAAAATGCCAAGCATGCATGCTCATTATGATGAAGTAGAGCACTTTAAATTTGTTTTATAATGTGTTCCATATTCTTCAAAAATCTTTGCATAGAGCTTGCATGATTGGAGCTTGGTTTTACACGACGCACAAATGTGTGTCAATTACTCACAAATGTAGAGAATGGACGCAGAAAAGAAATATGCTGCGTCCCAGGGGAGGCACAATAGTACACATTATACCTACAGCGCATCATTAGCAGTTATGTGTATCTGTTATTTCATCCATCATTCATGACCACTGTCCCTTGATAGTTGATTGATTCCAGGCTCTTAAGTAATTATCTAGACATGAAGTACACCACACCATTTCATTACTTTACAGGACCCTTATATTGCCTGTTAGGACCCTTAAAAATAATTATTAGGGGGCTCCCCTGGACCCCTACTTTAGTAAGTTCAGGTAAAGCCCTGTTGGAGTGATCTCAATAGGACTTATAGTTTGACTGCTATAATTCTAAGCTGATAATATTTGATTATTTGTTGATTCATGCTGCAGTTAATATGTGACAACTGACCAATGTTGTGCAGGTGGTAATCAACACATCCGGGAGGTAGTCCTGTATGCCAGTCACCCTGACCCCCAGCTCAAGGGCACTACGGCCATGGTGATTGGAAGCCTCATCAAGGCCGTCCTCACAGAAGGGAGAGGGGACTTCAAGAAGTGGCTCAAGAAACATTCCCCAGCTGACATAGGTCAGTACTGCAATGACTGTAGCCTCACACTCCCAGTACTGTTTCTCCTGGGTAGTCCAAGACATTACTGTTTGTTCGTTCATTTTGTTTTACACAACAGTCATGCATGGACAAAATTGCTTCATCAGCAAGTGAAATAGTTAGGGTTTCTCTTGACTCTTTCTCCATTCTATATGAAAAGCATGTTTAAGAAAAAATCACTTAAAATCTTAGCTAACCTTGATCAATTGGTTAACAAAGAGTATTCATTACACACTTTGGCCGGGAATATTCATGACAAGTAGAGATCTTAGATTTTTCATCGCTACAAAGTATCTGTCTCTTACATGATTGGGGGACACGGTTGGCACAACCGTCTAAGGCACCGCAGGTGTGTCAGAACTGTACCTGTGCTCGTGGGTTTCACCAAAGTGGTCAACGTCTGAGACCTGCAGCACTTCAGGCTTTCCTCGCCATATAACTGGAATAATGTTCAAAGCGGTGTCAAAACCAACTTACTTACTCACTTATATGATTGTGAAGTTTTGTACTTTATAGATCTTTGTTGTATATTTAGTATTATATCTACAAGCTGCATCTGTTAGCACCTGACCCTTGAAGATTCTGGGGTAGAATAGGTCTTCAGCAACCAAAGCTTGCCGTAAAAGGCGACTGCGTGTCATAAGAGGCGACTAACAGGATCGGGTAGTCAGGCTCGCTGACTTGGTTGATACATACATGTCATCGATCCCAATTGCGTGGATCGATGCTCATGATATTAATCACTGGATTGCCTGATCTAGGCTCGATTATTTACAGACCGCCGTCATATAGCTAGAATATTGCTGAGTACGGCGTTAAACAACAACTGTTAGCACCTTCATCATGTTAATGTGTAAAAATACTTCCCTCATGGGTAATACTGTAATGTCATTGTAAGTCAGTTTGGCAGCTATATAATGACAACTTGATACTTATCGTCTGGGTCACTGGTACAGTGACAAGCAATCGACCAAATCACCAAGTCTGTTCACCCAATCCATTCAGCGTTAGAAATTGGCACTAGTCATATAGTCCTTGCCAAACTGCCCAATAGTTAAGGAATCATAAGGAATAGTAGAAATCATGCTTTAACCACTAGGCTACCCGATCGCCCTGCCATGTTTAAGGGTTTTGCTATGTGTTATCATTATAAGGACTAGTGGACTAAAGATGTTAGTTTTACTGCTGCTAGTTCTACTGACTTATTACCAGCAATAGGATGCTGGAAACCTATTGAAGTCTGGGTCCACACAGGATCCTTTGTATGTATGAGAGGAGACGAGACGGGATATGGTGGCCAATATAGCTGCCGAGTATCGGTTACTGAGTAGAGCTGTGTGACCTCGTAGTCTCATAGTCTCGTAGTCTCGTAGTCTGTGATCACACTTTGTTGGCCAGGGTTGATTGTCGCACTTATAACCATATTTGAAAAATGCCAATATGCCACTTGTGATACTGTATAAAGCACAAGAACCACATCACAGAGGTTTGATATTGATAGCCATGTTTAGCAGATAAGTTTGCATATGAATTGCAAGCTGAACTCCCTTGGGAATATACTCCTGTAATTATTGTAATATTGCGGACTTGGCAAACACAAAAAACAATTCTTTTACTCAGCATGCAATATTAGCTGATGTGATCCTCATACAGTACATACAGAACATCCAAGTTAGAATAGGTGTTCAGCAACCCATGCTTGGCGTAAGAGGTGACTAACAGGATTGGGTGGTCAGGCTCACTGACTTGGTTGATGCATGTCATTGTAATCCAGTTGTGTGGATCAACATGATCAAGACTCATGAATTCAGTCACTGGATTGTGTGGTCAAGATTCAATTTTTTTTACAGACTGCCTTTATATAGCTGGAATATTGCTGTGTGTGGCATTAGACAACAAACAAACAAACAAAAGAGTGAAACCATTCAAATTAAGCATAACGGTCAAGTTAATTTACGTTTGTGGAACCCAAGAATTTAGTGCTGTAGCAAATGAAATAATTTACTGTGTGTGTTTTATTAACCCTGAAAGTGTATATGATGGTATATTTGCAGGTGAAGTGTCGCTGGAACGCCTGGTGGAGACCATAGTCCACATCATGTGTGACCAGTCATCTGTGGCCATCCGACTGACGCTGATCGCCCTACAGCTGTGTCTGTCCAATCTCCTTGAGAGCTGCCATGGCAAGGTCGGGATCAGCGTCATGCTGGATCTCCTGGATGTCAAGAATAACCCGTACTGGCTGGTCAAGGTATGCACCAGTTAACAGGCTAGAATCTGAGATTATTACATTAAGTAATACGTTACCACTGTTATACCGAGGCTGTTGTCTCCCACAACTGCTGCTATAGCGAAATCTACCACAGAGATCTCAATTACCTCATGCAGCACGTGCGTAGCCACCTAGCTGCCATGTGACACCCTTCACTCTTGTCTCCTTCGTCTGCTTAGCAAGACGTGTTTTCTCCTGCTGAAGCGTTCCTTGAAGATTTGGTGATATTTATTATAGTTTATTCTCTAATAAACTGTGCTTTTATGGGGCGTTGCGGTAGCTACGCTTGGTTATAATTTTCCCGCCAAACGGAAATTTTTTCCCGCCCTTTTTTCTATATACTTGCGGGGTTCGCGTATGCACGTTGTGTTTTACGTTTCCCCTGTTCTTGTATGTTTTGGGGGTTAACATAACTTATTTCTTTAATAAAAGTTATATGTGTATGTTATATGTTCACATTGCTCGTTTATTTTCTTGTGAAAATGTTCGTTTGTGAATCATTGTGGTGCGTGCGTTGTAACCATGTTTTGTTCTTTGTTTATAGCAAACAATCAATGTCTGACATGGATATGTCCCCAGTATCCACCCCCTCTACCCCTGCTCCTCGGAGTTATGGGGTGTGCAGAAAGTTTTTGTCGTCCCGGGATCCCCACGATCGTTGCCCGCGGTGCAGGGTTCCTTGCGGGGACACCCGGTGCATCCTGTGCGAAGGTCTGGGGCCTGCGGATTTTGAGCGGTACCGGCTGTACGTACAGTCCGTCTCCACCCCTGTGGTGGCCGGTTCGTCCGGTCGGGGTCCCCGTGCGGGTACCACCTCCTCGGCTGCGGCGGATCCCCTTGCGGCCCTCGGGCTGTCTGGGGATTCCGTCGCCGCATTGTTGTCGAAACTTGTGGATTCCAAGCTGGCGGCCTTATCGCAAGATAGGCCGCTGGCTGTTCCGTCCCCGGCCTCTTCGGTGGCCGCGGGGTCGGACGCGGGGTCCACCGGTAAAGCGGCGGATCTCTTGGCGGCCCGTGTGCTGTCCGGGGATTCCGTCGCTGCATTACTTGCATAACTTGTGGACTCCAAGCTGGCGGCCTTATCTCAGGATAGGCCGCTGGCTGTTCCGTCCCCGGCCACTTCGGTGGCCGCGGGGTCGGACGCGGGGTCCACCGGTACGGCGGCGGCTCCCGTGGTCACCGGTCCTTCCCCCGAACCGTTGCTCCCGCTATCGGTTTAGGACCGCGTGGCCATGGTTTATGACCTCTTTGAGGACATGCCCCGGCCGGTACCGCGGGGAATCCACGACTGTGGGTTCCTCCGAGGTATACGATGAGTCTTCCGACACAGCTTTCCCCGCATCAACCTTGCTGCGCGGTTTCAAGCCTTCCTTGGAGAACGCCTTCGCGGCGGCCTCCGGTCGGGGTCTCCCGTTGCCTCCGACGTCGTGGAGAAAGGGTTTATTCCCGGTACATGACCTTGCCTTTCCCGAGGCTGGTCCTACCGCGGAGGCCCATGTTGAGCGGTTGGGTGTCCGTGCCCCACCGGCTGCTACGGTAACGCAAGCTACCTTGCACCAGCTGGACGCCCTCGCTCGGCACTCCATGTCTCACGGAGACACTTACTTGGCTGCAGCGGCCTGTCTGGTCGAAGGTTCTCCCACGGACCGTGACCAGCGCATTTACAACTGCCTGCTCAGTTTAAATGCTTCCCTGGAGTACGTTGCCGAGGAATCTCGGCACACACTTGCTCTTGTTGGGTCCCTGCATAGGCGCCTGGGTGCCGCTCCTAACCGGAGCGCGCCCCAGGCTGCTGCGGCCGGTAGGTCTAAGGGGTCGGGTTCTTCTTCCTCTGGGAAGTAGCCCCGCCCTGAGGGCTCCGGTATGGGCAATCAGCTGCCCTTTCGCGGGAAGACGGGGAACTGGGGGAAGCCCAAGTCGTCGACGGACGGCAAGGGCCCCTCCAGGTGACTCTCATTGGAGGGGTTCGTATGCCGACAGCGCCAACTTCGGTTGGCCCTTAGGCGAACCCGAGTCACTTGGCCCTGGACAGTTGCGCCTGTCGCAACCTGTCAGGGCCCCCTCTCCTTCCCCAGTGGGAGCCAGACTCCAGACTTACTGGGAGAATTGGGAACAAGTGTTCGACGACCCGTGGGTGGTCAACACGATTCGGTACGGCTATCGGCTTGATCTCAAAGCGAATCCGCCGCTCACCGTTGCCCCGTTGGCAGGTTTCGATTCGGAAACCGATCTTCCCATCGTCGTCGATGCCATCGGCAGGTTGGTGGAGAAGGGGCAGTACGGGAGTTAGCTCTACCAGAAATAACACCGGGGTTTTACTCCAGGATATTTCTCGTTCCCAAGTAGGACAGTGCCGAACTCAGAATGATTCACACGTCCGCTCCCTGGCTGTTCACCCGGTTAACCACCCCCATAGTGGGGTTCCTCCACAGGAGGGGTGTCCGGTACTTCGCGTACCTGGACGACTCGCTAGTAGCAAATCGAATGACGGACACCCTGTCACGCCATCTCGATTTCGCACGTCGGCTCTTGGAGCAATTTGGGTGGATTATCAATCTCCCCAAGAGCGAGTTAACCCCTTCTCAGAACTTGCTGTTCATCGGAGGTCGGTTCAACACGGTGTCCCATCGCCTCTTTGTCCCCCCAGACCGGTGGCACAAAATTCAGGCGATGATTGCCAAAGTCTTAGCGGTGCAACAGACTGTTCACTTTTGGGAACAGCTGTTAGGGCTACTTGTATCAGCCCAGGACTGCACCGCACGGGGTCGTCTCCAACTCTGCCCGCTGCAACGGTTTTTAATCCAGTTGTTAGCAACGGAGGTGAACAGTGCGACCGTCGCCCTCCCGGATCGGCTCCGACCGCATCTGGAGTGGTGGACGGTCCCTTACATTGTCTTATCAGGAGTCTCTATGCGGCCCTACCGGGCCACGTTGACCCTGTATACAGACGCCTCTCTAGTGGGCTGGGGCGCCCATCTAGAGGGGGAGGTGAGCTCGGGGCTGTGGTGCTTAGACGAACTAGGTCTTCACATCACTTGTCTCGAGTTCAAGGCAGTGATCAACGCAGTCAATCACTGGAAGCATCGTCTCGTCGACGCCCGGCTCATGCTGGCGACCGACAACACGACGGTAGTGTCCTATGTGAACAAACTGGGGGGAACCCACAGTCACTCGCTACTCGATCTCACGTTCGAGTTTTACGCTCTGGTGGACAGTGTCCCGTGCCAGATACGCGCCCGTCACATCCCAGGTGTGCGGAACGTACTGGCCGATGCTCTATCGAGGCCTCAGGATCCGAGCCCCACAGAGTGGATGCTGAACCCAGTAGTGTTTCAGTGGCTGTGCGAACGTTTGGGTCGTCCGATGGTCGACCTGTTCGCAACGCGGTTCAACAATCAACTCCCGTTGTTTGTATCACCAGTCCCGGTCCCGAGGGCCATCGATCACGATGCTCTCGCGTTAGACTGGACAGGCTTGGTTGCTTATGCTTACCCGCCGACAGCGTTGAAACCACACATTCTAAGCCGGCTCCGAGGAGTTCGCTGTCGAATGTTACTGATCGCGCCCATGTGGCCGAACAGATCGTGGTACCCCGACTTGCTGACCCAGGTCACGCAGTCGCCACTTCCACTGCCTGTGAGACCGGATCTCTTGATCCACCCTCACATCCGTCAGCTTCATCCAAACGCAGGGCAGTTCAATCTGCACGCGTGGATGTTGTCACCGAGCGTCTGAGGAGTAAAGTTTTTTCTCGCCGGGCGTCTCGGGCATACGTTAGTATGCATCGTGATTCTACCCAGAAGGTGTATAATGCACGTTGGGTTATTTTCACGAAGTGGTGTTGTAAACATCACATTCATTCGCCAGATAAGGTATCTGTGCAGGATATTGCTCGTTTCATGTCTCACTTGCGAGAGACCCGGAAACTCTCCGGGGGTTCCATTGCCAACTATGTCTCGTCCGTTGCTACGGTACGGGACGTTGCTATGGGTACCAGTCTCTCCAAAGAGCCGGTGATACGGGGTATTATCAAGGGTTTCAAACAGCACGATCTTAAGAAGGGCCGCCTTCGGGCACCGGCCTGGGATCTTTGGCTAGTGTTGCAATCACTTACGGAAGCTCCGTATGAACCCTTGCATAGTGCTTCGTTCCGGCATGTGACTTGGAAAACAGCATTTCTCCTCTCCTTTGCCACGGCGGCACGTGTATCCGAAATTCATGCACTCGATGTCGCCAAGGTACGATTCGATAGGGGTGACGAAGGAGCGGTCCGCCTGGGCCTGCTCATGGGCTTCGTCGCCAAGAATCAGAGAGTCGGGCAAGCGGAGAGAGAATTCACTGTAAGATCACTCAAAGAAATCTTACATCCTGCTGATACTGAGGACAGAGCGCTGTGTCCGGTTAGGGCCCTTAAGTATTATCTTAAGGCTTCGTATGAACGTAGACAAGGGCGTGACCGTCTGTTCATATCGTGTAACCCTAATCGCACGGTTGACATACCTCGCAACTCGATTGCGTTGTGGCTTCGTTCTGTCATCAATCTGGCGTACCGGTCTCGGGGGTTACCGGTAGCGGGGTCAAACCCGCACGAGATCAGGGCGCTAGCGGCAACATTTGCCCTACACTCGAATATCTCTGTTCGCAGAATATTACGAGGTTGTTACTGGCGTTCTGACTCGGTTTTTGCCAATCATTACCTCAAACAGGTCGCTGATGCCGTCGTGGAGAGTGTGCACCGTCTTGGCCCGCGGATCGCGGCGCAAGCGGGCACCTAAGGGGTGTGCCCAGCGCAATTCCGAACTCCTCAGGCGTCTGACCTTGCACGGTGGTCAATCTGGGTCTACTCCAATGTTCCCACTGCCGTTGGTACAGGAGTTGGGGTCCCGCAAACCAGCGCACTCACACCACAGGTGAGGGCGGCTTTTTGTGTGCTTTGTCCTTATTTGTATTTTGACAATTATGTCTTTAATTGTCTGTCGTGTATCCCAACCTTGTGATGCATGCTTACAAATACTGGAATTAGGTCACGCGCCTAATGCATACTTTAAGTAGGCTTGCTCTGGGATATACGGTCTGAATGAAATTAATTTCCCTCTTTTCGACTGTTTAACCTGATCTAAGATTAAGCTCACGCGGATACAGTGTTCTCATCCGCTGCGGCGATGAAATACCTATCCAGTGGGGCCGTTTGGAGTCACCAATCGTTTTGGCAATGACGATTGAGCCTTACGGTATGCGCTTGACAGTGCTTTGGTATTCCTATAGGGTAACGCCTAGCTAGGTGCATGCGCATCGAGTGCTTCCGCCTTGGTGTTTACTTCCGCTGGTTGGAAGGAACGCTAGCAGTCAGGATTCGGGTTGTAGGTGCTCCCCACCGCCTACTGTGGTAGTCAGCCTCGGTATAACAGTGGTAACGTATTACTTAATGTAATTTGTAGAATTTTCCTATTCGGAATATTCTATAAGTAATACGTTACCACTGGGCTGCTGCCCGCCCGTCCGTCCCCCGAGCACTTGCTCTCGCAGGAGACAAGAGTGAAGGGTGTCACATGGCAGCTAGGTGGCTACGCACGTGCTGCATGAGGTAATTGAGATCTCTGTGGTAGATTTTGCTATAGCAGCAGTTGTGGGAGACAACAGCCTCGGTATAACAGTGGTAACGTATTACTTATAGAATATTCCGAATAGGAAAATTCTACAAAACTGTTACGTTCTATGAACAATATTGCCAGTTACCACATGTGCATATGGTCTTGGTCGTTGTTTCTGTGTGTAAGTTGTAGTGTCCCGTGTGTAAGTGTAGTGTTTTGTGTTTAAGTGTAGTGTAAGTATGATGTTCTGTGTGTAAGTGTAGTGCCCTGTGTGTAAGTGTGGTGTTCTCTGTGTAAATGTAGCGTTCTGTGTGTAAGTGTAGTGTCCTGTGTGTAAGTGTAATGTTCTGTGTGTAAGTGTAGTGTTCTGTGTGTAAGGTTAGTGTTCTGTGTTTAAGTGTAGTGTTCTCTATGTAAGTGTTGTGTCCTGTGTAAGTGTAGTGTTCTCTGTGTAAGCGTAGTGCTCTGTGTATAAATGTAGCATTCTGTGTGTAAGTGTAGTGTTCTGTGTGTAAGTGTAGTGTTCTGTGTGTAAGCGTAATGTTCTGCGTGTAAGTGTACATGGTGTCGAGTTCTGTGTGTAAGTGTAGTGTTCTGTGTAAGTGTAATGTTCTGTGTGTTAGTGTACATGGTGTAGTGTTCTGTGTGTAAGTGTAGTGTCCTCTGTGTAAGGGTAGTGTTCTGTGTGTAAGTGTAGTGTTCAATGTGCAAGTGTAGTGCTCATTGTGTAAGTGTAGTGTTCTGTGTGTAAGTGAAGTGTCCTCTGTGTAAGCGTAGTGTTCTGTGTGTAAGTGTAGTGTTCTGTGTAAGTGTAGTGTCCTCTGTGTAAGTGTAGTGTTCTGTGTGTAAGTGTAGTGTCCTCTGTGTAAGTGTAGTGTTCTGTGTAAGTGTAGTGTTCTGTGTGTAAGTGTAGTGTCCTCTGTGAAAGTGTAGTGTTGTGTGTGTAAGTATAGTGTCCTCTGTGTAAGTGTAGTGTTCTGTGTAAGTGTAGTGTTCTGTGTGTAAGCGTAGTGTTCTGTGTGTAAGTGTAGTGCTCATTGTGTAAGTGTAGTGTTCTGTGTGTAAGTGTAGTGCTCATTGTATAAGTGTAGTGTTCTGTGTGTAAGTGTAGTGTTCTGTTTGTAAGTGTAGTGCTCTGTGTGAAAGTGTAGTGTTCTGTGTAAGTGTAGTGTCCTGTGTAAGTGTAGTGCTCTGTGTGTAAGTGTAGTGCTCTGTGTGTAAGTGTAGTGATTTGTGTAAGTATAGTGCTCTGTGTGTAAATGTAGTGTTCTGTGTAAGTCTAGTGCTCTGTGTGTAAGTGTAGTGTTCTGTGTAAGTGTAGTGCTCTGTGTGTAAGTGTAGTGTCCTGTGTAAGTGTAGTTTTCTGTGTAAGTGTAGTGCTCTGTGTGTAAGTGTAGTGTTCTGTGTAAGTGTAGTGCTCTGTGTGTAAGTGTAGTGTTCTGTGTAAGTGTAGTGTTCTGTGTGTAAGTGTAGTGTCCTGTGTAAGTGTAGTGTTCTGTGTGTAAGTGTAGTGCTTTGTGTGTAAGTGTAGTGTCCTGTGTAAGTGTAGTGCTCTGTGTGTAAGTGTAGTGTTCTGTGTGTAAGTGTAGTGCTCTGTGTGTAAGTGTAGTGCTCTGTGTGTAATTGTAGTGCTCTGTGTGTAAGTGTAGTGCTCTGTGTGTAATTGTAGTGTTCTGTGTGTAAGTGTAGTGCTCTGTGTTTAAGTGTAGTGTTCTGTGTGTAAGTGTAGTGTCCTGTGTAAGTGTAGTGCTCTGTGTGTAATTGTAGTGTTCTGTGTGTAAGTGTAGTGCTCTGTGTGTAATTGTAGTGCTCTGTGTGTAAGTGTTGTGTTCTGTGTGTAAGTGTAGTGCTCTGTGTGTAAGTGTAGTGTCCTGTGTAATTGTAGTGCTCTGTGTGTAAGTGTAGTGCTCTGTGTGTAAGTGTAGTGTCCTTTGTAAGTGTAGTGTCCTGTGTTATTGTAGTGCTCTGTGTGTAAGTGTAGTGTTCTGTGTGCAGGTGGAGCTGCTGGAGCTACTGGGCGGCATCAACTTCAAGGTGGTGTGCTTCCTGGGCACACTCTGCAAGGATCACAAGAAGGGCTGCCATAACTTCCTGGGGGTCAGTTCATCAATTAGAGTCTGATGTTGGAGGAGAAAATATATAATTTTTACTGTTATCTCTTACTTTTGATAAGAAAAGGGATTCTAATTTAATTATGATATATTGCCTTATGCCAATTACCTTAATCATGTGAACACTATGTTACAATATCTATCAAACATAACACACATCATTTATAGTGTTCTGGGTTGGAGAGTGATGTAAAAGAATTAAGTTGTGCATCGTAATGTACAATACTGTATGTCATTGTTACCATGGTTATGGTCTAATTTATGTATGTGTTCTGCCCTCAGAGACTGAATCTACAGGACCACTATATGAGTCATGTGATCATTCCGTTGCTAGGAGACGAAGATGGCAGAGTCAGACATGCAGCATCAAGAACATTGCTTAGGTAAACAGTGGCCAATGTCATCAGCTGTCGGACAGATCAAAATTACCTTATGTGATTTTCATACAGTACACCCATGAAAATGAGAATAGGTCTTCAGCAAATCATGCTTGCCATAAAAGGTGACTATGCTTGTCGTGAGAGTCGACTAACGGGATCGGGTGGTCAGGCTTACTGAGTTCTATGGATCAATGCTCGTGATGTAAATCAGTGGATTGTCTGGTCTAGACTTTATTATTTACAGACCGCCGGCATATAGCTGGAATATTGCTGTGTTCATCACCAGATTGTTGGAGCCAGCAAAGTAGACACAATTTATGGATAACAACTTCTTTAATGTAAAGGCGATGTTTCGGTGTAGATCCTTATACCTACCGGTATAAGGTTCTATAAAGAAACATCGCCTTTACAGTAAAATAAAGAAGTTGTTATCCATAAATTGTGTCTACTTTGCCATCCATCAACTTCTAGGAAATGCCTATCAAACAATTCGTCTGGGTCGGTCTTGATTATTTACAGGCTGGAATCTTGTAAAGTATTGATACACTATTTAAGTAAATTCCAATTTGACTCTGAGAGAGTTTGTGTAATGCCCCCTTTCACTACGACCACGAATATCCCGAATCACCCTGAATCGTTTAGTCAATGCAGTATCAAGGAATCAGATCAACCTGCAATATATGAGGTTAATGCATTCTCATGTTGTTTTGTATGAAAACAGACATTGTATTTTATATTGACAGGCTTGTTCCAAAACTTTTCTTTGCTGTTGACAACTGCCAACAAGACCCGGTGACTGCAATTGCCAGAGATCTGACCGATGGTTTGCTGTATCCGCTGATGTCAGAGTGGGCGGAGGAGCCACCTCCCCTTGTACAGGGTCTGATCCCTCCCTACCACTTCTCCCCCACATTCACCATCAAGCCCCACCTGGAGAGCAGTCTGTCTAGGGTGGTCCAGCAACTCTTGCAGCAGCTGCACACAGCACAGACCAAACATCTGACAGTGAGTGTTCAAACATGTCACTGTTTGTGGTCAAACATGTCACAGTTAGTGGTTAAACATTTGACAGTAAGTGGCCAAACATGTCACAGTTAGTGGTCAAACATTTGACAGTAAGTGGCCAAACATGTCACAGTTAGTGGTTAAACATTTGACAGTAAGTGGCCAAACATGTCACAGTTAGTGGTCAAACATTTGACAGTAAGTGGCCAAACATGTCACAGTTAGTGGTTAAACATTTGACAGTAAGTGGCCAAACATGTCACAGTTAGTGGTCAAACATTTGACAGTAAGTGGCCAAACATGTCACAGTTAGTGGTCAAACATTTGACATATAGTATGGGAATAGTAAGCATGTTTCCAACTATGTTAATTGCTGTAACTCTTGTAACTAAGCCAACTATTTCATGATCATCTGTTCCCAATGTTTTGCCAGAGTGGATGTTGTCATGCTATGTGTCTGCTGTCGGAGGAGTACCTCGTGTCCTGCTACGCCTCATCCTGGGGCTGTGGCCCTGCCACACCGCTTATTCCCAAAGATAGCTCTAGTAGAATTAACATGAAGAGGCCTCCAAGCCGCTCGCTTAGCTCCTCCAGGTATGTATGCTGGTGTATCTGTCAGTCTGGTGTTACTGTCTTCATAAAATACACTGTGGCACGTCCAGAACAGATTAGAACAAACTTGTTGTCGGAGGTGACTAAACATAGGATTTAATGGCCACATTGGCTGTTGAGGATGATAAGCATTTTGAAGGATGACTAGAAAAAAAGGCTCAACTTGTACATGTGAATTTAGTCATTTTGACCCAATGTCACAGTCCTGTGGGGGTAGAATGTGTCCTCACCAGCCCGGTGCTAGTTGTAAGAGGCGTCTGAATTGGAAACCTATGAAGATTCCAGGTTACAATTAGTCATGGCAACCCATGGTGGTCATAAGAGGTGACTTAGTGCATTGGATGTAAGGCTTGGTGACTTGGTTGATGACATGTCAATGTGCCCTGATTGCATGGGTTGATACTCATAATATCAATCCCTGGATTGTCTGGTCCAGACTTGGTTATGTACAGGTCGATATCATATATCTTTTACAGACATGAACACTGTTTTTCACAGATGTAATTTGATGTGGACAACGAAGCCCAAGAAATATGTTGAACCAAATGAACCCTAAAATATACTTATCTGTACTGGGGGCGGTCGGGTAGCATAGTGGTTAAAACGTTTGCTCGTCACACCGAAGATCCGGGTTCAATTCTTGACATGGGTACAATGTGTGAATTCCATTTCTGGTGTCCCCCGCCGTGATATTGCTGGAATATTGCTAAAAGTGGCGTAAAAACATACTCACTCACTCATCTGTACTGAAATGTGTAATGCAGTGATAATTTTCCTCAATTTTTCTTAACCAAAATGAAACACACCATTTCTGAATGCTCAACTTTGACTGATATTTACTGCTTACTTGTAGGTTCCAGTCTGTTTTATGTTGTTTTGTTTGGTGGCAGTTCTGATTGTGTTGTTGATTTCTGTTGTACCTGGGTGTCGGGTTTTCAGTTGACTTTGTGTGGACGCTGTATGTTGACTGTTCAGTACTTTCAGCCTAGAGGAGTTGACATCGGGGTCTGGGGGTGGTCCCCTGCCTGTTATCCTGGCCCTGCTGTTATCGTCACCCTCTGCCCTCGACCTCTCCACGCATCAGGATCTCATCCAGCTGGCCGGGAACCTCCTAGCAGGTAAACAGTAGCAGTGACCTGTCACCCTGTAGCTTTGTCCAAAATAAGACGGCCAGTAATTTTGTCATCGTCATATATACACCAAATTAATAATCAATTAATTATCACTTGTTTTAGCTTGTGATGTGAAGATTTACAGATTTTGTGGAGTTTGAGTGATAAAATACAATGCTGAAGATGATTTTTTCATCAAACCATACAGTGAGTCATGCTAATTATTGTTCCTAATTTGATTGAAAATTTCTATTTTCTATTCCTAGACACCCAAGGTTAGAGCATTATCTCTGTATCTGGACACCCATGGTTGAGGTGTTATCTCTATTACTGGACACCCATGGTTAAGGTGTTATCTCTATTCCTGGACACTCATGGTTAAGGTGTTATCTCTATTCCTGGACATCCATAGTTAAAGTGTTATCTCTATTCCTGGACACCCATGGTTGAGGTGTTATCTCTATTCCTGGACACCCATGGTAAAGGTGTTATCTCTATTCCTGGACACCGATGGTTACGATGTTATCTCTATTCCAGGAGTCCCATTGTTGAGGTGTTATCACTATTCCTGGGCACCCATGGCTAAGGTTTTATCTCTACTTCTTGAGTCACACAGTTGAGGTGTTATCACTATTCCTGGACACTCATGGTTGAGGTGTTATCTCTATTCCTGGACACCCATGGCTAAGGTGTTATCTCTATTCCTGGACATCCATAGTTAAAGTGTTATCTCTATTCCTGGACACCCATGGTTGAGGTGTTATCTCTACTCCTTGAGTCCCATAGTTAAGGTGTTATCTCAATTACTGGAGTCCCATTGTTGAGGTGTCATCACTATTCCTGGACACCCATTGTTGAGGTGTTATGTCTATTCCTGGGCACCCATGGTTAAGGTGTTATCACTATACCTGGGCACTCATGGTTAAGGTGTTATCTCTATTCCTGGAGTCCCATTGTTGAGGTGTTATCACTATTCCTACTAAACATACAACCGACAGTGTTTGGCTATTACCAGAAGCTGATTACTTATGGTTCCTGTTTCCACTCCATCAGGCTCTGCCTTCAAGACATTCCGTGGATCTGACGAGACGGCGAGCCTGGCAGGGTCAGGGGATGAGGGCAAGTGGGCAGCAGTCAGTGACAGGCTGCTGGTTCCTATGATAGAACACCTTCTCAGCCATGTGGCTAGGTGAGTAACAACACTGATCACCATCATTCCATGACACTGCACCTGTGAAGATCCGGGGTGGAATAGGTCTTCAGCAACCCATGCTGGCCGTAAAAGGCGACTATGCTTGTCGTAAAAGGTGACCAATGGGATCGGGTAGTCAGACTCGCTGACTTGGTTGATGCAGGTCATCGATCCCAATTGCATGGATCGATGATCATGATATCAATCACTGGATTGTCTGGTCCAGACTCGATTATTTACAGACCGCCGTCATATAGCTGGAATACTGCTGAGTGCGGCGTAAAACAACAAGCCAACCAACCAACCATGACACGGAGTGATCATAGTACTGTTGTAACTCCCATACTTACACAGAGAGTCCCGTGAAGATTTCGGGTTAGAATTGGTCTTCAGCAAACCATGCTTGTCGTAAGAGGTGACTAACGGAATCGGGTGGTGAAGCCTGCAGACATTGCTGATGCATGTTATTGAATCCAAGTTACGTGGATGGATGCTCACTGGATTGTCTGGTCAAGATTTGATTACATACAGATTGTCGTCATATAGCTGAAATATTGCTGTATGCAGCATTAAACAGACAAACAGACAGACAGACAAACAAAAAAGACTTACACACAGACTTAAGGCAGTCGTAGTGCAAGATCGCTTAATGAAACATGGCACACCTATTTAAGCACTGCAGATCAGCTTACTTATGGCTATTACACGATATGCGTCACTTGATTTCCACACTTTACACGCTAATCCTGCACGAGACAAATGCATCTTGAGTCATGGATCTATGACGTCACATGTGATGCGTTCATAAGCGTCGATTCACACAACATACTAGTATGTTCGTTTGTGTGTTGAGCCGATCTTTTATCTCTTGAAAATGAGTAATTATTCATATATTAACCAGCATGTATGGTATTTGTGTTTCTTTTGTCAGTGAGTGTATTACATACCAGCAGACATCCTTAAATTCTATGAGGTTTTGTTCCCAACTTGTTGGTCTTCCGGGATGATGGAGACCTTGGGCGAATGCTGGTTCTCTGTGTGTGTACATGCTGATATTCCTTGACAGGGTGCTGAATGCGTGTGCCCATGTGATAGATGAGCAGGTGCCAGGGCCTCCCCAGATGAAGCCCTCCCTCCCATCCCTGCCCAATGCCCCCTCCCTCAGCCCGGTCAAGCGGAAGGTGAAGGGAGACAAGGAGTCGCAGGGTGGAGCAGGGGCGGGTCAGGCAGGGGATGCCAAGTCTGACAAGAAAACACCGCAGAAAGGTTGGTGGCCATTAACAGTAACGATACGCCTACCTCAGGTATCGAAACATATCACAATTTCAAGACAAGAATTTTACAGAAACAATTGAGAACAGCACAGGGATGTAACACTACTCCTACCCAGTGTTCGAAATAAGCGCCTGCACGTAGGCCTTAGGCAGGTAGATTTTGTGTTGGGCCTGTAGTTTCAAAGTTGTATGGATCCTTATGGCCTGCAGTAAAATTACATGTTTTTTTTGTCTCAATAAGCTGCAGTTTTTATTTAATGAGGGCCTGAAGAGTTTTATCAGGGCCTGCAGCTTCTAAGTCTATGGGTTCTGATGGCAATCTAGCAATTCTTTTTTATTTCAAACACTGCTCCTACCCCATGTACTACTACGACTTGGAGTCACAATATGATCTGTCTTGGGACAGTTAATCACAGTGTTGTTGCATGAAATTCCCCATGTTCCACGTGCCCAGCTAACAAGGTTGTTGCTATGTCTTTTTACATTATTCTGGTTCTCCATGCAATCAGATTTAGCATTTTGTTTTGTAATGGGTGAAGTAATGCTAACCCAAGTAGTTATCAAGCTGGGTTATTGCAAACTTTAGTAAATTAATACAAAAATTAAAACTTAAGTCAATACATGTCTAGGCGAATTGCAGTAATGTGTAAATTTGTCATGCAACGGTGAATTGCTTTAATTTCCATCAAGACATGTAGAGCCTTTGACATGATAATGACAAGACTTGCCTAATTACATCCCTTGGGGAATCGGGGTTAAAACAGGAGGTACCCAGTGTTGCAAAGGTTTCATAAATGACATCTTTCCCGAACACAGACCAGAAGGAGCCTGAGAAGGAGAAAAGCAAGAAGGATGGACTGGGGATGTTTTACAGCCTGCCTCAGTATATGAAGGTGTACGAGATGCTCAGGGGAGCTTACTCTAATTACAAGGTCAGTCAGGGGAGGCCACTCTGTATAGCATGAATACCTATCACAAAACGAAATATTTCTCTACTCTAATTGGTAACTTTTTGTCCAGTCTACTAGGTGTTGTTATAAGTACATGTACCTTGTTTTAACATGAGACATTATCTCTCAGTAATCAGGATATAAACCACTACATTTATGGACATCATGCAATTGAGTTTTGAGACAAAGAGACCTTGTTTTGAAGAAATTAGCTGGGATTGTGCAACACTAGCCATCCTTTGCGTTTAGTTTTCTCAGTAACCTTACACATTACATACACTGAAACACTTTGAAAATGCATAGGGGATCTTGACTTTTGATACGTATCAAGTCACTGGAAGCTTATGACCAGGTATGACAACATGAATGAGGATTCAAACTCAGACAACATTATTGCAATGTTGCATGCCTGTAAGCCTTACTATGACACACCAATATCTTTGTTTTATGTCAGTTCGCTAAACATTATTTCACAAATTCCACTCTGCATTTTCATAGTGTGTCAGTCCATGTACAACCAGCCAGTTGGCCGGCTATGTCAACTAATGTCTGACTGTTGACCCCAGATCTCCCTGGACCTGAACAGCTCCGACAAGTTCTGTAACCTGCTGAAGGTGACGCTGGCGGTCTTCTCCCAGATCCTTGAGATTGCCACACTCTTTGACATCGGAAAGTATGCTGAGGAGTTCCTGGGCTACCTCAAGAGCACTATGACCATGGAGCCCACTTTCACAGTGTTGTGTGTCCAACAGGTAACATGTCACACTTTGTTGGGAGCATGTGGTAGCTTTATTTAATTATAAGAGTGGGTAGCGGAAACGTCCTGTGTTCCCAGAGAACAGAGAAAACTCTCACCCCTACGCACCCTGTGTCCGCGCAGGTGCACCGGAACCATATGACCGAGACTAGTATACTCGGACCCCATGGTACCGCGGCATTCATCGCGGCATTTGTGATTTCCGATAGTTCACGCGGGACACGCCTCTTAGCGGCTGTCTATTAATGCAAATCAGTAACCAGGAAGTGCTCAATTTCAATTTCCTCGGAATGTTCCGTCTGCTGTAAGTAAGGAGTTATTAATCCGTTGATACATATTTCTGGCATCTGTTGTAATATTGCCTTACCCCCATCTATCCAACGATATAACCCGCAGTTCCCCAAGTAAACTTTCTCTATCGACCTGAACTAGATCATCTGCATATTCATGGCGACTAATGAGGTAATGGAAGTTACGTAGTCCGCACATTTTTTCCCGCTCTGTGCCCAGAATCTATTGGGAGATCATAAGGGCCATAATGCCAAACTTAGAAATACGTTCTTCACTAGTAACCAAAAGATAAATACATACTTTGGGCATACTAGGAGTGCTTTTTATATATTTATTGTTGACTTTTAACATTTTTCCATTTTGTGACAAATTATTGTCATCCAATTTTTTTTAAACAATTTTAAAATATCATTTCTGATATTTTGATGTTGACTTATAAAAATATTTTTCTCTTACTTTTCGGTAAATATGCATTGAATACCTATTGCTGATAACACATTTAGAATCTTACTTGTGCTGTCTTTGCACTTGTCTGGACAAATCACTGATGTCTGGCATGATCATACGGAGTGGTTGGTAGAATTATGTCCTTTTTTTGTCCAATTCGGACCTCCATACACAACTTTTCTCATACGATGGAGTTCTCTCCCTTGTCAAACAGAGTGCGAGGCCCGTCTTTTACTCGGAGCTACTAATGTAAAAAATGAACTTTTATCAGTAAAATATGCATTGTTTGATAACATGAATGATATCTGATACAGAGAACACGAATAAACATAAAGGTTAGTGAGTGCATTTTGTTCCGTTAAGCGTACATGACAAGTACCGGGATACCCCGAGGTTGCAGGCTAACTCGTCATGCTCTCTTTAACCCTACTTAATGGTCCGAAAACACATCAGTGGAGAGAGGGGAGGCCGGGTGGGTGCTCATGCGTATGAATCAGGATAAGTTTGAATAATATTTTTACACAAACCATACGTATTTGTTTTGGAACAGTGCTGAAACTGAGGAAAGGGTGACATCAGTTCTATCCATCATTGGGATTTCAGGGAAAAATAGGTCCCCAGTCCCTATGCTTGTCCTAAAACCTCACTAAAGAGGGTCTGATGGTTTACAGTGTGTGAACTAGCTAGTTGATTTGAGTTCGATACAGGCCTCTGTGTAATAGCTGGAATAATTATTCACCCATTCACTCCTGCCCCATGAAGATCTGGTGTAGAATAGGTCTTCAGCAACACATGCTTGATGTAAAAGGCAACAATGCTTGTTGTATGTGCCGATTTGGGTTGTCAGGCTCGCTGACTTGGTTGATGCATGTCATCGTATCCCAATTGTGTGGATGCATGCTCATGATGTCAATCACTGGATTGTACGGCCCAGACACAATTATTTACAGACTGCCGTTATATATCTGGCATATTGCATTGGCATTAAACAACAAACAAACAAATCATTCACCCCTGAGACTCGAACATAAACTGTTAGAACTGAGGACAACTGTTGTTTGACCTTGCAGCTGTTGAAGGCTCTGTTTGGCACCAACCTTGCCAACCAGTGGGAGAGCCAGCAGAGTGTGTTCCACAGCCGCAAGCCTGGCAAACCCATGAGGGTCATGACAGGCCTGAAGCCAGGCATCTACCAGTGTTGTCTCAACCAGCCCTACTCACTCATGACCCACTCCTTCGCCGGGGCCTTCCTCCGAGCAGCCAACCAGACGGACCAGGAGGAATCACAGAGGTCAGTCTCAGCAGCCTCCACAGGTTGGGCTCTAGTGGCCCAGCAGTTTAAGGTGTTGTGATTTGCTGTGCAGAGTTATGTCTCTTTCCAGTGTCAGAATTGTCTAGTGGCCCAGAGTTTATTAACTCAGGTGCTAAATGGTCGTTGCCGACTTAATTGGCTGCCTACGCATCTGGTTGGTATCTTGTCAAAGTGTTGTTTTAGCTACTCTCATTTTATTAGCTAAGCTATTTGTGTATTTGCACTTATATAATTAATCAGTGATCATAAGCACAGTTTGGGCTTATTTGATCCATTTATTGTCATCTTTTGGTACAATTAGCTGTCAATAATACACCTGGATTCTTCACTCCATTTGGATAGAATGTGGACGCCGGTTTCTGGTGTAGTGAAATATGTTGATGTGTGTGTTGCAGTTCACTGATGTGGCTGAGGAAGAGAGTTGAGAGGAAAACTCCAGCCATCCTAAAGCCCGGAAGCAAAGTGGATAAGGTACAGCAATGTCTTCAACAACAAATGTCCCCAGGGTGGTTTAATTAATAGACACATCCAACTTCATGTTATTCAGAGAAGTGTACTGTGAAGAAGTAAATTTTAAGCTTACTGCCAAAATAATGCTCAGTGACTCCCTATTTTTTGCACCAAATGTTACTCACATTACTCCAGACTCACTACCATCCTCAAGTTCTGTTTCATTGTCTTGTATTTCAGTCAGCGATAGCATCCTACATTCGCCTGTTCGAGCCGTTAGTCATCAAATCCTTGAAGCAGTACACTGTGACAAGCTCGCTAGAACTCCAGCGCCAAGTCCTTGACCTTCTGGCCCAGCTGGTGCAACTCAGAGTCAACTACTGTCTCCTTGACTCTGACCAAATCTTCATTGGTTTTGTACTAAAACAGTTTGAGTTCATTGAGGAGGGCCAGATCAGGTGAGATACAGACACTTTGCTTTCCACACTCTTCTTGGTTTCAACTTTTCACATTTCATATTAGATATCTCTGTGATATATGGGTTGTCCTTTGGGATTCTGGTACAGTACCACGCTTACATGACACTTTTTATGGGGACAACAACTTCATCAGGTGAAGGGCGGTGGGGTAGCATAGTGGTTAAGGCAATCGCTCGTCACGCCGAGGAACCGGGTTCGATTCCCAACATAGGTACAATGTGCAGAGTTGTGTCCCTCTTGCCAGAAACCTTGGAGCATGGCTTGGAATCGTAGTCTGCCCCTATTATATTACTGTTTGTCAGCACCATACCCGTGCTCGTGGTTTTTACCAGAGTGGAAAACATCTGAGACCTGCATCACTTTGGGCTTTTCTCTGACATCGAGCTGCCACACTGTGATATGATCGGAATACCGTTCAAAGTGGCATTGAAAACAACTCATTCTCTCATTGTCACTCCTAAAAATGACAGTTCAAAACCTGATCCTAAAGCAATGGGCTTCTTGTTATTATAAGTTACATTTGTCACTATTGCCACATGTAACAACTTTATCATTACAAGTTACGAAGAATTATTTAATTGAAGTATATGTGTGCGACAATGACTGTAGTTCTATCATGTGTCCGCTATCATTCTCTCTGTATGTTGGGGGCATGGGTGGCCCAGTCGTCTAAGGCGCCGCGATTCGCTGTGCAGAGTTGCATCCCTTGGGCATGCCAGAAAGCTATGATTGTGGGTTCGAATCCCGGTTCGCCCCGATTATGCTTCTAGGTTTGTCAGCACCATACCTGTGCTCGTGGGTTTCAACGAAGTGGTAAACGTCTGAGACCTGCATCACTTCGGGCTTTCCTCCCACATTAAGCTGACACGCCGTGATATAACTGTAATACTGTTAAAAGCGACGTTAAACCCAACTCACTCACTCACTCACTCACTCACTCACTCACTCACTCACTCACTCACTCACTCACTCACTCACTCTGTATGTTATTCTTTGTGATGATCATGCTAACAGGGTCAACTGTGATGTGAGAAGTGTCTCACTTGTATTAGTTGTTACAAGCTGGCGACTTGTAATGATAAACTCTGATCCTTCCTGCTGACGCTCTTCACTGTTTCCAGGAACTCTGAGATGCTGGTGCCACACATATTCCAGTTCCTGGTGATGTTGTCGTACGAGAGGTTCCACAGCAAGTCCATCATTGACATGCCTCGGATTATACACCGATGTGACGGCATCATGGCCAGCGGACTACAGCCCACAACGCATGGTGAGTTTCCACTCGTGTTCAGTGGGGTGACAAGGGCATGCATTGTAGCCTCAGCCAGTGTCACTGTGATGAGCGACAGTATTTGTTTCATAGTTAATCTAAGGATAACATAGGGAGTTATTAAGTGACAGTATTCTGATAAGACCATCCTCGAATATCGAGTGTATCATATCCATTCTGTTATGGTAAGTACCCTGGACACATTCAACACCATAGCTTGTTTAAGAAGTGATGTCACCGTCTCTCATCTCTCTTAGCATTCATTATTACAGAATTTCTCTCGCTTAGGCTTAAAAAAAATAAAAGAATTGGTTCTCAGGCAATGGCTTTTGAAAATATAGTGGTGTGCAGGCAGTTTGTTTTGTTTTGTTTTTGATTGTTCAAACAAGTCTGTAGCCTCCCTACTTAAATGTATTCCTTGATGAGGAAAATACTGGAATACAGTATTTGACTACCGTTGGACTTGGAATATTTAAGGATGATTTTTTGTGTGTTTTAAAATGGAAATAAAAACGAAACGTGCGGTAAACTTTATGATGATTCGGACGGTGCCTGAGAACCAAGACCATTATTGTTTTTTTAGCTTATTTGGTGTAATTTGAGTGTACAGCTATTTTTAGTATCGCCCATTTAAAATTGAAGCTTTTTTATGGACTCAAAATGAATCTATTGGGGCAAATGTGTCCAGGTTATCTATCGTGACAGAACAGAGATATAATACCGTGGATAACCGAGGATGTCATAGGACCTGCTCAGTAGTGCTCTTAGCATGAATTGCATGAGTTCTGTAAAGATTATAGGCAGATTCCAATGTGTGTTTACAATCCTTTGAATTTATGGAAGTCCTTTGCACTCTTCATGTTGGTGAGAATGTTGTTGCAAGGAACAGGACCAGACTTGAAAGGTGGCCAAATGATTGTGTTTGCATTTGAGGGACAATTAGGAGTTGATAGCTACTTACCCGTAATGTTGTCATTGGTATTATTGTATAAGCTCGCTGATGTATTTTGGACCAGCACCTTTAACATGTTTAAGGTTGTACTGTAAATTCATTAGATTAGTACACTAATACAAGGTTAGAATTACCGAACTAAGTTTGTAAGGGTCGAATGAATGAAATGGGTGGTCAGAATCAGTGATTTAGTTGATTGATATCATTGTACCCTGATTGCATGGCTTGTTGATCAGTAGCTGGTCAGTCTGGCCAAATCTTGCTTATTGCTGTAATAGTGCTGAGTGTGGCATTGAAACAATAAGTAAACAAATAGAGTAATTGACTAGCTGGACTACACACAATATATGTATGAGGTTTGGGAATGCATGTTACAGCTATCCCAGCTCTGCGCTGCGTGGTGTATGACCTGTTCCTGCTCCGTGGCAATAGCAAGTCAGATGTAGGGAAGGAGCTGGAGACGCAGAGGGAGGTGGTGGTGTCCATGCTGCTGCGCCTCATCAACTACTATCAGGTAATACATACATCAGGGGGTGGTGGGATAGCCTAGTGGTTAAAACGTTCACTCGTCACACCGAAGACCATGGTTCCATTCCCCACATGTGTGAAGCTAGTTTACCTTACTTGATTATTTGGAGTATGCAGTGAAAGTTATCACTGGCAAGTTATAATGTATACAAGTCAAAAAAGAGTAATAGAACACCCTGACATAGCAGATTAACTGTTGTAATATTATAAAATCTGACGTTCTTTAACTTCTCTTGATTAGTACGTAGCCACAGTGTTGTCAAGGTCGCCGACTTGACTGATGCATGTCATCGTATCCTAATTGGGTTGATCGATGCTCATGACACCAATCACTGGATTGTCTGGTCCAGACAAAATTATGTATAGACCGCTGTCATGTCTGGCCCAGACACGATTATTTACAGACCGCCGCCATATAGCTGGAATATTTCTGAGTGCGGCGTTAAACAACATACAAACAAACACAGTGATGTATTTCAGACGAAGACCTATAAGGCTGGACTGTAAGTTTATTAGATACCCCATGGGGATTCCTGGTTAGGATAGTAACCTATGCTTGTTAGGATAGTAACCTGTGCTTGTTAGGATAGTAACCTATGCTTGTTAGGATAGTAACCTATGCTTGTTAGGATAGTAACCTATGCTTGTTAGGATAGTAACCTATGCTTGTTAGGATAGTAACCTGTGGTTGTTAGGATAGCAACCTATGCTTGTTGGTTGAGACAACTTAGTCGTTCAGACGGTCTGACACAGTGACTTGGTTGATTGCATGTCATCATACCCCAACAGCCTGAATTGTTGCTCATATCTGTCGGTGGTTTGTCAGGTCCAGACAAAATTATTAATCACCTTAACAGGAGGCAGTGATATGGCTAGTGTATTCATCAAGAAAACAATACACCATTCCATTGTCTACTTTGTGTCATCATGGCATAGGGCGGTGGGGTAGCCTAGTGGTTAAAGTGTTCACTCGTCAGGCTAAGGACCCAGGTTCGATTCCCCACATGGGCACGAAGTGTAAAGCTCATTTCTGGTGTCCCCTGACGTGATATTGCTGGAATATTGCTAAAAGGGGCGTGAAACCTCACTCACTCACGCCATATTTATTCCACATTTGTTTTTGCTGCTGCAGGCGCTGGAGATGTTTGTGATAGTTCTTCAGCAGTGCCACAGAGAGAGTGAGGACAAGTGGAAGCGGCTATCTCGACAAGTCATCGACACTGTACTGCCAGCTCTAGCCAAACAACAGGTGATTTAGATGTTCCATTTGGAGGAATTGTAACATGAGAAGTAGTTAACAACACAGCAATTTGATATCTCATACTTCACATTACTTGTGATAGTCTTTAAGTCATGTCCATGATGATAAACAAGCAATAATTAATTACAGGATATGTCTGAATGCTATGATCTTTGTCAGCTTTCACTTTACATAGCTTTGACGATAGAAGGATTGATGCTTTGATTGTTTGGTGAGGGAAGAGAAGGAGTGGTGGTGGGGTTCGCTCGGTTCAAAATTAAAATAAAGAGGTATCTACTCTACAGTGGGACTTCATCAAATTTCAAAACACAGTTGTTTTATCTCCTAATTCTATCCATTCTGCTTTGTCTGGTCCAGGTTTGATTATTTACTGACTGTGGTGAAATAGCTGTTACTTAACTGACTGCTGACTGCAGTATGATAATTCACTGGCATTGGAACCCTCTGTGTAGGATATTTCAAGTTGTATTAACTATAAGCCATCCTAGGTGACTCCCATTATTTACTGAGGTGAGTGGAACACATGGTACAGAAGACATGTGGAGATACAACTTTGTGCATTGGTTCCAGATCAACATTGACCGACAGGCTTCACTGGACGTCCTGCACCGGTTGTTTGAGTCAGTGGCGCCAAGCGTCTTCAGACCGGTTGACATCCTGCTGAAGGGGCTGCTCGGATCCCCAGGGGACATTGTAAGGAATATGTAGAATACTTGGATTATTTACCTTATCTTGCATTACTCCTAGACTGACATGATATAGCTGGAATGTTGATGATTACAATGTCAAACAAATTGTGAACGCTTTGTGAAAATACCATCAATAATACAAAGATAGTTAGACCTAGTAAAGTGTTTTAAAAGCTAGCCAAACATAGAACTGTCTTCTTTACTTCACGTCTACTGTTCTAATGCTCTGCAAGGCTATGCAGAGTTACATTCCTTAGCCATGGCAGGATCCACTAACCACAAGCATGCTTCAAGATTATCCCCAGTGTGTGTGAATCCCATTTTCCGGTGTCCCCAGCCCTGATATTGCTGGAATATTGATAAAAGCGGCACAAAACCATACTAACTCACTATAAGGAAATTATAAATCATAATGTTTTTGTCACAAAAATAATGTTCAAAGTTTCATGAAACTAACCCCTCACTCTCTGCGATGTAATGTTAGTACATGACTGATGGGTTGCCTCTGTCCTGCAGTCATGTGTCCAGGGCCTGCAGCGCTGGATGTGTCTGGTGCTGTCCGTCATGAGAGTGCTGGTCTCACAGTCTAAGGAGGAGGTGGTGTTGTCTCGCCTCGTGGACGTGGGGCTGTCGTTCCCCCTGACGCGGGACGCCGGGGAGAGAGACACCAACATCGAGGACTACAGCGATCTGATCCCAGAGGAGATATTTGCATGGTATTGTTACACAAAGTTCTTTAACCACATATTAAGAAAATGAGTTAGAATATATGTTAGCTGCTGTTGTTCACTATAATGTTTGATATCACCTTTTATTAATGATATGGACATTTTGTTTTGTTTATTATTCTGTTCAAAGTGGCCATAAAACAACTCCCTTTATAATTATTATTGTTGTTGTTGTTATTATTATTATACCACAGGTATCCAGGTACTAGTATCTGCTCAAATGCAGTTTTATTCTATTATACACCGTAAGCTAACTCTCTACTCTCTACCCTAGGTTCCTGTTGCAAGCAATAGGCAAGTGTGCAGAAACCCTGAACAAGGAATCTGTGACCATCCACTCCTCCGACAACAACCTGCACTTTCTGGTCCAGCAGATGTGCCACCTCATCCTGTACATCACGCACATGTTCCAGTCCGGGCTGTACCGCCGCGTTGCCACGGCAGCCATGCGCATCATGCAGATGGACTGTCCTCGCAACGTGTACAGTGTGCGCGAGATCAACCAGCTGCTGCTGGCGCTCAACACTGTGTACCCAACTCTGACGATGCTGTGGTGCAACGTCCTCATCCTACTCAACTTTGACGACCAGAGCATGTGGAGCCAGGTGATGCACACACCACAGAAGTACCTCATGGTCAGCCCTAGGTGAGGAGATGAAGTTATGTTAGGCCACAATAAATTATCAGATTTTCATCGAGATTTTTTAGGTTGGAGGCTCTTAAAAAAGAAATAAAGAAACTGTGCAAGGCATCTTTTTAAATTAACTGTCTGTTCACATGACAAATGAGTGCTTGGCAGTATTACATATACTATGCATTTCATTAGGTGGGCGGTGGGGTAGCCTAGTGGTTAAACGTTCGCTTGTCCGAAGACACGGGTTCAATCCCACATGGGTACAATGTGTGAAGCTAATTTCAGGTGGAATAATGCTAGAAGTGGCATAAAACCATAGTCACTCATTCATTTTATCAAGTACAGAAGGAAGGGAACTCACCCGGCTATGTTTCTTGTGTGGAGGTGGCCGTGGGGTAGCCTAGTGGTAATAGAGTTCACCAGGTTCGATTCCCCACATGGTTACAATGTGTGAAGCCCATTTCTGGTGGAATATTTGTAAAAGCAGCATAAACCATACTCACTCAGTCTTGGTTGTAGGCATTTTGTAAGAACAATGTGAGGTGGTTTGTTTGGTATTAAGGTTGGTGGGATGAAAGTCTAATGATGAATTTATTCTGCTCACATTCAGCTCATATTTCTGTTTAACAATGTTTGCTCTGCACATGTGTGACAGTACAAATTCCACCAACTCCACTTACGTCTGTTCATGGAAGCTATTCTTGACTTCATGTGTATTGTATATCATCCCAGAAATAATTGCAAAATATCAGTCTAAGTCAGCCCTCGATTTGGTGTTATTCCAGTGTTAGAAATTGGCACTAGTCCTATAGTCCTTGCCAAACTGCCTAATAGTTAAGGTAGTGTAAGGACAAGTAGAAATTTGCCCTTTTTAAGGGTTTTGCTATATGTTATCATTATAAGGACTGGTGGACCAAAACTGTTAGTTATATCGCTGTTATTCTGTGACAGTCGCCAGGGCAACATGGTGGACCTAAAGAAGCGGACGCTGCAGTGTTGTCAGCTGGAGCTGCTGAGACGGGGTGGACTCATCCTCTTCTGTGACTACGTGGTCAGTTTGTTTATACTACTGGCTTCACCTGTAATGATGTTTAACTTATATCACCCCTTGTGTGGCTTCTCCACTCCAGTGTAACTTCATCCTAATCTACTCAACTGTATAAACACTGCTTCATACCTGTATAAGTACTTGTCAACCATACTCTGCACATCACTTGCTTGTTAACAGTGTTAGAACCTACACCGAAACATCACTTCTAATTGTAATAAAAAAGTTGTTCATCCATATATCGTATCCTTACTTAGTCCTCCAACTTCTAAGTGCCTCTTAAATTAGAGGTCAGTCCATGATGACAATCAGTGTCCTAGAAAATTAACCAATCTGAAACCTGGGTATGGAATCTTATTTTAATTTTGAAAGCAATGAGTTTGTATATGCAAAATGTTCTTGAGCTCCTAAGCTTATTGACATGGTAGGATTACAGTGAACCTTGTTAATCCGAACCCCAGTAATCCAGACATCTTGCTTTTCTAACAACTACGTCTTCATTACTGTTTATCCATGATTTGATACTAAGCTGGACGGTTTTAATAGGAACCCTTCTGTGCAGATTAATGATGTTTTGCAGTATATGAAATTAATATGTCATTGTGTTTTACATAATGCCCTCTCATGAAGTTTCTGAATCAGTGCAGTATTTTTCAATGTTTATCTTCATTTCCAGTGTGAGAACCTAAATGATGCGGAACACATGACATGGCTGATCATAAACCACGTGTCTGATCTGATTGAGCTTTCCGATGAGTCACCAGTGCAGGATTTCATCAGCGCCATACATCGCAACTCGGCCGCCAGCAGCCTCTTCATACAAGCCATACATGCAAGATGTGAAAATGTCTCCAGGGTGAGATTTAACTGCATTCATTCACATTTGATTTTCACTACCTTCATAGCCTTATAGTTAAATTTCCGTTGTGTTCATCGTAATTCCTGCATTCTGATTAGCTGAATTGGTCACATGTTATTGCATTCATCTCCCAATGAATGAAAACCGTGGCAGACTACTACTTTCATTACTATGGAATGTCGGTGGAATTCCCTTTCTGCTCATGTGTATTGTCCCTTCAGGACATTTAGTGAAATTCATGCATATTCAATGCCCAAACTACCCTTTGAGACCGAAACGGCAAACATGCAGGCTTGCTCGCCTGGGTTCCACAAATTTATGTCTTCAGGTTTCATTTCTAACCCACATTTTTCCAACTGTGTCTTCCCGTTCTCAGGGAACTAATGTTTGAATATGGGACCTGTGAAGATCCGGGGTAGAATACCGTATTTTCTTGAGTATAGTGCGCACTTTTTTTTCGAAAAAACACAGCTGTGTAGAAGGGGGTGCGCATTATACACGAATTATGAGTTTGGATGTTTTTTCCCCCCATGGAAAGACATTACCGTGAGCACGAAACACCGGAAATACCATGTCAACAAATCCATACTGAAGTACGCAAAATACTTATGTAATTACACTGTCTGGCTATAAAAAGTGTTCTTTTTATATCTGGACTTATGTTTGTAACTTATTTCATCGATTTTATTCAAAATTCCTTATAATATTGTTTTTATTAATTTCGGCGAAATCGTGTGTGAAGCGATCGGAAGATCGCACAACTCACCGTTATTAGCAGCAACCATGGTCAGAATACCGCTATTGACGCCTTGAAACAAACTTTAGTTGACAGAGAATGGATACATATATCATAAATGACATACTTTGCCTCGTTAAAAGTCATATTTGTTTTTGTTTGACGATTCTATGTCAACATGAAATTCTCGCGATCACGTGATCACGTGCGCGTGAGCCTTGACGGTGACTCGTCAGACATGTTCCATGTAAAAAATAATACCCGGGAATAGCGATCAGCTGCTTCGCTTAGGGTTATTATTATTTTAAATATGTTTAGTAAAGGTTGCATATAATTAAGAAAATAATGGAATATATTATTCCTGATAAATAAAATAGTTTCAGATACAATTGTTGCCGATCCTTGCATTAAAAATCTTATAAAGTTATATCATTGGGTGTGTCTTGACCGAATCACCGGTCGACTCCAAGAAAATGTGTGTACAGCTGATTGCTGTTTCCAGCTTAGTTTACGAGAAAATACGCAAGGTAATCTTAATCCCTAAATATAAAACAATGCCTAGCAGAACAATAAATACTTTTTAACGGTAAATAAACATGTCTGGTGATTTTTTATCTCAAATTTCGAATTTGTACTGACGAAGTTTCTCGGCACCCGTTCGTTTGCCGGACTTCGCTGAAAGGGTACGGTGTAAAAAATTTCTGCGCATAATATTCAAATTTATTTTTTTCCAAAATATTGAACCCGCTAGAGGGGGGTGCGCATTATACATGGGTGCGCACTATACTCAAGAAAATACGGTAGGTCTTCAGCAACCCATGCTTAATGTAAAAGGCGACTATGCTTGTCGTAAGAGGCGACTAACGGGATACTTCTGTAGCTATATGCCACCATGATAGGGCTGGACTGTTGCTGTCGGAGGTATAAAACATAGACAACACAAACATGGGCTGAAATATTAATCATCAAGCTTGTTTGGTTTGCTTTGGTTGTGCTCAGATGACCAAGAACACCAGTAGAAATTAAAATTATGTATCTTTGAAACATGGAATCAGCATGCAAAACTTTGAATAAGTATCATGTTATTACCCCCTGAAGTGGAAAAAGGAATGGGTGCTGTCTGTCCGTCCGTCCATCCGTCCATCACATTTTGTTTCTTAAGCAATACTCCAAAGCCATGAGAGATAGCTTAACCAAACTTGGTTAAGTTGGTGAACTGATGCCTTTGAGTAATTCATGCTTGTTTATGTCCTATTTTTCAGCCATCTGTCTCCACTTATAAATGTACATCCATCTACAACTTTTAGGTACAGAGCTGTATCTGTAAATGTCTGGTGAATGTTTCAGCCCTCACTTGTGAAGAAGACCCTGAAATGCATAGAAGCAATCCATCTGACGCAGAGTGGAGCGTTACTGACGCTTCTGATAGACAAGTTTCTCAACACACATCAGCTGGCTGTCGCGAGGATGTGCGACACTATCGCATGTCGGCGAGTTGAGATGTTGCTCGCGGAGAACTATGAGGACAGCAGCAAGCAGTTACCACTTGAGGATTTAGAGAAGTTACTGCAGTTTATGAGATCCAATGGATTAATACAGAGGTAGATTATTGACACAACTTGTTAGATATGCCATTTCATATCTCATATTGTAACTGTCTGAATGCACAAAATATCTGATATTTATTTCATGCCTGAAGACAGTTTTATTTCGAAGGCACCATGGCACTTTGGCGAGGCCAGTTGAAGCTGATTCATCTGTATTTCATTTCTCTGGAAACATCATTGATGATCTTGATAATCTTTCTTTTATGATAATCAGTGCTAACTTCATCAATTGGGTGAGCTGATCATTTTGATGAATCTCAAAGTTTTCTACTGAAATCTCGCCACGAATTGCTGTAAGATTGCTGATGTGACGTAAAACAATAATTACTCACTCTACAGAAATTTGTATATGGAGAAGATTTTCAGGGTAAAATAGGTCTTCAGCAACCCATGCTTGCCGTAAAAGGTGACTTGGGTTCTCGTAAAAGGCGACTAACGGGATTGGGTGGTCAAGCTCGCTGACTTGGTTGATGCATGTCATCGATCCCAATTGCATGGATCGATGCTCATGATATTAATCACTGGTTTGTCTGGTCCAGACTCGATTATTTACAGACCGCCGTCATATAGCTGGAATATTGCTGAGTGCGGTGTTAAATAACAAACCAACCAATCAACTTTATTTGGAAGTCATTAGCTCTGTACTTGCATTCATTCTCAATAACTTGAGTTGATTCAACTGAATGTGTTTCGAAGTAAGCAGGACATTATTAATCTTGAGTTTTGTCTTGTCTGTTTTGAAGTTGATGCTTTAGACAAAAAGTGATGCTTCTTTTTTAGTTTCATACTTTTGTAAATAATGTGATGTTTTCTCTAAGTACTTTCTTGTGATGGTGTGTGTTATGTTGCAGACATGCCCGCCTTGTCTCCCTCCTCAACAAGTTCCTCATCCTCCAATCTCCGGACAACAAACATGCCATGTCACCAGAGAAAACTCACCCTCTGGCCTTGACCCCTGAACAGGTCACAAATATTGAGGTCAATAAGGTAAATGGACAATTACGAATTAAGCACGAAAGTATGACAGTGTGTACTGCAAATTTTTTAGACTGAGCATTATTTACAGTAGATTTTAACTCATCTATTCTCAGTTTAGCTTATAAGATTAAAATACATCAGATCGATGCAGGCAGGCTTCCGACTTAAGTTACATTACCAATAAAGCCCCTTTTTGCATTCTTCAGTCTCTTCATTTCTCGCTTTATTTTGTCAAACTGATCCCTTGAAATGCTGAATCATTGTTGGGACAGGGGTGAAATGAAGTCAAGGTTTCATTCGAAGTGTTGTTTTGTTTGCTGGTCAAAGGAAAGGTATGAAAATTCACACTGCTGCCAGTGTCGCTTGCCTCAGTAGTAATCCCTGGTGTACTCCCTGTGCAGGACTTCTACCTGTCGGTGGTGAAGGACCAGTGCTTCCAGATGGACCCCAACACAAGGGAGTGTGCCTTCCTCCTCCAGCGCCTGGACTACGCTGACATTCTGTCTATCACCATGACAAAGGTAGGCTGCTGTACAAACTGTCATCAGATGAAGAACTTACATAGGTTTGTTGAATCAGCAAATTTGGTGATTAAGTACAAGCACTACACTCAAATCCTGTCTTTGACAGGGATGCTGCTCTGCCTGGGCAGACATCATCAGCTGATGTTCTTGCATAGGTGATTATCAGGGACCAGCCATTTCGCTTCCAGAGTGGTGGAGGGATAGCTGGCTCAACTTTCTGTACCATCAATAAATTGGGATCATGGGGTAGCCTTATGGTTTAGAAGTTTGCTTGTAATGCTGATGACTTTGGTTCAATTCCAGAAATGCTGGAATTATTGCTGGAATTATTGCTGGAGTTATTGCTGGAATGTTGTAGGAGTTATTGCTGGAATGTTGTAGGAGTTATTGCTGGAATATTCCTGGAGTTTTTGCTGGAATTATTGCTGGAATTATTGCTGGAATGTTGTAGGAGTTGTTGCTGGAATGTTGTAGGAGTTATTGCTGGAATGTTGTAGGAGTTATTGCTGGAAGTATTGCTGGAATGTTGTAGGAGTTATTGCTGGAATGTTGTAGGAGTTATTGCTGGAATGTTGCTGGAGTTATTGCTGGAATGTTGTAGGAGTTATTGCTGGAATGTTGTAGGAGTTATTGCTGGAATGTTGCTGGAGTTATTGCTGGAATGTTGTAGGAGTTATTGCTGGAATGTTGTAGGAGTTATTGCTGGAATATTCCTGGAGTTTTTGCTGGAATTATTGCTGGAGTTATTGTTGGAATTATTGCTGGAGTTATTGCTGGAGTTATTGCTGGAATTATTGCTGGAGTTATTGCTGGAATTATTGTTGGAGTTATTGCTGGAATGTTGTAGGAGTTATTGCTGGAATGTTGTAGGAGTTATTGCTGGAATGTTGTAGGAGTTATTGCTGGAATGTTGTAGGAGTTATTGCTGGAATGTTGCTGGAGTTATTGCTGGAATGTTGTAGGAGTTATTGCTGGAATGTTGCTGGAGTTATTGCTGGAATGTTGCTCAAAATATTGCTGGAATTATTTCTGTATTGTTGCTCGAAATATTGCTGGAGTTATTGCTGGAATGTTGCTCGAAATATTGCTGGAATTATTTCTGTAATCATGGTAATGTTGCTCAAAATATTGCTGGAATTATTGCTTGAATGTTGCTGGAATTATTGCTTGAATGTTGCTGTATTATTGTGGGAATATTGTTAACAGCAGCATAAAATGATCCTCATTATTCAAGGAAATATATTTGACCTGACTTTAATGTTTCTGTTTTCAGGAGTTCAGTCTGGCAGTGTTAGAGGAGTGTATATCGCTGGGCGCGTACCGAACACTTGTGAGATACAATCGTGACCGGGAGACTCACACTGAGCAGAAGCTGCCTCCCTCAGAGCCGAGTCTAGACACACTCTTCCAGGCAGCTCAGCTCACTCTGTTCCGCCATATTAACAATATAATCAATCACCTTCCAATTCCGCATCAAAACCTGAATTTTAGACTCTCTCTCAGTGCCAAAGAGATTCGATACATGGAGAGAATTGAGGATTTGTTTACGGATAGTACATGGTTTGTGATGAACTTTCAACTGACGTCAGCATTGACGCAGTATTTAGTGTCTGTACAGAGGTTTCCATGGAAACCAGGTGTGCCAGCAGAATCTCATGGGGATGTGTGCCGCTTTAGTGTTCTTTGTATGGAGGTAAGAGAATTTGGTCTGTTTTCAAATATTTTCAAATCTGGACTTTTCAGTAGTTTAAATGAGCTTTAATTTGAAATGTTGATTGGATATTATGTTACACTTAGTCTTTTCAAGTGGCAATTCTTGCAGCTGCTAACAACGCCATGTTTGTTGGCCATCTGAATCAACAAGGTAGGCTCCTGCCCAGTGCTTTTTATAAGAGCTGTCTAAATGAGGATTGGAATCCTACAGTGAGTGACTGGCTGTTGCATGTTATCACGCACGGGCGGGGTGAATTGCTGCTCATGCTCCCAGTCACAGGCTTGTCTGGCCCTGAATCGATGATTTACAGGCACCTCGGTCTAGATGGAATATTGCTCCCTGCAGCATTCAGGTTGAGCACTACCTTACCCTTCATGGTATGTGTGCCACAAGGTATGAACACAGCATGAATGAATACCCATTTGCATTCTGCATATATTAGATTGTATTGTGTATGAACATATGTTTCCATTGTATAGATGTGACCCATGAAGATCTGGGGTAGAATAGGTCTTCAGCAACCCATGCTTGCTGTAAAAGGTTACCATGCTTGTCGTAAGAGGAGACTAACGGGATCGGTGGGTCAGGCTCGCTGACTTGGTTGATGCATGTCATCGATCCCATTTGCTTAGATCGATGCTCATGATATTAATCACTGGATTGTCTGGTCCAGATTCAATTATTTACAGTCCGCCGTCATATAGCTGGAATATTGCTGAGTGCGGCATTAAACAAATAGTGACATGAGGTTATACAAGTGTTTTGTTTCCAGATGTTGAGTTGGCTGCTCCAGCACAACCAGCTGCCGACCACGGAGCAGATACAAACATGTCTGGAGTGTGTGTCCCTCGTCCTGCAGAGCCAAGTCTTCTCCTCCGTCATTGGTCAGACTGATCACTCCACGTGGGTGTGCACCATCACGTCCGCACTGTACCAGCTTATGTCATCTTGTGAGTAGCCGTTCTAAACACGTTCTCAAAGGGGATCGGGTGGTCAGACTCTCTGACTTGGTTTATGCATGTTATCAATCATGTCTCAGTTGTGTAGATATTCATCAAAGCATATTCCATTAGGCATAAAAGACAAAAAAGCAGTGAAAATTAATGAATGGATCACTGAAAATCACTTATGACACCAGGTGTTCGAAAGAAGGGTAGCACCCACCACTCCCACAATTTGCTTAAAAAAGTTTTTGCCTGACACCACACATCAACATGCCATTTGGATTACTGATTTTTGAAATGGCTACTTTATGTATACTGCTGTTGAATGCAGTGCTTAGCCTGTTTCCAGATATGTATTACCACTGCAGCAGAGGAGTAAGTGTTTCTAGAAAACCTCTGTAGTCATGGTAGTGTGCTACAGGCGTCTTGCAGTGCTGCTTGTGTTTCAGTGGTGGTGCTACCAGGGGAGAAGGTGGCTGTGTTGGCTCACCAGGACCGAGAGGATGACAGCATGACACATTCCAGAGATGGTGGGTACAACATGAGATTGAAAGATTTCCTTATTCTTTCTTGGTGGAATTAATCTCTTTAACTGTATTTCCTTTTGCATGTTTTGAAGACCATTTCAGGGTGTTACCATGTACTACAAAACTAAAATTAGTTTCAAGGGTCCTAAGAGAACATGTGAGGATCCTGTAAAGTAATGAAATAGTGTACTGTACTGTACTGTACTGTAAGTGTACTGTAAGTGTACTGTAGTGTAGTGTAGTGAAGTGTAGTGAAGTGTAGTGTAGTGTAGTGTAGTGTAGTGTAGTGTAGTGTAGTGTACTGTACTGTACTGTACTGTACTGTACTGTAGTGTAGTGTACTGTAGTATAGTGTACTGTACTGTACTGTACTGTACTGTAAGTGTACTGTAGTGAACTGTAATGTAGTGTACTGTAGTGTACTGTACTGTAGTATAGTGTACTGTAGTGTACTGTAGTATAGTGTACTGTACTGTAAGTATACTGTAGTGAACTGTAATGTAGTGTACTGTACTGTAGTGTGCTGTACTGTACTGTAGTGTAGTGTACGGTAGTGTCGTGTACTGTGCTGTACTGTACTGTGCTGTACTGTGCTGTACTGTACTGTACTGTACTGTAGTGTAGTGTACGGTAGTGTAGTGTAGTGTAGTGTGCTGTACTGTACTGTAGTGTGCTGTACTGTAGTGTAGTGTACTGTAGTGTAGTGTACGGTAGTGTAGTGTACGGTAGTGTCGTGTACTGTACTGTAGTATAGTGTAGTGTACTGTACTGGATTGTAGTGTAGTGTACTGTACTGTACTGTACTGTACTGTAGTAGTGTACTGTAGTGTACTGTACTGTAGTGTGCTGTAGTGTAGTGTACTGTACTGTAGTGTGCTGTACTGCAGTGTACTGTACTGTAGTGTAGTGTGCTGTACTGTAGTTTACTGTACTGTAGTGTACTGTACTGTAGTTGCTGTAGTGTAGTGTAGTGTACTGTACTGTAGTGTGCTGTACTGTACTGTACTGTACTTTGGTGTACTGTACTGTAGTGTGCTGTACTATAGTGTAGTGTACTCTACTGTACTGTAGAGTACTGTACTGTACTGTAGTGTGCTGTACTGTACTATGGTGTAGTGTACTGTACTGTAGTGTACTGTAGTGTGCTGTACTATAGTGTAGTGTACTCTACTGTACTGTAGTGTACTGTACTATGGTGTAGTGTACTGTACTGTAGTGTACTGAACTGTAGTGTACTGTACTATAGTTTACTGTACTTTAGTGCACTGTACTGTAGTATAGTGTAGTGTACTGTACTATGGTGTAGTGAACTGTACTGTAGTGTACTGTGCTGTACTGTAGTGTGCTGTACTATAGTGTACTGTACTGTAGTGTACTGTACTTTAGTGTACTGTACTGTAGTATAGTGTAGTGTACTGTACTGTACTATGGTGTAGTGTGCTCTACTGTAGTATAGTGTAGTGTACTGTAGTGTAGTGTAGTGTACGGTAGTGTAGTGTACTGTAGCGTAGTGTATGGTAGTGTACTGTACTGTACTGTACTCTACTGTAGTGTAAGACTTAATAAATACTGTATAGTAATGAAATAGTGTACTGTAGTGTACTGTACTTTAGTTTACTGTAGTGTAGTGTACGGTAGTGCACTGTACTGTACTGTTCTTTAGTGTACTGTACTGTACTGTACTCTACTGTAGTGTAAGACTTAATAAATACTGTAATTACAGGCCCTTTTCATTTCTTGTCACAAATATGATACAATGGATATGATTGTGCATCCCCGGTAGGCACTAAAGATTGTTCCTTCGTCCATTCTATACATTTGTGTGTACAGGATGCACATTTCTGCATCATGTAAAACCTTGTATTGTCAGAGTGTTTGTTTTACAGACCTTTTATATGTCATTTTTAGACAGGTTTGTAATTGTTTTGTCTATAGCAACTCCTAAAACTCCTACAAAAAACATATATTGGGAAAAGAGGACATGGTGATTGCAATGAACCAATAAATGATTTCATGTCATCTCTTCTATTTTCCAGAGTCGACCTACCTGATCCGTGCTTGTGACCAGATCTCGGAGTTGGTTCACTGTCTACAGACTCGCCTGAAACCAAAGACCCAGACTAGTCTCCCCCTGCCCCCAGTCATAGCAGCTCCTATCAGGAACATCGTCATTGGTCAGTACAACATAACAATCCAATTTTCAGTCAGTAATAGCTTGGAGTGGATTTTCACTGATGACATAGAGTGGATTTTCAGAGTATCTGAATGTTGTTGTCACAATGTAGTGGTCAGTGTATTAGATATAAGGGCATCAGTCAATCTTAGTACCACTATTAGGGACTGACATTTATTATGCTAAGTCAGTGACTCAAGACAAAACGGTCAAATAAGCATGGTAAGTGAAACCAATTTATGTGCAAGTCACTACAAATATATTATCCTATTTTTTATTTCAAAATTTTCAATCTGTAATATACATGACTTGCAACACAATCTCTCTGCATTTATGGATTTAACTGACAGATTTCATGTTATTTTAACTGACAAGTCTAAATTCTTCTGACTGAACAAATTCATTGGACATGTAGCAAGTTAAGGTGTTTTTTTATGATTCTGGGATAAGTGACATATATTTGAACATCTTACCCATTTGACAAATGTTAAAGTTGGCATAACACATTTTTATTAAAGTACAGATTCTAGTACTTGTTTTGGGTTGAGTCCCATCCAGGATTCGAACCCACACTGCCAGAGTGGGGCACCTAGTCACACAAAGTCACAAAGTCAGCAATCTAACCCACTCAGCTTCCACGGTGACTGAGTGCGTTAGACCACTGACTTTCTAGATGGCATTATGTTCATCTTACCTATTAATCTGCAGGTCTTGGTCGGCTCCAGCTCGTCAACACGTACGCTAGAACACCGCCACTTGTATGGAAGCTGGGCTGGGCTCCCTCCCCCTCAGGAGATCTGAAGACGAAACTACCTCCATTACCTGTGGACTTTCTACAGGAGAAAGAAGTCTTGAGGGAATTTGTTTTGCGGGTCAACACGCTCGGTAAGACAAGAAACACTTTCATCCAATGCCAAATACTTGACATATTGTGATACATGGTGTGAAATTGAACACCTCAACTCTACAATGCATGGTTACACTCGCACTGTTGTTGCGGTAGGCTCACACTGGGTAAGACAAAGATGCCAGAACATTTTCTTCCAATGCCAGATACTTGACAAAACATATTGTGATACAGGGTGTGAAATTGAACACATCAACTCTACAATGCATGGTTACACTCATACTGTTGTTGCTGTAGGCTCACACTGGGTAAGACAAAGATGCCAGAACATTTTCATCCAATGCCAGATACTTGATAAGACATATTGCGATACGTGGTTGCACACAATACATGGTTACACTCCTGTGTTGTTGCTGTAGGCTGGGTGAGTCGGCAGCAGTTTGAGGAGACGTGGATGAGTCTGCTAGCACTACTCAACCCTGTGTCAGGGGGCATGGATCTAACTCATGAGGTGAGTGTCTCTGGAGGATCCGCACTAATAATCCTGCTACTTAATTTCAAATGACATCATATGGGACTGACATTTGATATTCTAGGAAGGGGGGAGGAGGCTGTATTTTGTGTGTTTTTTCTTCTTCACATATAAATTGTTCCATAAAATACTAGGATATAAAAAATCTGAATTTGGATTTGGATTTCCTAAACAAAATGGTTATTTCAGCTCCTCCCTTCAAAGGAATAATGTTGTATGTGTTGAAGTAGTGAATGAAAAATATTGTGTGTGTTGAAGTAGTGAATTAAATTTATTGTGTGTGTTGAAGAAGTGAATGAAAAATATTGCATGTGTTGAAGTAGTAAATGAAAAATATAGTGTGTGTTGAAGTAGTGAATGAAAAATATAGTGTGTGTTGAAGTAGTGAATGAAAAATATAGTGTGTGTTGAAGTAGTGAATGAAAAATATAGTGTGTGTTGAAGTAGTGAATGAAAAATATTGTATGTGTTGAAGTAGCAAATGAAAAATATTGTGTGTGTTGAAGTAGCAAATGAAAAATATTCAGTCCCTAACAAAGCCTAAGTCACCCCTTCTTTCGAATATTAAATGCTTGGTGCCCCTATATATCTGTGCAACAGTACATTTGATTATGGGATGACAGTCAGCACTGCCTTTAAGATTGTGATGATCTATTCCAACCAACTGTGTGTGTTCCCAGGAGGAGGTGGATCGCAGCCAGGTGATGGTGATCTCGGTGAAGGCCATCACGGCCCTCCTTCTGCAGTCCATCCTCATCCCATTTGCTGGCAACCCTGGCAACAGCATGTTCGAGGTCCAGCCCAGGGACAAGCCTCTGGCCTTCCTGCATACACGGTAAACCCTGCCTCTTTGTTTCTCTTCTTTTACCTCATCACCTTTTACCTATGACATGTCCTTTTAACCTCTCACACCCCTTGGTGACACGCCCCCATGAAGAATTGGTCTTTAGCTGGTCAGAGGTAACTAACTGGATCAGGTGATCAGGCTCACTGGCATCGTTGATGTATGCATCATATCCCAATTGCATAGATCAATGCTCATGATGTCAATCACTGGATTATCTGGTCCAGAGTCAATTATTTACAGGACACTTGTATAGATAGGACACTGCTGATTCAGACGCTAAACAACATTCACTCACTTGCTTAACCTCTGACAAGACCACTAACCAATGGACATGACCTCTAACCTCTAACATGGTAACATGTGACTGTTGCAGGTGTGGCAAGAAACTGTCAATGATCCGGGGTCTGATAGAGCAAGAGATCCAGAATCTGTGTGCTGCCAGGTAGGTTGTAAAGTGTGTGTCGGGGTCCGGGGTCTGATAGAGCAAGAAATCCAGAATCTGTGTGCTGCCAGGTAGGTTGTAAAGTGTGTTTCGGGGTCCGGGGTCTGATAGATCAAGAGATCCAGAATCTGTGTGCTGCCAGGTAGGTTGTAAAGTGTGTGTCGGGGTCCGGGGTCTGATAGAGCAAGAGATCCAGAATCTGTGTGCTGCCAGGTAGGTTGTAAAGTGTGTGTCGGGGTCCGGGGTCTGATAGAGCAAGAGATCCAGAATCTGTGTGCTGCCAGGTAGGTTGTAAAGTGTGTGTCGGGGTCCGGGGTCTGATAGAGCAAGAAATCCAGAATCTGTGTGCTGCCAGGTAGGTTGTAAAGTGTGTGTCGGGGTCCGGGGTCTGATAGAGCAAGAGATCCAGAATCTGTGTGCTGCCAGGTAGGTTGTAAAGTGTGTGTCGGGGTCCGGGGTCTGATAGAGCAAGAGATCCAGAATCTGTGTGCTGCCAGGTAGGTTGTAAAGTGTGTGTCGGGGGGAATACATTGCTGCACCGGTGCATTGTGAGTTTTAATGCACGATACGATGCACATTATGTTTCTTTCTGTATCGATACAAGATGATAATCTTGCTGAAATAAATTACTTAAGTTCACTACTACAAATAGCTGCTACAAACATGTGGCTACAGCTAGCATTTCCTTTTGAACCTGCTCTTAAATATTTATATTCAAGATGTTTCCATGTAAAATATTCGTATCGTGACAGGTATCATATTGTGACCTTGTATCATTTCATCCCTATCTTTGTGGTAAGACTTAGCATAAACACATGCCACGGATCACCTCAATGTTAGTGACTAAACACACACATCATCATCATCATCATCATCATCATCTTTACATGGAAGAGCATTGGAGAGACAGATGTCAGTGTAACATCGGGTTACTCTGGCCCAAGGAACTCAGAATTCTTGTGGATGAATGAATTTGTGTAGAGAGATTGAGACATTGGTTTGAGATTAGGTTAAATGGCTGCCCTAGGGTGCCCTAACTCTAAGGGACCGGGTACAAATCTCACTGTTTCCTACAGTGTACCTGGTCTCAGTCTAATCGGCTTGATGTAACTCTAAGGGGCAGGTGGTGGTGAGCACACATGTATCATAGTAACTATCACCACAGTATAGTAGTGTGATGTACATGCTTTTGAGGGTGGATAAGTTTCAATACAAATGGCCATTATCATATTCCTTCAGACCAGATCGGCAGTCTCACCATGCGTATGCTGGTTACCGTCGACGGACAGACTCTCTACACTGTGATCTATTTGAGGACAATCTGGAACGTCAGACGGGGATGGAAGACTTTGGTCAAGGACAGGTACATTGATATTACAGGGCTCCAGATAATATTTGGTGTCATTGATTATTTGCTCACATTGATAGTTTTTTTTGTATTCAATATTTCTTAATCCCTTGGGTCAAATCTGTTGGGTATTTCTTAACCAATGAGTAGAAAAAGATTCTGAAAAGCAAGCTGTTTCAGGAGACTTCTTTATTTGCATGTGGTCAGGTGCTTCCTCAAGTGTCACATGTCATGTCGATGTTACAGTCAATAAAATATGATTGTGTGGCATTTCATTGGCTAACAATACAAACAAAGTATGGTTTTTGTTTCCATTATCAAACAATACATTTTGGCCATGCCTACTAGCAGATGACTCCTGATTGGTTGATAGAATGGGTGGGGCTTGTGTTAGACGATGTCACTGATTTTGTACTGTTGTCTACAGTTTTTTGTGTGTTAATGTTTAAATACGCTGTGTGTGAAGTTCTTATTGTTGACATATTTAATTATCCCAATTGACTTTAATGTGTCTTTGCATTTATGGAGGTATAAACGTAAAATCCAGTGTGCATGCTGTGTATCTGCCTAGCATAGCGGATTTATGCAAAGACTGCACACTGGTTTTTAAATTTATTACTTGATAAGTACAAAAAAGTATTTAAGTAAATTCTTAAATAGGCAATACAGTACTTTTTGTACTATATTCACAGCAGTAGATTTCATGCAGCATGACACCTTCATTCCATCAGTTAATAATTATCTGTTAAAATAACCAAGCGGAAAAGCCAACATTGGGTAATCATGCACAGTGTTGTTATGCTATTGGGATTTGAATTATTGCTCCTATATTTTCAGGGTATGTTTGGTAATAGAAGTTATATTGCATAATTTACTCCAATATGCAGCTATAGCCGAGCTCTGTGTCCATTACTGTATTCCGTAACTGACAATTGGTATGGACCTCTCAAACTGATAACTCAATCTGTTGATTAGATGTAAAACTCTACACTCACTCTATCACTCGTCAGGCCACTATGAATAGCTGTATGTTGTACTTTGATATATGGTCGTTGAGTTCCAATAATCTCCAACAAGATGAACCTGTAAGACTTCTACAATTGCCCTCATTGTTAATTCTATCAGTGCATTGCAATTTGCATTGCTCAATGGCACTTCATATTTTAACAGGGGTGGTGGGGTAGTCTAGTGGATAAAGTGTTCGCTCGCCAGGCCAAAAACCTGGTTTGATTCCCTACATGGGTACAGTGTGTGAAGCCCATTTCAGGTGTCCCCAGCTGTGATATTGCTAACAGCGGCATAAAACCATATTCACTCACTCATTTATTAACATAAGTATCTGCTGGAAATCATGTCAAGTAGTAAGTTCCAGCTAGTAGACTCAAATCCTTTTGGCACTGACTGTCATTGTACTATCACAATAATGTCACAGCAGTAGCCCTCAGTATCCGGGACAGCTTTCACCATCATCTTCCGCATCCTTCTCCAGATCTCCCTGGAAGCTATCTGGTCAGTGGTGGGGACACTTGAAACCAACATGTCCGAGTCCGACACGACGGACTCCATGGACAGTCCGCTCCAGGAGCAGGTGCGAGCCAACATTCCACTGTCTCCCATCAAGTCCCAGGAGAGATCCATCACCCTGAGCGGCCTGGACATCCACTCCTGCCTCCAGTTCCTGCTGGAGCTTTACACACCCTGGCTGGCCTGTGACTCCAACTCCAGGCCACCTCTCATGCTCATCAACGCCGTTGTGGAGTCGGTAAGACCAGGATTGCATCATTGCTATTTCCTTAATGGTTTTAGTTTGTCCTCCATTGACAATAAAGAGGAAGGAGTTTTGGGAGCCATTGGTAGATCGTGATACTAGTGCAGCTTTTGGGAAAAGGAGGGGTGCGTTTTGTGATTTGGCAATTCGGATTTAGTAGTTTTGTAAGTTGTTGAAAATAGATCACAGGACACCTGATGTATAAAGGCTGCCAAAACAAGTTATGTCACTTCTTGTCTTTTAACGAAATTGTATTTATTAGTCAACAACAAAAACAATCATATTTTGAAACAACATACCTGGACTCCACTCCACAATGCCCCGAACGGCTTTATTAGAAGAAAGTCTGTGTACCCTTCCTGCCATGAAGTCAAAGTAATAAATAAATTCCATGTTAAAGGATATGCACCCCTTTAGATTGTGTGCCTCTCTGACCCCTGTAATAATAAAGTAATGAATGCTCCCCCAAGAACATGTGCCCCCTGTGATATTAGAATAATGAATGCACTTCCTAGATCATGTACCTGTCTGACGTCTGTAATAATGGATTTATAAAATGCTCCCATCTAGATCATGTGCCTATCTGACCCAGTAGTAACAGGTTAATGAATGCTTCTGTCTAGGTCATATGCCTGTTTTTCCCCTGTAATAATGGATTAATGAATGCACCCATCTACATCATATGCCTATCTGACCCTAGTAATAATGGATCAATGAATACTCCCTTCTAGATCGTATGCCTGTTAGGCCCTTGTAATAATGGGTTAATGAATGCTCACGTCGAGATCATATGCCTGTTAGGCCCCTGTAATAATGTATTAATGAATACTCCCTTATTGATCGTATGCCTGTTAGGCCCCTGTAATAATGGATCAATGAATACTCCCTTCTAGATCATATGCCTGTCTGACCCCTGTAATAATGCATCAATGAATGTTACCATCAGGATTGTGTGCCTGGCTGACCCCAGTAATAATGGATTAATGAATGCTCCCTTCTAGATCGTGTGTCTGTCTGACCTGTTCATGGAGCGGGAGCAGTTTGAACTGATGCTGGACACACTGCTGGATGTCCACAAGACACACCCCTCGGAGGATGAGCTGGTCACCCAGTATCTCAATGTCGGCATCTGTAAAGCTGTTGCTGTGGTCGGTGCAGTGAGTATAGTCTTGTTGGTGTCCTGATGACTCTTTCCTTAATAGACAGTCGTGTGTTCTTATGTCAAATTCAGCTGTTGTAGATGGGGTTCCCACAAAGACATCAAGAAATGATCTCAGTGCCCCCCTTTCATTTACACTACTATTTGATGAGACCAGTCTTTGTTATTTCATGGTTTACACATGTGTTTTTGTATTTTACATCTTAATATGTTGCCCTATGTGCAGTGTTCACAAAGTTTTAGTTTTGTCGATGTTACAGTAAAAAATATTGTATACTAAATTTATGATATGATGATAAATATTTTTCTGTTCAGAATTGCTTTTTTTGTCCACTTTTCATTGTGTGGACAGCTTTGTAAACAATAAAAAAAGAAATTTATATCCCAGCACAAAAATGAACATCACACAAAGTAAGGTCTTTTTTCTTTTGTTTCTATTTCTTTATCCAGGACAGCTCTGTAGCTGAGAGAGTTGTGAAGCTTATTGATGTGGGTCTGAAGAGCACACACCTCCCCAGTAAAGTCTCCACGTTACATGGCATGCTTTATTTATTAGAGGCTAACATTGCTGATCTCACCAAGAGTATTCTCCCTTTAGTCACAGACTTCCTGCTCAAGCATCTGTCGGCAGTCAGCAAGTAAGTTCATGTCAGTGGGGTACTTTGGTTTATTTCAATACCATTGCTGATCTGATTGGTTTTGGTAACAAATAGAAAGAGGCTATGCTCATTATTCCGGGTTTGGTTTGCCTCAGGTTAATTGGTATTTGATTGGTATCATTACCAGATACACTCCAACAAGATCACTGATCTGAATCAAATTCCTCTGGACTCAAAATTGTCAACTTTAGCCATCAGTTCTTCTCTTTCACCACCACCACAGAGTGGAATAATCTCCCTTTACAACTTCATCGATCCCAATTGCGCGGATCGATGCTCATGATATTAATCACTGGATTGTCTGGCCCAGACTCGATTATTTACAGACCGCAGTCATATAGCTGGAATATTGCTGAGTGCGGCGTTAAACAACAAACCAACCAACCAACCCTTTACAACTGAGATTTTACTCTTCGAATCTCGTCTGAAAAGTCATCTTTCAGGATTAACTCTTTCACTGTGATTGTGCGCTTCAAGCATCTTGTGTCCCGGTTATGTGAAGCCCATTTCTGGTGTCCCCCGCCGTGATATTGCTGGAATATTGCTAAAAGCGGCATAAAACCATACTCACTGACTGTGTCCCGGTTATGGAAAATACTTGTATCATTTTTCAGTGCCTGCATCACAAGTCAACAGTTTGAACTGACAATGTGGGCCGTCGCATTTTACGTGCTGGAGAACTACCACGACGACCTCCGTGATGCAGAGTTCCCAAGCAAAATGCTTACGGTGTGTATTTGTATCTGGTCCCACAACAGGTGGAAAAAACTCCTTTACAGGGAACAGGGATTTATCTACACCTGCTCAGAGGCCCCAAGTATGCAACAAATGTCATTATTAATTCCCAATTTTGAACCAATCATTTCCCAATTCATGTTACAAAGTATTAATATATGTAACTAACCTAATTTTATGGCTTTGTAGAAGAAACCTGTATTTTCTTATGGCATGACCTATAAATAGGAACAGGTTTTTATACTTTGTTTTATATTATTGCATTAAATGCTATCTCAAAATACCTTGGTAAAGAATCCTAGATAAATCCCAGATAAATCCCTGGTGAGGGATGCCTTTGTGAACAACTATTTCAGTGAAGATTTCTCCATCAACGGACGACCTATTGCTTGTTATATGTTCCATACAATGATGATGGGGAGTGGTTAATATCTTCGCTCATCATGCCAAAGATCCAGGTTCGATTGCACACATGGGTACAATGTGTGAAGCCCATTTCCGGTATCCCCTTTGTGATATTGCTGAAATGTTGCTAAAAGTAGCGTAAAACAGAACACTCACTCACTCACTCACTCACTCACTCACTCACTCACTCACTCACTCACTCACAATGATGATTTCTTTACAGCTTGCTGTGAGCACAGCGTCGGGGAGTGAGGACAGTGTCTCGACTGCCGTGTTCCTCACGATCATGAAGGGGACAGAACGCCTCCTGTTGACGGACGTCCTCTCTCGGGGCGACATGGAGACCATTATGAAGTTGAGCATGGACAGGTAGGAAACATTTGAATCTTTTTACAGAAAAATAACACAAAGCTGTGAGTCATTGACTAATTGGTCAAGGTGTGAGTTATTTAGTTACGGCTGTATTCATAGGGGGAAGCCTGAAATGGTGGGGACAAAATCACAAGTGGAAAATCAAACCTGGGTCCTTTGGCCCCGACCCCACAACAAATTTTGGCAGATATGCATAAGTAAATACTTTAGTTAGTTGGTTGGTTTGTTGTTTAACGCCGCACTCAGCAATATTCCAGCTATATGACGGCGGTCTGTAAATAATCGAGTCTGGACCAAACACTCCAGTGATTACTATCATTATCATCGATTCGCGCAATTTGCATCCATGACATGCATCAACCAAGTCAGCGAGCCTGACCACCCAATCCCGTTTGTCGCCTTTTACGACAAGCATGGTTGCCTTTTACAGCAAGCATGGGTTGCTGAAGACCTATTCTACCCTGGAATCTTCACAGGTCAGTAAATACTTTAACCCCTGGGGTTTGTGTGGTTTGATTCCCCACATAGGTACAATGAGTACGTGTAAAGTAAAACCATACTCACTCACTTTCACATTTAAAAATACAGTTGTCAGTTGATATGGTTCTACATTTCTTGCATCTGTATTCCAGGCTGTGTCTGCCGAGTCCACAGAGGGCGCTGGCAGCACTGGGGCTGATGTTCACCTGTATGTACTCTGGTGAGTGTTAAGAAGCAGTAAGTTGCTAATGTGACATCAACGTATCTCCCAAACTATGTAAACGGGGAGGTGTCATGGTCATCTAAACCACTGCAATTGTCAAACAAGAGGGTATAGGAATCTCTACCAAAAAGTCAACCTTTATAAAGTTGTTATGCATAAATTGTGTCTACTTTGTCTTACAAAAATGGCTATTATTGTGTATTTTTGCATGTTTAACCACACCTGTTGTATGTATCCCTGAGCAGGTAAAACTCTGTGTTCCAGGCAAGCAGTTTGATCAGTACAGCCCCCGTCCTCGTGACGAGATGGAGCCAATATTCTCAGACAACGGCTTCTCCTTCGTGTACCAGGACCCAGAATCTCTCATCCTGGCCATGGAGAGGGTTACAGTACTCTTTGACAGGTGAGATATGCCTAGGACGTGTGTTAATATAAGTAATTACCCCTATCCTTCATCCTGGCCATGGAGAGGGTTACAGTGCCCTTTGACAGGTGAGATACTCCAGGAATCTGTGTTGACATAAGTAATAACACCTGACCCTTCATCCTGGCCATGGAGAGGGCCACAGTGCTCTTTGACAGGTGAGATACTCCAGGAATCTGTGTTGAAATAAGTAATAACACCTACCCTTCATCCTGGCCATGGAGAGGGTCACAGTGCTCTTTGACAGGTGAGATACACCAGGAATCTGTGTTGACGTAAGTAATCACACCTCATCCTTCATCCTGGCCATGGAGAGGGTCACAGTGCCCTTTGACAGGTGAAATACTCAAGGAATCTGTGTTGAAATAAGTAATAACACCTACCCGTCATCCTGGCCATGGAGAGGTCACAGTGCTCTTTGACAGGTGAGATACACCAGGAATCTGTGTTGACATAAGTAATCACACCTACCCTTCATCCTGGCCATGGAGAGGGTTACAGTACTCTTTGACAGGTGAGATATGCCTAGGACGTGTGTTAATATAAGTAATTACCCCTATCCTTCATCCTGGCCATGGAGAGGGTTACAGTGCTCTTTGACAGGTGAGATACACCAGGAATCTGTGTTGACGTAAGTAATAACACCTACCCTTCATCCTGGCTACGGAGTGGGTAATTATTAGCGGAGTGGGTATTTATTACTTCATACCAAGGAACGTTTTTTTTGCCCTATTCCAATAAATTTGTAGTATGTTGTTTTTGTAACTTTTTACAGAATAAAGAAAGGCTACCCATACGAGGCCCGGGTGATTACGCGTCTCCTCCCAGCATTCCTAGCGGACTTCTTCCCACCACAAGACATCATGAACAAAGTGATCGGGGAGTTCCTCTCCAGCCAACAACCCTACCCACAGCTCATTGCCAAAGTCGTCTTTCAGGTAACTGGCCTTGCCTCTTTATCTTTCTGCTAATGGTGCAGAAAATGGCTATTTTTCTACGTTACCTATCAGCGGTAGAAACTAACATTTTTATCCCACTAGTCCTTATAATGATAACATATAGAAAAACCCTTACAAACAGCAGATTTCTACTATTCCTTATGATCCCTTAATTATTGGGCAGTTTGGCAAGGACTTCGGGACTAGTGCCCATTTCCAACGCTGCCTATTCTGAGAGTGCTGTTTGTTAACAATGACAATTTATTGATGTCATGTTTGCGAATATAAGTCCTGTATTGATTGTATTTAGAAACAACTCTTGAATTAGGTTTTGATAAATTTGATTTATTGTAGGTATTCAACAACTTGCATCAGCAGAACCAGCAGAGTCTGGTGAGGGACTGGGTGATGTTGTCGCTCTCCAACTTCACTCAGCGATCACCTGTTGCCATGGCAATGTGGAGTCTCACCTGTTTCTTCATAAGTGCCTCCACCAATCAGTGGCTCAAAGCATTGTATCCTTAACAACAGAAAGTTTGAAGTAATTGTATAGAATCATTATACACAAGTCTTATATCCTGTAAGTTTGCTGACTAAACCTATGGCTGATGGATGACTGCAGCTGTATTTGATTTATTCCAGCTTATGTGTGGATTCTGTTTCCTTGACCTTTATCCTCAGATTTCCACATGTGATTGGTCGGATGGGTAAGATGGAGACGATAGACAGGAAGTTGTTCTGTCTTTCAGCCCTGGACTTTAAAAGTCAGCTGACCGAGGATCTCCACGTGTTCGTGTCGACATTCCAGGCTGTGGCACAGCCCGACTCCCCTTACCAGGATCTTGTCAACTGCCTCACATAGTACCTTGAGGCCATGCCACAGCCCAACTTGTGGTACCAGGATCTTGTCAACTGCCCTGCGTAACACCCCCAGGCCGTGGCACAGCCTGACTCACAGTTCCAGGATCTTGTCAACTGCCTCATATAGCACCCCAAGGCCATGGCACAGCCCGACTCAAGGTACTAGGATCCTCCACTGCCCCGCGTAACACCCCCAGGCCGTGGCACAGCTGATTCACAGTTCCAGGATCTTGTCAACTGCCTCACATAGCACCCCCAGACTGTGGCACAGCCCGACTCACAGTTCCAGGATCTTGTCAACTGCCCCGCGTAACACCCCCAGGCCGTGGCACAGCCCGACTCACAGTTCCAGGATCTTGTCAACTGCCCCGCGTAACACCCCCAGGCCGTGGCACAGCCAACCCATGGTACCACGATCTTGTCAACTGCCTCACATAGCCCCTCACATTGTTTCAAGCATTTAGTGTCAAGTTATCAATGACTCCTTGCCAAACGTTAATGCATATTCATGCTGTAGCATTTGTGTTGTCTTTGTAGCCATTTATTTATATTTTTGTAGTGGAACAAAGCTTAATGTGATATCAAACTAGTGTTTCTGGTGGCCTAGTTATTGTGCATGGCAGGGTGACTAGAATCACGGACCAGAGACATGAGGGGGAGGGTTAGTATCAAGTTTAAAGAATGTCATGGCAAAAAATGAACAGTTGTTTGGAGGGTAAAATATTGATATTATGTATACAAGTTTTACAACAAGTTACACTGTTATTTCAACATAACGGGAACGGACAAGACTGTTGTGAGGGTAGCCCGAAAATGGGCACAGAGTTAGTGAGGTCAGATAGTACCATATGCATGTGTGACAAGTCTAGGCCCCCTCAACCTCTGTAATCATGGGAATGAATATCATATGCCATGTGAGAGTTAGTTGATGGAGCTCTGAATGTAAGAAATAAACGGAATGTAACTTAGAAAGGAATGGTGGCAGTGTTTTATTGATTAATAAGATTCAAGACTCTTGACTAGGACTTCCCAGATGCCATGGTACAGATGGTTGATTGAGGTAATGTGTCAAAAGCAGCCCTGAATATAAGAAATAACAAAATGTAACTTGAAAAGAAATGGTGGTAGTGTTTTATTGATTAATGAGATTCAAAACACTCTTGGCTAGGATTTCCCAGATGCCATGGTACTAGACGGAATGATGCAGTGGTTTATTGACTAGTGTGATATCAAGGCTGGTTCATGGCAAGGACGTCCCACATATAGTCAGTATTGGGACTCCTTCATTACTAGATACAGCATGCTAGCCAGGCAGTCTGTTTTGGTCTGGATACCAGAGTATTTTGCACTCATCATGACCAATAACTTGTCTTATATTTGATGTTATATTTGATGTGTTTTAACTGTAGGCATGAGATTGCTGTTGTTGCATATCATATTACTATGATTTTCACTAAAACAGCTTGAAGTCAGTAATGGAACATGACAGTACTATTATAACACTTGACAAACAATCAAAGTCCATGTAAATATCAACATAATGTTGTTTGTTGAAAAAATTCTCTCAGTGTCATTGTCATAACTTCACGCATCACTTTGTCCCTGGCCCCCGTGAATACATACAGCTGGCACAGTGTTTCAGCTGTGACGTGCATCGTTTTAAGTTGGGTAATGAAATGAAGCAGTGTGGAACACACGCAAGTCAAATGACCCTACTCAGTGCAGGAACTTTGTGTGAACAAACCACTTCCTGTTATAGAAGCAGGGACGGACGGGTAGCCTTGTGGTTGAAACGTTCACTCGTCACACCCGGGTTCGATTCCCCACATGGGTACGATGCGTAAGCCCATTTCTAGTGTTCCATTTCTGGAATATTGCTTAAAGCGGCGTAAAACCATACTCACTCAGGTACAGAAGCCATGTGTTGAGTAACTGACTGCAAGGTTAGGTCACACGTTGCAGAACAAATATTGTCCAGGTAATCTGAGCATTCATTAGGTTCAGCACTTGAATGTTTTCCTCTTGATGAAACTGGGCCGTGGCTTGATATATTTCATAGTGGCCAAATGTATGGTGATGGAGGAAGGTGGTATATATACAGAAGTTTATCTAGGATTCCAAAGTAAGTGCCCTTGTTAGAAAATTGGAAAAATTTGTGATATATTCAAGGCTTATAAAAATAAAAGAAATGGTTCTCGGGCGATGACTTTTGAAAATATAGTGCGGGCGGGCGGGCGGTGTTTTTTTTCCGTCTTGTTCAAACTATATGTAGTATGTAACCAATAAACTGTTGTGTACCATCAACCTTAGAAAGCGCCTCCCTACATAAACAAGCATACAAACTCCTATTGCTGCCATGACCATAACACGAGATGCGCAGTAAAGCAGTGCACATGTAAAGGGAAGTAACTACATGCTATATTGAATCACATTGTTTTAAGTATAAGGACTTTTATAGTTTGTTTTTTTTAAAATGGAAATAAAAACGAAATGTGCAGCAGACTTTATGATGCGGTGCCTGAGAACCAAGACTTTTTTTTTTGAGCCCAAAATTTTCGACTGTTCTAAATTTCATCAATTCTAAGGAATTCAAATTGGGAATTATTACGCTCATTTACTGCAGACTTGCTGCCAAATATCGGCCGCTGAGCAGGTATAGATAAATCCCTGGTATGTAATAACACTGACAATGACAGGTTGGATGACTTCTCAGAGCTATTCACGCCTTCTGCAGAGGAAGACTTTAACTATCTTCTATATTAACTGGTCTATGCAGAAGGAGTCTCTGTTACAGAGAGTGAAGTCAGTGTTGATGTCACTTTTAGATGCTGATGTGGGGAATAACTTTTTTCTCAAATTGATCTCAGAGAACAAGAACAGGTATCTCAAGGTGTATGAGAACTGAGTGTAAATGTACATGTTGATGTATTTTTATGGAGATGTGTGCAAGCTTGAGAGTTTTGATCCATGTGTTAATGTTACAAAGGTGGATGTACAGAAGTGATATTTCAATATGATTCCAGGGAGTGCTGTGACTTCTATAGCAGTTTGGAAAGTGCATAATAATTATCTCTTCTGTAGCTGAAATATTGCTGATGGAGCAATAGCGAACATCACTCTTCCTGAAACTGAAACATGAAGAAAGAAAGATTTAGTATGTAACCTTGTAATGCTGAAGATGCAGAGGTTAGAGTTCAAAACAAGCTAAAGGGGGCGTCTTCATGCAAATTAAACACTTCCATTGTTAAAGTACTGTAGCTTCATTTCAAGGCTTGTTATTGATTTTGCTGAAACATAAATGTTCATCACTGTCTTAGCTTGGAAACAATGTGTTATAAGCTGTAATTGTACATGTTTGTTGCATTGTAATGTCAGGGTCATATACACATTGTACCCATGTCTCATCCAATCAGAGGGCTCTTTTAGGATGGTGTTGTGTAAAACCATATTCACTCACTCACTCACTAATTGACTAAAAATGTTAGTTTTCTACCGCTGTGAGTTGCAGATGGGCCAGTTGGTGGTGATAGTTGGAGTGTTGTGATTGGCTAGTCTGACTATGAACTGTGTTGTGAAGGAAGCAGCCTAGGTAATCTGATTTCATGATGAAATGTGATGTAATTTTACAAAGTTTCCCTTTGGGTATGTATTGCAACATTTACTGAAACTTCGCAGTGTTGGAACAATTCCTGTATCATATTCAGGGTATTTATCTCTTTAATGCAATGACAAAACATGTATGCTGCGGCAATCTCAGAATAACCTTGAAAGGTCCTGCCATTATTGGCATGGGGACTGGGGCCAATCAGGTAGATTTACCATCACACGGACAGGTTCAGGGGATTGATGGATCCTGAATGTACAGGGTAAACAGGGTTACTAATATATACAAACAGTCATTTCATTATGAGGTTATTGATAATATTTGTGATAACATTTCCTTGCGACTGGGCAAGCTTTCTGAGGGTCATGAAAAACTGACAAAATTTGGCAAATTATCTATTTTCGTATCCTTGTTGGAAATCATTCTCAGGCCCACTATTGGTATTTTCTCCATCTTGTTACTATCTTCATCGATACCGGAGCATGGTATTTGTTTCAGCGTCACTGTGTGTGAGTCATGCATAATCCCTGCACCACTGCAGATGACGTGTGTATGTAGGGTGGTGGGAGTATTGCGTGACCATTACTTCATGAATGGCTATGAACAACTACTTTCGTCAAAAGCATCCTAAGCCGTGATGATTCCTGGTTAGAATTGGTCCTAGCATCCTATGCTGGAAAGGGTGGTCAGGCTCAGTGACTTGGTTGATGACATGTCAACTTACCCCAATGGCATGGATTGTTGCTCATTATGTCAATCACTGGATTTTCTGGTCCAACTTGATTATTTACTGGCTGCTGTTGTATAGCTGGAATATTACTGAGTGCAGTGTTTAATATAACACAACGGGGCCCCATTTGACAGAGTAATCTATGGCTTGGTAGGAAAGTTCCAATAATCATAGCACTACAGGAGAAAGCTGTCACAATTGTTGCTTTATCAAATTGTTTTGGAGATTGTTTTCAGGAAATTATGTTGCTTGCTCCATGTTCATAAATATTAATCAGATCATCTTTGAGTAAATAAATTTTTAACAATCAGCTATTGCCAATCACATCACAAGAATTTCATCACATCACAGACTCGTAATCTCCCCCAGACAATGTGTAACCATAATTGTTTTCAGTCATATTTCTGTTTTATGTAAAAGTTGTCACACGATATCCATTTGTATGATGTTTTAATGAGGTATTGTTCTAAACATGATTGCATTATTCCAGATTAAAGGATTGTATCAGTGTAAAAACTTACTGGGCATCACATTAACCTCTTTGCTGCTTTTGTCCATCTTCCACTATCTAGGGTATTATATCTCCATCATATTAGGATTAATACCCAGGACCATTCATTACTGAAATACACACTGCTAACAATAGCCACCCAATCAGATGGCTGTGATGCCAAGTTGGAGATGGAAACATGATCAGGTGATCAGGCTCGCTGACTAGATTCATGCATGTCATTGTATCCAAATTTGCGTGGATCATGCTCATGATATCAATCACTGGATTGTCTGGTCCAGACTTAATTATTTACAGCACATTGTCTTAAAGCTGAGGAGGAGCGTCCGCCTGGAGAGCGGAAGGTCTGGGGTTCGATCCCCGGTCGCGTCATACCAAAAGACGTTAAAAGATGGTACTTGTTGTTACCCTGTCTGGTGCTCAGCATTAAGGGGCTAAAACAAGGACTGGTCGGCTTGGAGTCAGTATACTGTATCTGAGTGGGGTATTCATGTTAAACTGTGGCATGGTATCTCAGTGTGCTAATACTATAAATCGGCATTAGTCCGACTACTACAAGCAGCCACACACACACACACACACGCATGCATGCATTCACGTCTCTGTATAAGTGCAATAATCTTGGACGAGATGTTAAACTCAATTTCACCTCACCTCTTAAAGCTGAATTATTGCTGTGTGTGGGCTTTAAAGAACAAACAAACAAACAAAACTTGCGAAAGGAAACCTTGATGGCAAATGGTCCAGGCCAATTATCACAATAAAATGAAAATATAATACCCTGGATAATCGAGGATGGCATTTATCAAATATTTCCTACCAAATATCTACAAAGATTTTGAAGACTTGTGTGTAAATATATGGTTATTTATTCAGTATTTGTGCTTAGTTAACACGCTGACACTGTATGTGCAAGGAGTAAATAGCTTTGAATTATTGATGTTCGCTGCTCATGTGTGATGGGGGGCACGGGTGGCCCAGTTGTCTAAGGCGCCGCAATTTGCTGTACAGAATTGCGTCCCTTCGGATGCGCCAGAAACCTATGATTATGGGTTCAAATCCCGATTATGTTTCTAGGTTTGTCAGCACCATACCCGTGCTCGTGGGTTTCACCGAAGTGGTAAACGTCTGAGACCTGCATCACTTCGGGCTTTCCTCCCACATTAAGCTGACACTCCACGATATAACTGTAATACTGTTAAAAGCGGCGTTAAATCCAACTCACTCACTCACTCACTCACGTGTGATGGCATGTTGTAAGCACTATCAGTAAGATCATGTGACCTCAAATAAGATATGAAAATGATCATGGTTCTATGATTTGTTTATGGCGACATCTGCACTTACATTCCTAGTTAGTAATATACTAGATGCAACGTTCAAAGAATTGTTATCAGTATATTTCTGAAATTCATTATCAACATCAAGATAAAATCAGTGTTGGATTTTGATGTGGTTTGTGATAGCCAATATATTTGTAAATCTGACTGTTGTATGCAGGGTTCACTGATTGAAATACAATGTATTGCAGCTTTGTTTTACTAATACATGCATGTCAATACGTGTCTGTGTTAGTAAGCTTGTAGATGTTAAAAGAAAATGGATTACTTTTTTTTAATTCTACATGATAAACTGAAATATGAAGCCTTTATATTATGTGCATTGCTCCTATGCTCAACATAAATAATTTGCTAATGATGGAATTGGGAGTGTCTGTTTTGTGAAGTATTTGGCTTGTTATCAAAGAATTTCAATTCATGTCTCTTTGAATTTATGTGAAAAAAATCGCAAGCTTTCAAACATAATCTTCAAATGTGAATTATGTTTATATCGGACAAAATTATAATAACTGTGTCTTATGGAAATCATAACATTTTGCATGTGCAGTTAAAACATTTTCAACATTAATTACATTCACAATGTCATAGCTGGAATATTTGGGGCAACTCATTGCTTGAGCAGCATGTAATAAAATAATTGCTTTCCCGTGCACTTAAATCATATATTGCAATCATCTGTAGTCTTTCCTTATAGAAGAATGACCGATTAACCACATATTTTATGTTGTGAATACCATTCAGTGCTAAAAATGCAGGGTTAGAACTTAACACTAGCGTGCTAGCCTGGGGCTACTACAAATAACTGCGGGCTAGTGCAAATTTTCCCAATTGTTTTAACATTATAAGGGGATTTATCTTTACCCCCGGCTAGTAAGGCTTTGAGTTTCGTTCTAACCCGTAAAATGTGATCCTTAAATCATATTTTTACAGCACAAATCCTAACCTCATCAATCAAACATGAAGCACAACCAGTGGTGATGTTAGTCATGCACAATGCTAACTCTCTTAAATCATATTTTACAATCACAGATCTAAGCTTGTGTAATGGGTTATGGGTGTGAATATGTCTATGTCAGCATGCAGGAAACTATTGTTTTGTGTATATTTTCTTACACAGTATGAATCTGTATGTATGAAAACTCGACTCCATAATGTATTCTCTTCTTCAAGCATTCCTGACTGAACTGGAATAGTGCCATTATTAGTGTGATTATGTGAGATATGATGTATGTGTGTGTGCAATGTTGATGTATATATTGTTACATGTATCTTATTAATGTATATTTAGTTGAGGGATTTGGAGCTGTTTTGTGAACGTCTTTGAAAGGTGAAGTGTCAAGCTGATTTAGGAAAGTATTGTAATGTAATGCCAGGGTTGAGAAGCTATATCACACCGCTTCAAGTTAGACCATGTAGAGATTCTGGGTTTGAACTGGTCTCAATCTATGCTGATCATAAGAGGCAGCTATGTGGATAGGTAGGTCAGACTCAATGACTTTATTGATTGCGTGCCACCGTACCCAAATAGAATTAGCTGTTTACTCATACTATCAATCACTGGATTGTCTGGTCCAGACTCAACGGGCCACCATCATATTACTACTTGCGGCGTTAAACAACAAAGAAAGATACAAAAGACTTCAAAGTCAGGGGGGGCGGTCGGGTAGCCTAGTGGTTAAAGCGTTCGCTCGTCATGCAGAAGACCCGGGTTGATTCCTGACATGGGTACAATGTGTGAAACCCATGTCTGGTTTTCCCCGCCGTGATATTGCTGGAATATTGCTAAAAGCTCACTCACTCACTCAAAGTCAGTAATCAAGGTCTCAACTTTACAATCAAGCTATTTTAAACACCCCCAGTGGATAAACAATAGTTCAACTACTGATTCATGAATACATAGTCCTCAGTATGTGAAAATGACATGAGAATGCCTTTCCTAAATCTGCTTGACCATCCCACCTGTTTGTTGTGTTGTGGTCCTCTCACCTGTAATTATCTTTACACCTGTCTTCACCTGTAATTAACTCTCCATCTGTTCTCACCTATATTTGTTTATCTCTGGAATGTTGGCCATCAATGTTTCTTATTCTAAAGTCATTGTTACTATTTCAGATGTTCCAGGTTAAAAAACATTTGGCTGTGATTCCTTAGCTCATTGCTCAGTGATTTCTTGTTTAATGTTGTTATATGATCTGCTTTTCACCCAAGTCTATATTACCTCATTGTAACTGTTGAGTCACTACACATTCAAGTTTTGAAGTAACATCACATGTTTTAAACTTAGGTACAGTTAAAGTCGCCTGCACTGACATTTTGTGTAGTGAGCACTGGAGAGTGTTTAATGGGGGGCTCATCTTAGACAAATTGGCAGTCCTAGTCAGTTTGATTCAAGTTGTTCAAACCACAGTGATTTCTTGCTATTGAACTGATCTTAATGGTATTGGTTACCCTCATTCCATAGAGACATTGTCTCAGTTGCACACAAGACACTAATTACAATGTGTATACCTACATGGGAAAATGGATGCAAGTCAGGTAGCAAACCTCCTTTTAGCTTCTGTAATTTGATGAGGAATGGAAGTTCCAGTCCTCTCTGTCTTAAATCGCTTTGCAGGGTTGCATCACTTAGGTGTAACAGAAACAGATGATCATAGGTTCGAATCCCAGAAATGGCCTGATGTTTCTAGGTTTGTCAGCCCCATTATTTTGCTCGTGGGTTTCATCTTACTGGTAAACATCTAAGACCTTCTCACTTCAAGCTTTTCTCTCACATCGAGCTGACACACTGATATGAATGAAAAACTGCTCAAAGCAGTGTAAACCCTTCTCACTCACCCACTCATTGCATGTTCATGGCATTGCATACCATGCTTCTTTGTGTATAACACTAGACGGTAGGAGTACACTGTAAGGAATAATAATTCAAAATAATTTATGGCTGTTTCTATGACAACCTTTTGATTTCCATGTACTCCATAACTCATTATTTTTGCCTCTCATGGTCTTTGTTGGTGCATCTTCTTCACTTGGACTAAATTTCTTGTCAGCTTCTGGCATAGCCTATTTGTTCGTTGTCCTCAATAATAATGTCTTTTCCTGGAAACTGGACCTTATTCTTGACAGTCCAATGACAAGGTAATGTTTATTTAAATTTGGGGAAAAATAGTTTTCAGAACTTGATGCATCTTCTTAGAACCCACAAGGAAGTGGAAGTTGTGTGTGACTGACAGTGACTAAGTAGTTTCAAATGTAATCAAGATATTTTGATCCTGAATTCAGTTTGGTTGTTAGTAGATGATTTTTCATTCATTTCAGAAGGTACTGAGCTAAATGTGAAACCTTCATAACACTTTGACTTTGAACCCTATATTTCACAATAGATTAGTGATCTACATGACTGTTTGTGTTGATGCAGAAAGCTGATGAAATATGTGTATCTTATAAGCCAAGGTGAGCTACAGTGCTGTTGCATTAATAGAACCCAATCTCAGAGGATATCAAGTGTGTTAGGTCGTGTGAATCATGTGAGATAGAATGGTTATGTCAGATAATAAATGATTCAAAATTTCAAGGCCAGAATATCCAGTCTCGATTATCTTTTGAAACAGATTCCTTTCGGCACAAAAGTCAAAATATTGATAAAAAATGAATGGATCACTGAAAATCAGTGACAACACCGGGTGTCTGGTAGTCATCTACCACAATCTGTAAGAGGCTCAAATATCACTAGCTGTTCCGTGATGAGTTTTAGGTCAGTTATTTAGTGTTTAGTGATACTTCAAGTGCATGACTTCAAGTTCTATTCAGAGATTTGTTTTGACCATGTTTCTGTATGGACCTTTGTTAAGATTGTGAAGTTTGCTTAAATCGTTTGTATACAACGATTCATACTCTAATGTTTACATTTGGTTCTTTTTTTAAGTGTGGACCCTTGTGAGAATGTTTTCCTCCAACGTTTCACACATTTGTAATACCGTATTCGCCGCAATAAGCGCCCAGGGTGCTCTCAAAATTAGAAATAGGGGGCTCTTATTAGAATACTATTTTGGTGAAAAATCGTAAATTTCGTGGTTTATGCTGACAGCCTGAACTGTTTATATACTACAGATATATTTTTCCAGAATTTAATTGCTCATAATTAAGGGTGCATATAACACACGAGTGCGTAAATAAGTCTTGTGTACATTGATCAATCAGAAGAGGTGCTAATTGGGATTGTTCACTAAGCAACATATTAGCAAGTATCGCCGTGAGCCCTTATTACGTCGAATACGGTAGTGCTTCTGGACAGTGAAAAAGGTGATTTGACATTAGTTGTTTAGACTCTGCAAAAGATATCTGGGTCGTTTTTAATAGAAAAAAGTAATGTAATAAGAATAACATTGGTCTTACTGGAATAGGGGAGATACTCAACCAGATCTGTATTATGGTTTAGTTCATTGGTAGCGAGGTTTAGTTTTTCTACAGAGGTCCTCGGCTTCCTTTAACTTGGGGGCGGTCGGGTAGGCTTGTGGTTAAAGTGTTCAGTCGTCACGCCGAAGACCCGGGTTCGATTCCCGACATTGGTACAATGTGTGAAGCCCATTTCTGGTGTCCCCCGCCTTCCTTTAACTTGGGGGCGGTCGGGTAGGCTTGTGGTTAAAGTGTTCAGTCGTCACGCCGAAGACCCGGGTTCGATTCCCGACATTGGTACAATGTGTGAAGCCCATTTCTGGTGTCCCCCGCCATGATATTGCTGGAATATTGCTAAAAACAGCGTAATACCATACTCACTCACTCACTCCTTTAACTTGAGTGACAGTATGTCAATTTCAAAAAGGAATTGGGAAGACATACAATAAAATGAGACAATTCTTTTGATTTCTTCTTTTGTGGGATAAGTAAATTAATATCTGGAGTAAATGGGATCATCTTTGAGCTTGTGTCAAGGTTCCAATTATGTGCAGGAAACTTCGGGGAGTATAATCAATTTGACTTTGTTTAAATGAAGAAGAATTAGTTGTGTAGTGGTAGTGTTATGTCAGTTTGTTGAAAGACAGTTGTTATATACTGCTACTACCTGTCTAGTGTGGACCCTTGTTGTGTGATGTTTGTATATACACATGTGTACATGGACCTTCATTGTCATAATACGTACTATACAATCATCCTGTGTTTCAGCAGACAGAAATAAATCATTGTCCAACCGTGCTGGCCCTTCTTGTCCCTAATTCTCTTACATCATAAGGGGGCACGGGTGGCCCAGTCTTCTAAGGCGCCGCGATTCTGGTCTGGTCCAGACTCGATTATTTACAGACCGCCGCCATATAGCTGGAATATTGCTGAGTACGGCGTTGAACAACAAACAAACAAACCAAAGTGGAAAATGCCCAAGACTTCATGCTTTCCTCTCAAATCAAGCTACGCACTGATATAACTGAAATATTGTTCACGGTGGCATTAAACCCAACTCACCCATTGCCAGAGACAGTAATATTTGAATAAGAACAAATTTCTAATCAAAAGTGCATGAACAGCTTTATGAGATTATAGACATAAATATCAATGAGCCTAGGCTCCATTTCGTCACAAACTGGAATTGTCAAAAGCTAACATAATGATTTGTTACATTGATACATCACAATAATTACAAAGCACGCTACACAAACAAGCAAACAATCAATGAGATTGACTGCTGTGGTCGTTGGATTGTATATACAGTGTTCAAGCATATCTTTCAAAAACAATTCATGTATCTTCATGTAACTATGAGGATTTCCAAAGTCTATCAATGTCAGAAATGGTAGACCAAACTGTTGGTGCTTTGCCTCATTCGCTATGAATATGAGGCCAATTTCAATAACCATGATGCCGACAGATCTGAAAACAGCAGTTTGAAAAAGCATAGTAAATTTTGACTCCTGATAAGTAACAAGTGACTGGAAGTTTATGTCCAGATATATAAACGTGAATGAGGATTCAAAATCACACAATATTTTGTAATTTTGCATGCCTTCAGGACTAGCTATACCACATACCAATTTCTTTGCTTTCTGTCAGTTCGTCGAAAATTATTTCCAAAATTCCAGTATGTGGTTTCATAGTGAGTGCGTATACATCCAAACTGCTTTTGCCATGCATGGACTGAATCACGTGACAGAGACAGACACACGTAAGTAAACCTTTTACACTGGACCAGTCCCCTGTGAAAGGAAGACCGAAATACGTTTTCTTATAACTTGGAAAGGATTTTTAAGACGAAATGTCCACTCCAGCTTAAACAATCGTCTGCATCCCGTTCCCTAAGTATCTTCGTCGTTGTTCTGGACATTGAGAATTATTGCCGTCAACGTTTGCTCTAATCTCATTATAACCAGATCTTTCACTCCGATTCGATTGTCTACAGAGATGTGTGTAATAATTATATTATGTTAGCTTTGTCGTACTTAATAAATGTTGGCTACATCTCTTGATCCATATATTTTAACCAGAATGATTGATTATAACAAAAGTTCACTCAGTAATCTGTCAATCCGTGGCGCCAATGGTCGACAGTCTCAGGGTGCCACGATACATTGTATATCCTCTTGATACTTATGGGGCAAGATGCTAACCTCGCGATTCAACATGTAACATGATCCTTACGATATCGGCAAGAGACTAATAATAAACAGATCACACTGAAAACAGTCATTTCTACAATGCAGGCAACATAAATGTCACGGACAGGTAACACATACATATTGGTGACCCTATTTAAATTTGAAGCAAGACTTGTGTGTCTTGAGGTTTCGCTTCCTTTACTTTGTCGCGGGAATATGTATAAATATTACAATCACTCGTGGCACCCTACATCAGAGACTGACTCCCTTCTTCATCGGTTCCTGCTCAGTCGTCTTGGGGCTGTCATAGACACCTCGCCTTGGACAGCGTCCGGAGGAGGTCCTGTGTTGCGATCTAACTGAAAGGATTCAATTGATTCCTGAGAACCGTAGTCTGAAGTAATGCTGTGACGTCCATGACCGTGTCCGCCTGAGTTGCCATGCCCACCAGACAAGCCTGCACGATTATGTCCCCTGTGGCCATTTCCTTGGCCATGACCGTGAGAATTACCATGATTGGTCCAGTGTCCTGGGGGTACGTGTTGGGTTCCCGGGTGTCCACTGGGAGAGCGCCCGGGCGGTCTACCCTGCCCAGGTCGTGCCCCATGGGACGGGATTCCTGGTTTACTCCCGGGGTTGTGGTGTGTTCCATTCCCCTTCCCACCGTGTGCACCCCAGGCAGGGAGGGGCCCCTTCTGTGGTGAGGTAGAATTGTGTCCGAACTTCGTGTCCACCCACCTGCAACAACATCCATCCATTCTGACGATAGTATTCACACCAGCAATGGCACCGTTGTTATGGAAACGGAGTTTCAACTTCTGCTGCAAATCTTTTCAGGCAGACGAATGAGATTATTACATCAATGATGGCACCGAATGCTGATTTTGAAATTATTAAATACTTTAAATATGAAAAGTAAATACAAATTAAATCGTATTTTCATTATATTGTCCAAAATAAAAATTCCTGAAGTATTAAACATAAATTCATGTGAAAGAAATAGTTTAAGATGGTGTTGCTTTAAGTCTAAGCAAGACGATTAATCTTAACATGGATTAATGTTACATACTATTGGGTTGATATCTTATCCAAAAGAGTCGAGAGTTCTGTAGATGATCTTAGTTTGTATATTGATGAGTGAAGTGTTTGGTTGTTTGTGTATGTGTTTATTTGTTATTTAACGCCACACTAAGCAATAGGTCAGCTATATGACGACGGTCTGTACATAATCGAGTCTGAACGAGACAATCCATTGATTAACATCATGAGCATCGATCTACGCGATTGGGATACGATGAAATGCATCAGCCAAGTCAGCGAGCGTGACCACCCGATCCCGTTAGTCGCTTTTTACAAGAATAGTCGCCTCTTACGGCAAGCATGGGTTGCTGAAGACCCATTCTAACCAGGATCTCCATGGCTGGAGGAGGGAAGTGAATTTTGTTAAACACCCTATCCGCAGTATTCAAACTTTAGCACCCTGTAAGTAATCGAATCTGGGAAGGCAACCAGTGGTCGATAGTATGAGCAACATTCCTTGTAAAATGAGAAACAGCCAGACATCATCGTAAGCACCTGATCCTTACTATAGTCGGCTCTCACGGCACTGGGTTACTGGGGACCGAACCATACCGGGGCCGGCGACAGCGCATGTATAGGTAGGTTTTATAGAAAGAGTCATATTCCCCGTGAACTTACTTCCAGAGAGCTTTAGGTCGCTTACATCTCCAGAGGACAACGAAGCATACTCCACCCAGGGCTATCAGGCCGCCGACCACTCCGCAGATAATCTCAACACTGTGATCTAGGTAACAAAACATGTATACATGCCCATTTTACTATAACTTACTAAATAAGGTAATATATCATGTTAAGATTGCTTCTGTAACGTCTATTCATGTGTGTATCCTAGAATTTAAGGAACATTTTGAATTTGAATCGATGCGGTTTAGAGAAAACCAATCTTAAAATCAGTATATACCTAAAGTTGTTTGTTTTTTGTTTAACGCCGCACGTAGCAATATTCCAGCGATATGACGGCTGTCTTTAACTTATCGAGTCTGGACCAGACAATCCAGTGACATCATGTACATCGAAATTGGGATGCGATGAGTCGATTCATTTGGTTGGTTTCTTGTTTTGTTGAAAGAATTCTGAAGTATTTAAATGGGAACATCATTGAGTTTCAAGCTTCAAATTAGATGCAGGAAACCATGGCGAGTTTCGTCAATTTGACCTAGTTTGAATGAAGAAGAATTAGTTGTGTAGTGGTAGTGTTATGTCAGTTTGTTGAAAGACAGTTGTTATATACTGCTACTACCTGTCTAGTGTGGACCCTTGTTGTGTGATGTTTGTATATATACATGTGTACATGGACCTTCATTGTCATAATACGTACTAGAATAAATAAAGAAAAGAATAAATCATTGTCCAACCATGATGGCCTTCCTTGTCCCCAACTCTCGTACATGGTTAAAAAGTTGTTTGTTGTTTAAGGCCGCAGTCTGCAATATTTCAATTATGTCATGGCGGCCTTTAAAATAATCGACTCTGATCAAGACAATCCAGTAATTGGCATCATGAGCCATCAAGAACTGTTAAAACGTAGACAAGATATTTTTGTTCACAAGTAACGACTGCGAAAACGTATTTCACTGTAATCTTAGTCATATATTTGTTCACAAAATCTTCTGAACTGCATGTTATGCACTCTATTTATCTTTCATTTTTGAAGAAATTATCAGTTCATTGTGTCAACATTGTTAATTACTTATTTAAGTTACTTTGAGCGTCTTACCGTCAAAATACATCCAAAATAAAATGAGGAGATTAATTTAGGAGTTTAGTTCATTTCAATCAGTCTGTCTAAATTCAAGTCTCATTTTTCAAAAAAATATGCATACTGACTGAAAACTTCAGTCAATATATCTCATATTGCATGATTTATAGACATTGACTGTGACACATATACACAATTTATGCATGCACATTCTTTAACATATATTACATGTTTGTTCCTATCACAGATATATGGACGTACACCATAACAGTAGTCTATCATACAGACCTTGAAACAAATAGATCCAATACAGCCCATGCAAGTCTATACTATTTGGCAAGTCTAGATTACTGCAGTATGAAAAGGAAGAGAGTGTCTGGGCTCCTTTTTTTAAATATTTCATAACTATAATTTATGAACAGTTTTATGTGTAAAATATGTTCATTTCAGAGACTAGATGTTAGTCTAATTATTATAGCGACACAAGGTCATACAATGCGAAAGCTGTTACATATATGTATCGGAAATAATTGAGATGTGAGAGATATCAATAGGAAATTAAAGATGATATTGACATCAATCGGAAATTAACGCATATATCATTCATATCAATATGAAAGTAACGGTTATATTATTATTGATATCAGTTGAATATAAGTAGCATTGTGATGGTAGTGATGGACTGGTGATAGCATTGTGTGGCACTACCTGTTGGAGGTTGTGAGGACGGTGTCGGTGTCTGTGATGCTGGCGCCTTGGATGAAACACCTGCAACAATTCGTGAATCAAGAACTGCATGCGTGTTATGACATGTAGCACATGGTGCTTATGTTTTGTTAAAAAACTGTCTCAAAGCAATGTCTATTACCGTATTCGGCGTAATAAGCGCCCAGGGCGCTCTCAAAATTAGAAATAGGGGGCTCTTATTAGAATATTATTTTGGTGGAAAAAAGAGAGTTGAAAGATAAATTTCGTGGTTTATGCTGGCACACTGAAATGTTTATATGTAACAGATAAATCTGACCAGAGTTTAATTGCCCATAATTAAGAATGTATTATACGCGAATAAATAAGTCTTGTGTACATTGATCAATCGGAAGGAGTGCTAATTGTGATTGTTCACTAGCCAATATATCAGCAAATATCGCCGTGGGCGCTAATTAGAGCGGGGCGCTTATTACGTCGAATACGGCAATATTACTGTTTGACATAAACTGTCAGGCAAAAGAACGTATACATTTGAAATCTGGATTTGACAAAACAATTACAAGCGTTGTGAAAAAACGTTTGGTCCAAAATCACAACTATGATACCCGTATCAAATACATCTCCATCGAATAACCTTGTTTGGTTTACTTATAGCCCCCATCAAACATGGGCGTATGCTTTCTTTTGCCCGGCAGTTTAAACCATAGAGGCATACAATTTCATACAATACGATGACATGCAATCAACCAAGTCAGTGAGCCTGACCACCAGATCTATTTAGTCGGTATCTGGGACCTATGTTCTTACCTGGTTAACATGCCTAAAGACATCTAAGATTTGAGATGAAGCGGCCCTTTAAACAAATCCTATGGAAACTCGAATTTACTTTTGTCCCTTGTATATAGTCACTGATAGCGATTGTATGTAAATATTAACATTTGAGTGAGCGTGCGAGCGAAAGTTTTTCAGGCCTTAGACAGCATTATGTTCCAGCTATATCACAGCGTCTGTACATAATAACAAACCAGTGACAACGACATATATATTCTATAATATATATTACATGCATTCATAGAATCACAATATAGTTCATCCAGGTAGGAATACAAAGAGATTTTGATAACAATGTGAATTAAAGGAGATATAATTGATGTCAATTGAAAAAAAAGTAGCTATGATTGATATCAATTGGAAATTAAAGGAGATATGATTGAAATCAATTGAAAATTGATGGGGCTATAATTGATGTCAATTGGAAATTAAAGGAGCCATGATTATCGGAAATTAAAGGAGCTATGATTGATGTCAATCGGAATTTAAAGGAGATGTGATTGATGTCAGTCGGAATTTTTAAGGAAACATGATTGATGTCACTTGTAAATTAAAGGAGATATGATTGATGTCAATTGGAAATTAAAGGAGATGTGATTGATGTCAATCGGAATTCAAAGGAAACATGGTTGATGTCACTTGGAAATTAAAGGAAATATGATTGATGTGAGTCAGACATTAATGGAGATATTACTGATATCTGTTGGATATTAGCAGAAATATGATGGTAATTATCGCGTGGTGGTAGGATAGTGTGACACTACCTGTTTCTAAGGACGGGCTCGTCGTCTGTGATACCGGCGCACTGGATGAGACACCTGCAACAAATTGTTTGTGTATTTAATTCTGGAAGTAATTATTTTTACGCAAGCAGTGCACGTATAGTACAAGAGACCTATAATACCCCGGGGGCGGTCAGGTAGCCTAGTTGTTAAAGTATTCGCTCGTCACGCCGAAGACCCGGGTTCGATTCCCGACATGGTTACATTGTGTGAAGCCCATTTCTAGTGTCCCCCGTCGTGATATTGCTGGAATATTGCTAAAAGCGGCGTAAAACCATACTCACTCACTCATTCACTATAATACCCCTGGTCCCCTTGGGGTGGGTTTATGAAGTATAATATTGTTTTCATTATTCAGATACCCTCTTTGACACTGATAGCTTTATCCTGAACTGCTTATAGATACTCTACCACACCTCGGAGATTCTGGAAGAGTGAGTGAGTGAGTGAGTTGGGTTTAACGCCGCTTTTAATAGTATTCCAGTTATATCGCGGCGTGTCATCTTAATGTGGTAGGAAAGCCTGAAGTGATGCAGGTCTCAGACGTTTACCACTTCGGTGAAACCCACGAGCACGGGTATGGTGCTGACAAACCTAGAAACATAATCGAGGCGAACCGGGATTCGAACCCACAATCATAGGTTTCTGGCGTACCCAGGGACGCAACTCTGCACAGCGAATCGCGGCGCCTTAGACGACTGGGCCACCAATGCCACCAGATTCTAGAAGAGATCCCCAGAACCACATGCTAGTAGAACCGACTAGTGACGACCTTCACAATGTGTGACCTGGCTGACTGTGCCTTCGAAACCCGACGGTGTTGTTCGTTGCTTGTGTCATCGACCACAGGGGGTGGTCGGGTAGCCTAGTGGTTAAAGCGTTCGCTCGTCACGCCGAAGACCCGGGTTCGATTCCCGACATGGGTACAATGTGTGAAGCCCATTTCTGGTGTCCCCCGCCGTGATATTGCTGGAATATTGCTAAAAGCGGCGTAAAACCATATATCTCACTCACTAAACTTGTCTGTATGTCTTTTCTTACTTGGGCCAGGCACTACCCTGGGTGTCTGGTCTATCTGTAACAGGGACTCGGAGTGATATCCTATCTAAGTGATAGGATATTCCATCCTCAGTTCCCGAAAACATGACAGTAATGTTCAGGGACCATATTAGAACGTTGAAGTTCCTCGTGCCAATGGCATCTTTGGCATAAATGAGAACTACCAGAGAACTTGTATATTACACATCAAAAACTTTCTAACTTGGTCTGATTCTTGTGACCCCGCCCACTTTGGAACAGTCCGTCCCCGTGAAGCCGTCGTCACAGTAACAGCTGTTGTCATTGGTGCATATCTGGAAGGATAATGTACATATACATAAGATAAAGATATGATAACAACCCGCCAAAACAGCCGGAAATTGCAAATTTTTAAGCTACGGAACAGTTTTCTCATCACTTGCAATATGATATAAGCACTACAGGATTGAAAAGGATTGAACTGTCTCACATCTCGAGAACTATGGGCAAATCAGTACTTGATCTACAGTTCCTAAGATAATGAGTATTGGTCAAGGACTTGCTAAGGTTAGAAAATCAAGAAAAAGATGTCTGACAAGAATGATCCGTTTTGACACATTTGGGGTTTTAGCTTTAGATTTGGTGTTGTTAAAAGCCCAGGGACGGTATTCATAAACATTCTTAGAGTGCTAAAGAGGTCTTAAGTCTGAGAAAATCTAAGAATTTTCTTAAGTCATATTCATAAAAACTTTTAGCACTTAGAGTACTCCTAAAGTTAAGAGTACTCAAGGGGGCTTTTAGCTACCTAAGAATTTTCTTAAGTATCCAATATGGCGGCAGCTGGGGCACCCCAGCTGCATCAGCTGAGAACTTTCAGGCCAAGGAAAAACATTTTCAGTGTGTACTCAGACACGGAACTTATCCAGTGGTTTCGCCTTGACAGTGCAGGTATATTATTTGTCACAAATTTAATCAGGGATAGGCTTACCTCCCCTACACAAAGAAACAATGCTATCACCCCGGAGATGAAAATAGCTGTCATGCTGCGTTATCTTGCAACTGGGAAAATGCAACTGTGTAACGCCGATGATCTTGGAATAAGTCAGCCATCCATAAGCCGTATTGTCAGTGAAACAATTGATGCATTGTCAACACCGGCTATTGTCCGACAGTTTGTCAAATTACCTGTACTACGAACAGACATCCAACGTAATCAAGCAGCGTTCATGGCAATTGCTGGCTTTCCTGGCGTATTTGGTGTAATTGACGGCACCCATGCCCGCATAATTGCCCCGAGTGTCGATGAGCCGGAGTACGTTTGTAGGAAACATTTCCACAGCATTAATGTGCAAATAGTATTTGATGCTCACTACAACATACTTGACATCGTTGCCAAGTGGCCAGGATCTACGCACGATGCAAGAATTTTAAATGAGAGCGGTGTCCGAACCGCATTCGAACAACATTTCATCCCTCAAGAATTCTAAATATAGCACAGGGATTCCCCTGGTTACGACCAATGTCCGACCTAAGAGTTACTCTCAGAGTTTCACTTAGCTCTTAGCTAAAAGTTACGCTCAGAGTCATAATGATTACACTCTTAAGTGTAACACTTAGCTAAGAATTATCTTAGCGAGTAAGGAGTATTCTTAAGAAAATTCTAAGAATGTTTATGAATACCGCCCCAGAACTATTAAGTATCGAAAAGAACAAAGTCTAACTGTCATTCATACAAACAGACATCTAAAAGTTCTTCAAAACGCCACCGTACTTACCCCATGATTGGAGCACTGAGATCCTGAAGGGTCTTTGGGGCAGGGTTGTTTTGGCAACGTCTGCAGCACGACGCACTCTCTCGCCAAGCACACCCCGGGCTGGTTATTTCCGGTTTCGAAGTGTATGCAGGGGGACCCATCATCCACCAGACCAGGGTCGGGGACGTCATCGCCGAGGTCGATAGCAACAGAACTACAACATAATTGTTTTACCATCACCACCGTGGTCATCGTCATCATCGTCGTCATCATCACCACTGTGGTCATCGCCGTCACCGTCGTCATCATCAAGGGCCAGTGAGCATATTCAGTAAGTAGTACACAGCTCAGGCTACCTACATCATGTTGATTGACATCATGATAATCGATCTACGCAATTGGGATACGATGGTATGCATCAACAAAGACATGGAGCCTGACCACCCGATCCCGTTAGTCGCCTCTTACGGCAAGCGTTGTCGCCTTTTACGGCAAGCATGGGTTGCTGAAGACCTATTCTACCCCGGATTATCACGGGAAGCTACCTATGAAGTATTACTTACTTACATGCACGTGTGGGAACCTGACGTTGTATTGATGATATGTCGACCGACACCAACCACGGGGGACCTGCTCTTTGTAACACACTGTAGCATACCACACATGACGTTACTGAAAGATGGAGAAAAACGTGGTCTCAGTGACACTGCAGCACATGATGTTACTGAAACATGGAGAAACACATGGTCTTAGTTACACTGTAGCATACAGCACATGATGTTACTGAAACATGGAGAAACACGTGGTCTTAGTGACACTGTAGAAAACGCACATGATGTGACTGAAACATGGAGAAACACGTTGTCTCAGTGACACTGTAGCATACAGCACATGATGTTACTGAAACATGAAGAAACACGCGGTCTCAGTGACACTGTAGCATACCGCACATGATGTTACTGAAAAATGGAGAAACACGTGGTCTCAGTGTCACTGTGGCATGCAGCACATGATGTTACTGAAACATGGAGAAACACGTGGTCTTAGTGACACTGTAGCATACAGCACATGATGTTACCGAAACATGGATAAACACGTGGTCTTAGTGACACTGTAGCACACCGCATATGATGTTACTGAAACATGAAGAAACACGTGGTCTTAGTGACACTGTAGCACACCGCACATGATGTTACTGACACATGAAGAAACACGTGGTCTCAGTGGCACTGTGGCATACCGCACATGATGTTACTGAAACATGGAGAAACATGTGGTCTCAGTGGCACTGTGGCATACCGCACATGATGTTACTGAAACATGGAGAAACACGTGGTCTCAGTGACACTGTGGCATGCAGCACATAATGTTTCTGACACATGAAGAAACACGTGGTCTCAGTGGCACTGTGGCATACCGCACATGATGTTACTGAAACATGAAGAAACATGTGACCCTAGTGTAGCATAACGCACATGATGTTACTGAAACATGGAGAAACACGTGGTCTTAGTGGCATTGTAGCATACCACACACCATGTTACTGAAACATGGAGAAACACGTGGTCTCAGTGACACTGTTGGATTCAGCAAATGATGTTACCGAAAGATGGAGAAACACGTGGTCTCAGTGACACTGTGGCATGCAGCACATGATGTTACCGAAACATGGAGAAACACGTGGTCTCAGTGACACTGTAGCATACCGCACATGATGTTACTGAAACATGGAGAAACACGTGGTCTCAGTGACACTGTAGCATACCGCACATGATGCTACTGAAACATGGAGAAACACGTGGTCTCAGTGACACTGTGGCATGCAGCACATGATGTTACCGAAACATGGAGAAACACGTGGTCTAAGTGACACTGTAGCACACCGCACATGATGTTACTGAGACATGGAGAAACACGTGGTCTCAGTGACACTGTAGCACACCGCACATGATGTTATTGAAACATGGAGAAACATGTGGTCTCAGTGACACTGTGGCATGCAGCACATGATGTTACTGAAACATGAAGAAACACGTGGTCTCAGTGACACTGTAGCATACAGCACATGATGTTACTGAAACATGGAGAAACACGCGGTCTCAGTGACACTGTAGCATACCGCACATGATGTTACCGAAACATGGAGAAACACGTGGTCTCAGTGACACTGTAGCATACCGCACATGATGTTACTGAAACATGGAGAAACACGTGGTCTCAGTGACACTGTAGCATACCGTACACGATGTTACCGAAACATGGAGAAACACGTGGTCTCAGTGACACTGTGGCATGCAGCACATGATGTTACTGAAACATGGAGAAACACGTGGTCTTAGTGACACTGTAGCACACCGCACATGATGTTACTGAAACATGGAGAAACACGTGGTCTCAGTGGCACTGTTGCATACAGCACATGATGTTACTGAAACATGAAAAAACATGTGACCCTAGTTTAGCATACCGCACATGATGTTACTGAAACATGGAGAAACATGTGACCCTAGTGTAGCATACCGCACATGATGTTACTGAAACATGGAGAAACATGTGACCCTAGTGTAGCATACCGCACATGATGTTACTGAAACATGGAGGAACACGTGGTCTTAGTGGCATTGTAGCATACCACACACCATGTTACTGAAACATGGAGAAACACGTGGTCTCAGTGACACTGTGGGATTCAGCACATGATGTTACCGAAAGATGGAGAAACACGTGGTCTCAGTGACACTGTGGCATGCAGCAAATGATGTTACCGAAACATGGAGAAACACGTGGTCTCAGTGACACTGTAGCATACCGCACATGCTGCTACTGAAACATGGAGAAACACGTGGTCTTAGTGACACTGTAGCACACCGCACATGATGTTACTGAAACATGGAGAAACACATGGTCTTAGTGACACTGTAGCATACCGCACATGATTTTACTGACACATGAAGAAACACGTGGTCTCAGTGGCACTGTGGCATACCGCACATGATGTTACTGAAACATGAAGAAACATGTGACCCTAGTGTAGCATAACGCACATGATGTTACTGAAACATGGAGAAACACGTGGTCTTAGTGGCATTGTAGCATACCACACACCATGTTACTAAAACATGGAAAAACACGTGGTCTCAGTGACACTGTTGGATTCAGCACATGATGTTACCGAAACATGGAGAAACACGTGGTCTCAGTGACACTGTGGCATGCAGCACATGATGTTACTGAAACATGGAGAAACACGTTGTCTCATTGACACTGTAGCATACCGCACATGATGTTACTGAAACATGGAGAAACACGTGGTCTTTGATGTTACTGACACATGAAGAAACACGTGGTCTCAGTGGCACTGTGGCATACCGCACATGATGTTACTGAAACATGGAGAAACACGTGGTCTCAGTGACACTGTGGCATGCAGCACATAATGTTTCTGAAACATGGAGAAACACGTGGTCTCAGTGGCACTGTGGCATACCGCACATGATGTTACTGAAACATGGAGAAACACGTGGTCTCAGTGGCACTGTGGCATACCGCACATGATGTTACTGAAACATGAAGAAACATGTGACCCTAGTGTAGCATAACGCACATGATGTTACTGAAACATGGAGAAACACGTGGTCTCAGTGGCATTGTAGCATACCACACACCATGTTACTAAAACATGGAGAAACACGTGGTCTCAGTGACACTGTTGGATTAAGCACATGATGTTACCGAAACATGGAGAAACACGTGGTCTCAGTGACACTGTGGCATGCAGCACATGATGTTACTGAAACATGGAGAAACACATGGTCTCATTGACACTGTAGCATACCGCACATGATGTTACTGAAACATGGAGAAACACGTGGTCTTTGATGTTACTGACACATGAAGAAACACGTGGTCTCAGTGGCACTGTGGCATACCGCACATGATGTTACTGAAACATGGAGAAACACGTGGTCTCAGTGACACTGTGGCATGCAGCACATAATGTTTCTGAAACATGGAGAAACACGTGGTCTCAGTGGCACTGTGGCATACCGCACATGATGTTACTGAAACATGGAGAAACACGTGGTCTCAGTGACGCTGTGTCATGCAGCACATAATGTTTCTGACACATGAAGAAACACTTGGTCTCAGTGGCACTGTGGCATACCGCACATGATGTTACTGAAACATGGAGAAACACGTGGTCTTAGTGACACTGTAGCATACCGCACATGATGCTACTGAAACATGGAGAAACACGTGGTCTCAGTGACACTGTGGCATGCAGCACATGATGTTACTGAAACATGGAGAAACACGCGGTCTCAGTGACACTGTGGCATGCAGCACATAATGTTCCTGAAACATGGAGAAACACGTGGTCTCAGTGACACTGTGGCATGCAGCACATGATGTTACTGAAACATGGAGAAACACGTGGTCTCAGTGACACTGTAGCATACCGCACATGATGCTACTGAAACATGGAGAAACACGTGGTCTCAGTGACACTGTGGCATGCAGCACATGATGTTACTGAAACATGGAGAAACACGCGGTCTCAGTGACACTGTAGCATACCGAGCATGATGTTACTGAAACATGGAGAAACATGTGACCCTAGTGTAGCATACCGTACATGATGTTACTGAAACATGGAGAAACATGTGACCCTAGTGTAGCATATCGCACATGATGTTACTGAAACATGAAGAAACACGTGGTCTCAGTGGCACTGAAGCATACAGCACATGATGTTACTGCAACACGGATTTGGTTGGTTGGTTTGTTGTTTAACGCAGCATTCAGCAATATTTCAGCTAAATGTCGACGGCTGTTAATAATCGAGTCTGGACCAGACAGTCCAGTGATTAATATCATGAGCATCGATCCACGCAAGTAGGATCAATGACATGCATCAACCAAATCAGCGAGCCTCACCACCCGATCCCGTTAGTCGCCTCTTACGACAAGTATAGTCGCTTTTTACGGCAAGCATGGGTTGCTGAAGACCTATTCTACCCCGGATCTTCACGGTTCACTGCAACATGGAGAAACACGTGGTATTAGTGACACTGTAGCATACCACACATGGTGCTACTGCAATGTGGAGAAATACGTGGTCTTAGTAAAATTCACAAGCAGGGTATGATGCTGACAAACCTAGAAACACAGATTCGAACCCACGATCATAGGTTACTGGCACGCTAAAGGGACTTAACTAAGCACTAGTGTACATGTTTACAAGGACTATGACAAACAGGGATAATATGAACGTACGTTCTCCTCCCAACACTACAGTACACGACGCTGTGTTTGCTGATCTACTACATTCCCTCGTCGTCACTCACCTATATGCACAGCCTGTGTAGGTGACGGTCCCCGAGACGCGGGTAGCTCCACAGTTTCCGGTGGCCGTGCCGTCCTGGTTGGGCTGGTAGCAGGAAGCGTATGCTGATGTAGAACCTATGAGAAGAGAAGGGATTTCCCCTTACAATTCATGATACAAACATATACATTCTTCACTTCAATATACCTAGAAATTTAAGAATATGTAAACTTTTTAACTTAAACTGCGTTGAAAGTGATTTCCATTTTCTTTATGGTGTGTGCAGCGTACGTATAGTTAAGACAACTGTACATAAACACTAAGTTATATCTTCATCCTAACATCCTTAATTTAACATTCTGATGTTATGGCAAAACGCTAACATCATAACAAATTGAGCAAACAGCACATATGGAAAGAAAAGTAGGGTTAACTGTTATTCCGCCTGTACCATAACGTTTGTACACAAAGTCCTAAGGTCTAAGAGTACTGAAATAGATTGACCGATTGATTGAAAATTCTTAATGACCAAAATACGCTTAACGTCATTATTAGCAACTACAATGTTGTTTTGTTTGTTTGTTGTTTAACGCCGCAGTCAACAATATTCCAGCTATATGATGGCGGCCTGTAAATAATCAAGTCTGAACAAGACAATCCAGTCACTGACATCAGGAGCATCGATCCACGCAATTAGGATACGATGACATACATCGACCAAGTCAGCAAGCCTGACCATCCGATCCCGTTAGTCGCCTCATGAAAACAAGGGTTGATAAAGACCAGTTCTAAGCCGGATCTTCACGGGTCCAGCATTGTTAGTGAGTGAGTGAGTGAGTATGATTTTACACCGCTTTTAGCAATATTCCAGCAATATCACGGCGGGGGACACCAGAAATGGGCTTCACACATTGTACCCATGTCGGGAATTGAACCCGGGTATTCGGCGTGACGAACGAACGCTTTAACCACTAGGCTACCCGACCGCCCCCAGCATTGTTAACAACGACCGGGAGATCGTCGTACAGACACACATGTTTGTGACGGTGAACGCAAATCACTCAATCTGTGTTCCACCGCCAAACAAAGGAAAATGACCTCGATCATATTTGTGGCTTTTCACAAACCTGAGGTCCTTCATTGTGGGAAATATATGTTATTTCAATTAGATAATTCAGATAAAATCTTTAATCAGTTTCTAAACAGTGTCAACAACGGCTGCAGTTTAAAACCAGGATGCACTGAACAAACATGAGACTGCAGAAACCCAAAGTACGTTTCTCAAGGTTTCCGCATCTGAAGGAACTTTCATCACTTCGAACTTTCTTCTCAAGTTGAGCCTCCGTGGTCTCGTGGTAGAGAGTCCGCCCGGCCGCGTCATACCAAAAGACGTTAATACCCTGCCTGGCGCTCTACATTAAGAGATTAAGACAAGGACTGGTCGGCTGTATACTGTGTCTGAGTGGGGTATTCATGTTAAACTGCGGCATGGTATCTAAGTGGACTAGCACTATAAATCGGCATCAGTCCGGACTAGTACAAGCAGCCACATACACACACACACACGCACGCACGCACGCACGCACGCACGAACGCAAGCACGCACGCGCACGCATGCATGCATGCACGCACGCACGCACGCACACACACACACACACCAGCATGCACTTTGCTGTATAAGTACAATTATCTTGAACGCGACGTCAAACCCTTACTCTATCACCTGATACGCCTTGATATATAGCTGAAATACTGTTCCAAGCGGCGTTAAAGCCTATTCTCTCCCAAAGGATTCGTTGAAACAGGTATATACTCAACAACAAAAGTTCCTGTGACACCAATATTTTAGTGTATTTTTCAAACAAGTAAAGTTTGGTTTTCAATATTGTAGTACATGTATGAAATCACAAAAATGCAACTGCTACAGAAAAGCATGCAAGTTGACTTTTATGCAAGCCCCATGCATTTCACTACCCAAGAATGGGTAGAAAAACATGTGCGTTAACGGGATTCCATATGCATAGTTTAGCTTCGGGCTGACAACAACCACTCAGAAAAACTACAAAATTACGCAATTATTCAACATTACGAAATGCCAAGTGACTGCAAGAAGCATCCCTGGCCTTCGACGAATATCTTCACAAACCGTACGTCGTCGCCTCAGATGTGCACGGATTGTCGCCAGAAGACCCGCCAGACGTCCCATTCTGACAGGAAACCACCGTCAAGCACGTCTACAGTGGTGCAGATAGCGCCTACGCTGGACGGCCATGCAGTGGGGACAAGTTCTATTCACTGACGAGTCTCGTTTTCCCCTCAGCCACAGCGATGGACGGATTCGAGTGTACCGACGTCGAGGTGAACGTTACGTCAATCATTGTGTCATGGAAGAAGATCGGTTTGGGGGCGGCAGCGTTATGGTATAGGGTGGGACAGCAAGACAGAGGACCCGTTTGATAGTGGTAGAGGGAAATCTCAATGGACAGCGCTACCGCGACGAGATCATCGGCCCTGTTGTTCTACCGTTTTTGCGTCGACATGGCCCAGGTATTGCCTTTCAACATGACAACGCCCGGCCTCATATTGCTCGACTTGTTCAGGTTTCTCTTCAACAAAACAACGTGAATATCATCCCCTGGCCGGTTCGCTCCCCTGATCTCTCACCAATCGAGCACATGTGGGATGAGATGGATCGGCGCCTTCGAAGTCAATCACGTGTTCCACGGACACTCCAGGAACTTCGAAACATGCTCCAGCAGATATTGATAGATATCCCACAGGACTTAGTGCGACGCCTGGTCCATTCCATGAGACGAAGATGTGTTGCTTGCATCGCAACCAGAGGTGGACACACACGCTATTGATTTGTAAATTGACATTTTTGCATGTTCATGTTTTTATGAAATCACGCATTTTCAGAAGTATGACAAATTAAACCCTTTGAACACTTACAGGAGTCTTTTATCTGTTGCAAACCGAAATTATTTCAGATTTGGTAAAAAACATAACTTTGCATTAAATCTTAATCAATGTTTCAGGAACTTTTGTTGTTCAATATATACTCTTCCAAAAAAGAAACTTGACAGATGTAAAACCACTTTTTGCCAAATATCTAAAATAATTACATTAAATGAGAACCAAATAAGTCAAACAGAAAGATGATGTGTCTATAATTCGCGAAAACACATACAAAGCACAGAAACGTAGCGTTTGGGGATAAATTTTACAGCTTCATCCAAACGCAACCGCCTGTAAAAAACGTGCAACACAGGATCCTGCATTTAGGCATGCAGGCCCCCCTGCTGAATGGGTATAAACATCCACATCAACGGTTGTTCATACAGTCCTTATAACGGCAGTAGAGGCGGTGACAGAATGCCAGACTGAATGCAGCTCAACGGAACATTGGGAGATTACAAGCTGGAGCAACTCAGCAAGAAGTGGCCAGGCACTTTGGCGTATCCAGACAGACAATATCCGCACGGTGGACCCGATACAACAACACCTACAGAGTTGACGAAAGACCAAGGTCAGGAAGACCAAGGGTGGCAACCCAAGCACAAGATCGATACATCCGGCTGGGACACCTCCGAAACCGCACTATCACAGCCACGTCTACAACCACACAGATCCCTGGGGTACGCAGAATATCAGATCAAACGGTACGCAACAGACTGAGGGAGGTTGGACTTTTTGCACGAAGACCTGTTCGACGTCACGTATTGACCGTCTGCTTTGGTGCCAACAGAGGGTTAGATGGGCACGTGCAAGGTGGAGAAATGTACTGTTTACTGACGAGTCCCGTTTCCTACTCACACGTGCTGATGGGCGCGCACGTGTTTACAGACGTCGGGGTGAACGTTACGCCCCCAACTGTGTGCAGCAGGTTGTCCCATTTGGCGGCGGGAGTGTCATGGTATGGGCCGGAATTCATCACGGTGGTAGGACGCCTCTCGTGCATGTGGCAGGTGCATTGACAGGTGTGCGTTACAGAGACTTGATCCTACAGCCTTACGTTCTTCCTCACGTCACGTTATTGACAACTTGATTGCATCTATGGGTCGTCGGTGTCAAGCGGTGATTGATGCACGTGGTGGGCACAACCGATACTGACATTTTCTGTACCCCTGTGACATTAACTATATCGTGTACGTGTGTCTGTCTAGGTGACACGATTAATGTCTTGAACATTGTGTACATTGATCTTCAAACAGTGTTTAAATTATGGTTTCTGTGTCCTATTTTGAAACAATCGCATTATATTACATTTTGAAAGTCAGTGTCAAGTTTCTTTTTTTGAAGAATATATAATCATTCACCTGATGAGGGGACAAGAGTGAGTGAGTGAGTTATAGTTTTATATCGCATAGGCAATATTGCCGCCATATCACGATGAGGAGACAAGAAGTAGTCCTGAAACGCTGAGTACAATAAAGAAGTTGTTACCCATAGTCTAATACTCCTCGTCATAGGAATATACAGTTTAATTTCAAATTCTGATTTGACGTCACAACTTAATCGATCAGGCTAAAAATACTATTTCCTCACTGACTGTGTGTACATACCGGGCCCCCACAGGTACTGACACTGGGCGTGGGCACTCCGACACTTGCCCTTGTAGCAGAAGCCCTGACTCAGCCCGGCCCCACAGTCCTGCATGTCCTTCAGGTGGAGGTTGGCGGGACACTACATGCAACACACACAAGAACATAGAACGGCCACACGTACAGGCGAAGTTTGAATCATCGTGATCAGTAAGCTTGACTTCTTTGAGTTCTAGTGTTTTGGTCCTGCACCACGTTGAAACACGTTCTAAAGTATGTGACGTGTTTCGAAATATGATCATGAAATATGGCTATCTGTGTGACCATGTAGTTATATGTCTATCTGTATGAACATGTAGATATGTGCCTATCTGTATGGCCATGTAGATATATGCCTATCTGTAGGGCCATGTAGATATATGCCTATCTGTAGGGCCATGTAGATATATGCCTATCTGTATGGTCATGTAGTTATATGCCTATCTGTATGGTCATGTAGTTATATGCCTATCTGTATGGCCATGTAGATATATGCCTATCTGTATGGTCATGTAGTTTTATGCCTATCTGTATGGCCATGTAGTTGTATGCCTATCTGTATGGCCACGTAGTTATACGCCGATCTGTATGGTCATGTTGTTATATGCCTATCTGGATGGCCATGTAGATATAAGCCTATATGTATGGCCATGTAGTTATACGCCTATCTGTAAGGCCATGTAGTTATATGCCGATCTGTATGAACATGTAGATATGTGCCTATCTGTGTGACCATGTAGTTATATGTCTATCTGTATGAACATGTAGATATGTGCCTATCTGTATGAACATGTAGATATGTGCCTATCTGTATGGCCATGTAGATATATGCCTATCTGTATGAACATGTAGATATATGCCTATCTGTATGAACATGTAGATATGTGCCTATCTGTGTGACCATGTAGTTATATGTCTATCTGTATGAACATGTAGATATGTGCCTATCTGTATGGCCATGTAGATATATGCCTATCTGTATGAACATGTAGTTGTATGCCTATCTGTATGAACATGTAGATATAAGCCTATCTGTATGGCCATGTACTTATATGCCTATCTGGATGGCCATGTAGTTATATGCCTATCTGGATGGCCATGTAGTTATATGCCTATCTGTATGGCCATGTAGTTATATGCCGATCTGTATGGTCATGTAGTTATATGCCGATCTGTATGGCCATTTAGTTATATGCCGATCTGTATGGTCATGTAGTTATATGCCGATCTGTATGGCCATTTTGTTATATGCCGATCTGTAAGGCCATGTAGTTATATGCCGATATGTAAGGCCATGTAGTTATATGCCGATCTGTATGGCCATGTAGTTATATGCCTATCTGTATGGCCATGTAGTTGTATGCCTATCTGTATGGCCATGTAGTTGTATGCCTATCTGTATGGCCATGTAGTTATATGCCTATCTGTATGTCGTGAGAAAGCTAGTTGGTCACATCGCTATACGTTTTTACATCTACAGCTGTACAGCAGTTTTTACCTCGGACACTTTACCGTCACAAAACTCCTCCAGATCACATTCGTTCTGCTTGGGGCGACATATCATGCCAGGTGACACAATCTGGAGAAACATCAAATATGAAACAAAACACACATAAACAAAAGATCCACGATTACAATGATGATTGTGTCAATGACAAAACACAATTATAGATAAACACATACATATAGAACACATGTTATACCCATACAGCTGTAGAAAGGCATTTGAAACCTTGGTCACGATACAGACTTTGGGAATTCGTGTTATTCGTTATTACAAACGGAGTGTCGATATCAGAACATTGCGCACATAAGGCCAAAAAGCCATATTTGTTATCTTAATCTCTGACATATATATTGTGAAGCCTAAAACATTAACGCTGGTGGCAGAACATACGGACAATATGGGAATAAACGGGATAAACGTTGTGATGTAACTCGAGAAAAACAAGAAAAAAACGTTTTAGGGTCAGGGGCTCCAGATGAGGGTTGGTCTAGCAACCAGAAACACAAATATTTATGGTGTTATGATTCTTGAATGATCTTAGAGTAACGCCCTCCTAATCGAAATATAGAGTATAAAACAACTCAGAAAAGATATTCAACCAATATTCTAAACTGCTTCGAAAAGCCTTTGTTTCAATGATTTCCTTAGTGTTCATGTTCTGTAACACAATTCATATTACATCCGTTTTCTGGGGGTGGCACAAGTGGCCTAACTGTCTAAAGCGCTTAAAAGATTTGCCGGGACAGATTCCACTGACCGTGGTTAAATCCAAGATTCTCATTTTTATCCTTGGTTTCCTAGCACCATACCCGAACCCTTCTCTTGGGTTTCACGATCTGGATCACTTCAAGCTCTTCCAACATTAAGCTGAAATACTGTTCTTAGCTCTGTCAAACCCAACTCACTCATTCACTGTTTTAATGTGGACTACCTTACAACTCTTGCAGCATCCTCCGGTGTTGCACTGAGCACTTGGGCGGAGCTTGCAGCCAAACATACAGCATGGGTCCTTCTGGCAATCCTGCGAAGACATCAGATGTACAGGACACTAGGGGCTGACGTAATCATTGTCGTTATACCACAGGATACCATAGAATAACGCATAGTTCCCGAAGTAAATAAGGTCAGTTATGTATAATGCTTAATAAAAATAATGTTATAATTGAACCCTCGAGTATTAAGGAGCCCCCAGGTCTCTTAATGCAGACTTTATCTATGTAGTGACTGGCAGTGTACATGTCGTAAAGACCCGTGAAGATCCGGGATAGAATAGGTCTTCAGCAACCCATGCTTGCCGTTAAAAGCGACAATGCTTGGGATCGGGTGGTCAGGCTCGCTGACTTGGTTGATGCATGTCATCGTAACCCAACTGCGTAGATCGATGCGCATGATGTCAATCACTGGATTGTCTGGTCCAGATTCAATTATTTATAGGCCGCCGTCATAGAGCTGGAATATTGCTGACTGCGGCGTTAAACAACAAAGACACTAAGAAACAAACAATCTTAATGTAGACTTTATCTATGTAGAGCCTGGACGGTGTACACGTCGTAAAGCCGCAGTGTTGGTCTACATCAACTGTAAAGCTTCCACTCACCGGTATCTCTCCGCAGTCGCAGACCTCCCCCTGCTCCTTCACCCCGTTCCCACACACCGGCCCCCCGTACACGTGCAGGGGGGCGTCATACAGGCAGCTAGCCCCTCCCTCGCGAAACATCTTGGCCACAGCATCCTTGCTGCACTGGCTGAAGCTCCGGGGGTCGACCCTGGGGATACAGATTGTGTCATGTATGCGCCAGACCCGACCCATTGTGGCCAGATTATCATCCTTGTCTATCAGTCTATATATAACGAACCGCAAAAGAAACGTCACCCCAAGTAACATTCCTTGAAAAGTTGTCATTTAAATATCTGGGTAATTTTTGTCAAAGTTTCTAAAATTTAACATTACCTTGTCAGGAAAAATGAAATTTGATGGTAAAAAAGCAGATGACAATAAAACCGATCTCCCAAACGCATCACGGCAACGGCCATGGTAACCCGATGCACGTGAGTTCCGTGCAAATTGAAATGCACATGCGTTCCCCCATTTCTTGCCCTATAAACTTTTTTTTTAATACACCCAGATCGGATAACATTCATACGTTATTGAAGTGCAACCACGTGCCAAGATTAAACGGAATCAGCGACACCAAGCCGATTGCAAGCTGGACAAACCGCCCGGCAAGTAGCCAATGCATTTCAAGTCCACGTGAGGACTATATACAGGTTCCAGTAACGGTACCAGACCACCAACACTACAGATGACCGACCACGTTGTGGAAGACCAAGGATCGCCACCCGACGTCAGGATCGTCAGATTGTGCGACAGCATCTTGAAGGTCGCTTTGTTACTGCTCGACAGACCATGGGGACACACCAGCAACACATTAATGCGGACACCGTGCGTCGACGTTTGACGAGCAGACACCTCCACTGTCACAGGCCACACCGAGGGCCCATTCTGACCCCACGTCATCGCCGGGGCCGTCATCAGTGGGAAACACAGCACCAGCATTGGCGCCACCAGCAGTGGAGAATAGTCCTCTTCCCAGATGAGGGCCGTTACTGTATCTCAACATCAGATGGCAGAGAGAGTCTGGCGACGCCGTGGGGAACGTTATTCGGATGCTTGTGTTGTTGAGAGAGACACGTGGGGTGGTCCGAGCATCATGGTGTGTGGTGGAATTGGTCTTGCACAGAGGGTCGGCCCTGTGGTCTTCCAGAACATCGGTCCAGGGAGAAGCAATGGTGTAACAGCAGCTCGGTACATGAGACTTCCTACAGCAGAATGGCATCAGAACCATGCAGTGGCTTGCCTTAAGTCCCGATTTAAATCCCATTGAGCACCTGTGGGACGAGATTCAAAGACGGCTGAATGACGTCCGACCAAGGCAGACAACTGCAACTGAACTGCGTCAGGCGTTTCTCAGAGTGTGGGTTCAAGTGCCTATGGCCTTCATCAACCGCCTCATCCATTCCATGTATCGACGTTGCACGGTAGTCATCAATGCACATGGCGACAAACGAGATACTGACTTGTGATGCCATTTTCTCAGAGACTTGTGTTCTTTCACTTTAAGAACATTTGACACTTTAATTTCAACCTTGATGATCAGTTTCGCCAAGTTTCATCTTTTTAATATGTCTCAAAGTATGTTTACAGTGTTTGGACAAATACGGTTTCTCATATATCTGTCCATGGTGACGTTTCTTTTGCGGTTCAGTATACATATATACGCTTATGGGTTTCACTACGATCTGAACCCGTGAGATCCGTGTTAGCAACCCATGCTTGAAATAAGAGGCGACTACGTTTGTTGTAAGAGGCGAATGACGGGATCGGGTGGTCAGGCTCGCTGACTTGGTTGATACATGTCATCGTATCCCAATTGCGTGGATCGATGCTCATGATGTCAATCACTGGATTGTTTGGTCCAGCCTCGATTATTTACAGACCGACGTCCTATATCTGGAATATGGCCGAGTGCGGCGTTAAACAACAAACAAACAAACAAACTTACTAGCTATGGCGGATCAAGGATTGCATGGGGATGTGCGTGCGTGCGTGCGTGCGTGCGTGCGTTCCTGCGTGCGTGTGTGATGGGGTACGAAGATTACATAATGACTCTAATTACATAAAAAAGGTTAACACCTTAGATATAGAAATGCAGGCGATCTCCTAAGAACCCCCTTATCTCCTTGTCCCCCTTTAATGATCAAACTTAAACTTAAACTTCTCTTCGTGGCCCCACTTGGGTAAATATTAGTCGAAATGAAAACAGTTCAACATGAAAAGTGAGTTTCAAAACACACTGCTATTGTGAAACATGAAAATGTGGAAACGTCTGCACCAACGTACGAGGTATCCGCTGCCATGATGCATTTCCCCGTCCTGTCTCCGCATGCGCACGTGCTGGTATCGTGTACGAGGCCCAGCGCATGACCGATCTCGTGCGCGAGAGTAATGGCCGACTTGAGGTGAGGGTCAACGCCGGGGTTGTGTTGAATGACGGTGGCGGAGAGCGGAGTGCACATGACGTCCACATGAGCCATACCGACAATGTTGTGCTCAAACTTAATGCCTCTAGAAAATAGTAATGGTTTATATAGAAACACAACACTTTAAACATATCAAGTGAACTTGATATTTATTATTATACAGAGAAACAAGTTTCAACAAATGATTTTCACATGTAACTTAAAGATGCGTAAAAAGGTTCGATTATACGTTATACGAAACTCACGCAACGAATGCCGCCAAGTCGTAGTTAAAGTTAGGTATCAAGGAAGTCTTCCCATAGTCGATGAAGTTAACAAGAAGCGCCTTAGCGTCCGTTTCCATGGTAATCTCATCCTTCGTTTCCCAGATTTCCACCCCAACCAACGCAATGCGGATCCCAAAGTCAACTTTGTACATCTACAATAGGTAATGTGTAAAGTAAGTTTATAAATAATATTTTAAGCTATAAATATAATAATAATAAATATAATATATAAAAATAAATAATAAAATCACTTTTATGTTACATCGCCGCCTTTGTGTATTTTATTTCTTTAATTGGGTGGAGACCGCCTCCATGGTCTAGTGGAAAGAGCGTCTGTCCGGAGAGCGGAAGGTCCGGGTTTCAATCCTCGGCCGCGTTATACCAAAATGCGTTAAAAGGTGGTACTTGGTGGTACCCAGCCTGGCGCTCGGCATTAGTGAGTGAGTTAAAATTTAACGTCGCATCGGCATTATTTCAGCGATTTAGCGACGAGACCAGGTTGATATATTCAAAAGTGAGTTATAAATACAAGGTTATATCTAAAAACAAGTTTTTCAAGCATAGTTGGGCGTAACAATATCATTCACACAGTTTAAAACAACGCTCGGCATTTAGGAGGTACTACTGTGTATTAGTGGGGTATTCATGTTAAACTGCGGCATGGTATATCTGTGGGCTAGCCCGGCATAAGTCCGCACTGGTACAAACACGCACACGCACACGCACACGCACACGCACACGCACGCATATATCAGCGCAATAATCTTGAACGCGACGTTAAACCCCATTTCACCTCACACCTCTTTAATTGTAGGTATGGACTTAAATCAGCATACGCAGAATTAATTCCATTAACAGAAAACTTTAGTATTTAAGTGTGCAGTTTACCTTGTAAATAGCATGTCGACTTACGTCACTCTATATAAGAAACTACTCTAAACCGGCTCTTCCCCACCCACACAGATATAAAGGGAACACCCCAGTTGACATGTACAGTATTATTCAAGATCAAATTGTTTGCTGTTACCTGTATTGGTGTATACGGACAATGATATATCACACATGTTACAGCACACTGCTACTTGAAATGGACTTGACTCGTAGCAACATAGATTGATTACGACCAAGTGTGTTTTGGATACTTTTATTGCTTGAAGAAACAATACTGACAAAGGCTTGGAGGTAAAAGGTTCGATGGCACACTAAAGGTAACTAGTGTTGTATCGGTACAAGTATATATCACAACTGTACAATGATAAAGATGAGAATATTACCAAGTCAAGATGCGCTGTCATTTCCTCTGCATACGTTACAGCGCTCGTTTTGTCTTTCCCCAGGTAGTTGGTATACTGGAACATATACCAGGTCCGCATCAACAAAGAACAAAACAACTTTATCCTTTCCCTATCTCGTAGTAAATGTATGTAACTTTTATTCGTTAGAATAATAATGTCGTGATTATCAAATAATATTTGTTGTCACTATATTCTTTTTATGATTTTTACTTATATAAATAGTTCGCGGAATAATTAAAAAAACCGTTAACAGTGCTCAAAGTCAATGTTGGTTGGTTTGTTTGTATGTTTGTTATTGCCAATATTCTACTGCTCCTGTTGTCACAAGACCCTTATTTTAGTGCCATAAGCAATTCATAGTCGGGCGATGAGAAGCCTAGTAGTTAAAGTTGGTTGGTTTGTTGTTTAACGCCGCACTCAGCAATATTCCAGCTATATGACGGCGGTCTGTAAATAATCGAGTCTGGACCAGACAATCCAGTGATTAATATCATGAGCATCGATCCACGCAATTGGGATCGATGACATGCATCAACCAAGTCAGCGAGCCTGAACACCCGATCCCGTTAGTCGCCTTTTACGACAAGCATAGTCACCTTTTACGGCAAGCATGGGTTGCTGAAGACCTATTCTACCCCGGAATCAAAGTAAATGCTTTGAGCGGGTTTATACCCCCGTCCGTCAGGACCCCACCCATACATCCCTGGCTGTTACAGCAGCAAGTAGTAATTGTGTTCTTGTTTTGAAGCTTTTTGGTCATGCCTTACAAAATGGTAAGGTTCATTAACAAAATCAAAATTCCTGTCGGAAATTAACCGATCCCCGATACTTCCTACTGACAGTTTCCCTTATCCCCAAAGAGAAATGTGATTGCCTAACAATTAAGGTCATCTTGGTGTGAAAAGTTAGCACTTTTAGCACTTTGGTGAACCCCACAAGTAAAAAGGCTTATGGTGCTGACAAAACTAGAAAAATAATCAGGGTGAATCTTGAATTCGAACCCAGAATCAAAGGTTTGTGCCATCCTAAAGGACGCAACTGTGACCAGTGCCAAAAACGACTGGGCCATCCGTGCCCCCTAATAGCACAACCAACAAAGGCTTCAAGGAAACACATATTAAACAATACAATACAATTATGTTAACAACACTGCTCGAGTTGATGGTCACCAATACCTATGGGTAATCTGTGTGCCATCGCTAATAATGTACTTACCATCTGAAACCCGAACACAACGTACAGCTCCAACAGTTTAACGTCTGCGCTACGTGTATGGCGCACCCGGTGCTGGAAAGAAACAGATCATGTGATCATGTGACTGGGGTTACATTTACGACATCGCAGACACTGTCAGATAGATACTAGTCTATACTGGGAGAATCGATTATTTGGTAGACAGCTTGAAGCAAACATATACTTTATAAGGTAGAATCCCGACAAACATTGGGGCAGGGGATGCCCAGTCATCTAAGGCGTCATTCGCTGTAGAGAGTTGCGCCCCTTATACGTGCCAGGATCCTATGATCTACCCTGATAACGATCTCCTCCCACATATATTTGAAGTACAAAATGTTCTTACACTTACATAGGTCTTTGTGTAGTTTCCTGCATTTATCCTTGGTTCCACTTCACAAGCTGACGCCATGTTGTACTGTGACGTCACGCGTCTTATGACATACCCATCAACCTAAAGTTGACAACAACGTGTGTTAATAACCGAAAACAAAGACAAATGTATGTCTCGCAAACGTTATAACAGTAGCGTGCAATGTTGATGATAAATTATATTACAGACTTTGTGCATTTCATTCGCTTGCGAAACATTAAGTCAAATGCCAAATATAGCATTGGTTTGCTTATTTTTTTACATTCATTTGGAATTGAATGCAATAACACATGACGAATTCATGTTATTATCAGAAAGCAGGAATTACAATGAACGAATATTTAATTATAATCGATATAATCTAATGTTTAATAACATATATCTTTAGAACGATAACCTATGGGGACCAGGGTTGAGATACGTCCCAAGAACTCCCTTGCTTCTCCTTGAGAGGCGATTGAATTGGTTACGGTTGTGAGGCTCGGTGCCTTGGTCGTGTGTGGGGCATCGTGACCCGAATTCCTAGGACGTTGCTCATAATATTGACCACTGGCCCAGATTCGATTATTTACAGGTCACCAAGTTAGTTGGAATATAGCTGCCTGCCTCGTGTTAGAAGAAACAAACATATATGTATTGATCAACAGGGCACCATTAACGTAAGCCATAAGCTCTAATTTCAAAAGTTCAGAAGAAAAAACAGACCTGTTTGTCTTTTTTCGTCCGACGCTGAATCCGCCATGATCTCCCCTTGTGAAATATGTAACCGCTGTAAGGTAAAGCAACTTAGTTCATATGTGACTAAACCGGGGGTTGGATGACCGATTTGTATGCACGGTAATCTCAGCTGTGATCTGTGCACTGTGTGCCACCATATTCCTACAGAGATTCTGTTATCATACATTCCAGCTTCAACCACTGTCTCACCCAGGACCCCTGTCCACAAGCGATCTTACTGCTGCCGTATTAAGTCTGCATTAACTTGGTATCCCCTTTTAGATTAACGTCGCCCCCTTAGGACCCCTTTAACTAGTGTTAAGGGGTTCTAGAATTTATTTCTCAAAGGTGAGTGAGTGGGTATGGTTTTACGCCGCTTTTAGCAATATTCCAGCAATATCACGGCGGGGGACACCAGAAATGGTCTTCACACATCGTTCCCATGTCGGGAAGCGAACCCGGGTCTTCGGCGTGACGAGCGAACGCTTTAACCACTAGGCTACCAGACAGCCCCCTGTAATAAAGAAAGGGGGTCTGGGCACGATCACACACATGCCGCATAAAGTTATATTTTTTCACTAAAAAAATATTATCTCGCTCATTACAGAGATATTTGAACGTACCAATTATATATATATATATATATATATATATATATATATATATATATATATATATATATGTGTGTCAAGATGATTGGCGACAAGAGTGATTAAGTGAGAGTGAGTGAGTGAGTGAGTGAGTGAGTGAGTGAGTGAGGTTTCAGACGAATCTCGACATCAGATTTTTAACACTAAGGAGAGCAATAAACTTTCATTAGCCTACTTATTTATCACCCAAACCATACAATTATTATATACATTTGATCTACGTTCTAAATTAAATATTACTAGCACCCTGTAACACATAAACCGATTAAGTGACTATCCCTTTGAACTGTACACATCTTTAATCTACAACAGACAGATGATATCCAGATACTATCGATTTGTGTACAAAATCATTCCACCAACGGCGGGACACTTGTAAGTTAATTGTCACTTACACGACCAGCCTGAGCCACAACCACCCGGTAATTGTAGTGATTGATCCCATAACGATCCCTGTCTTATCATTCCAGGGTAGACGCACGCTGACAAGGCCATCTGATGGTCACATATTGGGGTACCAGCATTGTTCAGTTGATATATCCCTTGGGTGGAATAACCAAGTCGCCGTGGCCGAAATTTAATAAAAACTTTATGGATACCTCATATTTCAAATAATATGGCACATTCGTGTCATTGAATTAGAAAAGTAGTATCAAGTGTGTTTGTTTGAACCGAATGGTATAAGGCCTCGTGATCATGGAATATTTAGGTTGCTTCATGAAGCATCTGTTTACGGTCAGAATTTAACCTCGGGGTATTGCTGGGAGAGAAGGTCAAGACTAAGAATTGAGTGAGTTTTCACAATGTTCCAGCAAAATCAATAGGTCTGAACACGAAATAGGCTTCACACGTTGTGCACATGTGGGATCGAACCTGATCAGTCGGCGAGAGGAGCCAACGCTTTAACTACTGACCCGTGAAGATCCGGGGAATAACAGGTCTTCATCAACCCATGCTTGCTGTAAAAGGCGACCATGCTTGTCGTAAGAGGCGACTAACGAAATCGATTGGTCAGGCTCGCTGACTTGGTTGATGCATGTCATCGTATCCCAAATGCGTGGATCGATGCTCATGATGTCAATCACTGGATTGTCTGGTCCAGACTCGATTATTTACAGACCGCCGTCATATAGCTGGAATATTGCTGAGTGCGGCGTTAAACAACAAACCAACCAACTTTAACTACTAGGCTTCTCATCGCCCGACTATGAATTGCTTATTGCACTAAAATAAGGGTCTTGTGACAACAGGAGCAGTAGAATATTGGCAATAGATAGTGAATGGATACTGACCACGGCGATGGTCAGATTGACCACCGTGGTGTGGTCTGTCTGCGCACCTGTCATCGTATTCCAATTGCGTGGATCGATGTTAATGATGACAATCACTGGACTGTCTGGTTCAGACTCGATTATTTACAGACCGCCCTCAGATAGCTGGGATATTGCTGAGTGTGGCGTTAAACAACAAACAAACAAACATGTATAAATATCAGTAAAAATTCCCAAATTGGAGTTTTATATTTCCTGATTCATGTTGGTATGGTTATTGTAGTTATGTGTTATGGCTTTGTGGAGGTGACAACAAACAAACAAACAAACCGTCTCAGCATCCTGAGTGGCACGGAGCGCTATCTATCGACCACTGGTTCGCTCGCTTACAGTTTACAACACCGACAGTTTATAACGTGCGTCGAAGTGTCATCATGCAAATGACGAGATATGTTTCGCGTGTATACAAATTGCGTTGTATTTTCCTGTGTCCTCACAGCGCAGTGATGTCCGTGTTCCTTCAATGGTTGTGTTTACTGTAGGCGGAATTGCAAATATATTTACGGAAATGTCATGTTTGAAGCTTGAATGTGCATCTCCAGGTTGAGTGTTGTATTCCTGTATTTAGATTCTATGACATCTGTAAATGTTAGTCACCTGTAAGCCTTACACCCAGTTAGGACAACATGTGACGTCACAAGATCGCGCAGCGCCCCCTGGTAGATGCACCCAGAAGGTGTCTGAAAACAGAACATTCGAAATCTTTATTATGGTCGGTTCTATGGCTGCTATTTAATGAGGTAGTTGGGTTTAACGCTGCTGTGAACAGTTACTTCACGGCATGTCAGCTTAAAAGAGGAGTAAAACATATAGTGATGTAGGTCTCAGACGTTTATCACTTTCATGAAGCCCACGAGCACGGGAATGGTGCTGACAAACCTAGAAACGGAATCAGGGTAAATATGGGATACGAAACCATGATCATTAGTTTCTGGCATGCCCAAGGGATCCAACTCTGCACAGCGAGTTGTGGCGCCTTAGACGACTGGTAAACAAATGCCTCCTGGTAGTAATGCAAGTTAAACATGTACATGAGGTATATGTATATATGTCGACTGACGGTGGTGAAGGAAACAGTCATTGTTCACACTGTTGAAATACCGTGACAGAAGAGTTCCCCAGTTCTTGTTGTAAGAACCAAACACGATCACGTGATAAGTGTCTGTGGCTTGGCTGACTGCTTGTCGTAATACACCAGAGTGTATCAATGCTCATGCTTTCAGTCACTGGTTTGTCTGGTCCAGACTCGATTATCTACTGGGCGACGTGAAATAGATGGAATATCGCTGACTGCTACCATCACGCAATGCATTGGCCACTAAATGGATCGGGTGTTAGGCTCGGTGACTTGGTTTACAGCGTGTCATTGTACCCCGATAATGGGTTCGCTGCTCACAATATCGATCACTGGATTGTCTGTTTCCGACCTTTTTTATTTACAGGCCGCTGTCATTTAGTTGAAATGATGCTGAGTGCGGCATTAAACAACGAACAAACAAACACTCACTGCAATGCTAGTTTTCTAGAAGGGATCCACCATGTGTGGATGTACGATAAAGTATACAGGTTGCGGTTTTGACTTTGAAGATAGGCTTTCTTTTGGTAACGGTTACATAACCTTATATCAAAGGTTTCCTTTTTGTTTTGTTTTGTTTGTTTGTTTGTTGTTTGACGCCGCACTCAGCAATATTCCTGCTTATGACAGCGGTCTGTAAATAATCAAGTCTAGACCAGACAATCCAGTGAACTACATCATGAGCATCGATCCACGCAACTTGGATACGATTACATCCCAATTCAGCAAGCCTGACCACCCGATCCCGTTAGTCGCCTCTTACTATAAGTATGGGTTGCTGAAGACCAATCATAACCCGGAATCTTCACGGGACTTCCTATTTGTCTACAAATGACAAATAATTAGGTTTCCCGGGAATTGTGTCAGACAAAAAAGCTTCTTTGTTCCAAACCTGGAGCACATCTATTGTGTACACACTTTGCCAAGGGTCAAAGTGGTCTTCGTACATTGCATTATTTATTCCTTTTCTATATATGTTATAAAATGTATCACTGGAACGCATTCCTCTGAAGGTATAGGGCAACTATCCCATGTACCTCGTGTTAGAAGCATAAAAGATAATACAAAGTAAAGTTGTAATTTATGAAACATTTCACGGTCGCACGAACCCCGCTGTGTGTTGTAGTACAAGGTGCAAGTCCGACATTCTGTTTGGGGAAATTAATCCCTTAATGAGCCCTGTGTATGCTGTTGTAGCGTTATATAAACTATCTGTGACAGTAGTTCAAAGGCCCTGCGATCATCTGTTACCGACTCGGTGTTATGATTAAGTCCACGACTTACTCCACGTCGTGGTAGGACAGAACTTACTGTCATATCCTTGATAAATGTCAGCCAGTGGATAAGCCGGGGATTAATTCCTTGCACAAATTGCGATAAAAAAATTCACCATTTGGTATTGCGTGTGTTCTCTGTGATATACTGGGTGGTAGGGCAGCCTTGTGGTTGAAGCGTTCGCTGGTCACTGAGAAGGCCCGGGTTCCTTTCCCACATGGGTACTTATATTTTTCATTTAAAATGTATATGTTGGTCGGGGGAAAAACAAAAAGAAAATCATGTATTGTATTTTCTTTTCTGATCGAGCCCAACCTAAAAAGGTATTCTGAAGGACATTTATGTGACAAACCGTTCCGACATCATTTAGCAGATGGTTTTGAAAGCGTTTAGCGTATGCGTAAAGGTACAAATGTGAGGTGTGCATTTTTGAGAGATTGTTCGAGAGCCTGTGTTACTTGGAGGAGCAGTGGCACCTACCCCGCCACTTCATAAATACCTGGTTTCAGTGAGCTTGGATTGAACATGGGTGTGAATATTATTCCAGTTTGATGGGATAGGACAGCCTGAAGTGATGCAAGTCTTAGACGTTTACCACATTGGTAAACCCCACGAGCACGGGTATGGTGCTGACAAACATGGAAACATAATCAGGGCGAACCGGGATTCGAACCAACGATCAAAGGTTTCTATGGGACACAACTCTTAGATGACTGGGCCCCTCGTGTTTCCTTTTAGTTTTTGAGAATCAACTTTATACTTGCAGCTATGCATGACACTAAGCAACATTACCTCTTTGTGGACTGTAGCGCCGCCATTGTGGACTACCCGGGTCACGAACTTCCGGTGGATCAAATTTCTGAAGAAAATAAATATTATAATCTTGTGATATTTCACCGCATTGTGGAGTAACACAGATATGCTTGCAGTGTCTGATATCACCCAAATGAAAGCTGACCCGAGACCACCCGATTGAACAATTACAGTCTCTCATGTCACCCCGTTGTAGAATTCAATTGTAAAATAACAGTGTCACCCATATTAGACAATCTCAATATCCAATATCACACATTGTACAATAACAGTGTCTGATATCACCCATTGTATAATTACAGTGTCTGATGTCACCCATTGTATAATTACAGTGTCTGGTGTCACCCACTGTATAATTACAGTGTCTGATGTCACCCATTGTATAATTACAGTGTCTGATGTCACCCACTGTATAAATACAGTGTCTGATGTCACCCACTGTATAATTACAGTGTCTGGTGTCACCCACTGTATAATTACAGTGTCTGATGTCACCCATTGTATAATTACAGTGTCTGATGTCACCCACTGTATAATTACAGTGTCTGATGTCACCCATTGTATAATTACAGTGTCTGGTGTCACCCACTGTATAAGTACAGTGTCTGATATCTCCTTCGTATAATTATAGAGTCTGATAGCACATATTGTATAATTACAGTGTTTGATATAACCAATTGTACAATTACATTGCCTGTTATCTCTGTTGTATAATTACAGTGTCTGATGTCACCCACTGTATAATTACAGAGTCTGATGTCACATATTGTATAAATTACAGTGTTTGATATAACCAATCGTACAATTACAGCGTCTGATATAACCAATTGTACAATAACAGTGTCTGATATAACCAATTGTACAATTACAGTGTCTTATATAACCAATTGTACAATTACAGCGACTTATATCGCCATTTGTACAATGACAGCGTCTGATAGCTACAATTGTATAATTACAGTGTCTGATATCAACCCTTGTACTATTACAATGTTCGGTAGTACTAATTACCATACCTCCATGTCAGAATGATGAGATCTGAAGGTCCACGTGATCATGATAAAATACGGTGTATCCCCCCTTGGAGGGAAATCATTTTCTCAGCGGGAGAATAAATACCTTATACCCCACCACGAACAAGTCAGGCTGCTTGTGGATTTCTGAGAGGCAGAATAAGTCCCTTACATCCCGCTTCGAATCAAAGGGCCGCACGCTTTTTCCGAGTCAATAAAAGTCACGTGACATAGCACAAGCTTACCTCCGCTTAATCGCATAACTGTTTTCGATCAATTTTGAATTTCTTTTAATTATTTTCCAATGTCATATTAAAACAGATCTGTAAGATAAATGCGGTGCAGCAGGATCACTCGCCTCCTACCTCCGGCTCGTAGTATAAAACCTAACGCGGGACGAATAAAACCCCATGCGTTGCCACTGTTAAGGTAGTGCAGGTTGGGCATTCTTCTTTCTACGAATTTGAGGTAAAATGTGTCATTTTATCGTGTATTTATCATAATAGCGTGAGTGAGTAAGTTGGGTTTAATGCCGCTTTTAACAGTATTCCAGCTGCATCACGGCGCTAACCACTTCGATGAAACCTACGATGGCGGGGGTATGGTGCTTACAAACCTAGAAACATAATCGGGGCGAACCGGAATTCGATCCCACGATCATAGGTTTCTTGCGTGTCCAAGGGACGAAACTCTGCACAGCGAATTTCGGCGCCTTCGACGACTGGGCCCCCGTGTCCCCCTTATCATCATAGAATGAAACTCTATACCCTGGGGAGGATGGCAATGTCAGGCTAGATGACTTTATCTTATATACAGGTCATTAGTTTAATAATGGGGAGTTTACTTGTTAAACAAAATGCATAAGTAGTTTGTTTCCTTTAGAAATTGTTCATATGTAACTTGCTTAACTATTCTGGGATTACACAGATTAGGCCCCATTGAGATTCTTGACGGTACACGACAGTGTGTCTCTTGACAAGACAAACTACACTTCAACAACATAAATCAAAGGAAAAAAGTATAAAGTAAACACACATCTTGCCACCGCGAAGACATAATCAATAAACAAGCGCTTACTATCAAGTAGTTCCCCTTTATAAACTATGACTATACACATCCTTATAAAATGTTATTTCAAATAAAGTTGGTTTGTTTTTTAAATTCATAACGAAATAATTATTTTATTTGTTATGACTGAATTGATGTACGTATGTTGAAATCAATGCATGTTTAGGTGAAATCATATTATTTCAATTTTATGTTTACATTAGGAAAATGGAAACTTGGTATCCCTTTTTAGATTAACGTCGCCCCCTAGGACCCCTTTAACTAGTGTTAAGGGGTTCTAGAATTTATTTCGTTAAGGTGATTGGGTGAGTATGGTTTTACGCCGCTTTTAGCAATATTCCAGCAATATCACGACGGGGACACCAGAAATGGGCTTCACACATTTTACCCATGTCGGGAATCGAACCCGGGTTTCCGGCGTGACGAGCGAACGCTTAAACCACTAGGCAACCCGACCGCCCCTCATTAGGATATGGCTAGTCCGTCACAGGCCCTGGAATAAATATGTCCAAAACAGCCCATGCAAGTCTAAAATATTTGGCAAGTCTTGATTACTGCAGTTTCTCTTTTTAGTTTTCCTTTTATTTTATTTTATAAAGATAATTTAACAACTGTGTTTTTTTCTGTAAAATATGTTCATTTCAGAGAATAGATTTTGATATAGGATATGGCGTCTATATGATGTTTTTGTTTGTTTTTTTAATTATGTGTGTGCAGGGGTCAGGAGTGAGTGAGTGAGTATGGTTTTACGCCGCTTTTAGCAATATTCCAGCAATTTCACGGCGGGGGACACCAGAAATGGGCTTCACACATTGTACCCATGTCGGGAATCGAACCCGGGTCTTCGGCGTGGCGTGCCAATGCTCTAACCACTAGGTTACCCGACCGCCCCGCAGGGGTCAGGATGGAGGATAAGGTAGATATAGTGGATAAGGTGAGGTGAAATGTTTTTAGTGAGGTTTTGTGTTTAGACAGACCCGAACGACCTATCCCTGAAACCTCTCCAGCTTTCACATAATTTATGGAGTATAAATATTCCCTCCACAATGTGTCAGTGACTTCCCACCTGTGAGATTTGCCGACCCTCAAATGAAACAGTTTCTCTTTGCTACTACATATATCTTAACATCACACTTGTAATTTGCCATGAAGTCATTTCGTCACTGACAAAAGGTGAGCAATTGACTTTGTGAGCTGTTCTTTTTTCAACTCTTCCATTTCACAGCACAGGTTCATGTGACATGCTCCATTGTCATGGATCTGTGTCATGGTAACTCTACTTTGAGGTGAATACAAGACGATATATTGTTTGGCAACTGAAGTTAGTAAACAAATGAAATAATATTCTATACAACGAATAAATCATTTTTTAATGATAATTGAATAAATAAAAAACTAACCCTCCCCCCCCCCCCCCCCCCCAAACCCCTCCCCCCCAAAAAAAAACACCAAAAAAATAAAAGAAGAAGAAAAAGCGTGTAATATTCAAATGTCATGTACCATTCATTTAATGCACCATAATGTGGAGAGCTTGTCTTGTCTCGCAAATCTATTTTCTTTAAACAGGATAAAGTGATTTCGATCAGGTGTTTATCTATATTGCCTTTCTCACAATACAATTTAGAGCCAGTGTTATTGCTTCGTAAACAACAATAGTTATCCCAAAGAGATATCATATGACAGTTGATATTGGATTGAGAGTTAAGAATGAATTCCTTTGGATTGGCTTTTACGATTGCCTAGTTTGAAAATATTTGCACTTTTTGTAAGCACTACCTGACTCTACGGGACGACATGTGCAAGAACAGTTTAATAGTGTTACATTGGTAACACATACGTATACTAGCAATATATACTCAGCGCCAAAAGAAACGCGAACCATAGAAACATATAGAGAAGAATGTACTTTGAGAGGAGATGTTTCCAAAGTGTACCACTTAATGCGAAAACCAGCAGTCATTAAAAGTGTTACCACAGAGTGTCTTTATTCATTTCACAATATGCTGCACGTGATTTCAAATCTGTATAAGCTAATCCTGTACGAGACAAATGGTACATGACGTCACACGTGATGCGTTCATGAGCATCGGTTCACACAACATACCAGTATGTTCGTTTGTGCATCGAACCAATCTAATATCTCATGAATATGAGTAAGTCTTCCTATATTAACCAGCATGATTGGTATTCGCGTTTCTTTTGACGCTGAGTATATATGTACTTTCAAAGGTTTAAAATCATAAAGCTATTTAAAATAATTAACATTACAAACAGGATTCAAGTTTACCTGTCAGCAAGAAACAGATGAAAATTTCCTAACTTCGGGGATAGTGAAATGAATGTGTCGCAAGATTTGTTTATTGTATAGATGCTAAGGTTGATAACTAAATAAAATTGGCTCGAAGACAATGACGTTTTATATTAGTGCACATGGGTGGACTTATTTTAATTTTTTAAACCCACATGCTACTTTAGTTTCAGAATGTTTCAGATTGTTTTTCGCCATAAATATTTTTTTCAGGCGGGGTGGTTTTGTACTGTCGGAGGAACCGAGAACCAAGCGCATATTACAGTTCCGAGGGCATATGCACAATATTACCTACTGAAGTAATATACCCCAGGTACAAATTTGGGTATGCTTGTATATCTGCTGATATTTTAACATAACAAAGAGGATACCCTTTGGACACTAGCATCACATTTTATGCTGATTCATAACACATGTTGATGATTTATAAATCGTACAGAGGACTCTGCTTTTAACAAATATTTCCTATGATTATGAAAAGCGGTTTTTCGCTTTCATTTCTTACCTTTGAGCAAACAAACATATAAAATTAGTTCATTATTCACTCGTACGTCTTTGGTCTGGAATCAAAGGGTATACAATATCAGAATGAAGAACAACATTCGATCAGATTTGTTGAAAGCTCAAAAAGCATCTTAGATCCATCCCCACAAGCGATATCCGTAACTGCTCGCATATGTAATTTGTTTGCTGTGTGACCGCAATAAAATGTCACATTAACAGATATCTGCCAACAAATATTTGATGTGTCTCTCTCGTCGCCTTTAGAACATATAGTTTATCACATCAACAAATATCTGTTGTGTCGCTCGTCGCCTTTAGAACATATAGTATGTCACGTCAACAAATATCTGTTGTGTCTCTCGTCGCCTTTAGAACATATAGTATGTCACGTCAACAAATGTCTGATGTGTCTCTCGTCGCCTTTAGAACACATAGTATGTCACGTCAACAAATATCTGGTGTGTCTCTCGTCGCCTTTAGAACATATAGTATGTCACGTCAACAAATATCTGGTGTGTCTCTGGTCGCCTTTAGAACATATAGTATGTCACGTCAACAAATATCTGGTGTGTCTCTGGTCGCCGTTAGGACATAGAGTATGTCACGTCAACAAATATCTGGTGTGTCTCTGGTCGCCTTTAGAACATATAGTATGTCACGTCAACAAATATCTGGTGTGTCTCTCGTCGCCTTTAGAACATATAGTATGTCACGTCAACAAATATCTGGTGTGTCTCTCGTCGTCTTTAGAACATATAGTATGTCACGTCAACAAATATCTGGTGTGTCTCTGGTCGCCGTTAGGACAAAATATGCCCGTTGGCAAGTCTCCCTTCATGTTCCCTTGTTTATTTTCATAAGTATCGTTACCCCCCAGAGTTCTTTGTTTCCTATATTTATCTTTTCATCCTTGAAATCATTTCTGTTCGTGGTACTACTGCTATCCTATAAATGTGTTCCACCGCGTTTTTTTACTCTGCGTTGACAAAAGGGTTAAATATCATGACGTTAATTGTTTTGTTTTTATATTTTAGCGGCTTCAGTCACTTTGTCATGTCTTTTGACAAGAAAGTGATTACAGTGGCTTAGTGTGTTAAAATGTCAAACAGGTCGTCAGAAGTAATGCACAAAACCCATTTATAAGGATTAGCGTATCAAACCATAAGCTACTCTTATAGGGGTAGATGGATTGTGTGAAAAAAAAGAAATTTTCCTTGGAATTAATTTCTGTTTACACAGTTATCATATAACAACAGAAGACACGAGTTCGATAAACCAGTGAGTTAAAAATCAAAATTCTCACATTGTAACTGTTTATCTTCGTATTTGACGAGTGCGGATTAAAGTTCTAATCCCCAAACAGATACACCCACCCCACACTATGACCCCCCACCAACATATTCCTCTCTCCACCCGAATCTCCAACCCCAACCTTCGCCATGTGGTTCAAATGCCTTAAATCATGCCAATAACGTTTCTAAAATCACATGAATTACATTTTTATATAATTGTTTATGAGACACCAATCACGTTTTTCGATGTACAAAGGTAGTGAGTAGCGTTATATAAAAACTAGAATGTGTTAAAGTTTCTCATGTAAATATCAGTAAACGTCTTTGTACCTTATAGGTTGATTGAAACAATATACTAGTATTATATTTACAGCAGCTGATACTGTCGTTTAATTACCAGACGTGTTAATGAGTCAGTGTCTACTTTTAGTGATCCCAATACATGCACCATGCACTTATATCAGAATAATATTTTTAGTCATGGGGATTTTCAGGTCTTTGATACAAATAATTATAATCACAATATATCCAGCAGCCAGAGCAACACCACAAATACAACTGATAAAATATATTCGAATGGCTAAAAAGCTCAATGTGCACTCAAGAAGTAATGGTAAAACGCAACCAGAAGGACTTTAACGCCAAAGGTTTTTACTCTAGAAAAGAATGATAGATCGGTTTCAAAATTCCAAATTGTCGTCTACAATTGGCATAATATTACCGACTGCTTACAAAGGATCAGCGTCAAGCAACAACTCAAAACTACACATCAACAATAAAGAGCATAGGAGTTAGCAGACATCCTTGTCGAATCCAGGCTTTTGTAACAAGGGAACCGTCAACGGTCGCATATAATTCATGTATGTAAAGCTGCGTTTGTTTCGATTGTTCTCAAAGATAGACTTAGGCATTGAAAACTGTAAATAAATACGTTTACATTTTTATCTAGTGGATAAAACACATTTATCATATTCGACGTAATAAGCGCCCCGCCCTAATAAGCGCCCATATATTGTCTGGTGAACAATCCCAACTGGCACCTCTTCCGATTGATCAATGTACATAAGACTTATTTATTCGTGTATAATACACACTCGCGTGTTATATGCACCCATAATTACTGGCAATTCAATTCTGGAAAAACATGTTTGTCGTGTATAATACGCACAGACTTTTCTTTTGTATCATTCAGGCTGTCAGCATAAACCATGAAATTTACGATCTTTCCACTCTGGGTTTTTTTCACCAAAATTCTAATAAGAGCCCCCTATTTTTAATTTTAAGAGGAATAAAGTCGAATACGGTACACTGGATGGTTGACGTTTACTTCAGTTGATATTTAGGTATGAACTACAATATATCATGTGCTAAGATAAGAAACAGTCACCATAAAACACGCAACAGTTTTGTATTAGCATTAAATAGTTTAATCAGCTTGATTAATAATCATTAAAATATCTCTCCTTGAGCAGTGTCTATTGTACAATGCAAATGTTCCAATTTGCTCGAACGTAGGGAAATACACAGCCATTTACGAGATCGTCATGCCATGAGTGATCTTATTGTTGAAAGTAGCAAATTATGATTATTTTGATATGCATAATGGTAAAAAAATGAAAGTAAAAATATATACGCTAGAAACAGAAGGAGAAGGTGATTAGTTTCTTTAAGTATCTCATATTGCTTTACACAGCATAGCAGAGTTTGATGCCATAAAATACATGCAATATCCTTCCTTCAGGTCTATGAGACACTAAATTATTAAAATAACACTGAATTAAAATATTAAAATATATTTATTACAGTAGAGTACCCCAAACTACCCCATAGCAGATAATTCTGCTCACATATTTGGATATTCATAATTGGAACTAAAAATGAAACATATATATATATATATATATATATATATATATATATATATGGTGAGGTGATGTGAAATTGGGTTTAACGTCGCTTTCAAGACTATTGGGCTTATAAAGCAACGTACATGCGCGCGCGCGTGCGTGTGTGCGTGCGTGCGTGCGTGTGTGTGTGTGTGTGTGTGTGTGTGTGTGTGTGCTTGTACTAATCCGGACTAATGCCGATGTAATTGTGCTAGCCCGCTGAGGTACTATGCCTTAACATGAATAGCCTACTCAGACACACTGTGCTGACTCCGAGACGAGCAGTCCTTGTTTTATCCCCTTAATGCCGAGCGCCGGACAGGGTAACCATAAGTATCATATTTTTACGTCTTTAGGTATGAAGCGGCCGGGGATTGAAACCCCGCCCTTCCGCTCTTCGGGCAGACGCTCTACCACAAGACCACGGAGGCGATCTTGAAACTGGAAGACAACAACCATATGTGAACATATTGTTCACTTGTGGCGGACATATAACACTCCACTGTCAGCTCGCGTTTGAACTTGGAGTATGTCTGCGTACATTGTATTAACAAGATTATTTGCAGTGTTTCAGAGATCACAACAGCATGACAACATGAAGAGAATATACAACATCGTCGTTGGAGACACAGGTGCCCAAATAAGATTTCATTCGAGTGTAAACAGTTCACGATGTATGGGTATTGTAAAGTCCTAGGGGGGATTACAATCCGCACTTATTAAGGTGTTGTATGGAGAGTCGTTGCTGTCTGGATACAGAGATTCATTGATAGTGTTTATGTGCCACTGATAGCCGCCTCACTTGTTAATAAAAATGCGTGGAAGTTATGCGCCTGATAATTATCACCTAATCTGAATCATATTCAAAAGATACTAACGGCACAATGTTAACCAGTTTTGATAAGGAAATTGATATCCACGAATTTGATTTTAATTTTAGCTTTTCGTGTGAGTTATGTTTACGATATTATTTATTGTAAGATAAGTTAAGAATTTACCGACGCTGTATACCACACTAGGTAAATTGAATCGCGTTAGGGACCTACCATTTGATATCAGAGGGCGGGGGGCATCAGGTGTGTGTGTGTGTGTGTGTGTGTGTGTGTGTTGGGTGTTTGGTGTTGGGTGTTGTGGGTGGCATTTCTGGTATCCTCGCTGTTTATACCACACTAGGTAAATTGAATCGCGTTAGGGACCTACCATTTGATATCAGGGGGTGGGGTGGGGGGTGGGGGGGTGGGGGGGGGGGGGGTGGTGGTGCGTGTTGGGTGTTGGGTGTTGTGGGTGGCATTTCTGGTATCCTCGCTGTCTTTTTGCTAGAATACATTGCTAAAAGCGGCGAACAGCCATACTTACTGGATAATTCACTTCAGGATTGTAATATAGCCTTTGTTTTGGCGGTTGCGGTAAAGACATCCTTTAAAGGAATGAAGAATGAGGCAAACGAACTATTTTACTCTTATGTAATGAAATATATGACACTGTCGGTTGTGGCGAGTCGCTGTCATCTTACCTGTTGCGGACAAGTACCGCCGTTATAGAAGCATTCAACTTTGGAAGGTGTATCTCCAGCCAGCTCTGAAAGAACAATTAGTGTTCAGATTTTGAAGGCATATACTAGCATGCTCTGAGAGAACAATTAGTGTTCCAGCTTTTGAAGGCATATACCAGCATTCTCTGAGAGAACAATTAGGGTTCCAGCTTTTGGAAGGCATATACCAGCATGCTCTGTATATTTAGCAAACTGTACCGTGTGAGACAATTAGTGTTTAGCTTAGGAAGACATATACCTAGAATGCTTTGAAAAAACAGATAACGTTCAGCTTTTTAAGGTATAAATATCTAGCACGCTCTGAAAAATGAAACCATATTCGGCTTAAGAAGTTTGTTTGTTTGTGTGTTCAGTCATCGAGCCTTACCACCCGATTTCGTTGTAGTCGCCTCTTACGACAAGCATAATCGCTTCTCAGGACAAGCATGGGTTGCTGAAGACTTATGCTTGCCAAGATCTTCACAGGTATCGGCTTATACAGGTATATATGAAGCATATGTAGGTAAGCTTATGAAGGTATATATCAAACATATCATGAAATAGTGTTCAGCTCATTAAAGCATATATCTAGTACGCTCTGAAAGAACAACTAGTGTTCCGTTGTTGGTAATAATAATAATTTTTAAAAATACTGATATTGACCATCTCATGGAAGGTCAGGCTTATACGTACTTAGGGATACAGGTTAGAGACAAACTCCAGAATGCCCATATCAAAGACAAACTTCGGGCAGAATACAAATGTAGACTTAGGAAAAGTTTGATTAACGTGGGGGCACTACATAACAGAATTGTATTGTGCACTTTAGCACACATTTATTTGTCTGATGATCCTCTTGTGGAGCATGTCCAGACTCATGATGAAAACAAGGCATTCCACGGTTTCTTAAACGGGCCAAGGATGTGGGACATAATCTCAATGTCAAAGTTGATTTTGTTGATGGTTCTGCACTGCTGGACGGTAACGAAATGAGAGTCAACCAAGAGAAGTGCCATATCAAATCGGCCCAGACACAGTGTTTCAAGGAGAGGCTATCAGAACGACCACTGCCTCGAGTTTATATTCAGTGTGTTGAGAAGGACAGCAATCCTGCAGAGTCCTTCGCTTGGATGAAGTCGGCTGGTCTGAAAAATGACACAGAAGGCTTTCTGTTTGGTGCACAGGACCAGTCACTTCCCTCTCAAAACCGTAAATGACATCAAGATGTAAATATGACATGTAGATTATGCAATGAATTTAAGGAGACTGTCCACCACATTGTCGGTGGATGCCCAGATTTGGCTTAAACACAGTATCTTAAGCAACATGAAGGAGTGGCTCGCTCCTTTTATTACCGTCTTCTCCCTGCTTGTGGTTTTGACACAGAAGTCCATCCATGGTACGACCCAGAATATGAAGAGGGCGTCATGGAAAATGATAATTACAAATTTCTTTGGAATAGGCCCGTATACAGCCTCAGGCCTATCTAGGCCAACAAACCTGACCCTGTCCTCTTTGATAAATCCAATGAAAACATTTATATCATTGAATTTTCTGTCCCTTTTGACACAAGTGTGATTGCCAAGTGCCAAGATTCATGAAACACATGGGCAAATATGCGGTCCTCGCGCTATCCAAATATTGCGCTTGCATCCCAAGTACCAAGTTGTCCAACTCCCCATTGTTCTCGGTGACTTAGGTTTGGTACCTCCCAATCTGTTGGCTGACACTGGTCTGGGTAATGCAGAAGGCTGCAGTGTTGGGGAGTCTTCACATTCTCCGAAAAGTTCTCGGTGGGTTCTCTTCCTGGAAGAAGTCCCATTCCCTGTCTGGGCTGCGTGTTTAGGGGACAAGGGTCCTGGGCTGATATCGAGCCTAAACAATCTGCCAGGATCACCCAAACACTCTTTGTTGCATTTTTTATTTTAATCTTTACATAAATAATAAAAAAATCAAAATCTATGTACCCATTAACGCATAATAATTGTATGCAGTTCCCTTCAGTCATGATATGGTTTGGAGGGTGACTTTCAGGTGTTTAGTCACTAAAGAAACGTTGAAGTAAAACACAGGGAGGCTATTAGATATACAACCGTCTGTCAAAGCACAATTGTGGTCGGCGTGTCGTGCACAAAAATCAACTCGTGTTTGTACTTCGAGTTTCACAGCTAACATGCCTTTACGTGTGTTTTAGTCAACAGCGCGTCGCGTCACAAGCGCCTATGGCATAAAATGGAACGTTAGCGACAGTTAGAGACGCACAGTGTATACATAAACGAAGAATCAATGTTTTGTATTTTCATAGGAAATGTTTTCTAAGGTAAACATTTCAGATTTGTGCAAATTAACAGAATACTGGAAACATAATCATAATTATATGACTACAATATACAATGTATTCCTGCTATTCCGTAATTGTCATTGTTTTATTTTATGAGATTAATAATAACATTTTAAAGAAGAACTACTATTAATAATGACGTGTAATGCTTCAGTTTGTTTTCCCAACTTTTCACTCTGGAAACTGCCACAAGGGAACAGCTATCTATTCGCACTTTCATTTATGAATCATTCGTATATCAACATCTGTCATGAAGTCTCATGTACAAGTATATCAACAATTATTATTTTAATTATATCCAGAAAGAGGAAATACTCACTATGCATTCATTTAATAAAACTAAGTGACATTTTCCCGGTTCGCCCCGATTATGTTTCCAGGTTTGTCAGCACCATAACCGTGCTCGCGGGTTTCACCGAAGTGGTAAACGTCTGAGACCCAAACCCAACTCACTCACTCACTCACTCACTAGTAACATTGAAACATATGTTGTTGATGCAAGTGAATAAGTACCGTAATGTCCAAATAACGTCTTTTCTGTCCATTCTCTTTGTGCTGAAGCCATCGTAGTGTCGCCCTCTGTGAATCCACCGTGCTCAGAATATCCTCAACTTCGGACGTTGCTACGCGACCAGACAAAAATATGGTACATAAAAGAAATTGTGGATACTTTGGCTGATATGTTAACGTCATTCAGCTGTGTCACAAAAATCACTAAAAGTAATATCAAGTTAACTCCAAAAGCATATTCATTCAATGAATTGACAACAGCAATCGTTTATTCTTGAAACTACAAACATAATTAATACTGTTTATTTCGTCTTGGGGGCAAACGAAACTAATGTTTCATTACAAATTGAAAATGAAATAAAATACGTATCGTCAATGTATTTTCTCATTTTTTAAATACTTGAACAATTTTAAATAAAATCGGAAAAAATCGAAAAAAGAATTACTTTACCTGACGTTAAAATGTTCACGCACAAAACCAACAAAGTGACAACTAAAAGCAACCGAAAATCCATCTTCAAATCTACAATATGTTGCCCAACTGAATGCCTAGACTATTCTGGTCTCTTGTTTGTATAACACAGGTTTAAATACTATGATCACGTAGTCATCCGATTGCATTTTCGAAGTAAATCCTTAAATTTAATCCAATCGGCGTCAGCCCTTTTCTTAGACAGGAAGAGAGTGGGCATATGTGACCATGGACGCGGCCAGCCCGACTGGTGGTATCATGATCAGTGGGCTGGCTGGTAGGGTCTTGCAATAAAGTACTCATGTTGGACGATTAAATTTGCTGGTAGTTAAATCGCAATCAGTGAGATATACTTGTAAATACTTAGCGCCTGAGCACCTGGGTATCTCTGTATTAAAGCTCACCTTTATCCACCTTTATTAGTGTTAACATGCCACATCTGCCAAGAAGAGTTTTGTTGAGAGATAATTCCAATGTAACCTCAGATATGACTTATATTCTTATTATATATACTTCTATTGAATATTTGCTACTACCGCCAAGATCTGTTTCCGATGCGGCTCACGTCGTAGACCATCAAGTGATGGACTAGAGAGGGACAAAACGTTGCCCGCATTATTTCGTTGGATTCATTCTTAATTACTTAACAGATTTTTGGCATGAAATATTTGTGCACCACATTTTCAAGAACTCACAACTGTGTATGAGGTAATTGTTAGCACTGATGGTGTTCGGGAGAACTTTGAGAGTGTGAGTTCGAACCCCGGATGCGACTCAGCATGCCCCCGGATCAGGATCCGCCTATGTGTGAGTGAGTGAGTGAGTGTGTGTGTGTGAGAGAGAGAGAGAGAGAGGGGTGTATGTGAGGTGTGTGTGTGTGGGGAGAGAGAGAGAGAGAGAGGGAGAGAGAGGTGTATGTAAGGTGTGTGTGTGTGTGTGGTGTGTGAGTGTGAGGCCGTGTGTGAGGTGTATGTGTGTGTGTGTGTGTGTGAGGCCGTGTGTGTGTGTGTGAGAGAGAGATAGAGAGAGAGAGAGAGGGGGTGTATGTGAGGTGTGTGTGTGTGTGTGTGAGTGAGAGAGAGAGGGGGTGTATGTAAGGGGGTGTGTGTGTGTGAGGTGTGTGAGTGTGAGGCCGTGTGGTGTGAGTGAGTGAGTGTGAGTGAGTGAGTGAGTGAGTGTGAGTGAGTGTGAGTGTGAGTGTGAGTGTGAGTGTGAGTGTGTGTGTGTGTGTGTGTGTGGCTGTCGAGGGCCCCTACGTAGATTGTTGATAGCCTGGCTGTTTATATATAGATCTAATCTTTTGTTACATAGCGTCTATTCTCCAATTTGTGGCAAACGCCCAGACTTGGCCTAGAACTTGCGCTTTGTGTCCTGTGTGATACTAAGGCACTGTGTCTGTGTTATTGGGGAAATTATTACCTGATAGATTGCTATACATCATAATATGTGAGATAGCAGTCAACCAAAATGCTTTTAAATGCCTTGAAATTAACTTCCTTGACCTGCGACGTTGCTGGTGCTCAGTCCCCCTTTCATGAGGCATCGTATAAAGCCAAGAAACGCCGTATGGGTACACAAGCCTTCCCCTGGAAATACTGCACTGGCTGGATTGGTGTTCCACCATGCACAAGTTTACATAGACCTCCCCATGCTTAGTGGGACAAGAGGTCAGACTCGTTTACTCGATCATCGTGTCCTCTTGGTCTGGATCGTAGTCATGTCTTTGTGTGCAACTACTGCAGGCGTTGGATTCAAACGGACACCCTGACATGTGAACCTTGATTACAACGTAATATACTGAACCGCAAAAGAAACCTCATCCCAAGTAACACTGCATGAAAAGTTGTCATTTAAATATCTAGGTAATCTTTGTCAAAGTTTCTAAAATTTAACATTACTTTGTCCGGAAAAATGAAATTTGATGATAAAAATACAAAGCAGATGACAATAAAACCGATCGCCCAAAAGCCACGGCAACGACCTTGGTAACCCGATGCACGTGAGTTCCGTGCAAATTGAAATGCACATGCGTTCCCCCATTTCTTGCCCTATAAAAATCCACCCATATCGGATAACATTCATTCGTTATTGAATTGCTGCAGCATGCCAAGATTGACAGGAAATCATCGACACCAAGCCCTTGGACGATTGCAGGCACGACAAACCGCCCGGCAAGTAGCCAATGCATTTCAAGTCCACGTAAGGACCATATACAGGCTCCAGCAACGATACCAGACCACCAACACTACAGATGACCGATCATGTAGTGGAAGACCAAGGGTCACCACCGGACGTCAGAATCGTCAGATTGTGCCACAGCATCTTCAAGATCGCTTGGTTACTGCTGCGGAAACTGCTCGACGGACCCTGGGGACACACCAGCGACACATTAGTGCGGACACCGTGCGTCGACAATTGACGAGCAGACACCTCCACTGTCACATGTCACACCGAAGACCCATTCTGACACCACGTCATCGCCGGGACCGTCTTCAGTGGGCAACACAGCACCAGCATTGGCGCCACCAGCAGTGGAGAAGAGTCCTCTTCTCAGACGAGAGCCGTTACTGTATCTCAACAGCAGATGGCAGAGAGAGTCTGGCGACGCCTAAGGGAGCGTTATTCGGATGCTTGTGTTGTTGAGAGAGACACGTGGGGTGGTCCGAGCATCATGGTGTGGGGTGGAATTGGTCTTGCACAGAGAGTCGGCCCTGTGGTCTTCCAGAACATCGGTCCAGGGGGAGGCAATGGTGTCACAGCAGCTCGGTACATTAATCAAGTCTTGAGACCACACGCCATACCTCATTTGGTACGTCGCCACAACCACGAGTTTCAGCACGATAACGCCCGTGCCTACACTGCGAGAGCAACAAGAGAGACTTCCTCCAGGAGAATGGCATCAGAACCATGCAGTGGCCTGCCCTCAGTCCCTATATAAATCCCTTTTGGCACCTGTGGGACGAGATTCAAAGACGGCTGAATGACGTCCGACCAAGGCCGACAACTGCAGCTGAACTGCGTCAGGCGTTCCTCAGAGTGTGGGCTCAAGTGCCTATAGCCTTCATCAACCGCCTCATCCATTCCATGTATCGACGTTGCACAGCAGTCATCAATAGACATGGCGGACACACGAGATACTGACTTGCGATGCCATTTTCTCAGAGACTAGTGTTGTGTTTCACTTTAAGAACATTTGACACTTTAATTTCAACCTTGGTGATCAGTTTTGCCAAGTTTCATCTTTTTAATATGTCTCAAAGTATGTTTACAGTGTTTGGACAAATAGGGTTTCTCATATATCTATCCATGGTGACGTTTCTTTTGCAGTTCAGTATATAAGGTAAAATAATGGTTGGAGCACAGGACACCACCAGTCTCCAGACCCGGTGGTAATCGCCACATTAAGTCTTTCACTATTACTTTTACTATTTTTGTTACATTTGAAATCTAAAACTTGTCTTAAAGAAATAATTGTTGTAGTGTGTTACCTTAGTAAAAGACACCATAATTGTTCGAACTGATTGCAATTGAAGAGATATCTCTGACACTGTGTCAAATGGCATCAGTTCATATCTACTGGACTATTTCTATGAAATTTTGGGTTATCAAGCTGTCGTGGGCTGCTCTTGGAGAAAGTTGCTCCAAGTATCCCTTGTGTGCGAAGAAGGTCATCAAGTGACAACATTTACCAAGTCATTTTTGTCATTCACTGTAAAGGTTAGTGTTAGTTTGTTTGGTTGTTGATTAACGCCACACTCAGCGATATTCCAGCTATATGAGAGCAGTCTGTAAATAATCGAGTCTGGGTCAAACAATCCAGTAATCGATAACATGAGCATCGATCCACGGAATTGGGATACGATGACATGCATCAACCAAGTCAGCAAACCTGACCACCCGATCCTGATAGTCATCACCTGTTACGGAAAGCATGGGTTTCTCAAGACCTATTCTAACCTGGATCTTAGTTAATGAGTTGTACATTATATTGTGCTATTTTACCATTATATATACTGAACCAAATTATAAACTTCACAATCCTAAAATTTTAACATTTTGACCAGTTATCATTGTGGGCCCTTATTGTGTATTTAAACAGTTATGGCCACGTATTGTCTTCAGATAACACCCGTTTTTGTGCAGGTGAATCGATCAAAATCATGTGCACAGCACTATAGTGGCAAAAGTGCTTTTTCACGTGCAACTGGTCACGTGGCCATAATACCGCACGTGTTTTCAGCCATACTTGTTAGCGGTCATTAACAAAAAAAGAAAAACACAAGAAAACAAAAGTCTTTACGGCTATTTGTCATGCCACGCCTTTCAAATGTGCAACGTGAACGTGCCATCGGCATGTTGCAGACGGGAACGTCCGTAGCTGAAGTCGCAAGGAAGATGGGTTGTAGTCGACAGACTGTTTATGATTTACAGACGCGTCTACAGCAAACGGGTACCACCGCTGATCGCCCTCGGCCAGGTCGACCACGTGTGACGCCACATGCAGAGGATCGTCAGATTGTCTTACGTCACCCCCGTAACCGATTTTTGACGGCTACATCAACCAGATATGAACTGTTTAGGGGTAGACTGAGTGCGCAAACTGTTCGAAACCGTCTGAGAACTGCTCACCTTCAAGCACGACAGCCATAGTGCGGGCCGATTCTGACTCAACTACACAGACGTCAACGTCAATTGTGGGCACAGCAACACTTACGATGGACTCAGAGGAATTGGAATCAAATCGTCTTCAGTGATGAATACCGATTTAATCTTCGATTTGCTGATGGTAGGGCGAGAGTGTGGAGGCGCCGTCATGAACGTTACGCCCAGTGTTGTGTATAGGAAGTTGACAGATTTCAAGGCAGAAGTGTCAGGGTGTGGGGTGCTTTCTGTGGCAATGCACGTTCCAGGCTTCTTGTCATCCGTGGCAACCTCAACGCTGCTGCTTACCGCGACCAGGTACTGGCACCAGAACTTCTGCCTTTTATGGCAGCACATGGACCCGGTTTGATCTTCCAACACGACAATGCCAGACCCCACACAGCAATTTTGACAAGGAATTTCTTTCAGAATGCGGGAGTCAACGTCATGGACTGGCCGTCAAGGTCTCCCAACAATCCCATCGAACACGTCTGGGATGCTCTTGGCAGAAGTCTGCGCTCTCTCCAGAACCAACCACAGAATCTTGCAAGATCTTGGCACCATTTTGCAGCAACAATGGCCTCGTCTTCACATCATGTGTTCACAAGCATCACAAGGTCCATGCGGAGGCGTTGTGTGGCAGTTGTCAACGCACATGGTGGCCATACACGCTACTGAACTTGTGTGCCATCAGATTCTCGTGCTTGGGACTTATGATTTAGACTGTTGATGTTATTACCGATACCGTAGGTGCTTGGAACAAATTATGGTTACCACCGTTAATTAAAATCCTTTTTTGGATATTAATGATTAAAAATTACCTTCTCTGATACATTTGTCCGTTGTATATCATATATGGGATTACTTTTAAATATGTGAAGTTCTTAATTTGACTCAGTATATATATCTATATCTATATCTGTAACTATATATATCCACAATTTCCTGTTCATGCCTTATTTGGAAACAAATGAACTCTCAATGTCAAACTCATGAGCCACAATCTGTACAATGTTGTGGAGCCATTCTGGTAAATATAAACAAACAATGAGGGACTAACTGAAGTGAGTTGTTTATTTCAGAATATCTTATCACCAAACCAGAAATGTACACTTTTGAGAGAAAACATCACAATTCAAACAAGTTCAGTTTAATGAAACGTAAACAATGGCTTCATAAATAAAATAAAAAGGATATGAAGCAATAAACAATATCACAAACAAGATGCCCAACACATTCTTAAATCTACAATATATTTATTAATTCATAATTACAATTTCAATAATTCTGTTAAACTAGGTTGCATGAATTATTAATTAGACTTAAAATCTAGGATATATATTCAAAATTGTTAATATCTACTTCATATATTTTTATATAAATATATGTGCCCAGCACAAACATAAGAGAATTTCAGTCTCCACTGATTTAGATTAGTGCAAGCACTGGTATCTATAGGAAATAATAGAAAAGATTACTATTCTGCCCTTGTTTGTTACTAGTCATGTAAAGCAATATCTTAATACCTTTGTAATGATTTATATTCACATCAGTCTTAAAAAATTCAGATTAGACTCTTTAGTCCAGCTTTCAATGTTTTGCCAAAGAAAATCAACATGAAAATTGTGAGTATATGCAAGAGAGACCAAATTTAACTCCCCGTTTCATACAAATAAATAATAAATATTTTTAAAGATTTTACATTTCATTAACATCCTTAACGAGTCTGTACATAATATTGATATCTCATATAAGAAATAAACAACTTGTGGTCATTTTTTATCATACAATAAAACACTGCAGGAAGAATAATTTATTCTCCCTGCAGTGTTTTAGTGCGTCCCTCATGTTGTATTCTCCCTGCAGAGTTTTATTGTACCATAAACAATGAACATGAGGTGTTTATATCGTAAAAATTCACAGAGTGGTTATTATCAAGTGGCAAGCTTCTGAAACCACGAGAGTCCAATGTCATGTGGGTAGCATCTCATCTGGCAATTTCTGAGCACATTCAGTTATTGCTGTACAGTCTTTTCATCACATTGAACTGTGACCTTTTCCTTTGTTGTTGTTGTTTAACGCCGAATCAGCAATATTCCAGCAACATTGAGGGCGATCTATTCCCACTATGAGTGTAATAATTGACCCAACTATTGATGCACTGCAATATTTCTGGTTCCAGCCGCCATGCATGCATGACAAGTTTCAATAGTTAACATCAGTGTCAGGATACACAATTGATAGTACTGATCAAAATGAAAAGTAAATAAGGTTAAACATTTACACTGTCCATATTTTCTTTGTGTTTGTCAATATAAGAATTTCGGTGATCACACATTCTTTAGTCAACAGATTCAGTAGAGGTCTAATGATCAGAACTGCACATGTATTGTGCAACACAAATAAAAAACTACATGGTTTTCTACTTGGTTTTCTGTCAACATACACACTAACCACAAGCCTAAAGGTCTTCCCCAATTAAACATTTTGGGTGTGAGTAGCATTTTGTGCTTAAGCAATATTCTAGAAATATCACAATTGGGGACATAAAACAATAGCCTTCACACATTGTACCCATGCAGGGTGAGTGAGTGAGTGAGTTGGGTTTAATGCCGCTTTTAACAATATTCCAGTTATATCGCGGCGTGTCAGCTTAATGTGGGAGGAAAGCCCGAAGTGATGCAGGTCTCAGACGTTTACCACTTCAGTGAAACCCACGAGCACAGGTATGGTGTGGACAAACCTAGAAACATAATCAGGGCGAACCGGGATTCGAACCCACAATCGAATCGCGGCGCCTTAGACGACTGGGCCACCCGTGCCCCTATACCCATGCAGGGAATCAAACCAGGACCTTCTGAGCGATGAGTGCATGCTCTAACCACAGGCCCACCCCTTGCTGTATTAAGCAATAAGAGATTTGTAGTTGGTCATTTCTTCATGGGAGATCTCATTCACCTTAAAAGGGGCATTTTTCCATTTCCTTGGAGAGTCTCTTCGACCCATTGTATCTATGGCAACGAAGCTTTCAATTTTGACAACAGGGAACGTTGCATTTCTGTAAAAGACACCGATTCCCCAATCCAATCCACATTTCTTGCAATAGATTTTATTCTGCTTTTTCATTTCAAAACCCATATTACCAGGCTTAGGGTGGGGTTTGACATTGATCTTGGATGCAAAATCAGGCTCAATGATAATATGGTTTGTTTCCTTGATTGTGCGAATGTCAGTAGAAAAACAGGCTAACTGGTCACATTTCTGACATCGCATTTCAAACTCGTCATCACTGAGGAAACGACCTTTACGATTCCTGGACTCGTGGTCCCTCTCAGCTTTTGCTTCCTTCTGGAGACTTAGGATCTCCTCACGGAAGCGGCGTGGGTTTTCTTCTACGGAAGCCTGAAGACGCACCAGAGCTTCATTCATCATCATCTCCCTGATGAGGTTCAGCCCCTCCTTCTCAGCTGCCCCTTGCTGGTTGCTGGTCAAAACGACAAACCTGCTGTCTTCAGCTCTTGCTCGACCTGAAACATGGAGGTAACATTTAAAGGGTTGATATCAAAATGTTTTTCTGGTGTAAAATCAGAATGCAAACAAATTTCCTAATATGGCACTTCACTCTGCTTTGTGCAAACATATCGGACCTAAACAGAGAATGGCTGTCGGCTAAAAATCAGGTCGCTTGCAACAAAATACCTCCCATACACATCATGGAAACAGTGAATGTGTGAGTGAGTTGGACTTACCGCTGCTCTGAACAGTATTCTTGTAATATCACAGAATGTCGGTTGTTTGGGCAGGAAAGCCCAAAGTGATACAGGTCTTAGACTTTGGTGATACCAAACTTTGGTGATGCTCAACTCTGGACAGGGAATTGTGACACCTAACATAACTGTTCTTATTAATAACTCAACTGGTGACATACCTCAAGCTTGAACAAGGGTGCATTCACTGGTGACATACCTTGAGCTTGAACCATGGTGATTTCGCTGGTGACATACCCTGAGCTTGAACCATGGTGAATTCACTGGTGAAATACCTTGAGCTTGAACCATGGTGAATTCACTGGTGACAAACCTTGAGCCTGAACCATGGTGAATTCACTGGTGACATACCTCGAGCCTGAACCATGGTGAATTCACTGGTGACATACCTCGAGCCTGAACCATGGTGAATTCTCTGGTGACATACCTTGAGCTTGAACCATGGTGAATTCACTGGTGACATACCTCGAGCCTGAACCATGGTGAATTCATTGGTGACATACCTTGAGCCTGAACCATGGTGAATTCACTGGTGATATACCTTGAGCCTGAACCATGGTGAATTCACTGGTGACATACCTTGAGCCTGAACCATGGTGAATTCACTGGTGACATACCTTGAGCCTGAACCTTGGTGAGCTCACTGGTGACATACCTTGAGCCTGAACCATGGTGAATTCACTGGTGACATACCTTGAGCCTGAACCATGGTGAATTTACTGTTGACATACCTTGAGCCTGAACCATGGTGAATTGACTGGTGACATACCTTGAGCTTGAACCATTGTGAATTCACTAGTTACATACCTCGAGCCTGAACCATGGTGAATTCACTGGTGACATACCTGGGCCTGAACCATGGTGAATTCACTGGTGACATACCTTGAGCCTGAACCATGGTGAATTCACTGGTAACATACCTTGAGTCTGAACCATGGTGAATTCACTGGTGACATACCTTGAGCTTGAACCATTGTGAATTCACTAGTTACATACCTTGAGCCTGAACCATGGTGAATTCACTGGTGACATACCTTGGGCCTGAACCATGGTGAATTCACTGGTGACATACCTTGGGCCTGAACCATGGTGAATTCACTGGTGATATACCTTGAGCCTGAACCATGGTGAATTCACTGGTGACATACCTTGAGCTTGAACCATGGTGAATTCACTGGTGACATACCTTGAGCTTGAACCATTGTGAATTCACTAGTTACATACCTTGAGCCTGAACCATGGTGAATTCACTGGTGACATACCTTGGGCCTGAACCATGGTGAATTCACTGGTGACATACCTTGGGCCTGAACCATGGTGAATTCACTGGTGATATACCTTGAGTCTGAACCATGGTGAATTCACTGGTGACATACCTTGAGCTTGAACCATGGTGAATTCACTGGTGACATACCTTGAGCCTGAACCATGGTGAATTCACTGGTGACATACCTTGGGCCTGAACCATGGTGAATTCACTGGTGAAATACCTTGAGCCTGAAACCATGGTGAATTTACTGGTGACATACCTTGAGCCTGAACCATGGTGAATTCACTGGTGACATACCTCGAGCCAGAACCATGGTGAATTCACTGGTGAAATACCTTGAGCCTGAAACCATTGTGAATTCACTGGTGACATACCTTGAACCTGAACCATGGTGAATTCACTGGTGACATACCTCGAGCCAGAACCATGGTGAATTCACTGGTGAAATACCTTGAGCTTGAACCATGGTGAATTCACTGGTGACATACCTTGAGCTTGAACCATGGTGAATTCACTGGTGACATACCTTGAGCTTGAACCATGGTGAATTCACTAGTTACATACCTTGAGCCTGAACCATGATGAATTCACTAGTTACATACCTCGAGCCTGAACCATGGTGAATTCACTGGTGACACACCTCGAGCCTGAACAATGGTGAATTGACTGGTGACATACCTTGAGCTTGAACCATGGTGAATTCACTGGTGACATACCTTGAGCCTGAACCATGGTGAATTCACTGGTGACATACCTTGAACCTGAACCATGGTGAATTTACTGGTGACATACCTCAAGCTTGAACCATGGGGAATTCACTGGTGACATACCTTGAGCCTGAACCATGGTGAATTCACTGGTGACATACCTTGAGCCTGAACCATGGTGAATTCACTGGTGACATACCTCAAGCCTGAACCATGGTGAATTCACTAGTTACATACCTTGAGCCTGAACCATGGTGAATTCACTGGTAACAAACCTTGAGCCTGAACCATGGTGAATTCACTGGTGACATACCTCAAGCCTGAACCATGGTGAATTCACTGGTGACATACCTTGAGCTTGAACCATGGTGAATTCACTGGTGACATACCTTGAGCTTGAACCATGGTGAATTCACTGGTGACATACCTTGAGCCTGAACCATGGTGAATTCACTGGTGACATACCTCAAGCCTGAACCATGGTGAATTCACTGGTGACATACCTTGAGCTTGAACCATGGTGAATTCACTGGTGACATACCTTGAGCTTGAACCATGGTGAATTCACTAGTTACATACCTTAAGCCTGAACCATGGTGAATTCACTGGTGACACACCTCGAGCCTGAACAATGGTGAATTCACTGGTGACATACCTTGGGCCTGAACCATGGTGAATTGACTGGTGACATACCTTGAGCCTGAACCATGGTGAATTCACTGGTGACATACCTCAAGCCTGAACCATGGTGAATTCACTGGTGACATACCTTGAGCCTGAACCATGGTGAATTCACTAGTGACATACCTTGAGCCTGAACCATGGTGAATTCACTAGTTACATACCTTGAGCTTGAACCATGGTGAATTCACTAGTGACATACCTTGAGCCTGAACCATGGTGAATTCACTAGTTACATACCTTGAGCCTGAACCATGGTGAATTCACTGGTGACATACCTTGAGCTTGAACCATGGTGAATTCACTGGTGACATACCTCGAGCCTGAACCATGGTGATTTCACTGGTGACATACCTTGAGCTTGAACCATGATGAATTCACTAGTAACATACCTTGAGCCTGAACCATGGTGAATTCACTGGTGACATACCTCGAGCCTGAACCATGGTGAATTCACTAGTTACATACCTTGAGCCTGAACCATGATGAATTCACTGCTGACATACCTCGAGCCTGAACCATGGTGAATTCACTAGTTACATACCTTGAGCCTGAACCATGATGAATTCACTGGTGACATACCTCGAGCCTGAACCATGATGAATTCACTGGTGACATACCTCGAGCCTGAACCATGGTGAATTCACTGCTGACATACCTTGAGCTTGAACCATGGTGAATTCACTGGTGACATACCTTGAGCCTAAACCATGGTGAATTCACTGGTGACATACCTTGAGCTTGAACCATGGTGAATTCACTGGTGACATACCTTGAGCCTGAACCATGGTGAATTCACTGGTGACATACCTTGAGCCTGAACCATGGTGAATTCACTGGTGACATACCTTGAGCTTGAACCATGGTGAATTTACTGGTGACATACCTCAAGCTTGAACCATGGGGAATTCACTGGTGACATACCTCGAGCCTGAACCATGGTGAATTCACTGGTGACATACCTCAAGCTTGAACCATGGGGAATTCACTGGTGACATACCTTGAGCCTGAATCATGGTGAATTCACTGGTGACATACCTTGAGCTTGAACCATGGTGAATTCACTGGTGACATACCTTGAGCTTGAACCATGGTGAATTCACTGGTGACATACCTTGAGCCTGAACCATGGTGAATTCACTGGTGACATACCTTGAGCTTGAACCATGGTGAATTCACTGGTTACACACCTTGAGCTTGAACCATGGTGAATTCACTGGTGACATACCTCGAGCTTGTACCAGGGCAATCTCATTGGTGACATATTCGTATCGGATGACCAAGTTGCACTGGCTGAAGTCCATCCCTTCCTCTGCCACGGATGTTGCAATAATTATTTTGTGATTCCCTTGCCTGAACAGCTGTGCAGCATCCAACTGCTCATTTCTGGTCATCCCTGTAAACATGAATCATCATCTCTTGAAGGGCATTCTAGGTGAAATGTTATATCAGTAGGAAGAAAAAGCAGATCTAGGAAGAATCATATTATCTTGGTAGAAGCATCATATCTAGGTAGAAGAGTCATATCTAAGTAGAAGGGTCATGTCTTGGTAGAATGGTCATGTCTAGGTAGATGGGTTATATCTGGGTAGAAGGGTCATATCTAGGTGGAAGAGTCATATCTAGGTAGAATGGTTATATCTAGGTAGAAGGGTCACATCTAGGTAGAAGGATTATATCTAGGTAGAAGGGTCACATGTAGGTAGATGGATCATATCTAGGTAGAAGGATTATATCTAGGTAGAAGGGTCATATCTAGGTAGATGGGTCATGTCTAGATAGAAGGGTCATATCTAGGTAGAAGGGTATTATCTAGGTAGAAGGGTCATATCTACGTAGAAGGGTCATATGTAGGTACATGGACACATCTAGGTTTATTTTGTATGTTGTTTGATGAGGTACTCAGAAATATCTTATGGTCACGTGGAGAGAGGCAGAATAAATCCCTATATCCCGCTTCATAGTAGGAATATAGATATTTCCAGGGAATAGCTGCAAGATTAAACTGATGATAATATGGTGAAATATGGACACTCTCTTTGTTTTGAGGTATGGACAACTTGATACATTTTCAATGGTCTCAGCACATTTAGTTGATTCAATTTTACAGGTCATTTTACCTCCTTTGTCAGCAGAAGCATTCTGTCCAGTGAACATGCCTGGCTTGAGGTAGGAGAGATTGGGGTCTTCCTCCATCCAGCACTTGAGAGCCACTGCCAAGTCTCGTGTCTTCACAAACACCATACAGCGAGACTCCCGTTGGATGTCAAATGCTTCCATGATCATCCTGCACAGCGAGGTCAGCTTGGGGTTTACACAGTTGGGACTCCTGGCAGCATCAAGGAGAACAGGCTTCAGTTCTGGAAGCGGGAACAGCAAGAGAACATTTACACAAGATTAGGACTCCTGGCAGCATCAAGGAGAACAGGCTTCAGTTCTGGAAGCGGGAACATCAAGAGAACATTTACACAAGATTAGGACTCCTGGCAGCATCGAGGAGAACAGGCTTCAGTTCTGGAAGCGGGAACAGCAAGAGAACATTTACACAAGATTAGGACTCCTGGCAGCATCAAGGAGAACAGGCTTCAGTTCTGGAAGCGGGAACAGCAAGAGAACATTTACACAAGATTAGGACTCCTGGCAGCATCAAGGAGAACAGGCTTCAGTTCTGGAAGCGGGAACAGCAAGAGAACATTTACACAAGATTAGGACTCCTGGCAGCATCAAGGAGAACAGGCTTCAGTTCTGGAAGCGGGAACAGCAAGAGAACATTTACACAAGATTAGGACTCCTGGCAGCATCGAGGAGAACAGGCTTCAGTTCTGAAAGCGGGAAGATCAAGAGAACATTTACACAAGATTAATTTGCGTCATTCAGTATGGATTCTGGCGTTACGTGTTCACGGTAATATCTTTGTGTTTGGGAAACAAACCCATGAAAACTATTCTACCTTGTGTATAGGGCTACCCTCTTGAAACCCCCCTAAATCTAGGTACGAAAAACTCGTATTATGCACGGCGATATACAGTAAACCCAACTTCGGGTTTTGTTGCCATGGATTCTTTGTGTTAACAGTAAATCTAATGAGCGATATGAACCTTGTGATTGTCATGCCATTGATATTACCTGTACAACTGTTGCCTCAAAGGTACTGGCAGATACATTGAGGATAGTATGGGCATAGTCAGCAATTTTCAAATCTGTGAGATCCCCGTATTTATTCATACAAGGAGTAAATTTTTTAACATTCAAGAAAAGGTATGGTCAGTAGAATCATCTCCATTTTGGATGAGACTGACCACAAAAGCCTGTGCATCTACAATAATGTTACATTTGTATAAGTACCGGTATGAACTGTACCTGTGTATCTATGTCTATAATTCTATTCCTACTATACAGTCTATTTCTAATAGTTTTCTGAAAAGTCTATCAGGTTTGTGGGTAATTGAAATATGGCCTTGTGGGTAATTGAATGGATTTCTAAACGTTAAACAATTGCTAATAACATGTAACATTTGGTCTAGTAGTTCTTAAAATTTTCAGCTTTTGGTTTGTTGTGCATTTTTATGTTTATTTAAACCCTGCCAGGTTAGATAGTACTTGCTTACTTTCAAACTGCTCTTTTAGCTTCAGGTCAGTTTCGTCCATGACCACACTAGATGAGTAGAGAGTGTCTATCTCCTTCTCCAGGTACCTGAGTGCATCCAATGTCCGGCAGTCCTCGTTGATGGCCAGGGCTTTGTTGTACAACTGAAGATGACACACTTTCATGTCAGTATGAGTCACATGGGTCAATAGCGGGATGCACAGTATTTTACAGGTTAAATGGGCTTCACATCATGAGTCTATGCAAGCATTGAGCTCGTAATATCCTGTACATTTGCTATTGACACATGTCAGAAATTTATCATTAAGTGTTCACAGGTTACAAAGACCTATTTTCAGCAAACATTTGTGTGTGACAATTAGATCTATCTTATGACTCCATTCGACTTTCTGTGTGGTAACTCGAAGCACAAACAGGTCAGTTGCTTGTGACAAGCAAGTGATGTCACATAAAATATAATGTTTAATGACAACATAACGTCTCTACAGGCTTACCAGCTGATGCCAACTGGCCAATCAAACAGATTGTTTCTTAATGAGTAATCAAGTGCACCTCTACAAGCTTATAAGTTCTTCCTGGCTCTAGGGCAACTGCTTCACTTTAACCATCTCATATGAACTGTTTGCTATACATATGAAACCCTCTTATAGCAACATTTTTATTGAGTAAGATGCTGATTAGGCAGGGGACTTCGCAAGTACACATTGAAATTAAAAATATCATTGCAATGTTTATGCCCCTTGTTCCCAAACTCTTAAGTACACTAAAATAGTTTGCTTGAAAATGTATTCTGTTTAAAAGTTGTTTCTCTTTGTATTTGAGTTTTAAGTTTATTTCAAGACATTTCTCAAATAAATTAAGCTCTGCTGTACATTAACCATATATTTTTGGTCTTTTTAATATTTTGGAATATTGACAAATTAATTATTACATATTGTGTACCTCCAACATTCTCCGACATGAGAAGAAGAACCTGCGGACATTCTGATCCTCGATGTTGGCCACCTCCCTCTTGAGGGTGCTCACCCAGATGGTGTACTGGTCCCCACCCCTCTCTACTGGCGGCTGCAGGGAGTCAACAAACCGGGGCCGTCCTTGCACCTGATCCACCTCTGTAGATACAAGGAGTGAGTGAGTGAGTGAGTGGGTGGGTGGGTGGGTGAGTGAGTGAGTGAGTGAGTGAGTGAGTGAGTGAGTGAGTGAGTGAGTGAGTGAGTGAGTGAGTGAGTGAGTGAGTGAGTGAGTGAGTGAGTGAGTGAGTTGAATTTAAGACTGCTTCAAACAATATTTTAGTTGTACAGTGTATCAGCTTTATATGGGAGAGCCCAAAGAAATGCAGGTCTAAAATTTACCATGTTCATATACATATTTTATGGATTATGATTTTGGTGTTAAAAAAAGCCCAGTTTCAATAAATATCAAATTTAGAAAATGCATTGGAATCACAGGTGTATCTATAAGGTATTACTTAACAAGTGAGCTGTTTTTGATGGTAACTTCATGTCTTTTATCTCAATTCTCTTTGACTACAGATGTTTTTGACTTATGGTCACTAGGACTCATCAAACCTAAATTCAGCAAATCAAAAGTAAAAAAACAAAGAACACTTCACCTACCTACCCTAGCTATCTTTTGAGCGAGGAAACACACATGAAACTTTGTGGACTTAAATCATACAATACATGTCAACATGTCAATGTAAGATCAAACATATGTCAAGATGAGCTAAAACATGTCAAAGGGAATGAAAAGGTATCTCAATGTGAGCCAAAACGTATGTCAAGATGAGCTAAAACATGTCAAAGGGTATGAAAATGTATGTCAATGAGAGCCAAAACGTATGTCAAGATGAGCTAAAACATGTCAAGGGGAATAAAAACATGTGACAATGTGAGTTAAAACATGTCAACATTTTCTTGAGTATGGTGCACACTTTTTTTTCCAAAAAAAACCCAGCTGTGTAGAAGGGGGTACGCATTACACACGCCACAATGAGTTTTGATGGGCTTAGTCTTCCAACCCGAAGACATTACTCTGAGCATGTAACACTGAAAATACCATGTCAACAAATCTGAAGTGAAGTATGCAAATATATCATGTACACTTTCTGGATATTTAATGTGTTCATGGTATATCTGGACTTATGGTTGTAAACTATTATATTAATTTTATACAAAATTCATACAAATACTGTTTACATTCATTTTGGCGAAATCATGAAGTAATTGGTAGATCACACAACTCACAGTTATTTACAGCAACCATGGCCAGATTACAGTTACTGACGCACTGAAACAAGCTTTAGCTGACAGAAAATGGATACATATATCATAAATGCCATACTTTGAACTCATTAAACGACATATTTGTTGTAGTTTGACTTTTATATGTCAACAAAAAGGTTTTATGATCGCGAGCGTGGGTGCCTTGACAGTGTCTGGTCAAATTGTTCCTTACGTATAAAATATCCGTTCATAGTGATCAGCTGTACCAAAGTGTTTCGCTTATGGTTATTATTATATTGAATACATATAGTAAAGTTCTAACTATTATAAAACGATATTGGAATATATTACTCCTAACAAAATAATAGTTTCAGATACAGTTCTTCCAATTATTGCATAAAACTTCTTTCAATTTATATTATTGGGTGCGATTATAACCGAATCACCGGTAGATTGGGAGATCTCTGCATATTAAACAATGCCAAGCAGCACAGGAAGTACATTTTAAATAATAAATCATCATGTCTGGTGATGTTTTATCTCCAATTTCAAATCTGTATTGACCAAGTTTGTTATCACCTGTTCATCTAACTGAATTCGCTGATGGGATATGATGTAATTTTTCTATGCATAATAATCGAAGAAATACTGATTCACCTAGAAGGGGGTGCGCATTACAGTGGGTGTGCACTATTCTCAAGGTGAACCGAAACATATGTCAATGTAAGCTTTAACATGTCAAGATGAACACAAACATGTCAAGATGGGGTGCAATATATGTCACTGTTCATGTCAAGATGTCAAGATGAACTAAAACATGTCAAGTTGGGGTGAAACACATGTCAATGTTCATGTCAAGATGAAGTAAAACATATGTCAATATAAGCTTTAACATGTGTAGATGAACTAAAACCTGTCCAAGTGAACTACAACTTGTCAAAGTGAACTACAACTTCTCAAAGTGAACTACAACCTGTCAAAGTGAACTACAAGTTGTCAAAGTTATCTACAACTTGTCAAAGTGAACTACAACTTGTCAAAGTTATCTACAACCTGTCAAAGTGAAGTACAACCTGTCAAAGGGAACAACAACTTGTCAAAGGGAACTACAAGTTGTCAAGGTGAACTAAAACCTGTCAAAGTGAACTACAACCAGTCAAAGTGAACTACAACTTGTCAAAATGAAATACAACCTGTCAAAGTGAACTACAACTTATATAACTCGACTCACTGTCAGGCTGGATCATCATCTTTTCGATGAACTCCATCAGCTTGGTAGCTATCACATATCTAAACTTGTCCTCCTTCCGCTTGTTGGTCTTAATCACATCTGAAACATTGTCAAAATGCTAATATCTTAACAACTTAAGGGCAAACTCTTTTTTCAAGAGTATATCCTTTTCAAGTTTGACACTACAACGTCCATCCAAACTAATTCATGTCATTACACAAAGCTAATTCTGACCTGAATAAAATTGCACTAACACATTAGGCATTTGAAATACTGCCCATATTTTGAGACCACTTCCAAATTTAATCTGTTATGTTACCAAGTGAGCTAAATGTGGTACACAGAACTTTGGAGAACCGTTAATGAATAGGATCTGGTATGTTTGTGTTAAATTAAACAAGCTTTAGACATAGATTCTCACTAATCAATAAATTAATTGATGTAAATGAGACACTGACCGACTCCAACTGTTCGAGCATGCTTAGCAAGGTCCTCTTGAGTCTTTCTGACTGTTGATACTCCCCCAAAGGCATCTAGATTGGCGCAGAGTTTCTGAATGTGGTCCATTGCCCCAGGGATACTCTTGGCCTTCCCCACACCCACAGAAGCGGTCAAGCCCACGATCTGTCACATGCAGATGCAAATCAAGACTAACACATAACTAGTCCAGCTTCTGTCTAACATTACCGGACATCACAAAAACACACCCAAATGAGTATGATGGGTTTAACGTTCCTCTGAACACCCTCTATTATATTACAGTGTGTTTGCTTTATGTGAGAAAAAAGCCCAAGTGATTAATGTCTAAGATGTTTACTGCTCTGGTTAGGTGAGGTGAGGTGAGGTGAAATTGGGTTTAACGTCACGTCCAAGATTATTGTACTTATATAGCGACGTGCACGTGTGTGTGTGTGTGTGTGTGTGTGTGTGTGTGTGTGTGGCTGCTTGTACTAGTCCGGACTGATGTCGATATATAGTGCTAGCCCACTGGGGTACCATGCCGCAGTTTAACATGAATACCCCACTCAGACACAGTATACTGACTCCGAGCCGACCAGTCCTTGTTTTAGCACCTTAATGCAGAGCGCCAGACAGGGTAACAACAAGTACCATCTTTTAACGTCTTTTGGAATGACGCAGCTGGGGATCGAACCCCGGACCTTCCGCTCTCCGGGCGGACGCTCTACCACTAGACCACGGAGGCGGTCCCCTGCTCTGGTGAAGCAAGGTGCAGCTGATCAGGGTGAATCTGGGGTTTGAACCCACAATCATAGTTTTCTGGTGTACTTAAGGGACACAGCTAAAAAAAGCCACACCTTAGCATCTTAGATGACTCGGCCACCAATGGAAGACAAGGGTAGTACAATTTAGAGGACCAAGGATCAATTTTGTAATAGTGGATTGCATCCACTCCTGGTTTGAAGGGAGCATGGTTTAATGCAATTAATACAAACATATGACCTCCCATTTCAATAATCGAGTCCCCTGGTCCTATATCAGGCCCTCATTTCAATGTTGGGGGCACATGTGGCCCAGTTATCTAAGACGCCGCGATTTGGTGTGCAGAGTTGCGTCCCTTGGACACAACAGAAACCTATGATTGTGGGTTCAAAGCCCGGTTCGCCCTGATTATGTTTCTAGGTTTGTCCGCAACATACCCGTGCTCGTAGGTTTCACCGAAGTGGTAAACGTCTGAGACATGCATTACTTTGGGCTTTCCTCCCACATTAAGCTGACATGCTGCGATATAACTGCAATACTGTTAAAAGTGGTGTTAAACCCAACTCACTCACTCACTCACTCACTCACTCATTTCAATGTTAATGGTCAGCTGATCCACCATGAGGCATTCACATCAGTTTTAAGCTCTATACATACCTGAGGCAGCTGCCTCCTGTCATCCTCAATGGACTCATTCAGTTTAAGATCCATATAGTTGAACATTATTCTGTTGAAGGGGTGTCTGGAGTTGGTGTGATGGCACTCATCAAACACCAGCATGGTGAACTCGGACAGGCTCGATACCCCAGTGCCCTCCAGTCTCAGAGCATCCACAAGGATCTGGGGGGTCATGAACAGGATGTCATTCCTGGGAAAAAACAGGAAATCAAGTTTCAAATATGGAAAATATGTAATGTGAGTGCACGAGGAGTGACGTAATACACTGTGCACCTCGGCATGCATGCAGTTATCATATACACGGCAGAACAAGCGGATTAAACTTGGAATGTTTTACAAATTGCAACGCCATCTGGCGTTCTTTATTGTCAACGTCCTTTCTTGCTCACTGACCTTCTTTATTGTAAACGTCCTTTCGTACTCACTGACCTTCTTTATTGTAAACGTCCTGCTCACATCTTCTTTCGTATACATTGTGTTTTCTTTTCTTATGACGCCTTTTCGTAACATTTGACTTTTGATATTACTTGACCTTTGTTTCAACTCTGTATTTGTTTAACCGGCGTCTGTTTGTTTTGTATTTTGACCTTTATTAGTAACATTTAGTTCTTTATTTGTAATAATTGAACTTTTTTGTGTACTTTTGTCCTTTTTTTCAACTTTGTATTTTTTGACAGAATGGACGTCCATAATTTAAGTCCCCACCTAATTTTTGTCAGTCCCAACTTTCAACAAATAAACACACATGAAAAAATACCTGGTTTTAATTCTTTCAACATCATATTCAGCGCAGTTCATTGCTAACAAATACAATGACATCATCTCTGAAGTAATTTAGTTAAATCTACACGTCATTCACAGAAAGTTCAGTTACAGTTTCTCTCTTTTTTTGAATACTGTATTCGACGTAATAAGCGCCCAGGGCGCTCTCAAAATTAGAAATAGGGGGCTCTTAGAAAATTCTTTTGGTGAAAATAACAGAGTTGAAAGATCGTAAATTTTGTGGTTCATGCGACAGATATATTTTTCCAGAATTCAATTGCCCATAATTAAGGGTGCATATAACACATGAGTGCATATTATACACGAATAAACAAGTCTTGTATACATTGATCAATCAGAAGGGGTGCTGATTTGGATTGTTCCCTAGCCAAAATATTAGCAAATATCCCCATGGGCGCTTATTATGTCGAAAACGGCATTTCACTTTGGTTCAAGAATAAGCCGCTAGAAAGGTATATTAAACCTTGAAGCAAAGTGAAATGTCATTTCCTTGCACTAAAAATAGACGAGGTGAAACCCTGCTGGTAACAGACAAGCTTACTTCGTTAGAAAAATATACTTATATGAATATTGCCAATGTTTTGTTCAACAACAAAGATGTATAAGGTACTTTATTTGCCGGTCCACAGGGACTGGCAGTCACATGAATTACTGGTTCAAGCCTAATTTGACCGGTAAAAATATGGTAATTACTGCTAAACGGGAACACTGACCTAGCAACAGTGTGTAGTACCACATGTGCAGAACAACCCCTGTATGTTAGTGTGAGGGCACACTGACAGGGCGAGCCATCAGGTCATCTGCCACCTACCTTTTTACGAGTTCTGCGAGAGGAACCCGGAGAGCCTCCTCTGTATCACTGCTCAGTTTCTGGATGCGGACATCACGGGGCAAGTGCTCCTTTATCACCTTGAACTGTTGATCAACGAGAGCCACCTGGTTGGCAAAAAAGATGATCTTCCTCACCCCTGGTTTCTGGAGATGCTCCTGAAAATGGTAAAACTATCAACTTCCAAACCTGTCCAGGCATTGCTGCTGCACTCTGCATACACTTTAAAATAGCTAAAAATTAGAATATGAATACAAATCTTAGATCAAAAGATCTAAAAGAGATCAAAACAAATTTTAAAGAAAATACATTCAAACCTTTAAATCTGGACCTCGTCAGCCCCAAAATACTATCTTCAAGACAACTTTATTTAGGAAAATATACATAGACATTCCCAAATTTAGTATTTATTTGTTTATTATGCACTTTCAACGGTGTCTTTCTGTCTATGGCTGTTGCTTTCTTTATTCCATCCTCAACAAGTGGATAGGCAAATGTATAACACTGTCAATTTAGCTAATGTATCTACACACATCCTAAGGAATCCGAAACTTTTTCATTGTATTAGATAAAATGTTCCAATTTTATATGGTGATATTAACATGAATCAAATGATGTCTGATGTAACACTGATGAAAAGTAAATGCCAAAGTCTATTTGTATTCATTGTAAATGTTACCACTGTCATTGTTGTACGAAACAGCTTAGCACCACGACTGTCGTAAGTCTGTGTTAAGGTATGGGAGTTACGATCACCTTAGCGCTAAGATTGCTTTGTACAATGGCACCCAGGCAACACCATTACAGTCATAACATATAGATGTACCATATGATGCTACGTCACAGGAAGACTTATCTACTATATAGCATATGTCAAAGATGGTGACAAACAACAATACTACATACACACACATAACGGTGATAATCTCTTTGTTATCCATGAAGCATTTACATGGAGTGAAGCAGTCAACTGTCTTTCGTCATGTCACTTTGTGTTCTCTTCATTTTTTCAGTCAGTGACTAAGCAACATTTAATATTTTTTGGTGTACAGATTCAGCCAACCAAAAAAATTTTTTAATACTTAAATTTTATTTTTATTTGCTTGAGCTTTTCATCTCTAATGGAGTCGAAAATAAAGATACACCTACAAAAATCATATACATATATAATCAGTCTCTTGCCACTTCAGGAGTCTCATAAAGACTACATAACCGTGTCATAGTAAAAATACTAAATATCCTGCACTTTGAAAGGTATGAGCAAAGATCTGTAACCATTCAAAGAAAGTGTGGCTTCATTATGTCAAGTGAAACAGATAATGACCTGCATTATTTTCGCTGCCACAAACGTCTTCCCTGACCCTGTTGGAGCGCAGATGATGGTATTGCTGCCCCTCAGGGAGGGTTGAGCTAGCTCCTCCTGGTAGGGGCGGAGCACGAGTGGTGTGGGCGGGGTCATGGAATCATCGGGGCAGGGGGGAGACAGTTCCTCTATGTTGCTGGTATCACCTACTTCTGGAACATTCCAATGAGTATGCATGGATAATTGCAAACCTTCAGACACCTTGTACACATGATCAAAGAGGCCGACAGTGTCAGTAAGGTTGTCATCTGTGGGATGAGTAAGTGAGTGAGTTGGGTTTAACGCTGCTTTTAACTGTATTACCGTTATATCACAACCTGTCAGCTTAATGTGGGAGGAAAGCCCAAAGTGATGCAGGACTCAGACGTTTACCACTTCAGTGAAACCCACGAGCACGGGTATGGTGCTGGCAAACCTAGAAACATAATCGGGGTGAACTGGGATTTGAACCCACAATCATAGGTTTCTGGTGTGCCTAAGGGACGCAACTCTGCATAGCGAATTGTGGCACCTTAGACGACTGGGCCACCCTTGCCCCCCATATGTGGGATGATTACATTTTCTGCTGCACATCTTTAAGGGCACCAAATTTGCATGGACCAATCAAATGAAACCTAATGATTGCTTTACAGATGCCGGCCCTCATTTCAACAGCCATGTGGAGATGTTAGAGTGAATATTATCCTACCCTATGAAATTCTCTAGAGTCAGGATGATTCTCCCTTGTGAATTTGAACCCATACCTGTGTGTTTAATACTATAGATACTATACTCTAGTGTGTTTAATCCTATAGATACTATACTCTAGTGTGTTTAATCCCATAGATACTATACTCTAGTGTGTTTAATCCCATAGATACTATACTCTAGTGTGTTTAATCCTATAGATAATATACTCTAGTGTGTTTAATCCCATAGATACTATACTCTAGTGTGTTTAATCCTATAGATAATATACTCTAGTGTGTTTAATCCCATAGATACTATACTCAAGAGTAAAATTCCCCCGAGATAATATTTAAGTAGGATATAATCCTTGCTTACAAAGACAGGTCACCAAGATTGCTGGAGCCTAGTGGTATAAGGGAGGTAACTGTAGATAGAATGGTCATTGCTCTAACTAGGATGAGGGATATATTTTTGATAACTTTGTTCTGAGATCCGCCAACTTTCACAAATGTGGAATAACACTGAACTAATCATTTTTGTCAAAGAATTTCAGTAACACTTAGAACTTTAATAAAAACACTTTCTTTTGACTTTTTCTTTATTTCCCCTGACAATAAACACTTTCAAGTAAGAGATCGATTCCTTATTATATTGAGTAAACGGTTTCGTAAAAAATTAAAAACGTAAACCAAGCAAAAAAGATCAGAGCCTAAATACTTGATTTGAATTCTTCAACATTGTTCGATGATGGGATCACTCACCAACTGTTGGCTCCATTTGCTGTGTACTGGGCTCTATAAGCTTTACACTTGTTGGCTGATCACCATGGGGGGACTGGATCATGCTCCACCCATCAGTCGGGATGTCCATGAACTCTGTGACAGACTTGACTGGCTTCGGAACCTTCTGTTCATCACACAAGTTGTTCTGAAAGTCCCCAGTGATGTTCTGGGGAAGGGCGTTAGATGAAGTAGTGGAAAATAATTTCCTTCGAGCTTGTGATTCCTCCTCTTTTAGCCCTGCCTGGGAAAGCATCTCGTCTTTGTAGCTGTTGTCCATCATGGTGTCTCCTACATCGCCATCGTTAGCAGCCATGTTGTCAACTGAATAGCAGCCATCCCCTGTCACTGAAACAATATTGGTATTTTGTAGGCATGAAGTGGATGAATACATCTCGGTTAGAAATCTTTTGGATTTGTGCTCAATTGGTTCATTATTTTGACTGAATTAATCCCTAAATATTGACCAAGATTTGCAAATAATATGTATGGTTCTTGTGGTATTAGTTAAACCCTAAATGGGCCCCATCCTTAAATTGGCTTCAGCCAAAGCCAGGATAGGGGAGATAACTCTCACAAGCATGCTGCTGGCTGCAAACACTTGACACTAGCCACACTCTTGTACAGCTACACTTACAGTGATTAAACCTAGTTAACAAACAAAGACATCATTGTCATATCGCCACAGTTCTTATTGCAGCATTTTCAGCCCATCCTTAAACACAGATATGTTGTTTTAAATATTTTCTTTCAAAACAGTTATTTGCAGTATATATGTCGTTGGAAACCTCCTTTAAAATGACAATTAATAAGTGTTATCATATTGTAGATAATAACTGGTTTATTGTTAGTAAAGTGCAACAAATGTACTCTCGTGGCATAAAGTACATTGACCCAGAAGAGATATGGTGCAAATGAGTACAAGGTCAGGGGCTATAGATTAGGGTCACGAGTTTCTTTTGGCCTTAGGTCTAGATGTTGCTTTGCTGATGTTCTTCATCCCACTGCCCTGGGGCTTGTGGCAAAATTAGAAGAAGTACACCACCACAAGGCTCTCTTGTTTACATGACTTTTCAGGAAATATTATCTTAGATCAGATCCATACAAAGGGTAATAAAAATATGGAAACAAAGCAACATCATTTTCCACACAACAGACATCCACACAGCATGTACATTAAATCTCACACTGATACTTGCAAAACTGGCTAACAAGAGGACCAAATTTACATGTTTTACAAAGGCTCAAGTTAAGCCAATTTAAAAAATACACAACAATATATTTCTGCTTATACAACATAGCTACTGCACATCTTATGCCATGGTTCATGAAGAAATGGCTTCATAATGACATTTTTCCAAATGAATGCTGTGGATGCCATTTCTTCTGTAATGCCCTGCTCTGGCGGCCATGTTTTAGAAACTCATCATAATTATGTATAGGAAAGTTACATGTATAAAGTCCACATCAAGCTAAAACTTCAAATGATTTATCATATACGATTCTGTACACCACATCCTTCCTGCAAAGTTTTGTTTCAAAACAAGTATCTTAAAATTATCATGTTGCTTGACATCCAATATACTTTGGCTGTGTAACATCAGGGCTGTGTCTGAGAAATTAGTAAAATCTTACCTATTATGTCAAGAAAGTAGGTCTGTAATTGTCTGTAATGTGGTTTGTTTGATGCGAGGACAGCATGATTCTCAATGTAATATGGTTTCATAGTTTGGGTAATAAACATTCAGTTTTCGAGATAAGAGATATATTACTTTTGCCGCATCGTCAACATTAGCCACAGTAGAGTGAGTGAGCTGGATTGCAATAGCTTTGAACAGTATTCCAGTCATATCACGTCATATCAGCTTCATGTGGGAGGAAACCCTAAAGTGATGCATGTCTCACATGTTTGCAACTTTGGCCTGGGTATGGTGCTGACAAACCTAGAAACATAATCTGGGCAAACTGGGATTCAACCCCATGATCATAGGATTCTCGTGTGTCTATGGGATGCAATTCTTCCCAGCTAATTTGTTTGTTTGTTAATGCCGCACTCAGCAATATTCCAGCTATATGACGGCGGTCTGTAAATAATCAATTCTGGATCAGACAATCAAGTGATTGACGTCATGAGCATCGATCCACCGACCTGATCCCATTAGTCGCCTCTGACAACAAGTGTAGTCACCTTTTACGGCAAGCATGGGTTGCTGAAGACCTATTCCACCCTGGATCTTCACGGGTTCCCAGCTTATTATGGTGCCTTAGACAACTGGGCCGCCTGTGCCCCCGTCAATATTGACTGCAGGTTATGCTGATTTATAATCATCAACATCTATGCAAAGTTTCAGTTCAATCAACTCAAATTTGATTTTCTGTTGATTAAAAGGGGTTATTTGTTGATAATGGCATGATTACATCTGACCCCCATTCTGGCGCTATTACCTCTGAGCTATTTAGTTTCCAAGAACATTGTCCACAAGAGAATGTCTTTTTCAGTTCCACATACTGTACAAAGTGCTAACGTAGCTGACAACCCAGAAGCACATCCAGAATTTGGGTGCAAATGTGTGTTCAAATTATACTGGGATATGATCCAGACAAACACACCACTGTGAACAGATTCAATGTCAAACTTGTTGCCATAAAAACGGCAAAATTAAAAATTCGAAAATTAGACAACGTGGTCTTTGTGTGTGCAAAGTTTCATTAAAGAATACTTATTAGTTTTAGAGATATGGTCTCGACAATCACACCACCTATGAACAGAATCAAAATCAAACTTGTTACAATGGAAACAGAAAAAATAAAAATTCCAAAAATCTTTAAAATAGCAAAAGGCACCACCACAGCCCCTGGTTAATACATATACCAAGTTTGGATGAAAAAATCTTTCAAGCTTTTTTTAAGTTATGCTCCAGAAACGAAATACGGACGAACGGACAGACAGCCCACATGATGACTAAATCCCCCTACAAGGGGAATTGCCTAAACATATTTAACTAAATCAACCAATGAGAATCCTGGCATTGGGCACTATAGTATGTGACAAGTTGTGTCCCTTTGCTTGAGTCAGCATCCATTATTCATGCAGATAATGATCCTATTTTGTTGTGACTTAAACCACTAGTGTTTGTATTTTCTTCTCACATCACAATTTAAGTGTAGTTGTTCAGTGTGTGACATAGTTTTCCTATTGTTTCTTTTTGGGAGGTAGATATAAGAAGAGTGCTGAGACTTCTACATGAAAATAGAAAAGTTTCTCTGTCATATTTTTTTCAAAAGAGACACATTTTGTTTTTGTAGAAAACAGAAGATATGAGGGGGGCCAATTTTTCTCCACCAAGAGTACCAAGAAACAGAAATGGATGTAACTGAACTTGGCTCTTTAATCCAATATCATTATCAGTGTCGTTTGTGTTCTTTTCATGGATAACAGAATCTTTTTCACTTTACACAGGCAATTTGAAAAAATAATTGATGCACTGATGCCCAAGAAACATTAATTGTTTCAGCCTAAAATTTTCCATTGCAGGTAAAAGCCATGGCCAGTGACTCTGCTCTGATATAAACCTCCAAATTTCAAGATGTTTATAACAGCATTATCACAGTACACACAAAAAACATTAAGAAATAGCTTTCATTGTTGGCCAAAAAAATGAAAAAAATTCAGAATCATCATGAAATAGTTTTATTGAAAACAATAATAAATACACATCTATTTCATTATGGTGTTGCTACTTTGGATGTAGAAATCTATTCACAATTTTTTTCAAATCTGATAATTCATCCTGCATGTCTGATAACTGTGACCTCAAGGACTGTACTTCATCATTACGCAGTGCACAGTGCACACAGTCTACTTGATCACATGTCCTTGTATTTCCCTTAAAACTGTTCTCAGGCAACTTGGGAGTTTGATGTGACTCAGACGACAGATTGTTGACAGGTGGGCAGCGAGGTGATTGGACGTCTATTGCGTGGGACATTCTTGATTTTTGATTGGTTGGTTCTGAATTGCCATGGTAATGTTTTAGCCTATCAACAGCCTCTTTCTTCTGACCTCTAGAAATTCTTGTAATGTTGCTGGGAGAAGCCTCTTGCTTCTGACCACAAGCTATTCCTGTAATGTTACAGGCAGAATTTCATTATCAATTCAAATATATACAATTAAGTTTATTTCAGCCCAGGGACTACTGTAATTTTCTTCTTGTTTAACAGATACATTTGACAATATGCAAGGGTGGGATAAGGGCAGTGTTTATATTTCTGTTTACATATGATCTTTCACAGACTGTGAACATATCACATAGTGGTTAAAACTGTGCTCTGAATGTGACCATAACAGTCGGTCTTATAGGCAAAATAACAAGGTGAATTGAAAGAATGACATATGTGAATTAAGATGAATAACTGTATGTGTATTGTTGACATAAACAGCTAGGCTATGATAAAAACATATTTACCAGGAAATTAAAAATTTGTTTTCTAAATAAAAATTGATGAAAGGATGCAACCATTTTTCCTCGTTAGTATTGAAAACAGAATTACAGAAGTTTCCTTTATATACCCACTCTAATAAGCGCCCACGTAAATATTTGCTAATACATGTATATTATTTCATATTAATGAACAATCCCAATTAGCACCCCTTCCGATTGATCAATGTACAAAATACTTATTTATTTGTGTATAATACTCACTCATGTGTGTTATGCACCCTTAATTATGGGCAATTAAATTCTGGAAAAATATATCTGTCGTATATAAACATTTCAGGCTGTCAGCATAAACCACAAAATTTATCTTTCAATTTTTCCACCAAATAATATTCTAATAAGAGCCCCCTATTTCTAATTTTAAGAGCACCCTGGGCGCTTATTACGTCGAATACGGTATTTGAATATTTACGTGTTCAGAGTAACCTACCCTTTTACAGTCCAGCAAAGGGAAAATGTTCAGAGTAAAAAACAAGAATGCCACCAATGTTGCTCACCGGGTACATTCAAACTGAGCAGAATGTTATATGTGGTGAAATCTTTAGCCATCAAGTAAGGACAGTGAATCTTCTAATTGTCTATAATGTGGTCTGTTATAGTTTGTTTGTTGTTTAACGCAGCAATCACCAATATTCCAGCTTCATGATGGCGGTCTGTGAATAATCAAGTCTGGACCAGACAATCCAGTGATTGATATCATGAGCATCAATCCCTGCAAGTGGGATCGATGACATGCATCAACCAAGTCAGCGAGCCTAACCACCCGATCCCGACAAGCATAATCGCCTTTTACAGTAAGCATGGGTTGCTGAAGACCTATTCTACCCCAGATCTTTACGGGTCTGGTCTGTTATAGGACAGTATGCATGGGCGGATTACCACCAAAGACAATAAATAGATCTTAATTGTGCACCCCCCCTTTTCAAAAAATCTGTATCCGCCCATGGTATGATCTCAGAGTATTATGAATTCATAGTTTTTGTAACAGATTTCAATTTTGCAACATCAACAACAATGGCCAAAGTTGAGAGCAGATAAAGATTATTCTTATTCGTATTCTTATTTTTATTCTTAACATAAAGTTTCAGCTTGATGACTTTGATGTCCATTAACACCTTTGGACAGACATTGATTACTGGGGGCTTATCACTCCCCTACCTTCCATGGGCGCCTCCACAATGGTTCCCATGTCCATATCATCCTCCAACTGTTTCTCTGAGGTGCTCTGATGTGCCAAGTGTTCTGTATTATTAGATGAGAAAATACACAGTCATCAGTCATCAAAGTGTGAATTGTAGCTGAATATATTAGAGCAATTGATGTTATTGAGTGACAATTCTATTGTTGTTTGTTTGTTTTGTTTGTTTGTGGTTTAATACCGCAATCAGCAATATTCCAGCTATATGACAGTGGTCTGTAAATAATAGAGTCTGGACCAGACAATCCAATGATTGACATCATGAGCATTGATCCACGCAGTTGGGATCGATGACACGCATCAACCAAGTCAGCGAGCCTGACCACCCGATCCTCTTACGGCATGCATGGGTTGCTGAAGACCTATTCAACCCAGGATCTTCACGGGTCGACAATTCCATTGGATTTGCCATGTTTGTTATGATGTAATGGGACCAATATGTTTTTTATTCCAACAGGTTCATTCAACTATTATAAAATGTTACTGTACATAGTACACAAAAACTGAAGCAAGACAGGTTTAATTCAAGTCGTTCACATAACACTTCCGCTATCTGCGATGTTGATGGATAGTAGGGCTGGGACAAGTCCATATTTACTACCCGGGTACCCGACCCCCTATTAACCGACTCTACCCACTGCAAGTCTCAAAAGTAGGGAACGCTAAAATGTCTGATTGGGAATTGTTTTACCGCAGCCCTGGCTAAAACTATTGAGATACATGTATCAAACAATCAGATCATGCGTTCACTGAAGTTGACTGAAGCTTTATCTTTACTCAGATATATACACGTCAAAAGGAATGTGTGCATCGTTGCGAACATTAGCAACTTGTAGTTTATCCACTGAGCTATAGTGAGTTTTTGTCATTGAACAATATATCAGGTGATTAACCATGAGTCTGGGTAGTCCTATGGGTTACCGAGTCCTACCCAGGACCAACCCGACCTGAGTACCCGAGTTGACCGTCCCAGCCCTAATGGATTTCAATCCATTACCCTAAAATAATGACAGTTTCACACACTGTAGTAATTATGTTATACAGGTATGCATAGGTATATGTCTAGACCTAGGATGAAATTGGTTGACCTTACTCACTTTCTACAAATTCAGGATCCACCTCTTTCACAAGGTTAGGGTTCATGTCATACATCACAGCCATGAACACATTGTACCATTCTATTTTCCGTCGGAATACACAGTGAAGCAGCGTCAGCACTGCCTCGAATCGAGAATAATCACGGGAGATATGTCTTATTTCACTTTCATCATTTTCTGTCAGTATCTCCTTGCTTCTGAGATGATGCATCATTACAATTGGATCCAGTCTCTCAGAAATAGGCTTAGAAAATATTTCAATCAGTTTCATATTTTCATTGTGATAATCATTTATGCTGCCACCTTCAAGAACCGTTTTAACAATTTCTTGTTCTGAAAAAAGAAAAAACCACAATGATTTGTAGTAATTGAAGTCTGTTTTTTGTCAAAGTAATCTTGTTAAAGTTTACAACTAGTGTGAAATAACAGAGCAAATGGGTGTTGTTAGTAACATAAAATTGCAAAACAATATTGCCATTTTTGAGATAGCTGTACAAATTGCAATATCCAGTGGGCTAAAAATAGGCTCTAATATCATACCTCCTCCTTTTGAGTACTGTATTAACAGTAACTTGTTTGTCTAATATTTTTATATCCTTCTGCCCAATAAACACAAAGTTAACAAAAAATATTACGCCTATATATACACCTAGATAGATGCCTCCCTGGTTTCTGGAGCAAAATACATAACCTGTCCTTAAGCATATTCCATACAAATGCTGCATTTGTACAACTGATTGTGATAAGTGACATTGGTAAATTAACACAATATTTCAGTATGGCATCTGACTCAATGATTTATATAATTCAAAAGAAGTTAAGGACCACCCCATTCTTTCATGCTATGACAGATCAACTATAGTAATATGAATGAATCAGGTGGTCCTATACATGTGCAGTCACTGTTCAACTCACTCACTCACCTGCTTCCCCCAAAGCATCCCTGAAGGATGCATATCGACCAACCTCATCTGATACTTTAAGTTTTTCAAAAAACAATGTTGCTGACTCGACTAGCTGGCCATTTCTCTTCAGCTTCCGAATACGTGCAGCTGATTCTGCAAAATACACAGTGAAAAGACATGATGTCACATTCTATGTACCATCTATAACCTTGTTCCTGGGATTTTTTTAAAGTGTGGCACATTTGCCAAGAGATGGCATGGAGCATAGTATTCAGTGTGTTTAGTTCCGTACTCTCTAACGTTCATCCCATCTATCCTTCCGATACTTAATATGTCTGATTAAAAACTGACAGCTAATGAGTATCGTTATTCATCCTAACGAGGCAAGAGTGTCAACTAGACTTTGAAATACATGTAGGCTAGTGGACACTCTTGCCTCACTCGCCTAGACTTTGATATAGGCTAGTGGTCACCCAAGGCCTCACTTGCTTTGACTTCGATATCGGCTACTGAACAGGTAATCAAAAATATAATTCAATTACTCTTTTGGAAATTGAAGAATTATGGAATTTGGAATAAGTCAATGTATCTATACACGATTACCCAAATTACGTTTCACAAAATTAAGTTCATGCCTCAATATTACATAAGTACTCATAGAAATGTAAGGCACTAGTCATCACCATGGGCAACATCTTGACCTATACTGAGATTTGGACTAAGGATCCTTAATGCGTAGTATATCAGGTTTACACAAAATTAGCATTTATCAATGACGTCATTACCTCTCAGAAAAGGCATATACGGTAGCAACTCAACACAGTCAAGATGATGAACTAGGAAAGGCTTGTAGACTTCGATCGTGTGCTCTAGATGGTCTTCCAGAGTCACATCTACCGGACTGTCTGGGCTGTCCGCCATTTCGCCTCCACCGTCTAGACTTATCTGATGAGATATTCAGCAGATTCGACAAACGAAAAGTCGGGAAGCTAAGCGGTATCGGTCATATTCTCAGTTGAGCGCATAGAAAAATGCCAGTTTCAAGAATCACACTGGGGATTCCCCACGGCTGACAATTCTTTATCCAATCAAAATGCTGGATCTATTTTTAGCGCCACGATTTCAACGAGGTGATCCTTGCACGATTATTAGGTCTGTCATCAGTTACCCAAACAAAACGAAACGTTTGATAAATTTGCTTTTAAAAATAACAGATTATGTAAGAAAGTAAAATCACTCAACAACAATGAAACAATAACTCAAAATCAGTTCTTACCTGAACACTTTCATCAAGAAAAAATGTATGCTCCCCATGCGAGTCGAAACCGAAAGTAGCCCTACCGAGAAACTTTAGGTCGTAACACGAATCTGTCTGTAGACGTCTCCTACAACTAAAAGAGGGGGACGTCTTTTTCATAGAAAAATCTGTCTTGATTTCTTTGGTTGCGTTTTATATACAACATGTTAGAATTCTGAAAAAAAATTGCGAAACAATTTGCGTTTGACGGTAATGTTATTTTTGTTGGAAACGTCCCTAAAAGATTTTGGATTATTTAGTAAAAGGACGTGTTTTTTCAAACATTAACATGTTTTGTATGGTTAAAAATTTGTTTGGTGTTGTTCAATATTAATTAATCAAATCAGGTATAGAGGTAACACGTACTAACCGCGTATGTGTTATTAACCATGATCTGGTGTTCGTTTAAAGAGGGGCCATGCAGGATGACGATCGGAACGGTCTAACGGAACAATTGATTTGGTCAGAACCCAACCAGCTGGTGATCGACGGCCCATATGCCTGGTGAAAAAGGACCACTGCCAGTCAAAACGGACTAGTGAAATATCAGATTGAAAAAACACCCCAATGTTTAGGTTATGCTCACTGTGACCTTTTTAACAGAGTGATATACATTCACACACATACATACTTATAAATACAATAACATACATGCAAGCAATGCCTGGATGCCTATGCACTCATCTGTGACAGTAACTGCATTAGGGAGAGCTCCCCCATCCCTGTACACAGTAAATATGAGGGACAGGGATAGACAGAATTAGTTTATTAAAGTGTCACATGTTTACGAGCATAGTGTCACATGTTTACGAGCTGTATATATATATACAGTCAAGTCTTGTTAATCCGACACTCGTTAATCCGACAATCGGCTTTATCCGACACAAATGATGGGAACCCATTAAATCAGTGCTATTTAGACCCGCTAATCCGACAGTCTCGCACTCCGTCTCCGACACACCTAATTTGCAACGAATTGCTGAAATCACTCATTAATCAGTCTCGTTAATCCGACACAGTGATCAGCGTACCCCGTGGTCATCTGCCAGCGAGTACACAGCCCCATGTTTTTGTATATATATATATGCAAATCATTTTACACTGTAGATTAAGATAAATGTTATTAAAATGCAGATATAGGAAACGTTCATATGTTTGAAAGTACAAATAAAAATTGAAAATGACTAAAATAATAATATTCTTAATAAGCATAAATATATTTAACAATTTTGCAAAAGCCTGTTAAACATATTTCTTATTGTAATAGCGATACTTTTTAGATTAGAAATAATATGATGCATTGTTTTACATTATGCAACTTTGAGACGTTGACGAGAAAGATAAGTTACTCCGTAAATACACTCCGTATGAGAGAGTCTATGTATTCTTGAGAAGTACTTTGTATGTGACTAAATAAATTCACTCTCATTTTCCACGGTCACGTTTTGTCTTGACCACTGTGCCGTTATGACCAAGAAGGGAAATGCTGTGCAACGTTATTGATAGGAGGGATGGAGATGGCCAATGAATGGGTAAAGGGTATTTATCTGACAATAGAATGGGGATATAATACATATAACACACACATCTTTTGATGGGGGCCGATCATTTTTGTTCCTTTTCATAACACATTTTCTTCCCGAACATCTACCAAGTCGGAGAATATTGTTATTTTGTAAAACCCAAAACAGATGTATAGGTTTTTCACGAAAATCGAAGAGCACACAAACTGTTCACGTTTTTAGACTTCGAAGCATGGAGTTAAAACTTATTTCAAAAGCGACTTCTTATTGGAAAAAATTAGCAAGTGGTTCGCTGTGCCTGTTCTGTGGGTTCACCAATACTTGGCGCGATATAGTTCACACCATCCCACTGAATACTATTAGTGTTCGGTAACTGATCAATTGGGCAGTGTTAATATGTTTCATTCCTCTTAGTATGTCATACACACCCTGAAACAAATATATCCAATACAACCCATGCAAGTCTATAATGTTTGGCAAGTCTAGATTACTGCAGTATCAGGAAAATGACAAAATGAAGAAAGTCTCTGGGATTATTTAAATTATATTGTATAACTATAATTTAACAACGTTTTTTTTCTCTCTGTAAAATATGTTCATTTCAGAGGAGACTAGATGTAAGTCTTCATTCCTATGTAGGCCCGGCGTAGAATAGGCGCCCAGCATTCTATAAATGGGTGACGAGACCGACCAAAGTGACATTCCCAGCAAGTTATATTCAAGAAGAGACCATTTCGGTCTTTGATTCAAGTCTTTCCATCACCACATCATTTCTGCTAACTCAATTTTTTAAATGTATAAACATCTAATGCGTCTAATGACCCTAATTTAAACAGAGACAGTGTCTCTCATTCGCACGTAGTACTAATTAAAAATAAATGTCGAGGCCTGGACAGGAGACGGGCATCAGACAGTAGAACCTAGTCTGTCTTACAGACCCTGATACAAATATAACACATACAGCCCATGCAAGTCTATAATGTTTGGCAAGTCTAGATTTCTGCAGTATCAGGAAATGAAGAGAGTCTCTGGGCTCCTTTTTATTATTATTTTAAAACATAATTTAACAACTGTTTTCTGTACGAGATGTTCATTTCAGAGACTAGATGATGATCTAACTAGAACCTACAGTCCCTGATTGTCTGTCATTTTACCCCGAGTGTTTGGGATATTGCTTATATGTGAACACCTTGTTTGTCTCACCCAGAGTCGATTATTTACAGGATGTCTTGATATATTTGGCATATATCTTACTGCGGATTAAAATAAAAAACACGATGTAGTTTTACATACGTTGTAGCAGAAATAATATTTTCCAGGATTTATGCATTATTCTTTTTATAAATGCGACATGATCTAATGGAGAGGACTCCCAAGCTGGATTCCATTTGATTTAACTTTCTAATTGTTTCAGTTTAGTGTTAATTCATGTGTGGATTGCCTGTTTATAAGGTAATCTCTGCAGGCTATTAAAACAAGCGCAGTGTGTCGCAGGCTGTCGTGTTTGGTTTGCGCACCAACTTCGAAATATGCCAGCTGCTGTGCACGTGACACGTGGATGGCTATTAATAGTAGTGGTCACGCCCCGGATGTTAACTGCATTTTGGGTAGAACAACATGGAAGCACACTTGAAGAGTTGTAGACTTTTAATTGTCTTTGGTCTCATTTTGTCTGTATTTGGACAATGGGAATCCCAAGATTACTTAAGAAGAGAACACACATTGACGAAACCTTATCAAGGTATGTTGAAAACGTTTTAGTGTTCTTTTAACGGAAAGAAGAGATAGATCAACAGGTCATCGCGTTCCTTGAATCAGACCCCCATATTTCGCTCACTTCCATTTTCCGCTATTTACGTCCAGCCACTGATGAACGTATACTGTCACACATTACGTTTCCTTGTAACTGATAAACTCTAGCAAGTTTCCATTATATCAACATGTTTCATTGAACAATATTTCGAAGCACCTCAAATATGCTTTTGATAAGCTGAGCAGGCCATCTAACTAACTCTCTCACCGTGATGCACCGATTAGGTTGGTTGATGTAATTCTTGACTTGATTGGGTTTTCACGGTTTACTATTTCGAAGTAATCCACATTACCTTACGACTCAATTACCGTCGCCACACGAGTAGAGGAGTATCGAACTTGCGTTGCCAATAAAGACAAGATACTTGAAGGAAGACAGCTACTTTGTTCTATTATGATGAGACGTTTTCCTTATAGTTATACCATTGTCAAGCAAGAGCGACTCTCTTTTCACTCTTGCTTGACAATGATATATGGATCTATACCCAAATGATAATAATAGAACATGATAGAATAAAGAAGTTGTCATCCATAAAATATCTTGTCTGTACTGTTATATACCAACTTCTAAAAATGCCAATCAAACAGTTCTCATTGCAAACTTGAACATTTACCACGAGACCCGGTAGCAATCACTAATAATTAGTGCTCTATTAGATGGTGATGAACCCCTAACTAATGCATATGCGCAAAATATAAACAATCATGTACACATGCAGGCCATTGCAGGGTAGTTGTGGATGTTTATAAGAAATATGAATTTACTTCGGATAACATTGGATTAACTTTGAAATGCATTTGTTCAACCATGTAAACATGTTTAAAGAGGTGTGACATATAAAACTTACTCCAACCTAACAATTTGGAAATGGCTGCCTAATACCAAGAATCAGAACATGCAGAAAGGGGTGCTTGATTGAAAAGGGTATCTATGACCTAAGGATAGTAATTTAGGTAACCTGTTAACCTAAACAAAACTACCACTCAAGGCACAACTGGAATATTGGAGCTATTTATCTGCACCTAAAAAACAGCAGTATTGCCACCATGTTTAGACATATTATAAATAGCTATGTGTACAGTCAACTGTTGTTAAGTTGCGCTCAAGAGGCTGAGAAAAAAGTGTCTACATATATGCTTATCCGATTTGCTATTATCTGACCATGCTGACAAGGATGTTTACATTTTCTGTCACTTGCTAGCTTACACCTTTCACCAGTGGGTGGGGTGTGTGGGTTGATAAGTATGCACATATCAAGCATTGTTTGAAGTATAACATGAATACAAACTCTCATCATGCTAATGTTATTATTAACATGATACTTGTCATAAGAGGTGAGTAACTAACGGGCTCGCTGACTTGGTTGATGCATGTCATCGTTTCCCAATTGCATAGATAGATGTTCATGATGTCAATCACTGGATTATCAGGTCCAGACCCGATTATTTACAGACCGCCGTTATATAGCTGGAATATTGCAAAGTGCTGCATTAAACAACAAACAACCAATTATTATTTACGTGATTGACATTGATGGTTTCGGGTTTGAAATTCCATGTAGTAGCCAATGGCCCACTTCAAAAGGTTATGAGACAGTTGAAATGGGTTTCTGGTGCATGAAGCATCTGAAGGGCACTGTTTGATGACCCTGAAATACTTGGTAATATATTTGTAACCAAAGGTGTGAATTTATATGGCCAGTGATAAATGTACATTCCACATAGTAAACTTAACAAAACACAGAAAATAACATATATATAAACACATGACATGCTTAATGGACATGGTGATTCACAAGATCTGTATAAATGAAAAGGTAGGGGTGAACTTTCTAAATAATAACTGTATATTTTCTGGCTCATGGTGAAATAACATTCACTGAACATGGTGAGTTGAAGAGCAATCAATATATTTTTCTTTTAGCTCACTGTACATGCTGTACATTTAAATTCCAGAAGGCATACCTAAACTTCTTTGTGAGTATTCCAGGGCTTAACCTTGGTGTACACAAGGCACACTCAGTAATACATTTTGAGGGTTCAACATGTTCAAGGCATGAGTATAGATGTCCCAGTTTGGCAACCTGTTGATCCTTCACTTGATTTCTGTGATATTGCCAATTACTGCAAATGGTCAGAGACTTGGACACATTAAGCCTATTGACATGATCGATGGGATTCCAAAGTATATCTGGAGGAAAGCACCCTTTGACACCCTAAAATTTGAGTATATTGCTTACCTGAGCAGAATATCCTGTGCCGGTAATCATGGTAATATGTAACATGCATTCTTTTTGATAAATTCAATGATTCAAACATCCATACTTTTTAGCGTTGCACGGGACTTGTTGTTCATGTTGTTTATATTATTTGCATCTATTCTCAATTAGTATGCGTATACATGTATACATATTATACATAATGCAAGATAATGTGGTATATTCATCTGGTGAAAGTCTAAGTGTTCTGTGGCTGCAAGTGAAGTAAAACATATTTTGATAGCTGACCATGTCCCTCTACCAGTGATAAACATGATTAAGTAACCATTGTGTTTCTCATTTTCTCACATTTCCTGGCATAACTCTTCTCACGTTTCAACTTGTTCCACGCTGTATGTGGTGTACAACACACTGATCATGCACACATTTAGTGTGAAGTAAGTCAATAAATAAAAATTGATTTGTGGAAAACAAGTGATTCCATTGTTTATACAAATTCCCCAGCATGCCCGGTGTCAGATGTTTTGCTGTTAACACTCCATTGGCAGACACAGTGGCAGGTGCACCAGCTGCAGGTCTGTTCTGATGGTTATCTCCATGGAATAATGAAATGACAGTATTTTTGTCACGATTGTCATCAGGATACACACATAGAGCTTGATTAGGGCATTCAAAATTTTCTACATATGTCGGTATCTATCATATATTTAAAAACATCACAACCATTAACCATTGTAAACACTGATTAATGCCATGATATGAGTGATAAAAGTGACTCATTTACATACAGAAAGTCTCTAGCCTTTATTATGCTTATGGGGATGTTGTTGTTCAGTGTAATATTGATAAAATGTAGTAGTGTTCACTGCTATACTCACGAATCATGGGAATAGTCTGATTAATGTTTTATTATTGATATGATTGCTTGTGATGACTATAGTTTGCAGCTAATGAATTGCAAGCCTTATTTGATATGCTAGCTACAAAACTAGTTGCCCATATCATCTGGGAACTGTCAGTGTTTACTATCTATTTGAACAGAATAGAACCTGGGAAATCCACTCAGCCTCCGAGGCCTGGGTGGCTGAGTGGGTTAATTCACTGACTTTGTGTGCTGGCGATTAGGGGCCTCACTCTGGCAGTGTGGGTTCGAATCCCCGTACGGGACTCAACCCCAAAAAGTATGAGGATCTGTACAAAACTTAGAAAGTGTTATCCCAAATATAACATTTATTACATTTGTCCACTTTCTAAATGGCATTGTGTTGTCAAAGCTTTTACTTCACGACAAATGTAAGTTTGACACATCAAACATGATTAATATGATCAAATTTCGACACATCAATATGATCAAATTTCGACACATCAATATGATCAAATTTCAACACATTGGTGTTTGACTATACTTGTCCCCACCAATAAAGTTTGAATCTGATTTTGAATATGGCTGCCACATCTACTACTATTCTCATTGGATTTTACATGTTTTACAAATAACTTGTTTTTCCTGTTTGGGAACATTCTAGGGGAGCATAGTGAGTTTGGTGTTGCATATGTTTCCTATCTGGAAACCATTGACATTCAGAACCAACAAGTTCGAACTATTTCCATATCAATAAAACATAGAGAAAACGATCACTAGCAAAGCTTTCTGTATGCTTTTTGATTCTTCCTGACAGAGAGAATGGATAACTGAAGCTGCTTCCCATTTAAAAGATATGTGATCGTTCACAAATTTTCATTATCAAACCAAGTACTTTATTAGTATGATTTTTTAAGTTTGAATGCCTCGATTCATCATGTTAACATGTTTGTTGCGCAATTTGCAATTCTGGATAGCACAGATAGCAAGAAGGGCCCATATTGCAAATTTAAATGCACCATTTCATAGTTCTAATGGCTGTTACTTGGACATTTTTTTTTCATTAGTCAAAGTTGATTTCAGTGTTGCCACCCCAGCAGCCATACTGAAAAAATGTTTTTATTGCCATTCCCATGTTTGTACAACATGTACAATATGTAATGAAATTTGGTAATTTTGTTTTATTAAATTGTGGGTCTCAGGATGTACATGGAGTGCAATATTTATCTATTTTTTACCTTGACTATTAATTAATTATCATGCTATTGTTTTCACCCCAAATGCTTATTTTTTTCTCTGTACACATTCAGTTCTCAGTATATATTGGCATGTTTTTATATTTTTAGATACTTTAATGTCAGTGCTGTGAGAAACTTTTGTTTAGTAGCTATCTTTGTTGACATTATAAACTGTTGACTACATATCTATGTGAGCTATAAAGCCATGGGACTATATTTGAACATTAACATGATTGATAGGATCAATGTGTTGGTATGTTGTGCATCAGTTGTGTGTGACCATGGTTGCAGGTTCAGGCATGGCAGTGCCCCTGTGGGACTTCCAGGGGTCAACACTCGTGACCAACCAGTACATCCGACTGACCAGTGACCACCAGAGTCTGCAAGGGGCCATCTGGAACACTGCTGTGAGTTCCTCAAATATTGGGGGAAATAATGAATACATAATTTGCCCCCCCCCCCCCCCCCCCCCAACACACACACACACACACACACACACACACATAAATTTTGCCGCAGTGCGATGATTTAAAAAAGAAAATGACATGTTTAAAGATTTATCATACTTTATATATATGGTGATATGATACATACCATTCTAACCATGCTAACAGTAATTATATTGTCACAAGTTTTTTAATCTTCATGGATTTGGTTGCTGTCAACAATAGGCCACAACCTGGAGGATAAACATGATAAATTGCATGTTAATTATCATACATATATTTTTATTTCAACTGGTCAATTGGGTCATTGATCCTGAGTATTATTATGTTTTCCAAAGTTGGACCGGCTGTTCTTTATTTCTCGGTTGACAATGTTGACAAATTTCATTAATCCAAATAATTCACTTTGCATTATTATATGGACATTATTAGGCATTACAATGATAAATCATTCCAATTTCTTAATTCTACATTTCTCTCATTACCATGATTACTATTACCATGATTACCATGAACATGAATTACATCAATTGATGCTGATGTGCATTTTGTTGCCTGGTCCAGACTTATTTGCAGACTGCCATCAAATAGCTGGTATATTGCTAAGTACGGCGTTAAACAGTGAACCGAAGTGGTAAACGCCCGAGACCTGCATCACTTCGGGCTTTCCTCCCACATGAAGCTGACACGCTGTGATATAACTGGAATAATGTTAAAAGCAGCGTTAAACCAAACTCACTCACTTACTTAACATATGTTTAATGTGTTTATAGGGCGACTAGGCTCGAACAAATTCAAAACGAATTTAGTTTGATTATGCTGTTACTGTTAGCCCAAATTTACACCGACAGTATGCATGGTATGTCTCAATACCACACATAGCATTGCATCTATTCCCTTCATAACAAGTGCAATGCATATGGAGCAGGGTCCCCTTTCAGTTCAACGTTGTTTCAGTTTAACATGTTTAAGAAATCATTCTTGTATTATATGCTACTTTGCAATTTTTTGCCCCTAATCCCATGGGTTTGAAGTTTGAACTGTGTTGACCGAGTACTGTGTTCTCTCGCTACCACATTACCTTATGGGTCCCAATAATTGATGAGCTTTATAATCGATCAGCGGTTTAACTGTGGTGGAGTCGTACTAAGACAAGAGCACTGGCCAGTGTTGGGAATAATGTTATTGAGCGAGACAGCTTTCTTCAACAGCCATGCTATGTGCAGAGCTGGGAGCTGCATATTCAGTTCAAGGTTCATGGGTCCGGGAAGAACCTTTTTGGAGATGGAATTGCTATCTGGTACACCAAGGAAAGGATGCAGATGGGTATGTAACAGTAGAGATACTTCCCTTGAATTAACGTGATCATGATGATTTTTATCTCCCGCCACGAACTGTTCAAAAACTATTCAAGCTAGAGAAATGAAATTTTACACACTGATGTTACTGGTCACAATCTCAAATGAGTTCGAAAATTGGTGTCGTACATTCATTTTTATCCCCCCGGCATATAATGTGGGGGGATATAGCGATCAGCCAGTCTGTCTGTCCGTCCATCCGTCCGTCTGACCGTCTGTCCGTCCGTAATCATTTCCTTTTCCGGGGCATAATTCGAAAACCATTCAGTGTATTTGATGGAAACTTGGCAAATCTATCAGGCACATACTGAAGTGGTGCCTTTTGAGATTTTGGGATTTTTCTAATTTTTATTTTTTTAAATTTTTATGGAATGAAGTTGGACATAGACTCAATTGGGGATGGGGTTCGTTTCTGGGGCAGAATTCGAAAACCATTCAGTGTATTTGATCGAAACTTGGCAAAGCTATCAGGCACATACTGAAGACATGCCTTTTGATATTTATTTTTTTACGAATTTTTATTTTTTACAATTTTTTTGGAAAGAAGTTGGACCTAGACTCCATTGGGGAACGGGTTTGTTTCCGGGCCAGAATTCGAAAACCATTCAGTGGGTAAACAATGTATGCTTCTAAAAGAACATTCAAGTGTTGACTCATTACATACAGAATTGCACATTTACTAGTGGTTACTTTACAGACAGCTGCCGGGGGGATATGTCATCTTTCTGATGACTCTTGTTTTAGAATTATGGCCCTTACTCCATGCTTTTCAACTTATTGCATACTGTGGGAAAATGTGGACAAGTGTTCTCAGCAACTGCTGAAATTTCATTTATGAAAGTTTGCATGCTTATATACATGATATTAGAGATACTTGTCAAGACTGAGTTATTATTTCCAGAGAAGGGGCTTTTTGTGTGTATTAATTTCACATTTAATAAATTTTTCTGATGACATAATGTTACCCTTGTGGCTATCTCTTTTTAAGGACTTTTATTTATTTTTTATATTCACTACTTTACACATGATACATGCTATATGAACCAACACAATTCTAATTTGCCCTATGGCGGAGGATGATGACAATGTTGTGTTCTTCTTCTTTTCTGTTTTTCTGTGTGTAACAGGAAAAGTTAACTCTGTTTGTAATGAAATAGGAACATTAGCCTTAATCATGTGTTTAATGATGTTTATGTTTAAGAAATATTTTGTGATCTCCTGTGTGTTGACATTCATGATATAAGCGTGATAAGGTACCATTTTGCTGATACAACACTATTATCATGAGGGGGCAAGGGTGGCCCAGTCGTCTTAGGTGCCACAATTTGCTGTGCGGAGTTGTGTCATTTGGGCACACAACAAACCTATGATTGTGGGTTCGAATCTGGTTTACCCAATGATGTTTCTACCCATGAAGAGCAAGGTGGAAGAGGTCTTCAGCATCCCATGCTTGCCATGAAAGGACTATGCTTGTCGTAAGAGGCGATTAATGGGATCAGGTGGTCAGATTTGGCGACTTGGTTGTTGCATGTCATCGTTTACCAATTGCATGGATCAATGTTCATGATGTCAGTAACTGGATTGTCTGGTCCAGACTCAATTATTTATTTACAGACCACTGTCATATAGCTGGAATATTGCTGAGGGTGGTGTTAAACAACAAACAAACAATTATGTTTGTAGGTTTGTCATCACCATGCCCATGCTTGTGGATCTCACGAAAATGGTAGATGTCCTGCATCACTTCGGGCTTTGGTCCCATATATTTAGCTGAAGTGCCCTGATATAACATGTACAACAAGGAATACTGTTAAAAGCATGGTTAAACCCAACCCACTCACTCACTTTTATCATGATCATGACTATTCCAGCACTTTTCTTATAGTGTTGACCCAAGTAGAACAAAGCAGTCAGAACTGATTTTCTTGTATTCAGGGATTTAGCTAGGATTATAACCTTATTGCCCTTTGTAGGCAAATTGGAAAAGAAAATAATTACTTTGTTGAAGCTAGTTGATATTTTCCTAAGTATTTTAGTATTAAATTCAGTGCAATAATGTAAGAACTTAGCATTAAAGCCTGTCATCTTTACTGGTCCTGTTATCAGTGGTGTACAAGTCACCTCTACCAAGCCATAACATAAGATGACTATATTTACATGAACAGATGAACTGGGAAACTTTTAATTCCAATTTTGGAAGTTTGGAACATTTGCTGCAGACTTGGGTCTGAATATTGGCCCAGGCCGGTCCAGATAAATCCCCCTGCTTGTATCAGTGTGTGTATACTGGTTATTTGAATTATGATATCTTTCTACATCAGTTATCACTGTTTTGTGATGGAAATAAAATGACTGCTTCTCTGACAGGTTCTATCTTCGGCAGCAAGGACAACTTTGTTGGACTGGGCATCTTCCTGGACACATACAGCAACCACAATGGGCCACATAATGTAAGGCATAAACTAATGCAGGGATAGTAATACGTCATAGCAAATTATCATGATTCTTTAGAAAATAATCTACAAACATGAAGGATTAAGTATTTCCTGTCCTGAGTGTATGGTTAGTCTGGAGCTTTGGTGAGAATTAAAGAAAATACTGCAGTAATAAAACTTGCCCTTATCATTCTTATGGGAAATATACCTCATTAAAATACATGATATAGAGAAACCAATCTGTGCCAATATCTTTTGAGTCTACCTCCCAGAACATCGCTGTAAGCATAATTTTCAGTAGTGTGTAGTGTTATCATCACTGATCATATGGATTATTATTAGCTGAGCTCACTGGATTGAACAGCTTCGGGCTAGTGGCTAAAGTCAATGACTGTAAAACCCCATTCATGCCTTTAGCATGTTTAGGCCACACTTTTTTATTTTTATGTTTCATGGATTTATTCCAGCTTTTCCATACAAGGTCTGTCGAAAAAAAATAAATGTTATCTATAAATTCCATGTCTACATCACTATCAGTGATTCAAGAAGCCAGCTGCAGTATAAATAAATAAATGATTGACATAGCTATCTATCTTTATTGTACAAGAGGGACTATATTACGAGCGGGAAACAAAAATAAAAATAACTATTTTTATCTGGAATTTCTTTTCTTTTCCAACTGCTTTTCAGTTGGGGCATCAGCATGAACCGAAAAAAAGCAAATGTGTGGCCTTAGGGGATAAATTTGGGCTGTATCATTAATGCTTCATGGTGTGGGAGCTATGTATCTTTGTATATATGTTGATTGTCCTTTGAACAATCCTCTGTAAGGCAGGGTTTACAGATTGTTGACATACATTATCATTGGATTTATTTTAAGGAAAAAGAGGGATGTGTTTAACCATTATTTATTTAAACCAGCAGTCAAACTTCACATCAAACTTGTATCAAACTTGAATCAAACTTGAATCAAACTTCAGTCTCTTAATCTGAACAGGTAATAATTTGAATACTATTGAACATGACAATGTTGGAAAAAGTGTCATTTGTAGGTGATATACACATGTGTAATCTTCACAGTGCTTTAAATAGTTTAATAATCTGAACGAATAATTGGATTGGCAGTGGTGTGTTGCTGACATAGACATTGTTTTCAGCACCAGCATCCGTACATCTCAGGGATGGTGAACAACGGCTCCGAATCGTACGATCATGACACCGACGGCACACACACACAGATAGCAGGGTGTGAGGCCCCGTTCCGGAACAAGGACTACGACACCTTCGTGGCCATCCGATATGAAAATAATGAATTGAAAGTGAGGAATTTGTGTGTTAACATCAACAGAATCAGCATCATCACTTCTCTGTTCAATATTTTATTGTGTTATGTTTATTAACATGCATGAATCTGGTATGTACAATTAGTAAATTATAACATCCTAACTTATTTTAACACTTAACAAATTCGGACATTTGCAATGTATTGAGGTGATGGTTTTTAACTGGGGACTACAGGGAATTGCAATCATCCAATGGGACTCCTGCTGTCATGTATTAGACCATGTAGACTGGTATGAGGAACAATGTCAACATAGTACATGTATAAAGAATCGAAAGTCTTGTTCTGACATTTTAACACTTGCACCAGTGCAAATAAAACTTTATGAAACAGCCTGCTTTACTTACACATAACCCATGCTTGGTTTAAGAGGCGACTAACTGGATCGGGGTGTCAGGCTTGCTGACTTGGTTGATGCATGTCATCGTATCCCAATAGTGAAGATCGATGATCATGATGTCAATCACTACAGTACAAGGCCTGGTCCAGATTCAGACCGCTGTCAAATAGCTAGGATGTTGCTGTGTGTGGCGTTAACATATCATGAATAAATCTAACACATAAAATGATTTAGGCAGTTCAATCACATGTTAAATTAATGTTGTTTATTTAATCAATGAATATAATGTTATGCTTTGTTATTCAACTCTCTCTCATGCATTCTTCACTTTTGTTAGTATATCTTGCTATCAGTCTTTGTGTTTGTGAGAAGTGTGTATTCAAACAGTGGATGCAGCTGGAAGCTGTTGTTCCCATTTCAGTAGTCATGGTAACTATATTGTCTGGCATAGAAAACTTGGCCTTCAACAAGACTTGATTCCCAGGGTGCATATGATGACACTAAGTGAAATGTCTTAATATCATTGATTATTTTGAAGTGAGGTGTGTGTTATTCTAAAACAATGTAAGATTCGTTAACAGAAATATTGATGGAAATTTTAAACAACTGCTCCAAATCCCCATTAGCATGATTAAAATGCATCACAAATGTAATAGTTGTATATCCTTAATCTTTTGTAATATATTGAGGGGGCACTAAAGGTCATGTCATCTAAGCTGCTGCAGTTTGCTGTGCAGTGTTGTGTCCCATGGGCATACCACTTTGATAGTGGGTTTGAATCCTGGTTCACCCCGATTACGTTCCTATGTTTGTCTGCGCCATACTTGGCTCATGGGTTTCACCACTGTCTGAGACCTGCATCCCTTCTGTCTTTCCTCACACAATAACCGACACACCTTGACACTAGTGGGATGCTGTTCAAAGCGATGTTAAAACCAACTCACACTCATATTTGTTGTCCTGTTTATCATGTTCATGGACATAGAAATAGTTTTTTTTATCTTATCCTGACTCATACTTATTGATTATCTCTCTCTTTTCCCAATAGGTAATGGAAACTTCCTGTGCTGTTCCCAGAGAACAGAAAACAGCTCACCCAAATGCACCCTTACTCTGCGGATGCGCACTGGAACCACATGACCAAGTCCAGTAACTCATCACTCTCTCTTTTTCATGCAATCTGTGTAGCTGGGAATATTTTGTGTGTGCACCATAATCCACGCCATCCATCAAAAAGAACTGCACTGCAGAGGATAGATGTAATTTCTGCACGCCCTTGGGGAAGGTAGATTTTGGTAATTATGTTTTTGCAGTGCTGAGAAAGAAGATGGATCGAAAACGACTTGAGTCATCACGCTTGTTATCATCCAAAGAGATGGCTAAAAGTAAAAAGAGGCGAGAATCTACACCCTGCCCTTCGTCAGAGGAAGGGAGAAAATTTGAATTAAGTATTATTCTAATTACTCTCGCTGAAGATAATGCAGTTACCCCTCATCTTACTTCCTTGTCTACTAGTAAGAAGTTTAGAGGGTCTAAGAATAAATCTACTGAAACCTTCAGTCAGGCTGTTAATCTACAACAAATGGCTGAGAAAAAGAGTGCTGCATCATCTACATTGAAGCTGTCTTCCCCTAGCAGAGAGTATGTTTTCACAGAGGTTACTACCTATACAAAACAACTTACTTCATCATTATCCACGGAGGGGGTCCAGCTGTTTCTTCTACTCAGAAGAAAACCTGCGCGCAGACAATTACGTCCGCACAACCCCAGAGGTTCATGCAGGCGCACTGTCATCCAATCAGGCTACAAATACAGACACAAACCTCAATAAGCCTCAGACCTTCGCGCAGATACCGGCCTTCTCGCAGCCCAACATCAATCAACCAACATTTACCCAATCTCTGGCGTTCGTGCAGCCTATTACTAATCAAGACAAGTTGACACACGCCAGCATTTACGCAGGCACCAGTCTTCGTGCAGCCTTCAGCGTTTACACTGCCTACTACATTTGTGCAGCTTACCTTTTTCTACACAAGGTACATTGCCAACACCTGCTATTAATACAGATATGATAGCAAATATTACACAACAAGTCGTAATGGCTATGCAACAACAAATGTGTAATAAACCTGGTGCTCAGTGGACTTCGTCTTCACACAATAGCTCGCCGGAGATTGATGACGATTACTCACTTATGTAAAATCTTATCGCAATGAGGATCAGAAAATTGCACAACTTGATATCATTACAAGACATGCATTCTTTGGACTAGCGATGACACGCGCTATGAATGAAGCTATAATCTATGAATTAAAAGAGCCTCAGAATGACCATGAAAGAACGGAACTTTCAGCTCTCATCAATCAGAAGAAAAACCAAGAAATTATTTCTGATCCTATAAGTTCAGTGTCGTGAGGTCTTACACTACTACGGCGACAAAGCAACAAAAATAACTGCAATTGGTCAGATACCTATACCAAAGAATTATTAAGACAACCTTGAGAGGGCCCAACCATTTTTAATGGTAACATACGTAAACACAACTAAGAAGGACTTCATGACTCCAAAGATCATATGCTCATCAAGTCTGTTCAGACTAGGAATTCTATGTATCGTCAATCCATTCGGAAAACCCAATTCAAAAGCCGTTTCACAGGTATTAAAAAAGCTAAAGAAAAACGCTTGTACAACTACAGAGGCAGGAAATCGTCTTCTTTTCGCAAGTCACATGGCAGGTCATGTGACTCTGGTCTGGGGTGCGGATTGAGGAGATCCCACAATTACCAGTGAAGATAGGCTGATGAGCGACTGGAACTTCACCCCCCCCCCCCCCCCCCCCCCCACACACACACACACACACACACACACACACACCCCACCACCCCCGAGCTGTTTATGTACAGCATTCCCCTGTAGGCAGAAGATTGGCAAGAATTTAGAAGAATTGGGACATTCTCGGAGAATAAATTGTATCTAACATTCCAAGAAAGGGCTGCATCCCGACTTTACTCAAGAACCCCCTGTAATCTCACAAGCCACCGAAAATATGTTATTGGAAAGAACTGTTACCTAGGTTAACCGAAGCAATCAATTCGCTACTCAACTAGGGCGAAATCAAGATAATTCAACCAGATTTACTAAGACCAGGTTTCTTTTTGCCGATCTTTCTGGCTCCCAAAAAGAATTCGAATGAAAAGTTTTGTTTGATTTACAACATGAGGTGATTCAACAAGAAATAACTCCCAAAACGGGAAAAATTCAAAATTCATTTGCTGCAATTAAAACAAATGATAAGATGGCATGACTATCTGGAAAGCATTGATCTACATGATGCTTACCTACACATTCCCATAAAACAGACTTTCAGGAAATATTTATGTTTCCTCTTCAAAGGCCAACATTACCAGTGGGCAGTTCTGCCCTTTGGAATTTCCACGGCCCCATAGTTATTTACACGAGTGACCAAACCAATTATGACATTTCTTCACAACAAAGAAACTCGTTGTTCTTTCTACCTAGCCCATCAATCTACAGAGCTACTCAGACTACAACTGAATTTTACCCTGAAATCATTAACACAGCTGGGTTGGTTAATAAATTATCAGAAGTCCGACTTACAACCATCTGAGGATCTCAGATTTCTCGGGATCAGATTTCTAATGAACCAGAATCAAATACTAGTACCAGAAGATCGGTGAATAAAAATCAAGACTTACTTGCCAGCAGCAGTTTACAAGGAAATCTCAGTCAACGAATGGCAAGTGATACTAGGCTTACTCACGTCCTCCCAAGCGTTGACCGTCCGAGGCAGACTACACTTACGCCCTATTCAGAGATTTCTAAATCCATACCTAGAGTACTAGGATTTAAAACTGCAATTACTACAAATATTCAGACACCTTTTGGTGAACAGGGGCACGGGTGGCCGAGTCGTCTAAGGCGCCGCAATTCGCTGTGCAGAGTTGTGTCCCTTGGGCACTTCAGAAACCTATGATAGTGCATTCGAATCCAGGTTCGCCCCGATTATGTTTCTAGGTTTGTCAGCACCATACCCGTGCTCGTGGGTTTCACCAAAGTGGTAAACGTCTGAGTCCTGCCTCACTTCGGGCTTTCTTCCTACATTAAGCTGACACGCCGTGATATACCTGGAATACTGTTAAAAGCAAAGTAAAATAAAAAAGTAAAATGGCTAACGGGATAAAACTTATTAAAGGTCCCGAGCTGATAGCCCTTCTCTGATCCTTCAGACTTAAGACCAACAGAAAAATTTTAGAGCCCCACCATGGGACCTTAATATAGTCCTACAACACCTAACCAGTGATGCATACGGACCTCTCCAACAGGCTGACTTTGAACACCTGACGGAGAAAACCCTCACAAAGTAAGAGCCTCAGCCTCGACTTTGGCACTTCTTGGCAACTGCTCCCTTACAACTATTTTGGAAGGCTGTTTCTGGAAATCAGATACAGTTTTCGCCAATCACTACCTGAGAGACCTTGCTACAGAAGACTTAGCTGGTATTCACCAATCGGACCATAAGTTGTGGCACAACAACTCACGAATCCTACCAGAGGACACTAGAAGATCATACTCACACAATATCACGTAGACTTGTTGACGTCAGGTTTACTGTTCCATAACCAACGACCGAGAGTCCATGCCCCCTGTTTCACTGTGTAATTCAGCACATGAGTGAGAAACGATTGTGTTAAGATTATTGCTCTTCTCTTAACACTTCAATCGTTTAAGGTGAACAAGATTCTAAATCTAAGAAACCTTCTAAATCCACAAATCTGTATATGATTTACTTCCATTTTTGATACTCACAAAAAAGGAAGGTGGTCCCCAATAAAGAATTTACACAGAAGATTAACATCGTTCCCATGGGATTCATAGAACAGATCAACGTTAATCACACATACAGGTGGAACCCACCACCAACAGAGAGATTCAAGCAATAAGTATGAGTCAAGATAAGATAAAATATGTATTTTTTAGAATAAAATATCATTTATACTTATCCTGACTCATACACATGAGTACCCTCCCGGCCTTCCCCTCTTTCCACCGATGTGTTATGGACCATTAAGTAGGAAAATAGAGAGAATGCTGAGTTATTTAGCTTTGTCACATGGTTCTTGTGTGCATGCACGGAGTAAGGGTGCGTTTGGGTGAGCTGTTTTCTCTGTTCTCTGGGAACAGCACAGAAAGTTTACACTACCTATTTGGAAAAGAGAGAGATAAGCAATAAGTATGAGTCAGGATAAGTATAAATGATATCTTTACTCTAAAAAACACATTTCTGTGTTTCAGGTATCTTCAGATATTGCCAATAAGAATGGCTGGGCTGAGTGTTTTCAAGTGGTGGGAGTGAAGTTACCTGTGGGCTATTACTTTGGTGTGTCAGCTGCAACAGGGGACTTAGCAGGTCAGTGTCCGGTTCATGCTGAATCAGAACGCCTCCGTGGTCTAATGGTACAGCATCTGCCCGGAGAGCAGAAGGTACGGGATTAGATCCCCTGTCGCATCATACCAAAAGACCTTAAAAGATGGTTCTTGTTACCAGGTCTGGCGCTTGGCATTAAGGGGCTAAAACAAGGACTGGTCGGCTCGGAGACAGTATACTGTGTCTGATAGGGGTATTCATGTTAAACTGTGGTATGGTATATCGCATGCACATCGCTATGTAATTTTGGACCCAAACGTTAAACCCGATTTCACCTCCCCTCAAACTGAATCAATTTTTTAGCATCTTATCACCCGTCTGTTTTGTCTTCATGTTTGACAAGTGGACATAGAGGGCCATGATGTCTAAGGCACTGCAATTAATCTGTAGAGTTGAATCCCTTCGGCCTACCAGGATTTTATGGTTGCTGGTTCAAATCCCTGTTTTGCCCTGATTATGTTTCTAGGTTTGTCCAAAATAGTTAACTTGTAAATCTGCATCACTTTCAGCAAACTGCCTCCCCATAATATAACTGAAGTACTGTTCAAAGGCGACTATGCTTGTTGTAAGAGGTGACTAATGGGATCGGTCGGCCAGGCTTGCTGTCTTGGTCGTATCCCAACTGATGCTCATGATGTCAATCACTGGATTGTCTGGTCCAGACTTGATTATTTACAGACTGCCATCATATAGCTGGAATATTGCTGAGTGCAGTGTTAAACAACAAACAAACCAACAAACTGTTCAAAGTGTTGTTAATCTAACGTCACTCACTCACTCACTCACTCACGCAAAGCCTAGTGGTTAAAGCATTGGCTTTTTGTGCCAAAGGCCCAGCTCAATTTCTTACATGGGGAAAAGGAAGTCAATTCTTGGTGCCAACTGCCATGATATGGCTGGAATGATACCAGCTTGCTGTTGTGAAACATGTGAAAAGTGCTATGAATCTTACCTCACTCACTTATGACCCATGGGACCTATGGTAGTGATGGACAATTATGAAAGGGAGGTAATTCTTCACTTTTTGTCCATTGTGACTATTGTTGTGTGTAGTAAATATGTGTTGTCATGGTAATGTTTTAAAGAGACTGGTGGGGAGGTTAGATCTGTAATGTTATTAGACTCCGGAACACCAATTGTAGATGAAAATTTGGTCCCATTCTGTCCCATAATTACAGAAGTTGCTGGGCTGTTGGGTAGTTTAGTGGTTAAAGCACTCACTTGTGACACTGGATGCCTGGGTTCAATTCCCCATATGGGTGAAATGTGAAGCCAATTTCTTGTGTCTTGTGTCTTGATATAACATTATTGCTAATAGTGGTGTAAAATCCACCTCAATCGCTACAGCTACATCATGTAGTGTGTATTGATGCAGTTTTGTTTTCATGTTGTAAATAAACTCTTTCTTTTATTTCAGATAATCATGATATTATTTCAATGAAATTTTATGATTTGGATAAAGTAACAGATTCAGTGAGTATAACATTGTTCACCTGTTTCAGTTATCTCAACAGACCCGTAAAGATCCGGGGGTAGAATAGGTCTTCAGCAACCTATGCTTATTGTAAAAGGGGACTATGCTTGTCGTAAGAGGGGACTAACGGGACCGGCTGGTCAGGCTCACTGACTTGCTTGATGCATGTCCTCATCTTCCAATTGCGTAGATCGATGTTCACGATGTCAATCACTGGATCGCCTGGTCCAGACTCGATTATTTACAGACCGCCATCACATAGCTGGAATATTGCTGAGTGCGGCGTTAAACAGCAAACATATAGATAACTTAATATGTATTTACTCATGTTGTAATGGGGATGAGGGTGTGTGTCTGCGTGTGTCTCTCTGCGTGTCTACGTGTGCAGAGTTGTGGTCGTTTGGCATGCCTGAAATTGTGGGTTCAGGTCTTGGCGGTTCACCCTAATACTTTGTCTTGGTTTGTCGTGCTCATGGGTTTCACCAAACTAGTAAACGTCTGAAACCAGGATCGCACATTAAGCTGTCATGCTGTGATATGACTGGAATACTGTTCAAAGTGGCTTTAAGCCCATGTCACACTCTCACTCACTGATGTCGGTTGGTGTGTTATGCATCACTCATGGGTATTGATCTTAGCTTACTAGTTGTCGAGAAATGACGATTGTGCCAGAAGTCGCTGGATAATAAGGGTGTTATTATCTGTAACTCAACCCTTAATGTTAATGCAAAGCTTGGATGTAAGGCCATTCATATTACCCTGTGTGTTTTCATCTCTATGCTCAGCTTCAGATAATCAGGATAATTTAGTCCTTATTATTCTCTTTTCAAAGTGTTCAACAGTTGATGTATCAGTGTTGAAAGCATGGATGGAGAAAATAGAGGGCTTAAACACATGTTAAGAAAGGACAAAAACAAACAATAAGGAGAATGACCTTGCTTCCTGTTTTTGAATATCCTATGGTACCATTATAATACATAGCAGTTTTTTTTATGATATGGGAAATTTATTCAGTTTTAACACTCGTGACTAATAGTCAAGTGAGCTTATGCATCATGCGCCGTAAACATCTCTGACGATGAGACCATTAGAACATTCAAGCTGAAACATGGATGTTTGTTTTGTCTTTGACAACAGTTATGTTTCTTGGCGTGACAGCAATATAGGGCTGGTGAGAGAAACACAAAACAAAAACCAGATGACCTAAAACTAAAAGCAACTGTCTTACTTTTAATGTTGTCATACTGAAGAAGGAAGGTTTGTTGTGGTTTCAATTACCTGATTTGCACTGATTGTAATCCTTGGTCTGTCTTCACTATCTCAACCTAAAAACAGTATGAACATTACATGTTGTTTTCCTGTGAAATAAATGTCAAGTTATTGGGACTTTGCTCATTAAATTTTATTTATTATCTTGTCAGAAATTGTTCAATATTTAATCAATGACTTACAGCTACAGCATGTACAGTAGCACAAGTCTTAACAGTGTTAACATGTCCATGTCTATTTTTCAGGATAAGAAAACTGAGCCACCTTATACCGGCTTGCCAATGGCGGAGCATATGGAGGCCCCCAGAGGTTAGTGTCTTGTTGAGCTCATTAGAATCACACATAGGAACACACCGAGAACACAAATATTCCCTAGATCATACACCCTTGTGGGTGTAGATGCCATGGTACTCATAAACCAGACGTTTTAAACAGTATCCACAACAACATAATAGTGCAGCCTTTATTATATTCCATTCAGAACTGCCCTTTTATGTTCATGTTCTGGGTACATAAACCTGATGTGCTGACTATCTTCTGAGGCAAGGAAGTCAACTGACTATAAAAGTCCAGTTTCCACCCTTGCTGAAATAGGCTGGGATTCCGTACTTACATTTTGGCTGGACAAAAGCAGCAGGCACTTAATGTCATATATTTTGCTGAGAAATGCTATCTTCTGTCTACAGATCGTGTTGATGACAACAAAGGCTCGTATCTCCTGGGCAGTCTGACTGGATGGAAGCTGTTTGTTGTTATTTTCCTCATCCTCATCGGCATCAGTGTTTGTGGCATTGTTGGATTTGTTGTTTTTCAGCGCAACCAGGATTACTCTCGAAAACGATTTTACTAAACCTTTTACCTGGTGTATATTTATTTAATAAGTGGATAATAGTAAGGTTTTGTCAGAATAAAATTTTTTGTCGGATGATTACGTATAAGTTTGTGATGAAAGTAAAAAGAGTACGAAAAATATTTAAAAAGAGGTGATGGGGTTTTTAAGCACCAATTTATTCAAAATGGTTTATTTTTGTATATTTGTATATTTGTGGGACTGATGAGTGATAGTATGCAGGCCATGCATTATTGGAATACATTTTGTATGCTGTATGACTTGAAAATATATAATGTGACTTCAGTCTAGCTATTAAGTTTCCAAGGCACATATGCTTGACAACAGGGAGCACTTCGTGATGTGATGGTGATGACTCAATACCTCTAGTATCCTGTGTGTTGAAAATGGGAGGGGTGCACAAGTTCCGAAATGCAAACACTTGTTTATTTTGTTAGAAGGCATTTTCTTACACATGTTATGACCATGTCCAAAACAATGAACACATCCAAAGTAAAATTGTATTCATAGTTGTTTATTTGTCATATTTAGTGTCATTTTGAAAGCCCTGTAATCAACGTAGATATATATCTCACTTCATGTATTTGGGAGTTAAAAATCATTCATGTCTTCATCTTATTAAGGGGGACACGGGTGGCCCAGTCATTTAAGGCGCCGTGATTCGCTGTGCAGAGTTGCGTCCCCTGGACACGCCAGAAACCTATGATTGTGGGTTCGAATCCCGGTTCACCCCGATTATGTTTCTAGATTTGTCGGCACCATACCCGTGCTTGTGGGTTTCACCGAAGTGGTAAACGTCTGAGACCTGCATCACTTTGGGCTTTCCTTCCACATTAAGCTGGCACGCCGTGTTAAAAGCGGTGTTAAACCCAACTCACTCACTCACTCATCTCATTAAGGATTATTCTGTGTTAAAATGGTTTTTTTACATTTGTGAGATCAAGATGAAAGAAAATAGGAAAATGTGTACAATTAATTACATATAATATGTCAGTTCCAACTGAGTGTAGCCTTGTTTCCATGACTACCATCAATGGAGCATCAGCATGTAACCCCCAAATTGTCCTCTTAACATGAATATTCTGGGCTAGTTTTGCTCTTGCTTTTGGTCAAAAGCATCATCTGCAGTTATCTGATGATTTTGTTTTGTTATTTTCTATTTTTTTAATGTGAGTATCATACATCATACTGTTTATGACCTTTAGAGCTACTGGTATGAAACAGTTTGACATTTGTAATACTGCTCACAGTGTCACTGGAAAGGTCCATAACTTGAATGCAATGCTGTGATGTTTGATGTTAAAGACTGTTTAGATTTAGTAACCATTATCAGGAACTAGGGCATTTTGTGTTTTGTGTCTACTTATGTGCCTACTCAAAATTTCACTCAGAAATTTCAGAATAAAATCAAAATGTAGTCTCACTTTCTTCCTTCAGAAGTGTAATGTTTTCAAAACAATACTTTTCCAATTAGTTTTCCTTATTTAAAGGTAACCAAACTGAAACTGTTTTATGATTTGGCTTGTGTTTAAGGTTGTATTTGTACATACTTGTTGAAGAGGAAAGATTTTCAAGCACTGTCCAATATCTGAAAGTGACACAATATCAAAAGCTCACATTTAACTCCCCAATCATCTTTGACAGAAAATAATTTTTATTTCAAAAATTAAAATTGGTTATTTTGATTCTATTTATTAAATTAATGATTATAACTTGAAAACTACTGCATGGATTCTTTTCAAATTTAGGACACTTTCTAAACTAATAGGAGTGGGGCTGTGCGAAGCTTGATTTTGATATGTGGATTTTCTGCAAAAATATGATTTTTTCTTTTCATGTTTTGAACTTAGACATATTTTTTACATCAACATTTGAAACCTTAATTGATTCTTTTGAATTGGATGTGTGGTTTCTATACCTTTAGGGGAGATGCAGTGCAAATTTTGATTTTGATAAGTGGATTTTCTGAGAAATACTGCTTTTTTATGTTTTGAACTTAGAAATAAATTGTAGTCGAAGTTGGGGGTGTTAGTGAGCCCTGCTCACTTTCTGCCTTGTTGTTCCTTACTCAGCTACAAGTAAACCTGTAGTCAATATATTTATTTGAGAGATTGCTTTTCCAAAACTTCACAGCATTCCAGAGTGTATAAAAATTGTAAGCCAGAATTGGAATGAAAAGTTTTTGAAGTTTCTGCCCATAATTAGTGAGCTGGGTCTCAAAAGTTTGGCAATACTTACTTAATTGGCCCTGAAAGTTAACCCCACATAAAAATATTCTTCTGCAGTGAGAACTGATAGTAAATTCAAGTTGCCTTGTTTATCATATGCAATGTTGTAAATAACAGTATGAAATGCATTTGACTTGTGTAACTTAAGTTGTATATGCCTGCTCTGTCATAGGTGTATTTTTATTGTAATAAACTGTGCCATATCTCTTGCAAAAACTCCTTCCTGATCTAATGTTTTGTATTCATATTTCAAACTGCAGTACATTCAGGAGATAAACATTATGTGTTGTCAGATTTGTGGGTGTTAATATACTCTTATTGAGTGTTCAATGGCCAGAAATTTCATTTGGAAGTGATGTAAGTGTTCACAGCAGTAACAGGGTTTCATTGTATAAGTGGGTGCATAGTGGATGGGGTAGGTGCTAAATAACACTCATCATAAGATGTCTATGGAAGTGCCAATATGATCATATGTAACCATGGTAACAGCTTATGGGTTGATTTGATTTTCTGAGGGGAACTGGTCTTTTGGATTTTTCTTAAGAAAAATAAATTGTTTTAGAAATTATTGTTTATTTTTTTAATTTTCTTTAGGTTTTACAAACAAAACAAGTTGTTTGCTGAAATTGCTCTGTGTCCTACAAGATGTGTTCTGCATAGCAAATATGAAGATCCGGGGTAGAATAGGTCTTCAGCAACCCATGCTTGCCGTAAAAGGTGACTATGCTTGTCGTAAGATGCCACTAATAGGATCGCGTGGTCAGACTCGCGGACTTGGTTGATGCATGTGATCGTATCCCAACTGCGTGGATTGATGCCCATGATACCAATCACTGGATTGTCTGGTCCAGACTTGATTATTCATAGACCGCCGTCATATAGCTGGAATAGTGCTAGCGTGGCGTTAAACAACAAACAAACAAACAGAAAATATGATTGTTCGTCTCTCTTCAGAGAAAATAATTTTATGCCTTGAAGCAGGGACTGAAAAAAATCTATAACAAATATTTAACACCCCATCCTGTATAGTAAAAAATAGGGCCCTTAGTGCAGTCAGAAGTCATAGTGCATGAGCATATCATTTGGGTATTGCACTAGGTTTTTTTTACCTTTTGGTGATAGCATGGAGATGAAAATAGGATGCATGTGTAAGGGGTACGTTTAATTTTTCTAGATTTGTTTGAGACTTTGTTACATGTATAAAATATGCAGAGACAGTGTGCCATTTATTGATGATTGAAATGTTCTGTGAACTATTTATTTGTCTGTTGAGTTTGGTTGTGGTCTTTAATCAATGAATGTCATGCATAAGAACAATGATGCAGTGAAATTGCCTCATGAATTGATATGTTAAATCGAGGTAACTTTCATTGCACTTACTCATGGAAAACACAACATATTGCGCAGATTTTACACAAAGTTTGTGTCACAGAAATTCATATATTCCAATTTTTAATAAATTTTTTAACCCTATGACTATCAACCATTTCTTCTGGGGGCTAATTTATGTTTTTTACTCGAGTAATAAGCAGTTATGTACCATCTGATTTTGATGAGTGTAACTTGATAATTGCAGTGATGTGATAAGAAAATGTTCAAATTGTTTTCTTGCCCCCCCCCTGACATTCATCAGCCTTCTCCATGTTGTCTGTGTTAAGAAATGTTGAAGTAAACTGTGCTCTGTAGCAGTGTCTTGTCAATGCAGACAAGTGTTGCCCTCTGTGTCATCATATGAACAGCTTCACCTGTAACAGGTGGTTTTCTGGTTTGTTCAAGAACTTTACACATGCACCTTCTGTAAAACCACAAATGAAACATTTCAGGAAAGATTGGCTTGAGATTTAAAGGGTGTATTCATGCAATACTGCATTGTCAAAGCAACTTGAGTCAGTTACCTCTGATTTTCCTGGATTAGTTTGAAGTGTATAATCATTTCAAGTGGATTATGAGCTTTATTAAGATGAACTCTACTTTCTCCCTGTTGCTCAGTGAGCCAATTCCTGTTCAAAATTCCATTGGAAAGACAAACTTTCAGTATTGTTATTAGGTCTTTTGCTCCAATTGAGTAGCATGAAAAGATTTGTACAGTGTATTGGTTTGTATGTTCCATGTTAAACAATGTGTTCAAAATATAGCCTCTAATGTGGTGATAATACATTTTAGAAGCATATTTGGTCTTTTGAAGGCCTACCCTTTCATTTGACTATTTAAACAGAACAATTCTTCCTACTTATAATGGTCTAGAGCTATCATTTCACCTATCATTCAGTCTGAGGCACTGCAATTTACTGTACGGAGCCGCTTCTTGTGCCAGAAACCCCATTTGTGACCAACTTGTGTTATTCCGGGACAAGCCAAATAGTGACTCGTGCCCCTCTCGTGGCCATTTTTGTGACTGGGTTCCGTCTAAGTGCAAACAGGCATAAGTAAAAGAATTGTCAACTAGTTGCGTAATGATTCACATATATTTCCCCCTGTGTCATACATATTCCAGATGTTATTTAAAACACATCGGGACTTACAGTATTTTTTACAGTATGACTGGACACATTTAGCTGTACCTAGCGTATATTTTTAGATGCAAGACATGGATAAAATCAAAAATTATTCCCAAGGGATTCTTTGATCGAAGTTCTTGATGTCATACATACATTCTGATGGGTTTGTCGTATTTTTGCACATAACTTTCATTGATGGGAATGAGTCTTCTTGAAGGTTACGGAAAGGGGCAAGTGGTGACGAATGCCAGAAACCCATGATCATACGTTCACATCCAGATTTGGCTCTGATTATGTGTTTTAGTTTCACTTGGGTGGATTACTAAACAGTTAAGACCTGCATCACTTAGAGCCTTCCTCCCACATCAGGCTCTCCATATCATTATTGAAATACATTTCAAGCAAAACTCACTAAATTTAGTTCCTGCAAATGAAATTTGAATTAATATGAATCAGTCAGATGAATCAGTTGATTCATATTTCATGTTAGTTAAACGTTTTTAAAGTTATTGCATTACTTAAGGATTACAATCAGACAGTTAATATTTCTGACTCACTAAACACTGACACATTTCAGACTGATTGATTCATAGGATATTTACCACTACTATGTCTTTTATGGAATCCTTTTCGGCAGATATTTGAGATTATATTGTGATTATTTTCTAGCGTTGACGTTTTATGCTTATGTGAATTCACCCACTGCGATACTTTCCCATACTTCCGTTCATGTTTGTTCATTTTTGTATATAGCTTTAAAAAACAGATGCTTTCATTTCAAATTGTATAAATAGGTCAATGTATGGAAATTTTAAATATCAATAGAATTACTACATCTTATCAAGTATTAAACAATAGTTCAAAATCTATAAATTTAAAATGATCAAATACTAATTCCTAAGACATTATTCATACCTCTTTTAAAGAAGATATTCCAAGATAGCATATATACAAGTTATAGCTTTAGTTCATGCCAATGGTAGAATATGGGTAGTAGAAATTTTTCATGTGAACAATATTTAGCAAATTTTGGAGAATTTCAGCTTCCAGGTAATAGTGCTTCCCTCAACTGCCAGTAGTGAAATCCAGCTCAACAGATGATATTTTCATATGTTTTGTCTTTGAAAACAAGTTCCTTTTGTACATGATTGTGGTAAAGTTGTATGAAAGTGGACTGAATGTTTTGCACCCTTGCAACACCTTGATATAGAGGATTTCTGTTGTGAAGCCGTGGAATGAGGATGAATGGATGGATGTCTTCCCACTGATGGGAGCTCGCCTTACAATATGTTTGTGTGAGCATTTGGTGACATTTGCCTGTAAATTGATAAACTGTACTCACCTGACTTTTATTTATTTAAGATAATGGGCTTATGCACAAAACATGTGTCAATGTTAACATGTATTGCCCTTCTATCATGCAGAGATAGGGATCACCAAAGTACTCCACCATTGATCATCTTCCAGAGGCAAGAATGTCCACTAGCCTTTTATCCAAATCCTGTTTTCACCCTTGCCACACCAAGCCCACTTTCCTGTGCTAAATATGATTGGACTATCGCACATATCGATAGTCAAGTCAGAGAACGTTTCACGTTTGTTGACAAGGCTTTTTAATCTTTTAAACACCCAAACGGTTGCCTATGTTTTTGTGTCAGAGATGAAATCACGAATGTTTTCATTTACTGTTTGACGAGGTCGTCGCCAATGGCAGTCAGCATTTTTGTGAAGCTCTACGAGATAAGAACAGCGATCTGATTGGATATCGCATTTTCATTACAAGGGGCACAACTCGTGATCAACGCAAGGTGGTGCCAGGGTCAAGAAAAGTAGCCATGATGTGTCAAGGGTAGAAACTAGGCTTTGATATAGGCTGGTGGACACGCTTGCCACAGGAAGATGTCCATGAATATTCTTTTTGCGTTGATACAATTTTGTTATATTTTGTTTGTAACATCATGTATCTAACCAAAAGGATACATGTATACATGATAAAGATATGTAATATGGGTTGAAAATGAATTTCTTTTGTGTTTTAAATAGGTCTCAACATGCTCAATCCATTTCATGTCTAATGGACCCAGGTGTATTTACTTTTCTCTTGTCATTTTCTTTACTAATGCAATATGGCTATAAACATGAAACATCAATGTCAAACATACATGGATTTTATTATATGGCCTTCTGGAGATATATCTTTATCCAGTAGGGATGGGTATTGGAGGTTTAAAGTGTATCACAATAGTTTGCGATGCACAAGGCCCTATGGTGAGACGTATCACCATATATGTATAATTCTAAATTTTGAATTCAGGAGCAACCTAATACATTAAGGTATGAATTGAAGTTCATAAATGTTCAAGACAAGATGCTGGTACAACATAAAGTTTACTCAGTCAATAAATACAAGCGATTTGGGGGCCTCGGATGCATGCTCCAGGGCCGCGAAGGCATTTGGCAAGTCTATGACATTAAACACATGATAAAAACCGCTATTTGAAATCACTTTATATATTGAGCATGAAAAAATGATATTGTGATACATGTCACAGAAAGAATGAACCTTAATATACCAATAATACTGGTAATAACGCACACCCTTAGTATCCAGACAAGGTATATTGTTGACCCCTCTACAGAGCTACTCCAGAAATCGGAAGAAGCATTGCCATACTTTGACATGCCTTCCAACTGTGTTGACATTTTAAAAGCTATTCGTTATGAAGGAGAATATTTGCATCTGATTGTATCTATCCAGCACTCCTGCAATTCAAAAGCATTCAATTTCCTAGTGATGTTAAATACCGTTCAGGTAAACAAAAACAAGCTTGTAGTAACTATGTGTGACAGATGTTTGGAAGGTGAGTTTCTGTACCTGGGTTCTGGATGTTTTGTTGAACTAAAGGTTGAATCAATAAATGCTTAAAGTTGACAATATTCATTGTTTTTGTTTTTTTAATTTTAAGATTACATGTATTATGATCATATCATATCTTAATAATACTTGTAGTATAATTATGGATAATAGGCAGATGTTCATACATATTCAGGCTGTTTGACTTGGGCATAGTTGGCTGAATGTGCCATTGTGTCAGAATGTCATGGCTTGTGCATGCTAATTATGAGATTTGTTAGATGGGTTTAACACATATTACGAGGGCTGAACAAAAAGTTCAAAGTCTGACTACTTTCAAATATGGGCGTAACAAAGTGAACTATTCAATGCAGTACACTGTTTGAGTAATTCATTGCAAGTGTATTTGGTCTGTTGAGGCTGTTTGTATATTAGTGACAGCCAGTTGAATGTGATAGGGGTCCAAATGGACACAGAAATGGCAAAGAACAAGTACCGAGCAGTACCGACTGCATGTCACAAGTGTATGGGAATGAGTGCCTTAGCTGTTCCACTGTTAAGGATTGGATTGCGAGTTTAAGGCTGCAAGAACAAGCCTTGATGATGACCTCCCTCAACTTCCATCAATGAAGATTCAATCAAGGAAATAGAAAAACTTATACTGTCAGAAATATGTATTACCATTGCTGAACTTGAGGAAGACACAGATCTAAGCCATGGATCCACTGAAACTATTATTCATGAACATTTAGAGAAGTTTCTACATTCTGATCTTCAGGGAAAAAGAACTGACATTGCCAGAGAAAATTTAGAGCTATTAAAGGAGGGTTTCGTCAAATTCAAAAAGAGAATAGTAACGGGTGATGAAACATGGTTCCACTACTATGATCTAGAGTCAAAACGTCAATCCATGGAATGGCACCATTTCCCTTCTCTGGCACCAGAAAATTCAAGTCTTCAAGATTAGTGAAAAATGTTATGGCCACTGTATGTTGGGATGCAAGGGTGTGATCCTTGTTGATTACTTAGAAAATCAAAAGACAATTACCGGTGCCTACTAGGCTGCTTTGCTTCATCACCTGAAAGATTCTATCAAAGAAAAGCGGTGGGGAATGCTGACAGGTGGAGTTCTACAGCTTCATGACAATGCCTCTTCCACACCTCTTGACGTGCAACAATGCGACAGTGGGTTCAAAGAGCTTCCTCACCCTCCATACTCGCCAAACTTGGCACCAAGTGAGTTCCACTTGTTTCCTAAACTGAAAGAACACCGTTGTGAAAAGCTCTATTACGACAACGATGACCTCAAAGCTGCTGTAAATGGATTTTCGGGGTGGCTTCAGAAAACTTCTTTCCGACTAGCATTGAAAATTTTCACTATCAATATGAGAAATGTATTGAAACAAAGGGAGATTACCTTGAAAACTAAAACTAAAAACTTTAACAATTGTTGGTTTTGATTGTTAGGCTCAGACCTTTTTGGCCAACCCTCATATGCCAACATTACTACCAGTAATATCATCAGTAAAATATCCAATATCTAATCAGGTAACCACTACATGGAATAATATTTCCAGTAAAAAGTCAAGCAGCTACATCTAACATGCCATGCCTAACAAAGTCTTCTGAATCATTTACCCAAATAAAGTCGTTTTTCTGTTAATGTGTAAAATGTCTGTGGGTGACCCGAAGAATGTCCATTGGCTGTGATATACATAAGAAGCATCTTATGTTGAGCTCAATATGTTAAGGTGAGCCGAAGTCTACATTTCACATTTTAGACATCTTTTCTGAAACAACTAGTTGTGTCAGTGACACATTATAGTTCAGGACTTCTCTGTTGTTTCCCATAGTCCACATTCTATTTGGACGCCATATCCACCAACACTTTGTAAGTTACCAGGTATTTTGGATAGGCCTGTGTGTCATTAAAGATGACAAACTTTTCAGGTTTTTTTATATCATCAACAACAGAATCAAAGAGGACTGCTGGAGTGGCCGGATCTAGAGGAGGAGGAACCCTCATTCCCTTCTTCCCCAGAGTGTACTCCCCGGTCAACACGTCCGCTAAGTAGATGTATTTGTAGCCGGCAGAGTCAGGTTGGTAGAACCTATCTTGTGTGGAATAGCTGGCGTCTTTTGCAAAGTAGACACCGTTTCCATATTGGGCGCCTGAAAGAAAAGAACATGATGTTTAAAGGAGGCTGGAGCTCCATACTATGCCCATGTGTCATAATAGCACTAATTACAGGGTCTATACTGTTACAAGGTGATTTCCAAATTCAAACGCAGAGTTTAACCCATCAATCGGTTTGCACAGAACTAAACTGTGAAACAAGTAAATGACCAAAACAACATCAATGAATAATCAATAAAATATATTTTAACACAGATTCAGGATTATAATCACAATAGGCAATACAATGGGCCATATGGATATGTCTGAGGCTGTATACGGACCTATTCCAAAGGATTTTGTATTTATCATTTTCCATGACAGCCTCTACATATTTCGGGTCGTACCATGGATGGACCTCTGTGTCAAAACCACAACCTTGTCAAAAACGGTAATAAAATGATCGAGTCACCCCAGCATGTCGCCTAAGATAATGTGTCTGTGCCAAAGCTGGGCATCCACTCACAATGTGTTGGACAGTCTCATTAAATTCATAATTACATAATCTACATTTCATATTCACATTTTGATGCAAAAGTGCACAAAACAATTCTGTCATGAAAAGCCCTAACGTTAATCAAACCACGTCCTCCCATAATGATTGGTAAATATATATAAGTGATTGAGGGAAGAGCGAGGTTGGTGGGATCTATTGTCTGACATGGTTCTTCGTGTGAGGGTGTCAATACCCTGAATTTCTTGTTTCGTCCAATCAACAACACCAAAAAGAATATGAAAGGACGGGTACAGCATAAGTATTTGTGGCTTTTACTTTATTGCGAGCGTTCAGCTCTGAACTCCAGATTTTCTTAAGTCTACATTTGTACTCTGCCCGAATAGAAATGGGTTCCGAAGTCACCACCTGCCCCTGTGAATACATCTCAAGTTGAGTTGACCAGTAATTCATTAAAGACTTGAGTAAAACATGTAGTCGCTCGGGGAGGTCAATACATTCCAGTGACTTCAAAATCCATTCGTGAGGTTCAGAATCATAAGCTTTCCTGTTGTCTGTCCAACACCTTGGTTACGGTGGTAAGTTTTAGCCTCTTTAAGGATCATTTTCTGAACTAGTAGTTGATCCTTACAACCCCAACATCCCTTTCTGGATCCTTTCTGCTCCATGTAGATAATGTCATTCGAATCGCAGTACGATGACACGAGATCTGTAAGACACGCTGTAAGTAGTTTGTACTGTGTGTTCAAACAAGTAATTGGGCGGAAGTTTTTAGCATCAGTCAGATCGCCTTTCTTTGGGAGAAGTATTGTTCACCCTTTGCTGAACAAAGGCGGAAAATCCCCTGCATCCACAAGAGAATTAACACAGTGAAGTAATGGCGTTTGGACACAAAGGAACAGTTTCCAATACCGGTTTCGAATACCATCAGGCCCTGGCGCCGTATTAGATTTGGACTTTTTAATGACATTTTTTAGGCAATCAGGTGTAATGAAACACACCAATGGTGACCTTATTTTTTCATGTACACTATTATTGTAATCCTCTACCCATGGTTCATCGAGGTTACAGTTGCCGCGTATAGACCGCAACTGTTTCCAAAACCTTTCACTGGAATCCATGATGGGTCTTTTCTCATCACTCTCATTCGTTGCATTTAATTGCCTGTAAAATTGTTTTTCATTTGATTTAAACAATTTATTTTGTTTTATGAAATTATTATCTTATCCCACTTTGTTTTTTCTTTCTGTCCAAACCTTTAACTTTGCCTTAAAGAATCAAGAATTTGATTGAGAATTTTAACTTTTGTTGTCTTGTGTTTTGTTATTATTTTTTTCCAAATTGATTTCTGGCGTTTTGACATAAATTGTCCTAAGGACCGAAGTTTTAAACAAAGTTATATCCAAGACACATCTTTCCTTGTTTCATCCAATTTAATTTGAAACCGGTTTTTCTTTTGATTTTTTTTTTATATTTCCCTTTTGTGGTTCATTTTCTTTGGGCACAGTGTTCAGCACCAGCATACACGCAACAGTTAATGTCATGCAAAGAGCAGTCCGCATTGAGAGTAACAGAAATAATGTCATTTAACTTTTGAAGTTGATTCTGTGGAAATGATTGGTTAATTTGTTTTCCGTTTCTCAATCGGTAAATCACAGATTTGATTATAAAATGTTATTATAATTATAATTATTATTATTATTATTATTATCCTTTCAATAGTTGCAGCCACTGACAATCACTACAAATATATTTACACTAACAGTACTTACACATAACAATACTTAGATCTGAAATTAGTACCCGACATTAGAGCACGCCAGACAAAGTGTGTGAAAAGATGGTTATGATTATCTTGTGCATTTCTTGTTGACACCAACCACCACCACCACTTTGTAAAAACACACAGTGTCACACTAATACCTGTGAAATACAAAGTCTTCAGCATCCCCAACTACCCTGCCTCGTTTTCGGGTAAGCAAAACACCCCACCCACTAAAGTTGAGAATTCTGAATATATATTCGGCGTATATATCTGACATATAATGACGCCTAAAGGGTAAAAATCAACAACAACAACAACAATAAAAATAATAATAATAATCACATTACATCTCATCCTATTGGGTACCCATTCACTGCTGACATACTTCGAGTCTCTTGCCTGAGGAGACACCACACGTGCTTCTCGATCTATACCCCATGCATTAACATGTTGGGATGGTTCAAGGCATTCAAGGCATGCGAGATATGCCATAGTGGTTTTTTATACACCCACATGAAGGGTTTCTGTGTGTCATGTCCAGAATACAGTCATCATGTTTAATGGACGCCAGGCGGCTCTTTATCACAGATAGGCCTCCAACATGAGGGGCTACAAATAGGTAACAGTTGTCGCTCACCATGTTTGCCGCAGTAGCTCCTGTTGAAGCCGTTTATGTTGATGGAGGGAATTGCTTTACAATCAGTTCCGTGCCAGAGTTGCATCTCCGGCTCTCTGAACTGCACACGCTTGGCCGTGTACTGCTTGTACAGGGTCTTGTTCTGAATGCGCTCGATCTGGAAGCAGTGAGTGAGCCCGTGTTAGAATCAGTTCCCAGAAACCTAAGCTGGTCGAAATAGACGATTTAATGGTTCCAGGGGTTATGCTCGGTGACTTGGTTGATTGCGTGTCATCGTACCCTGACGGCGTGGGTCGCTGCTCGCTGGACTCACTCCTAAAGTCGATAACTCTATGTACAACTGACACAAATACTGCCACAAGTCGACGTAGATGTCGCACAGGGTGGATTTACGCCAATGCATGTTTTATTCAAATAACAACCAACACAAATAGCGCCAAGGCTGTGTTGCTCACAAGCGACCTTCCATATGAGCTAATGTAGTGTGTATTGAAATATTTAGCCACACAGGCGGGAAAGTGTGACTGTTAACTGGCTGCGCAATGTTTTCTCAATATAATATTCTTTACAATTGAAAAAAAGATTGATATTGTAACAAAACTCCTCCAAAAATATCACTGCAAACCGGTTTCTGAAAATAGAATGCTTAATCAGTTTCTAGAATTGAACAATATATTTCAATTTAATTTTGCATTTAAACTTTTTCCTTTTGCGTGCCATAAACAAATCTAATCCACATTAGGATCTGAAACACCTCTGCACTCGGGGACTAGTGGTTTCTGAGAATATGATTTATTGGTGTTTTTCTTAAAGTTTGTATTGTTTTATGGCTATGTTGATCAAAACATGTGGTACATTGAATCATTGGCATTGCAGCAAGATTATATATATTTTTTTATTATATCGGAAAACATAAATGCCTATCTGTTTATCAATTCACCTTTACTACTTTCATCCTTGATACTGAAAACTTGTTATCCACAACCCTGTACTCTTGGTCATCCTTCTTTAGAAGGACCACCTTTATGTTCTCATCGGGATTCATGGGTTCCCAGGACAGCGGTGGGTGGAAGTCTCTCGCTGAAACTACACGACCAGGGTGCCGTTGTACAAAACAACCTTAGCACTACGGCAGTCGTAAGTCTATGTTAAAGTATGGGAGTTACATCACATTAGCGCTATGATCGCTTTGTACAACGGCATCCGGGACTTTGGAGAATGCTCGGATTTAATGAGTAGACAAATTCAAGACATTTAAGCTTAATCAATTCATTGCTTACCGAAATTTGAGTAAAACTAGATTGATAAAGAAAAGTAACTGACAATGGTGAGATAAGGGTAAAAAGGGGTAACGAACGTTTCTATGACAACCACATATACATATTGCATACCAAATTCCTCTTTGATTCAAGCAGAGATGACAAAAGGAACTTTTTCAGCATAGCAGCCATGATGTCCAAGTTAAGAAACGGACTGGACTCTTTTTAGCTTTTTAGGTAGTAATAAAGGACAAAAGGGCAGCGCGCTAATTTTCAAAGCTATAAAACAAGTGGTTTGTGACATCTCCAGATTTATGAGGGTCTCTGAACTCAGAGGCCATTGCCATATCAGAAATCAAAGTGCGCATTGCGCATGACAAACACTTCATGGATATTAGTCACTGGTAAATTGACATTTTCAATATGGCTGCCGTGGTCGTCAACAGCATTACCTCGCCCATTCTACCAATGAAACACATTACCGGAATCTGGCATGGACGCATAGCATCTATACGGTCTTGTTTGGTGGTTAGCTGGCGCCAATATATTACAATATATTACAAACCATATATTGTGGTCCTATTTGACCTACTTTCAGTAAGGTTCCTTCTGACGACAGGGACCGACGTATTTTCCTTGTCTCCTTCCTTGTATTCCACCATGTCGTTAAAGTCGATGACGTAGTTGACGCCGTCTTCAGTGGTCAAGTTACATTCAGGCTCTACGGCGTTGCTCCGGAATGCCCGCTCTATTTCCTCATTGAGACCAGACTCGTATTTCTTCAGCACTTGTTCCCCGCTCTCTTTTTCGTCAACAAAGTACCATTGTATGGCCCTAGCCTCGATTTGGGAAGCTCGTATGTCTACACATATCTCATACACGTGTTTCATCATGTTGTAAACATCATCAGGATACCCCTGTTTATGAAATCAATTAATAAATAAATACATTTTAGCGTTTGTTTCTTTTGTTTGTTTGTTGTTTAACGCAGCTATATGACGGCGGTCTGTAAATAATCGAGTCTGGACCAGACAATCCAGTGATTGACATCATGTGCATCGATCCACGTATCTGGAATACGATGACATGCATCAACCAAGTCAGCGACAACCCCATCCCGTTAGTCACTTCTTACGACAAGGGTAGTGGCTTTTTGTGGCAAGCATGGGTTGCTTAAGACCTACTGTACTCCAAATTTAAACGGAAATGAGCGATGAGTCCTATCTTACTTCGTATAGTTTTTCTTTTGCCTGTGTGTGCATATATCAAAAGTTTCTCTTAGGCAGTTATCACATTTAAAGGATATCTGACTTGATGTCGTTATTAATTCTTGGAAGTGTAAAAGCCTCAAAGAAATTATTCGACATGAAGGTTTACCATAACATTGACAACTCCACCGTTGGTGTCCACGGAGATGCCTACGCTGTGTATCTTTGCATGGTCATATAGACATTTCAGCTGAAACGATCAGAGCGAGGGAGTTGGTTTAACGCTGCTTTGAATAGTATCTTAGTTACGGTCTTAATATTGGAGGAAGTCCCCTAAGTGACGCTTAAACACCGATATGGGGACACCAGCAAGAATCATAAGCATAATAATTGGCTAATCGTGGATATTAATCGACAAACAACGGATCCTGACGTGATTACTCGCAACTCCTTCAGCGAGATGCCGCGCATTAGACCGTAGGAAACCTGTGCCCTCTAAACCCAGCTGCTGAAGTGGTGCCTTTTGCTGTTCAGGGTAAATAGATTGGCCTGATTCGGTGATGGGAACGTTGGGTTTAACATCAACACTCGCCATTATACATCAACACCTGTAAGCACGGTGATACCAAAGTGGTGGTACACGCCATATGATACCTCCCGATGAAGGTATTTTGGCGAAGATTGCAATATAACGTGATATATCTGTAAAGAAACCTAATATGGAAGAATAGTGTGTGTGTGAGATTTTCACTTTGTAGTCTTTGACTGACAACCTTGGTAAGCCCCTGTCCTCATCCAGAAAGTGGTATTATCATTGTGGCTATTATAAATTCCCAAGGCAACAGGCGTTCAAAACTATTGCATTACATGCACTATTGCGTGTCCCGTTAACATTAATAGTAAATACCTTGTCAACTGTCAAGTTCACCAAACATTCTTCGGCAATAGGTTCTTGCTTTATTTTAGGCAGGGACTTCAGATCTGCAATGGCTTGGTCAATGCGCTGTGAACTGTCGGAGTGGATTGAAACCTCATATCCCTCGGTTTCATACACCTTGGAGCCTCGCCGTTGCAAATGTTTTACATCGTCGTCCATTGTTGCACTCGCTGAAAACATCACAAACAACAAATTAATGACACTTAAGGACACGTCGATTAGGAACAGCAGTAATTATAGTGCAATTACATAATCCATCATCCCTGGTCTGGAGCAAGGTTAGTATAAATAGATACAAAGCTTTAACCTAAACGCTACCTTAAAGCTGTCAGTCTCTAGCAAGTGGTTAAAGGTAGCCAAGTGGTTAAAGCGTTCGCTCGTCACGCCGAAGACCCGGGTTCGATAACCGATATTGGTACAATGTGTGAAATCCAATTCTGGTGTCCCCCGCCGTGATATGGCTGGAATATTCATAAAAGCGGCGTAAAACCACACTCACATACTCTAGCAAGAAGGAAATACAAGGGGACCAACGAATCAGCATGTCCACCGAACCATTCAACATATGTGTGTGAAACACACACACACGCTCACACACACACACACACACACACACACACACACACACACACACACACACACACACACACACACACACACACACACTGTTTCCACCCTTGCCGAACTAGGCTGGAATTACTGGGCTCGATCGTAGCGCCACCAGTGGCCATTACGAGTTATGTCCCTTCTATGCCTCTCCTATGGACCAATCAGATTCCACCTCTCGTATCACTTGCTTTTGCTTCACACAAAATGGTGGCGCCCGGTCAGTTAGATCTGATCGACAATCAAGATCTATATTCTGATAAAACGGGTCTTACATCGCGAAATCCATCAAATCACGTGAGCAGCTTGATTAAAAACATGAAAACATTTGGAAAATATCTGCTGACAACGAGTTGGCGGTGAACATGCTTTGAAAATCCTGCAATCGACCAAAATCTGTACGACAGTGTACGAACCGGATTTCGATTTCGGTGCGCGATTTTGATTGGACTATGCATAGACTCGTTAGTCCAGCCAAAATGTAACTCCATAATACTAGCCTAGTTCGGCAAGGGTGGAAACTGGACTTTTATAGTCAGTTAACTCTCTTGCCTCGGGAAGATGTGTTTGGATATGAGTTGTATTTTCTGCATGTCATTGCTTGGGGTGAGGATGGACCCGCATGTCCCAGAGAAGTCCCTCCACGCCATCAGTGGCATGAAATCAGTCGGACAACCACCCAGTCCACATTTCAGTGGACTCTTACGACAAGCAAACTAGTCTGCACGCAAACCCCACAGCATGGATGCAATCAGCAATTTGAGACTTGGTTACATATTGATAGAAAGGCGACATACCACTTCTGTGTCCCTGTGTCCGTTGTTGACTGCCCTCACCACGCTCGTTGATGTTGGTGTTGAGGAGGCTGACCAGACTGTCGAAGAGGTCAGTGTCCTCAAAGATGACCATCCGAACTTCACGTAGGCACCGCAGGCCGGAGTGTTTCGTCAGCGAGCTATGGACGTATTCCGCTAGCTTCTGTTTTGATATGCCACCTTTGCGGCCTACAACATTACACAGGCTTATTCCCCTAGAATTGTATAAAATGCTAGAGCTTTTACGATATTGCACGGGAGGCCTAGTCAGCTAAAGCGCCGGGGTTTCCTTTGAACAAATATTGCAGCTAAGAATATTGTGTGAAAAAAACCTGCTTTCATCTGCTTATTTATATTCACCCGCAAAATAAACCCAAGTCGAGTATATACTAATAGGGCAAGATTGACAAAGATTTGACTGAAGACAGTTTAATGGATTAAAAGGCAGATGACGTAATTGTTTTTTTCAAATGTTAAGGGCTTACACAGTTTCGGGTCAGTTTTCGGGTCGATTTGTGAAGGCCCCAAGGATCCTCCTGCACACACCCAGAGCAGCTGTGCGTAGTTCATCGGCAGTTGTAGGGACTGGGCGCACATTGTGCAGACGCCTTTGAACCTCATCCCACAAGTGTTCGATGGGGTTCAGATCAGGGCTGAGAGCTGGCCACGGTAGAACACGGATGTTGTGTTGTTGCAGAAAGGCCATGGTAGCACTGGCAACATGGGGACGAGCGTTACCCTGCTGGAAAATATGTTGTTAATGTTGTGCAAAAAATGGAACAACGTTGGGTCTGATCACTTGGTCGATATACCGCTGAGCAGTGACGCCGTGTCCCCGACCTTGACCAACATTCAGAAAGCACATGGGTCCAAGTCTCGCATTAAGTCCAATCCCTGCCCATATCATGACGCTAGGTCCACCCCATGGATCCCTTTCCACAACGTTTCTGTCAGTGAAACGATCACCTCGACGCCGCCAAATTCTGACTCTTCCGTTTGCATGGTAGACACAAAAGCGACTTTCATCAGAGAAGATGACACGCCTCCACTCACGATGCCACCAATTGCAATGACCCTGTGCCCACTGAAGTCGTGCTTGTCGATGCCGTGGTTGGAGAACAGGACGACGTGCTGGTCGGCGACATCTGAGGTTGTTGGAACGGAGACGTCGGATCACATTGTCCCGGCTAATGTGTCGATTATGTGTTTCTATGGTGTGTCGTGCACTTTCAGTTAGGAACGGATGTCGCTGGTGTTGACGGGTAATATGCCGATCTTGTCGAGGTGTGGTGACCCTAGGACGCCCGCTCCGAGGAAGGTCATCTGTGGTCTGTGTAGCATTGTATCGATGCAGGAGACGGTAAATTGTGGTTATGTTAACGTTGAAATGACGGGCAACATCTTGGACAGACTCTCCAGCTTCCAAAAGTCCGATAGCCTGGTTTCTCTGAATTTGAGGTAGGCGTGGCATTGTTGACCAAGGAGTGGTAGGTCGAAGAATTGGCCACAGTTTTATACCCATTACAGTTCGTGACAGTTCGTGCATTTTCGATTTCGCGAGAAATTGGTGCATGATATCCACATATTCATTGAAATGGTGCCTTTTGGCGATTCATTTTTTATGTTGCGTATTTACTGGGGGCTTCCAAAATGCAACCAAAAATATTGATAACACCATCAGGCTTCACTTCATGCTAAAACTCGTATCAATTTATGGTTCCGTGTTTGTTACCTATTTGCTTAAAACCACTTGTGTTTCTTTTGCGTGTGAGTATATATCTAAGCTTCAATAAAGAATCTCGGCTTCAGTATTCTCATCTAATCAATATAGAGTAGTTCGTGAGCAAAGCCATTAAAGCAAAGCCATGAGAGACAGTATGTCTGTAACACTTATGTATTCATCATTTCAACTCTTCCATTTCAAGAGGCCATATCACCCAAGGTACTGCCTTGTATTCTTGGACAACCTTGGGCAATTCCATGTGTCCCTCTGTGATATGACTGAAACAGATCTTGGCTGTGATGTGAAATGCCTATTGATACAGCGTTGTATTGCCCTTCTATTATATAAGATAATCACTGTTTGTAATAACCAAACTTGATGAGTCAAAGAAGCGTTAACAAACATCACAGTTTGTTCATAAAACAGAAAAGGACGGAGCTACAGATAAGTTTTCCCCAAAATATTCAAAACCCAATTCCTTTCAATTAACTTGCGTACAGAAACGCATGCATAAAATGAAAAACTCAAATGATGATAAAAACAGCATGCGTAAATATCCAAATGAAGCTCTTTCAGCATGCGTACAATGGAGCTTATTTCCGAAACACAATTCCGAGATAATTCACTTTACAAGTCAAACCTTTAGTTAGAACCCTTATACATCTAAAACATTATTTTATTTTTCTTGAAATATCAAAATGCTAGCTCATTTTGGGAAAAAACCAATAGAGTGATGAATAGATGAGTGACAAAATATTGGTTACCCAATGAAAAATGTAATTACCCAATTAAAATAGAAACTTTCGGGTAAAAACTCAATTTCTCAAAAGTTATCTGGAGTTCTGAAAGGACCAAATGATTATCAAGGAAGGCATTTGTACAGTCAAAAGACATGAATTAACAATATCATTACAAGTTATGACGTGAATAAGAACAAAATGAAGGTAGTGTGTCCACACTTTGGAGGACAGGGTTAGTGTGTTCATAGCTTTCGGCCATGGGGCCATGTCTGGGGCCATGTCAGAGGCCATGTGAAGGGTGGACAAAGTCCGTGATCTAGACTACCAGTTGTCGGACTTTCATTTTGTAATAGCCTCGGTGCCTGAGTGGGTTAGATCGCTGATTTTGTTTGGCAGACTCTCTCTGGCAGTGTGGGTTCGAATCCCGGACGAAAATCTGTACTCAGAAAGTGTTATCCCAAATATAACATTAGTTACATTTGGTGAGTTGTTCAGTAATCGACCAATCACCAAACTGAAGTCAGACTATTAAACGCTCTTTAATCCAATATCGTGTATGTCAACCATAAGCATCAATGCACGCCTTAACTCGACGACGGGCAGAAGATGTGAGACGTGTGATCACAAGAAATGGGTGTCGACGCCATTCTTCTAGGAGGGCCTGTGCTTACTGATCCCTGTTATAAGGGATAACTGGTATTGCTCTAATCTGACGGTGAATGTGATTGCACACATGTTCTATAGGTTATAGGGGCACAGTCGCCTAAGACGAGAAACCTATGATTGTTGGTTCGAATCCCGGTTCGCCCCGATTATGTTTCTAGGATTGTCAGCACCATACCCGTGCTCGTGGGTTTCACCGAAGTGGTAAACGTCTGAGACCTGCATCACTTCGGGCTTTCCTCCCACATAAAATTGTTTGATGGGCATTACTTAGAAGTTGACGGGTGACAACGTAAACACAATTTTATGGATAACAACTTCTTTAATACTGTAAAAAGCGACGTTTCGGTATAGATCCTATACCGTTGTCAAGCAGGACGGATAACAACTTCTTTAATACTGTAAAAAGCGACGTTTCGGTATATATCCTTACACCCTCCTTCTTCACAACGTGCTTCAGTCGAATGTTCACCTACGTCTGTATTGAACAACAGGACCGTGTTATTAATAATAAAAATAAACAAACTCGTCCTCGTCTGCGAGTTTGTTTCTTATTATTATCAGTTACATTATGTGTTATTTTGTCAACGTTAGCGTTTTTCAGAGTGTAAACCCCCCTGGATGCCACAGTTACACATGTGTCTCTCCTCTTCAACCCTCTCTTCGAAGTCGAATAAAATTCAAAATACATCACGCAAACTTATACACTTCACAGTTTTGAATTCCCCCTTCTGTTTATCATTTACTGTCATTTAGGCAAGCACAATTACTGAAAGTGACTTCTGAAAAAAATTACATTGTAAATCTCGCCTAATCACAATGAACGGCGTTATTTACTTTGTGTTTAGAAATCTCAATATAGGATATTTACTCGAATAATTAAGGTAGAAAAATAGCATATCAGTGATCGCAGGTATCAAATCACTAATGATAATTCTGCAGCGTCGCTGATAAGCATAGAATCGTTTAGAATGTTTTGGAAAATATGCACACACGAAAAGTTTTCACTCAGTACAGTGTATGTGAAATATACACTGAACCGCAACAGAAACGTCACCATGGATAGTTATATGAGAATCTTTATTTGTCCAAACACTGTAAACATACTTTGAGACATATCAAAAAAATGAAACTTGGCAAAACTGACCATCAAGGTTGAAATTAAAGTGTCAAATGTTCTTAAAGTGAAACACAACAATAGTCTCTGAGAAAATGGCATCGCAAGTCAGTATCTCGTGTGTCTGCCATGTGCATTGATGACTGCCGTGCAACGTCGATACATGTAATGGATGAGGCGATTGATGAAGGCCATAGGCACTTGAGCCCACACTCTGAGGAACACTTGACGCAGTTCAGCTGCAGTTGTCGGCCTTGGTCGGACGTCATTCAGTCGTCTTTGAATCTCGTCCCACAGGTGCTCAATGGGATTAAAATCGGGACCGAGGGCAGGGCACCATTCTGATGCCATTCTGCTTGAGGAAGTCTCTTTTTGCTCTCGCAGTGTGGGCACGGGCGTTATCATGCTGAAATTCGTGGTTGCGGCGACGTGCCAAATGAGGTTTGGCGTGTGATCTCAAGACTTGATCAATGTACCGAGCTGCTGTGACACCATTGCCTCTCCCTGGACCGATGTTCTGGAAGACCACAGGGCCGACCCTCTGTTCAAGACCAATTCCACCCCACACCATGATGCTCAGACCACCCTACGAGTCTCTCTCAACAACACAAACATCCGAAAAACGTTCCCCACGGCGTCTGCAGACTCTCTCTCAGCCATCTGCTGTTGAGATACAGTGACGGCTCTCGTCTGAGAAGAAGACTCATCTCCACTGCTGGTGGCACCAATGCTGGTGCTGTGTTGCCCACTGAAGACGGCCCCGGCGATGACGTGGGGTCAGAATGGGTCCTCGGTGTGGCTTGTGACAGTGGAGATGTCTGCTCGTCAATGGTCGACGTACGGTGTCCGCACTAAAGTGTCTCTGGTGTGTCCCCAAGGTCTGTCGAGCAGTTTCCGAACCAGTGACAAAGGGATCTTGAAGATGCTGTGGCACAATCTGACGATTCTGACGTCGGGTGGTGACCCTTGGTCTTCCACTACGTGGTCGGTCATCTGTAGTGTTGGTGGTCTGGTACCGTTGCTGGAGCCTGTATATGGTCCTTACGTGGACTTGAAATGCACTGGCTACTTGCCGGGCGGTTTGCCTAGCTTGCAATCGTCCAAGGGCTTGGTGTCGATGATTTCATGTCAATCTTGGCATGCTGCAGCAATTTAATAACGAATAAATGTTATCCGATCTGGGTGGATTTTTATAGGGTAAGAAATGGGGGAACGCATGTGCATTTCAATTTGCACGGAACTCGCGTGCATCAGGTTACCATGGCCGTTGTCGTGATGCGTTTGGGCGATCGGTTTTATTGTCATCTGCTTTGTTTTTTAACCTTCAACTTTCATTTTTCCGGAAAAGGTACTGTTAAATTTTAGTAACTTGGACAAGAATTACCCAAATATTTAAATGACAACTTTTCATGCAATGTTAGTTGGGGTGACGTTTCTTTTGCGGTTGAGTATAGTTCACCAATTAGCTGTGTTGTTATATTTTGTGAGATATTCACCAGTAAGTTGCTTCACACTTTTGCCTTACCCATCACCACGCCCGGCTGAATTTGTACCCATAACATTAGGTGTGGGACAAGCAGGAAGACCCTCAGTAAACCACCAGGCAGACTGGGTGCCGACGTGATCGTTGAAATTGCACAGCGCGTCACAGGCAATCCGTTTTAACTCCAGTATGGGAAATTCATGCAGTGGCAGAATTTTTCGTTTTGGCGACGATTTCGCCTGTCGTTTTTTATCGTCTGTTTTACGCTATTTCCGATGTACTTAATGTCAAGCATTTATAATTATGTATGTGCCAAGGTATTAAAATCGTTCAATTTTTCAACAGCAAAAAATAGAGTGATTTAAAACTTTTTAAAATTTCGCTTAATACACAATATGATGGATATGTTGGACATCTTATCTTTGAAAATGAATAAATTTACTTTTTTCGGCACAAATGTACAACAGTTAAAACATGGTAAGGGTTATGCGGCTGCTAATTCATTGTGCCAATTTATTTGTACATAAAATTACCCAGCCATAGATTACCTTTTACAAACTGTTGCAGGAATGAGTGATGGTTAAATAGACATAAAATCGAATTTAACAACAGTTCTTTCAATTTTCATTTACATAAAAACAACAACATTTGAAACGTCCCCCTAATAATGAAGAAAAAAAACATGATTAAAACCACCGCCACCACATACCCGCCACCACACACCCACCACCCACACATATCAAATGGTCCGCCCCTTAGTCTGCCAACACCCATTTTGTTGGTTTCAAATCGAGCTGAAATCAAGCGGCGTTAAACACAGTTCACTCACTCTACTTTTTACAGATTCGGGGGACAACAGTTGTGCAAAATGATGTTTCTGATGTATTTTCTTACCTTGATCAAGAGCTGGCAGCGCCAAAGATGTGTACTTCAGCTCATCTGCTTTCACCATTAACGCTGGTAGCACCTTGTCAATGCCATGGAAGAAGTGAATGTCATAGTGCAGTACTGCCTTGAAACATGCGTCGGACACACTGGTGACAGCAAGACCCGTTTTGGTGATGTTACCCACTACAACATTGAACAGGCATACAATATGTTAGCGGAATGGGCACCTGTACCTGTATGTACTCGTATTCATCTACAACGGAAAACTGACTGTCGTCGTTAAGATATGGACTAAACAATTTCACAACCAGTCAACGATATGTATCCAACAGTGTAACTGCAATCACGTTGTCACGTTGGATCTGGGTCCCTTGAAATAGCTTTATGCGTTTGTGGATAAGAAACGGAAAGATAGAATTACTTTTCCTTTACAATAATTGCTGTACATGGCTACATGGAATTGAAAATAATCATTTACGAGTATTGTACATATGGATGTGAATTTGAAACTGTCAGATTTTAAAATGGTTAACCTGCTCGATGCCTCTCTTCTCTCTAAGCTAATGTTGTCTGTTTATTTGTAGTTTAACGCCACACTCAGCAATATTCCAGCTATATGACATCGGTCTGTAAATAATCGAGTATGGACCACACAATTCATGAATTGACATCATACGCATCTATCTACGCAATTGGGATACGATGACATGCATCAACCAAGTCAGCGAGCCTGACCACCCGATCCCGTTAGTCAGCTCTTCAGACAAGCATAGTCACCTTTTACAGCAAGCATAGGTTGCTGAAGACCTATTCTACCCCGGATCCTCACGGGTCTTTCTTGCTTGCCGACCTTGATCAACTCGCGTTGAGTTGGTATATTAACCCAAGTTAACTTTGGTATGATTTAAGTCATACTTCGGTTGACCAGAGTTGCCCATCCCTACTGAACCTAAGCATGGGCTGCTGAAGACCTAAACTTACCCGGATCTTCACGGGTATGTTAATGTTGGGTAGCACTAACACACCTCCTTTAATCACAGAAGATTCGGATACTGGCTCTTTTAATCAGCAAATTTTCAGAGCTATAATCTAATTATGATACCATTAAGCATTATACAAAGGTTTATAAACTTTACCTTCTTCTTTACACTGTTTCTCCAGTTCTTTTCCAAACCTCTTTCGCAGCTTCTTTGACAACATCCCTTGAAAACACATAAAAGCACAAACTATTAGACGCTCAGAGAGGTCTAAGAAAAGAAAATTCGAAAGGTGTGTGTATTGCATCCAGAGAGTGAAAGCATTTCATAACCACTTTCAAATCTTAAAACATCCTCTAATCCCTCCAGAAACATTTATCATGATTTGTTTGCAATAAATCAATAGACCAGCTGACGACCGACCTCCAAAATATCTGTTTATATTCAAATGAATGTCAATTCCGTTACTTAAAACACACCATTAGTTTGATTGTTTTACGCCGCACTCGGCAACATTCAAACTAAATGACGGCAGGCTGTAAATAATCGAGTATGAGAATGCCACAAGGGTCTTTCCCGATTGTAAGGATATCACCTAGTGTGACCTTGACCTTCGACAGGTGACACCTTCGAGCCTGTCCCAGCGGCAGGCTTTATCTCGAGATGATGTCAAGTAGGAAACACCAGCCAGTTATCACTCTCAACTCTACCCGGAGTAGGAAGTGATCAGTGAAGCGAACATGTACAACATCCAAATCGCCACACATTACCTTGTTATTAAGGTCAAGGTCACAATAATTAAGTGGGATCTGCAGATTTTCCTAAATTAACTTCTCGTGATGAAGACTTTGGAGATTAAAGCAATAAATCCCTTTTCATAATCATAAGATATCCCGAAAGATTCAACTGTACGACTCCACCATGGACGTGTTTATGGATAATATCAAATACAATAAATTGAGTGAGTTACGCCGCTTTTAGCAATATTCCAGCAATATCACGCCGCTCGACACCAGAAATAGGCTTCCATGTCGGGAATCGAACCAGGGTCTCCGGCATGACGTGCGAACGCTTTAACCACTTGGCTACCTAAACGCCCCCGAATTCAATGAAGACGACGCTATGAACAATAAGAATGTACCAAACGAGAGTTCCAGTCTGCTGTTACTGCCGTTGACAATGAGGTCCACACGTTGCTGCATGATGTCACCTTCAACCAACTGGAAACGAACGTTCCCGAACAATACGCCTCTTGCCACATGCGCATCGGCTGCTGTCAACATGCAATGAATCATCTGGGTGCCCGTGATCATACAGAATATAAACAGTGCTCGCGTTCAGTTTCAAAACCCTGATGACTCAGTAAGTTAACAAGTTAACAACGCTTTGAACATTATTCCAGTTTTATCGCGATGTGTCAGCTTAATGTGAGAGGAAATCCAGTAGTGATTCACCTCTTTGACATTTACCACTTTTGTGAAACCAACGAGCACGGGTTTTGTGTGTGACAAAACTAGAAATATAAACTGGGATTCGAACCATGATCATAGGTTTCTTGCATGCTTTATTTGTTTGTTTGTTTGTTTGTTGTTTAACGTCACACTCAGCAATATTCCAGCTATATGACGGCGGTATTTATATAGTCGTGTCTGGACCAGATAATTTAGTGATTTACAACATGAACATCTATCCACGCAATTGGGATACGATGACATGCATCAATCAAGTCAGCGAGCCTAACCACACGATCCCGTGAGTCGCCACTTACGACAAGCATAGTCGCCTTTAACGGCAAGCATGGGTTGCTGGAGACCTATTCTACCCCGGATCTTCAGGGGTCTTCCTTGCATGCCGACCTTGATTAACTCGCGTTGATTTGGTATATTAACCCAAGTTAACTTTGGTACGATTTTAGTCATAGTTCGGTTGACCAGACTTGCTTGGACTTGGGTCATTCTGTCTGATTGGCAGAAGTGAATGGGTATTTGGGTATAAGTTACTTTTACCAATGTGTACGCGTTTTCATGTTTCACCTTTTTCGTCTTGGACACTGAGCCTGCGTGATCCTCTTATGTGAATCTTTCCGTAGAGCTTCTCATGTTCTTCTTGAAAAGCCTGCAGTTACAATGTTGTAGTTTTTTATACATTTTTCAGATTTAATAGAAGCCAACATTTTAAATTAACACTTCGAGAAATGAAAAGCCATAATGCAATAACATAACAATTAATAGAGATACAAAAATAAGATTCAAAGCAACGCCAGAATGTTGTTACCAAGACACACACGTTCCTCCTTCGAACACTGCTTGAAAACAAATACGACTGATCGGACGGTGTGTGTTCAGGTCTAAAAAGCAATAAGGAGCTGAATTAAAAATGGCGTGTGGGCATATATCATCAACATTTGACAGGGTAGCATGGGTGCCTCTTCAGTTTATGGACCATTACCTCATCTACACCATCGCGTTGTCCAGAGATTACAACAACTTTGACGACTTTCAACATTGTATCAGGGTTGTTTTCCCAAAACTCATTCACGGTCTCGTATATTGTTTTAGCTGTGGCGTTCTTGTCATAATTAAGTCGGCCTGTACCAAGAGCAGGGAAAAGGAGACTGGCGTGTTTTTTCTTTGATGCCTCCTCCAAACAACGCGTGACAATGGACTTTATATTCTGAAAAAGGAACTGTAATTTCTAAGAGACAAGGTAGAAATTGTTTGCCACAAAAAAATACATTGTTGAAAGCTGTTTATATTTCTTTATTTTAGACTCATAATTTTTAATTATTTAATTAAAATAATATGTTTTTGCAAAAGTAAATGAAAAATATCTCGACTCCATATAACATTCCAGTAACGGATCAGGCGGTCTGAGGGGCGGTCGGGTAGCCTAGTGGTTAAAGCGTTCGCTCGTCACGCCGAAGACCCGGGTTCGATTCCCGACCTGGGTACAATGTGTGAAGCCCATTTCTGGTGTCCCCCGCCGTGATATTGCTGGAATGTTGCTAAAAGCGGCGTAAAACCATATTCACTCACTCACTCAGGAGGTCTGGCAAAGGGAATTGGCTGACAGGCTGTCATTGTGCCCTGATTGCACGGGCCGTTGTTCTACATGTAGCATTCTGTCGCTTGTTTGTGTTGTTTATTTACAGGTCACCAAGATAAATCCTGAACATTTCTGACTGGAACACCAAACAATATTTACTCAAGTTCAATTAAATCAAGAATTCAGACTTACCTGTTCGTTTATTCTGTGGTTTGTATTCCCTGTTGGCAGGGTAGTATGGTAGATCTCTGCACACTGTAGCTTGTACCCTTTAGTGATGGCAAGATCCCCTACCTGGATACCATGAGGGTAGAGCTTCTTAACTTTCTTCTCAAGCTTATTTCCAGCTTCTTGTAGAATACTTGCAGACAGGGCTCCGGCACTCACAATCACGTCGGCCTATTGTGACGGAGAATATATCAGTAATATATAGATCCATTGCGATGATTAGCTAAGAGTTTTTCTCTGTCATAAATATCATCTCAGAAATGCATTAAGTATTAAGCGACACGTCACGATTGAAATATATATATGTGTGTGTGTGTGTGTGTGTGTGTGTGTGTGTGTGTGTGTGTGTGTATATATCTATATATATATATATATATATATATATATATATATATATATATATATATGATATTTGCCATACGAAAACCAAAGGGTAATGGTATATATATTATATCACGTCAGTATTAAAATAATCGATGTTTTAGACCTTATTGAAGTAACTATAGAAACCGTGCGTGACTACATTGTTTGAGTGAACCACCCTTTTTATCCAATGATTCGAAAGGTGTTCAGCCATACTTGTCTACACAATAACCAACACACCCGGCCCCCCTCTTTATAGTTATAGGGAGTTGGGAACGTTGGGCAATAGCTTATTGAGCAAGCCGGCGATGAATGGACGTTAAAAGTACTTCCTGTTTGGTGACTTCATTTGCATATATATCGGATCCTGATACCACGTTTATCGGATTGGTTTATGGCATCGATACTACTATCCATTATATAATAAAATCATTATGACTATATATAAAAGGCTAGAACTGTAATTACGAACGTGGTGTCATGGCATGGTATACTCAAATACAAAACAAACTAAGCCTTATTCATACTGTCATCTTTTAAAGCACTTTTTCTTTTTCGAAGATTAAACTCATGTTTAAAATCTTTAATACAATCAAGGAAGGTCTTTCTTCATATTTTTCATAGAAAGGGTTTGACACAAGTGGAATTAATACGAAGGATGTGCTTGATTGTTTTGCAATCTCTGAAGAAATTCAGTTAGGTCAAAACATGAAACGAAGGTTATCAGTGTCAATACTTATAAGAATGCTACCCCTGTTACATCATTGCCATAACCCTGTATTTTGGTTGTCAGCGCATTATAAAAAGCTTTTAAATTTACAACAGAGGTCCTCTTCACCGTCAGCTGACCCCAATTAGTTGTGTGGATAATAGTTTTTTTCCCCACCATTGGTCTGCACATGCGCCAGGCGGGAAAACCAACTAGATGCAGATTATTTGGGAAGATTGCTCCTGATGTTATAAACGCAGTATTCTTAGAAATATTAACAATGATAATTATTGTTTGACAATTCCTTCGAATACCATACCTATAGTACATCATTTCCAGAATAACCAGTGGGACTTGTGGGTTTTGAAATCTAGTAATCCTGGGGCAGGTAACGACAAATCCTTATTTATAAAGGATCTAAAAATTATACCATAAATTCTGAAGCCACCATGAAGTATAGTCAGAACATATTCACTGAAAAGACCCAATACTTGATAATTCCTCGGAATTACCGTTATGTTGCCTTCATATGACGTCATTTCCGGTTCACGTTTACCCTCCAAAGATTAGGCTGCCGGAACTTCTCGAAGGCAACTTTCAGTTACAGTGATCTTTCGCTTCATGCAACTGTGGCCTTTGTTATATCTTAGTATTGCAGGAGACGTTCTCTGGTGTCTTCTATGAGGCTCTGTTGCAGCCAGATACAATTTTTGTGCACATACAGGATAGGGAAGTCTGTCGCGGAGATACGCTGTTATACTTAGAGCAGGTATGGAGCTAGTACCGCGCAAATCTGACGCGTTGCTAAAGCTTGAAAAAGTGGGCTGGTGCAATTTTTGGACTGACGGATCGTGAGATTTGTGGAGATACTTTGTATTTCACCCCACTATGCTCCAAAATAGCACCAAGCTTCCCTGGTATACCCTTACAGTAAGTTGTGTGTCAGAAGAGTGTCCAGTCTATAAAGTCCACCATGTCCACTTATCAAAAGTACCAATAAATGTATGTGAGTTTACCTAAGTAGAACACAGAAGTGACATTCTCTCCACAAACTGATTTTGTTGTTTGTTGTTTAACGCCGCACTCAGCAATATTCCAGCCATATGACGGCGGTCTGTAAATAATGCAGTCTGGACCAGATAACGCAGTTGAGATACGATGACATGCATCAACCAAGCCTGACCACCCGATCCCGTAAGTCGCCTTTTACGACAAGCATAGTCGCCTTTTACGGCATGCATGAAGACCTATTCTACCCCGGATCTTCATGGGTCGACTAAACTGTACTAAATTGGAAATAAAGGATTCAAGTAAAGGTATATATGACGTTTACCACAATGAACACTAATGGGTCAATTACTATCCTGCTAAAGGGGAGCCCATTGGTAAAGAAACGGAGTTCGATTCCCCAAATGGGTACAACATGTAAGCCCTATCGGTGTTCTGATTATCATAGAGACATGCACACCCTTTTTATTGTCGCTTTTTAAATGAAAAAAACAACAACTAATTGCATTCGACAGTTGTAGTGTCATACGATGTGAGATGAGCAACCGCTATTTTAAACGATAGACAAAAGGGCATACAATTCCATTATATTAATTCCACATCAGTGATGGCTAGTTTGTGAGGGACTTGTGCTGGAAGCAGTGTACAACTACGCGCTAGTGCATTGCATTAGTATTTGAGGTTCTATGCTCCATGGTGTCTAAATCTAGACATTGTAAAAAAGGCGTCATTGTCTGTGTAGCTTGTTAATAAATAATTGTGTTTCATAAAATGGGGTGTAAATGTTATGTTAAGAACATAATATTTGCTCATTCTGACAAATGTTTTCTCATAACATGTTCATTGGCGGTGGGGTAGCCCTGTGGTTAAATCGTTCGCGCGTCAGATCAAAAGTCGGGTTCGATTCCCCATATGGTTGCAACTCACTCATAAAAAAAAGCCATGCCTGGTAACGGGAGACACAGAAACAACTCAATTAACAATATCAATATCGGGTGTGACCACAATTTTTGTAGACGTTGATTTTCAGCAATCCGTGGCATTACTTAAGTGTTATTTACGGCTAAACAATTTTTATTTTCATCAGCACCTCATAGCCAGACAGTCATTGTGCGCTGTTCACATTAAAAAATACACGTGAGTGAGTATCATGCCCCAAACTAACATGCAAACATACAGATTGTGAATCACGACCTTAAAGTCGAGGAGATTTCTTCATGAATACATACTGAAAGATACATTACTTATTTTTCAGAATGAATTAATTTTTATTGAACTTTATATGAAGCATGGATACTTTTTCCCGTTAGTGTAAATGTAATTAGGATATGATTGATATACATGGTAAATGTGAAGACAAAGTTAGTTTGGGGGACTTGAACTAAACTTGGTGGGACTCAATTTAGTCGAGCCTTGAACCCATTAAAAGTTATCACTCTTACATGCTAATTGTTTGAACCAAGGGAAACGGGTGTTGCAAGGTATCATTGATTTTGAAACTGTACCTGTTTTACCTTAAGCTCGGCGATTGAACCTGTGACAAGCTCGACTTTCCTTGGATATACCTTCTTGACTGCAAGAGAGTTGAGTCGAGACCGGAAGTCCTGGTCACTCTCTGGATGTCGTATCTGTAAAGTAGACGGACAGATTGATTTAATCCCCAAAATCCTAAAAACATTGATAAAACATTTTATAGTTGCTATTAGAGAACGTTGATAAAAGTATTGTTGTTTTTGTTGTGCATAAAGCTACACTCAGCAAAATTCAAACGATGTGACGGCGGTCGCACCTGATTGTGTCTGGACCAGCCAAACAAGTGTTTGAAGCAACGTTACTTACCCCCAAGTCAGAGTTTCTCCTCCTCCCGTGCCAATTAGATATTGCTGGTTGCCCTGGTTCAGCTGGCAAAATGAAATGTGTGTAATAGGACATTGGGAATGGACATGCTTTCTTGTCAAAACTGTGTCATCAGGGGTTTCACGTTTCTTCAGTACACTACTGTTCAAAACGAACATCCCCACGATCGGGAACCAGTAGCCCTAATACATTTGCAGATACAAGCACCCCAAAGTGGCGCTATGTCTTTTTATAACACGCGTCCCTGACGCCAAGTGTTCGCGTCCCGGTAGCGTTTTGAAGATAGTGTAGAATTAAAACTGTTCGTACGGCAGTAGTTATTGCCGGTATTAATACCTATATGTGTCTATATTTAAGCCAAACTAACAGGACAATCATTGACTTGTAGGTGATACTGGGAATCCTGATCGGTCACTTTAATCTAACATTCAAAGAGAGCAGTAAGAAGGTAACAAATAAACGATAAAAATGTCATATTTCTATTAACTTTACACAACAGCAAGGCTATTGAACTTCATCAAGTCAACACTTACCAGATTCTAATGCCACAGTAGCGGGTTGGTAAATCAGGCAGTCATTCCGCTGTGCTACAGTAGAAACATACATACGCCCCTTCTCAGAGCGTAGAAACATAGCGGCTGCTCCATCGGTTAAGGCAAACCTTTTATGCAGTTCTGTCTTATCATGGCGAGGGAATTTCGACTTGCATTGTTCAATTCCTTCTTTGAGTCCACGTGGTGAAAGGTCACATGAGTCATCCTGATATGGCATTAGCATGGTTTCGGTTCCGTGATGAGCTCCAGGAAGCCGCCCGACTCCGGGAGATGCTGCCGATGTATCCTGAGACGCAGAGGCGGTTGTGAGGTCGTGCTCTCCCTCCTCTCGTACAGGTTCTACTAGGTCCCTCTGGGCTACAACAGACAGCAGACAAACATTGCCTTTCTCTGTGTCTCAGTTAATGGGAGCACGAATGAGTCCAATACTGTGTTGTTTCTTTGTTGAAGTAGTTGTATATACCAACTACAAACATGATGTGTATGTGTATGATGTGTCGGTAACGGTGAGTGAATGTTCTGTAACGTCACAGTCAGCAACATTTCAGCTAGATCACGACTACCTGTTTGAAAAAAAAGCCTGGACACGGAAAACCAGATACTGAAAATGTGAGCGCCGACCCACGCAATCGGGGCACATCCGTAAACGTCACAGGGCCTGAATATATTTCGTCGCCTCTCGCGACCACCAAGGGGATCCAGCGGATTTATTCTAACCTGGGTCCCCATGGGGTGTATGTTGGTTACAAGTTGAACGTTTTAGAAAAGGTGATAATTTTCGCTCTACTTCAGTATTTGAGTTACAAATGTTACAACCATAGCTTCCATTAGGGTAACATTCAGTCACCAATAGTTTAAAGTAACACGGCTTTGTGCCATGCACTCTACTGTACTTGATATGAGTGAAGTATGGGGACGATGGCAATGATGTGTAACAATGGTGATGCTGATGATGTGTTGCAATGGTGGTGCTGATGATGGCGATGATGTGTTGCAATGGTGGTGCTGATGATGGCGATGATGTGTTGCAATGGTGGTGCTGATGATGGCGATGATATGTTGCAATGGTGGTGCTGATGATGGCAATGATGTGTTGCAATTGTGATGCTGGTGATATGTTGTAATGGGGGCGCTGATGATGGCGGTGATATGTTGTAATGGTGATGCTGATGATGGCGATGATGTGTTGCAATGGTGGTGCTGATGATGGCGATGATGTGTTGCAATGGTGGTGCTGATGATGGCGATGATATGTTGCAATGGTGGTGCTGATGATGGCAATGATGTGTTGCAATTGTGATGCTGGTGATATGTTGTAATGGTGGCGCTGATGATGGCGGTGATATGTTGTAATGGTGATGCTGATGATGGCGATGATGTGTTGCAATGGTGGTGCTGATGATGGCAATGATGTGTTGCAATGGTGATGCTGATGATGGCGATGATGTGTTGCAATGGTGGTGCTGATGATGGCAATGATGTGTTGCAATTGTGATGCTGATGATGGCGATGATGTGTTGCAATGGTGGTGCTGATGATGGCGATGATGTGTTGCAATGGTGATGCTGATGATGGCAATGATGTGTTGCAATGGTGATGCTGATGATGGCGATGATGTGTTGCAATGGTGATGCTGATGATGGCGATGATGTGTTGCAATGGTAATGCTGATGATGGCTATGATGTCTTGTAATGGTGATGCTGATGATGTGTTGCCATGGTGATGCTGATGATGGCGATGATGTGTTGCAATGGTGATGCTGATGATGGCAATGATGTGTTGCAATGGTAATGCTGATGATGGCAATGATGTGTTGCAATGGTGATGCTGATGATGGCGATGATGTGTTGCAATAGTGATGCTGATGATGGCGATGATGTGTTGCAATAGTGGTGCTGATGATGGCGATGATGTGTTGCAATGTTGGTGCTGATGATGGCGATGATGTGTTGCAATGGTGGTGCTGATGATGGCTATGATGTGTTGCAATGATGGCGCTGATGATGGCTATGATGTCTTGTAATGGTGATGCTGATGATGTGTTGCCATGGTGATGCTGATGATGGCGATGATGTGTTGCAATGGTGATGCTGATGATGGCAATGATGTGTTGCAATGGTAATGCTGATGATGGCAATGATGTGTTGCAATGGTGATGCTGATGATGGCGATGATGTGTTGCAATGTTGATGCTGATGATGGCAATGATGTGTTGCAATGGTAATGCTGATGATGGCAATGATGTGTTGCAATGGTGATGCTGATGATGGCGATGATGTGTTGCAATGATGGCGCTGATGATGGCTATGATGTCTTGTAATGGTGATGCTGATGATGTGTTGCCATGGTGATGCTGATGATGTGTTGCAATGGTGATGCTGATGATGGCGATGATGTGTTGCAATGGTGATGCAGGTGATGTGTTGCAATGGTGATGCTGGTGATGTGTTGCAATGGTGGTGCTGATGATGGCGATGAAGTGTTGCAATGGTAATGCTGATGATGGCGATGAAGTGTTGCAATGGTGATGCTGATGATGTGTTGCAATGGTGGTGCTAATGATGGCGATGATGTGTTGCAATGGTGGTGCTGATAATGGCGATGATGTGTTGCAATGGTGATGCTAATGATGGCGATGATGTGTTGCAATGGTGGTGCTGATGATGTGTTGAAATGGTGATGCTGATGTTGGCGATGATGGGTTGCAATGGTGATGCTGATAATGGCGATGATGGGTTGCTATGGTGATGCTGATGATGGCGATGATGTGTTGCAATGTTGGTGCTAATGATGGCGATGATGTGTTGCGATGCTGATGCTGATGATGTGTTGCAATGGTGATGCTGGTGATATGTTGCAATGGTGATGCTGATGATGGCGATGATATGTTGCAATGGTGATGCTGGTGATGTGTTGCAATGGTGATGCTGATGATGGCGATGATGTGTTGCAGTGGTGATGCAGGTGATGTGTTGCAATGGTGGCGCTGATGATGGCGATGATGTGTTGCAATGGTGATGCTGATGATGGCGATGATGTGTTGCAATGGTAGTGCTAATGATGGCGATTATGAGTTGCGATGCTGATGCTGATGCTGAATCAACACTATTGTATGCAAAGAAAAGTAAATATGGAAATTTATTTGTTTAACTACAACTTGAATGTTTTTGGTTTCGCGCATTACTTAACAGTATGTCAGCTCAGTGTGTTTGAATTACCGGATGTGACGTAAGTTGTTTGAATTTACCAATGAGGTCACCACCGCACATGGGTATGATGTTCGCATCCTAAGGATCGTAACTGAGGCAAATATCGGACTCTAACACAAGACCTGTGGATCCTGGTACCTTGAGAACGGGTCGCGGCCAACCCCGGCCCTATAAATATTCTCAGCAATAAAAGTTCCTCTGACACGAAATAAAACAAGAACCTGATCAAAGAAGACGCACACATGTGAAAGAATTCATATTTCCAAACAGACAATGGACCAGGAAAACAAGTGTAGACATTTAATGACACATGACTAGCATGGCGTAATGACAAGAGAAAGATGCAATTGAACACGTCAGTTGCGTGTTGCGTGTTGCGTGTTGCGTGTTGCGTGTTGCGTGTGGGCCCCCTCTAGCTTGGATGCATACAATGCATCTCCTTCGCATTGAACGGATCAAACGTCTCACACAGTTTTGATGGGTGGCATCCCATACCTCCACCAGCCTGTCTCTCAGGTCTTGTACTGTAGTCGGAGCACGTGATAAATGTCGGAGACGGCGTTCCTTTTATCCCACATGTGTTAAATGGGAGAAAGATCTGGAGAGCTAGTAGGCCATGGGACCACATTCACGTTGTTCTGTCCAAGTGCTTGTTGAACAATCCGGGCTACATGGGGTCGGGCGTTGTAATGCTGAAAAAACATGCCAGGTCCATGTTGATTCAAAAACGGCACAACGATAGGCTGGGTGACCTCGTCACGGTAACGCTGCCCGTTCTAAATTCCATTGATCACTTGCAAACGAGTTCTCTGTCTCTCGGTGATTCCTCCACCATAACACTGACTCACCCGAAACGGGTCTTCCTCCACAACACAGTTCTGAGCGTAGCGTGAACAAAGCCGTCGGTAAACTCGTATTCGGCCATGCTGTGGGAGAGGTGAAATCGGTGAACAGAACCTGTCTCCACTGAATTGTCGTCATACGCACTCGCTGTCTACACCACTGCAGACGCAATTGGTGGTGCTTGTTGGTCAGAATTGGGCGTCCGGATGGCCTCCTCGTAACAATCCCGTAACGTCTAGGATGGCGACGCACAGTCTGTGCCGATATTCGACAAAGGCCAGGGATGGTTCTTGCAGGGATTGTTGCAGGCTGGAACTGATTTCGCTGATGGGTGGTTCGAATCCAACGATCTTGACGGACGCTCGTAACCGGGGACCTGTCGCTCCTTGGTCGGTCTCTGACAGTGTTTTTGCCGCCAGCCACTGCTGCCATTTCTTCCTGTTGGTGTTTCTGTGCACGTTCAATCGCCTAGCAACTTCACGCTGCGACGTTCCTGACTGGAGCATACCAAAGGCTCTCAAGCGGTCATTTTCAAAGCTTTCAAATAATGATTGAAATTTGATGTTTTCCGTGTTGCAGTTGTCAAGACAAGCAGAAACAATGCATACTGAATCCCTACAACACGCGAGCTTTTATGCCCTGCATGAAAGACACTTTTTGCCATCCAGATATTTTAGAAGCTGAACCATTTAATGTCACAATCTGTATATCACTCTGCGTCCTCGAATATTTATGTATATATAAACAAATAAACAGTGATTTTCTCTGTCTTTCTTTTTTGTTGTTGTTGTTTTGTGTGTGTGTGTGTGTGTGTGTGTGTGTGTGTGTGTGTGTGTGTGTGTGGAAAAAGCACAGTAAAGTCCTAACTCTCAGGCACAATATAGTAGTAATTAAGTAAGTGGAGTAAGATTGAACACAGTTCAGTACGTGGTAAGGGTTGAAATCTTACTTCACTTATATAATTATAACTATATATATAAGAATAGATATATGTATATATATTCTTTTATTACGGCTACTCTGCAACTATTTGCTACCGTAAGTTTGTTTTTAGCCCGATTCGTATGATAAGAAGCTGACAATAACCGTCCAATAATACCACACACGTGAGCCTGAGAAATCCCATAATAAGTTGGTGATAAGAGAGATGGAGATGGTGACGTCACTTCCGAAACGAAGCCTTGTGGGTTAATTGGTCCCTAACACATTCGTCACCACTCGCCCCTTTCAGTAACCTGCAAGAAGAACTTGTCACCCAATCGATGAATGTTATGTGCGAAAATGCGACAAACCAATTAGAATGCGCATATGACTTCGGTCGAAGAATCCCTCGGGTATAATTTTTGTTATTACATATGTCTTGCATTTAAAAACATACCCAAGTTCCAGTCAAATGTGTTCAATCAAACTGTATAATACTGTAAGTTCCGATGTGATTTTAATATCGTCTAGAATATACACAATATATGGGGAATATACATGTACCATTGCGGAACGATATGACAATTATTTTAGCAATGTCCGTTTGCGCTTAGACGGAACCTAGTCGAAAAAATGGCCACGAGAAGGGCACTATTCGACCTGTCCCGGAGTAACAAAGTTGGTCACGAATGATATATCATAGTGGAATAGAGTTATAATACAACGGATCCTCGAGGCTGATATATGTTACATTACTGTTGAACGAAGATTGCCTACCTGTCGCCACGTTCTCACGGACAGGACACAGGGCTGTTTCTGGATGATCTGGTACGTGCAGGCCTGGTGACGTAGACGTTGCATGATGCCCATAACGAGTTGCCATTGCAGTACGGTGTTCCTAAAGACACGCGTATTTTTCATTATGGCCTCGCTTTAGAAACGAATATGATTCAGCATTTAAGTCTTGTCTGACGATGGTGGAATCCATTTAGTGTGGGTTCGAACCCCAGGTTCGTACCGTCATGGTCCTACGTGTGTCGGCACCATACCCATGCTGCGTGGGGATTCCAGGTTAGAATATCCCCCAGCTTACTGTGCTTGTAAGAGGCCACTTACTGGTGAATTGTTTTATACTGTGGCATCCTAATCCAGACTGGATTACTTACAGGCCGCCATAATGGCTTGAATGCTTTGCGGGTGTGACGTAAAACAACAAACAAACACAAATACTGGTATATGTCTAGTCTCATATTAAAACTGGCCGTCGTGACACGACTGAGGTATAAAGTGCGGTAAACTCCATGATCATGTACTGAACTGTTGACCGGACAGTGAAGTGGAGCCCATGCGCGATCCACTGTCATCCACGGATCTGTGAATACTGTGTACTATCTGCACGAACTGATAACTCGCTGTGAAGTGTGGCAGTATATACAACATTGCTTCGAGTTGTTAATTACAGTTATAGATACACATACACATAGACACTTTCCGAATTTAATCTGTAAGGGACTGAAGAGGGGGGAATCTAGGGGACGTAGCTGTATTTTGTATCGAAATTAGACATTTATTCAGCTACAGCTACAAAACCATACATTTAAAAAAAATTAAAACTATATATAAGAGAAGGCTTTTCTAAAGAAAGACACCTTGCAACGATGTCATTTTTGTGACAAGCAATTTCTTTCTTTCAATAGCCTAAAGCATTATTATTTTTTCCAGTGTTTTCGGCGACAATTCATATTTTTCGATAACATCATCCTCGGCGTCAGAAAATAACACTTAATAGACAAAATGTGCACAATGCTTGTCATATTATTACACCCACCTCTTGAAATGGCGATACTTTAACCAAGATGAATGAGTGGATGTGTGTCCTCTGTATCGGGAAGTTGTTGTGGCTTGTGGCCTCCCTGCATGCTTTATCTGATAAATCCGTTAATCAGTGAATACAAGGTTCAGCTCGGCTCTTTGCTATGTGCAGTGGGCTGCAGGAACGCAATGGTGTGGTTACAACATAGCGTACCGACACCAATAGTGGCGTATATATGGAGGATTTTAATCAAGTAAAGCAGGACTTGATACAATTAACGGCCATCTTGATGAAATGCCGATCATGTTGGATTTCTTGTTGCTAACCATTTGTCACAAATTAACCAAAGCATGCACATTTATGTGCTTTTTGTATGACGTATCATCATTTGAACGACGTATCTGCCCTACTACTTGCCTCTGAACTATATGCTTGCATCATAGTTGTAAGATTGAGATAGTTGTAAAGTTTTCACATTTTATTGTCAAAAGACAAATGGATCAGCTACAAGTTGTGAAACGTACGTATTCTTATATAATGAAACAGAGGTGAGGGTAAATGAGTTTTAACGTCGCGTCCAAGATTATTGCATTTATATAGCCACGTGCATGCACGCGCGCGCGTGCGTGCGTGCGTGCGTGCGTGCGTGCTCGCGTGCGTGCGTGTGTGTGTGTGTGCTTGTCTACTAGTCCGGACTAATTTTATAGTGCTTGCCCACTGAGATACCATGCCGCAGTTTGACATGAATACCCACACTCAGACACAGTATACTGACTCCGGGCCAACCAGTCCTTGTTTAGCCTCTTAATGCCGAGCGCCAGACAGGGTAACCATAAGTATCATATTTTAACGTATTTTGGTATGACGCGGCCGGGGATCGAACCCTGGACCTTCCCCTCTCCGGTCGGACGCTCTACCACTAGACATTGGAGGCGGTCTTGATAAAACATGAAGAAAACTTAATAAATGCATGATAATGTATACAAAGAGGGCATCAAAGTTTAGATTATGCATCAAAATGACAATATATACTCAGCCTCATTATGAAAGGGTCACCTTGGTATGTAGGGTGTCGAACCGTGAAGATCCGGGGTAGAATAGGTCTTCAGCAACCCATGCTTGTCGTAAGAGGCGACTAACGGGATCGGGTGGTCAGGCTCGCTGACATGGTTGATTCATGTAATCGTATCCAAATATAGCGTGGATCGATGCTCATGGTGTCAGTCACTGGATTGACTGGTCCACACTCGAATATTTACAGGCCGTCATATAGCTGGAATATTGCTGAGTGCGGCGTTAAACAACACCACCAAATTTAGGGTGTCAAACATGAACATATGCCAACAAGAGGCAATAGGTCTGAGTATGTAGACAATGTGATTAACAATTGAAGGAAAATGTTGCCTATGTCACACTGATTGGGTAGCTTTTATGAAAATGGAAAATGGACGACTTTTAGATACGGTGAAAAAGTGCAAAATTAATTGATGTTGATGGAAGAAAGCTCCAAAACCATCCGCCTAGACGCAACGAATGGTTTAACCCATGCACGTGCAATACATGCAAGTTAGTCAATGTGGGTATATAATGATTCATTCTAGGTGCAACTCTTGGAAGTTAATAAATGCATTTCCCCTTAAAATTATATGTATGCAAGTAGTGTCTGTTGAGTTTTTGAAATATATTGATTGTGTCCGGTCTAGTGCACAGATAACACACACATGTCGTAGTGTAATGAGGATTATTTCAACGGAAGTCAGAACAAACGCCCTGAAACATAAACTTCAAAAAAAATATACACGTCATAACACATCATATTATAGTAATAGTGATATTGCTGGAATAGTGCTAAGAGGGGTCCAAAACCATATTTACTCACTCGCGTGTTTTCATTAGAGTGGGTGAGTTGGCTTAAACGCCGCTTTTAAGTGTCGTAGCTTAATGTGGGTGGAAAGCCCGAAGTGATGCAGGTCTCGGACGTTTACCACTTCGGTGAAACCCACGACCACGGGTATGGTGCTGACAAACCTAGAAACATAATCGGGACGAACCGGGATTCGAACTCATAATCATAGGTTTCTAGCGTGCCCAAGGGACGCAGCTCTGCACAGCGAATCGCGGCGCCTTACACGACTGAGCCATCCGTGCCCCCTTGTTTTCATTAGAAGAGAGAAATATTTATACGAACATTAATAACAAAACTTCACCCACGACGATTCACATTTAGTTTTGTCACCCCCCAAAATACAATTCTAAAACCTTATTTATCTATTTTACAAATATTGTATAACCTGAATATATCGTGAAATCCAAAGTAAATAGTTATGGATAATCATTGTTAGATAAATGGTATCTGACAGACACTCGCGTAGTAATCTCTATGGGAAGATCTAGAGACCATATTTGGAGAATATTGGTTTACATTGGTTGGAGACGACAAATTGGTTAAAGCATTTCTTATTAACTTTTTGTGAAAAAACTAATTGGGTCCGACACCATAGATAATAAAAAAATGTAATTTGTATAACTAAAGCAGTGCGAGTGACCGCGTGCTGTTTAGACAATGATGATAACAGGTACACCTAGTCGACGGGAAAGTTCTGCACTATTTTGATTCCCTCTCGCGTTTTAACAGAACTCTACTCAAACGTTTTCCATGGTCAGTAATAAGCGCGTTTGCTCATAGCAGAGACCATTAAATGTATTTTGTTGCCGCCGGATATATTTAACGTTGTTTAATATGACGTATGTCTTATTTCTTTTTAAGTGTGGCAGTTACAGGTTTTGTTTTACTGTCAACTAACCAGTAATATACCAGTAGTATGTAGTGTATATAATACATAGTGTAGTTAGTATTAGCATTAGTATTATTATTAATATTAGTATTTAGTATTAGTATTTAATATTAGTATTAAGTATTTGTTTGCAGTATGGGTTTTATGGATTTTAATGAAGATTTGATACAACACCTTTTAACTTAGTTATGCTTGGGTCAGTCACTACCCTATCAGCTCCTTTGTGTCAGCCAGGGCAAATGTTCTGGTTGAGTGGTTGACCCTATTGTTTTCCTTAGGGTCTGTTGTTTGAATATGTTTATGAGGCTATTATCATATATGTGTTAAATGTATTGTAAGTGTGTGGACATTTATGATAGTTTTAGGATGTTTAGTAATTTATTGTGTTTTATAGTAGTGCTGTGTTCAGATCTGTAAATATGTATAAACAGTACCACTGATTTGATAATAATGTCCACACGTGCAAGAGCATTGTGTAAGGAAGCTAGTTTTATTGTACATTTAGAATAACTTCCATATTTATAGGTACTTTGATGTCACTGTAGCCCTGGCCATGTAGTCGTGACAGACTAAAGTGTAACATACACCTAGAGGCCATACTTCTGGTATGTTTACTTGTCACCAAATGTAAATATATATTATTAATATGTTTATCTATTGATCACGTTTTACACCACCTAAGAAGTATTTTGATTTGATGTATGCATATACTATATGTATGTATAATGTAATTCTAATGATGTATCATGTTCTGACGTATACATATCCTCTATAATATATATACGGTAATCCTAATGAAGTATCATGTTCTCATTTTAATTGTCATAATTAACAAAATTCTTATTGAGTGTTATTGTGCATTTCAGGGTGTGAAAGAAAGGTATACCACTCGTCATCTAATAAAACGAATCACACCCGTAGCTGTGTTTTTGACATCATTTATCGATGCACACACATATTCTGCTACAAAATGGAGCCCCCAGTGAGGACCTTGATGATTTAGTGTGGATCTGACGACTACATGTGGGAATGAACAGTGATGGTTTGCCCGGGATGCCATAGTGCTTGAATAGTTGATTATTTCAGCCTTTCGCGTTATCTAAAATACGTATTGTCATATAGGCCTACGCGTTATCACGTTTATCGTGGCATGATTAGTGACTCTTGATTGTGACATTCGTGAAATATGTGTTCGGACTATTCCTTGTAAGTACGTGGAAACGAGATGCTTGGCCACTTTCACAGATCGCGGGATCCCCTTGACGCGCCGTGTTGTCGTGATTTGAAAATATACCGGTGATCACTGATTGTGTTGTTTATTTAATTTGATCCATTTGAAATATATTTCCTGTTGTTTTCATGCTTTGGTATACCATGGTTTATTATAGTAATGCTGGCATATTCAATCTCAGTTTCAAGTTTAGTGTGAATGAGTCTTGTGTTGTGAGGGATAGTAAATAAATTATTAACTTTCACTTCAAAGAAACATAAACCTAACTTACCCTAAAGCTACGTAAATAGAGGTTATCACGCGAGTGTGTTTGGGGATGGTAAATATCCTGCATTAGGAATAAACATTGTATTATACGAGCCTTGGCGAGCTAAATACATAGTGTTCATTCCTAATACAAGATATTTACCATCCCCAAACAAACAAGCGTGATAACCTCTTTATCATATAATGTCATTCTTTAATTCTGTACTTCAAAATCGCTTTCCCTCTCTCACAAACATTACCGAAACATTGCGAGTTTTCCTGGAATGCGCGCATTAATATTTATTACGTCACAGGGTAAGTGATGTATCAGTCGGACAGTGACAGTAGCCATTATAGTTCCAACTGAAATCTATTTCTTATACAGTGGCGAAGCAACATAAACGCAAAACAACAATTGTTTTTAATTGCCTTTCGCGGCAATCCATCGGTCTGTCCGCTAGAGTAACTGCCCTTTGTCAAAGGGAAGCTACTCTAACCCTAGTCTATGAGACGTCACGGCAACGGTCAGACTTTGTTGACAGTCGGTCTGCCCTGTCATAACATTAAGAAGTGTAGACAGATGTACACACAGCGACGAAACGAAACAAGGTAACAATTCAAATATATTTCGGCTAAGTCCAAATATTATAATTTGTGGAGAAGGTTTCAAGCCGCAGAGGTCTACAAGCACAGATATGGCTACTGCTTGGCTAGGCCTCGTGCCCTCGCAAAATTGTTTCGAAATTTATATATCTCCAAAGTTGCCAAAACTTATAAAATGCCTTATCTACGTCACAGTTAAACACTGATTTTCAGTATATTAGACTGTTCTTTTGATAATGATAGCAATTATCCCTGTAGTTTATCCAGATTCCCGATGGTTAATTCTGACTCGATCGCCGAATGACGAGGGCGACGCCATGTTTGTTTATAAACAGTGAAAGTAGTCCCTACTTGATCTTTGATATTTGCATCTCTATCCGCATATGACCCCAACGGATATCGTTTTTATCCGTTGGCTTTATCCTGCCGAGAAACCTACCCATTATATGATGAATACTTATACCTTCACCTATATAGATGCACGTGGCCGAGCCCTGCCGGAAAAGGGATCGTCTGCAACGAAGCTTCAAGAAAGGTAAAATCCCTAGTTCTGAGCTGACAGTCGCGGACCGCATTTTAGAATAACACTACGCAGATCGTGCCGGACGATCACACTGTTCGCAGCGCCACTGTAGTGATTTTACTTCCGCGAACAATATGGTGATTAACTGCTCTGATGGTTCCGCCAATTAATAGTGTGATCGTCCGGCACGATCTGCGTAGTGTTATTCTAAAATGCGGTCCGCATCTTGGCCTCGGCTGCCCGAACACTTCCGAGGGAAACTGAATGTCTCCGACGGAAGAAGAGATCGCCTCACACAACTGACATTATAGCACGTATCAATTACTCACCATGCATACTAACATTTGCTATTTAGTAATTTAGTATTGTTTTGGGTCATGTATTTCTAATAGGATTAATGTTATATAGTTTGACCTTAGTTATTAGTTAGTCAGTGGGGTTGAACTCAAATAGGATAGATATCACGGTACAGTATCCTCGTGTCATGGAAGTTCGATCACTTACGAAAAGTCGCTGAATATTCATAGTAACATTCATATAATCTTTTTTTCAAATATCTTACCTGTGAACTTGTTTATTTATGACAAACATTTCCCAAATCCACGTATTTCCATTGAAATTTACACTCGCGGCATGGCCGCCCTCTCACTGTCAACAGAAGTGACCCAGAAAGCTACGTCACACAAGTTCGATCATTTGATTGGTTGGCTTGTCGCATAACCGGGATGACATGTATGGACGATCTCTTGTGTCAAAATTCGAATTAGAACAGTCCGCAGTCGTTTTATTACATCTTTGTCCATCAAACGTTCATTTTATGTTTTAATATTGAAAAAAAACCGATGAAAAGTCACAAATATCCAGATTATTTACAAGGTTGATGCAGGGAGTTATTCTTCGGGCTCATCGTGACAGGGGCACCAAAACTCAGAATGTCGACGCACAACACGAACTGGCGTGCAGAAACGTAAATGTGTCCAGTGCTGACATGTAGGGTGGGTACATTGTGCCCAGGTTGTTATGATCAGGGAGACATTAGCTCGAACCTCATCAGGTACAAATTTGCTACATTTGCAGCACAGTTCGTCATCACTTGTCACATCACTATCAAAACTATCGTCCTGATGCGCGTTGGACCGTGAAGTTCCAGTACTTGCATTCGTTGCAGTGACAGTATTTATTTTTTTTAAAGATTTACTTGGTTTAGGCGCTTGCTTTCTCTTTTTGGGTGCCGATTTCACAGCCTGGTGGGAAATAATTTTATTCAGAATGACGTCTTCGGTGATGGCCTTGCCCCCGACAACAGTGCTCAGAACGTTTCTCTTTTTAGTAGGCACAGCTTTCTTGAAAAGTACAGTCGTCTTGTCTTTAAAGAATCCTGCTACATCATTGCCCTCAGTAGGTGAAGTGACAACCTTGTCTCCAACTGGCACACATGAATCAATAACACCAGTATCAGGATGCAGCAAAGGTTCAGTCGACTTAAAAACTGTTGATGGCGCAAAGTTGATATTGGCGGTGGAAGACTTGTCAAATGGATAGACTCCACATTTCCTGAAAGAGGATTGCAGATTTGTTGGTGTCAGCGACAGGTTATAAGCTCTACAGCCAAGTTCACAAACAGAATGTTTATCAACTGAACTTGTGGCATTTTCCCGCATATACTTATGACAGAGGTTGTTGTAAATTTTAGCAAAAGGTCCAAAGCAACCAACATCCATTGGCTGTAAAACATGGGACGTGTGTGCAGGCAGTACAAACAAAATAATGTGATGTTGACGTGCCCGTTCGATGAGTGGAATAGATACGTGGGATCTATGACCATCATACACAATAAGAAGTGGACTATCTGCAGACGCGGCGACAGCATGCTTCAGGAAATGCTCTGTCAGATAGTGCTGAAAAATCTCAGTGTTTGACCAGCCAGAGTCGCTTACAGTGCCTGCTGCTCCAGGGGTACTTCCTGAAAGGAGTTCTTCCCGCATCCTCTTGCCCTTGAATACAAAATACGCTGGTATAGAACTACCAGACGCATTGCCGCAACCTATAACCGTTGTAGTACTTGATCTTGATGTTGTGACTGCAGCTGGAGTACTCTGACTCGATGTAACAACTGATGGTGGGGTATGATGCTCCATAAGTCCCTTTTCGTCAACATTATAAATGCGATGAGGGCATGTCTTCAGGTTGTACTTATCCATGATGTGCCCAAGCTCATTAAAATAATGAGTGATCGTCTCCTCTGAGGTAGCTTTTGCTCTCTGTATCTCAAGGGATCGTGGTTTCTTCACTGACAGATCAGGCCATCGCTTCATAAACCCATAGAACCACTGAAGTGATAGGGGTTGTTCATCCTTTGACTTCTTTCCAACATATATTGCTAGGTCTGTGGCAATAGTAGTAACTTCAGCCCTTGTATAGCCATACCCAAAATTTGCCATGGCTTCAATATGTGAAACAAGTCCCTGTTCTTCTTCCATGGACAATAGTGGTTCTCTACCAGTGGTACTACATTCAATAGAAACCTTCCCACTCATCCTGTCATGCAGTGTAGCAAATGGAACAGCAAAGGTAGTGGCAGCTTTCCTAATTGCCATTCCATCTAAAACAGCATTATATGCCTTGTCTAGGGCTGCAGACAAATATTGCCTATATTGACCTCTTCTGGTTGGTTCACCATTGGTCAAAACCTGTAAAAATAAAGGTTTATTTTATATATCACCAAAACTCCAGAGACAGAAGTTCTCAAAAAGCATAACGTTTTCAATAAGAAATGACCCTAATTTGTTTCCATAGTTTTAAATTTTTTGCGAGCACATCACGTGTCTCATCACGTGACATTTACACCATGAACGTAAACAAGCAGACGACAGGTGTGCCGTCGATTTACAACGTGTGCATTTATTACAATTGACATTTTATTTGAGCTGATCAAGTTACATTAGTGATCTCGGGTTAAAAAGTAGTTGTTTGCTGAATATGAGCTATTACTTACGTTTGGTAACTTGACACGAAGCATTTTCCGGTCCAAGCGAACGAAAGCAGTGTTGTCAGAAGATCAAAGCTGCAGGTACCGTAATTTCTCGTTACATTTCGCGAGAAATATCATTCAAAATGGCCGATCGAAGTTACATGTCGATCGAACTTGTGTGACTTGACGATATCATATTAATTCAGTATTATTGGTGTTATATTTAACCTTGTAGTAGTTAGCCATTTAGTAACTTAGTCACATTAAGTAATTAAAGTTACTTATTCCTATACAGTTGCTTAGTACTACAAATACCTACCTTACATTGTGTTTCCGTTACAGGTATCATACAATAAGTACAATGTGTTGCTGTCACATGTATAACTGCATTACACTTCCTTAACCACAAGAGGGTGGTGAGGTGAAGTAATTGCTGTTATCAAATGACAGTGTAATGTTGTGATAGTTCATTAAGAGGTGGTATTATCGGGTCATAAAAGGTAACTTTTGAAACTGCTTTCACCTAAACTGTTCTGTACTTACACTGTACAATGTACTTTGCTTTATAGTTGGACGACAACTATGTTTACTTAAACCAATTTAAACCAAAATTAAACCATCTAATCCAATTTAAACCCAAACCGTACATACATACACACTGAGCGTCAACAAAACGACAGTTGTAACTGTTTTTCACTGTACGTTTATAGAATGACAGTTGTATCCGTGCTACACTTAGCGTGGTTTTCAGTCAGTTTTAGTTGTTGACTCTGATAGTCATTGCAAACAATTCATTCTTGGACAAATATTCATTTATAAGGATGGAACTCACTGGTGATGAATTGAAGAATATTGTCCTGGCTTTCAAGAAGTTAGGTGTTAAACCCAAAGCAGACACCCAGAGGACTTTGCAACATGGATGAAGGAATACTCTGCAGTCGAATCAGAGGAGGAATCGAAGGAGGGAATAGCCCAAGCTACAGCTCCACAGCCACCACCAGGCATGCCTACCTACATGTATCAGAAGTTTCCAAGACTTCCAAATTTCAGCGGTGACAAATCTGGCAAAGACACATCTTATGAAGTCTGGAGATACCATGTAGACTGTCTCATTAACAACAAGGTTTATTCCTCTGATGCTAAGGACCAAACTATAAGGGATTCCTTAAAGGGGGAGGCGGCCAAGATTGCCGTTCACATGCAACCAGACGCCAGCACCACTGACTTACTTAGGAAGTTCAACAGCGTATTTGGTGTTGTGGAGAGGAAAGAGTGCAGTATGGCACACTTCTACAGCACTCGGCAGGAAGAGAAAGAGGATGTATTTGTATGGAGTTGTAGACTAGAGGAACTTCTTTCAAGGGCCATGATGGATAACTCCATCACGTATGAGACACGGGATGGGATGCAGCATAATATGCTGTGGACTGGGCTTAAACCCTCTTTGAAAAATATATCTGGCCACAAGTTTGACAGCATCCATAACTTTGTGGACTTACTGGAAGCACTACGTGAAATTGAGGCAGATCAACACAGCGCCACATCAGCTAGCCAACAGAAACAGGCATGTACCATCAAGAGAGCCATGGAGTTTGAACCAGAGTGGAAGAAGGAAATGTCTGATATGAAGACTATCCTACACCAACTTACTACAGACATGGCCGACATGAAAAACCAAAGACGACAGAGTTGGAGAACATCCCAGGACTAAGTGCCAAGGGGAGATAACCAGTAGAGGAGTTGACAGCCCTCCAACTATACTAACCCAAGACCAGAAGGCCATACTGAATATTCGCCTTATTCATCCCAACGAGCAGGAAGTGAAGCAGCTGATCCAGAGTGTTGGCGATGTGGACAGAGAGGCCATTACCAGTATGGATGCCAAGTGAGACTCGAACACAGTCGTCGTGGGAGGACTTTAAACTCATGCAGGCCTATGGGCAGGGGCAAGCCATAGGTCCTTCAAGACAGCCCAGGAAGAGAGTTCCTGAGGGATTAGTTGGAAATACGAATGAGGTTGATTTATATATGGGAGATACACAGGTCAGATCATTGTTGAATACAGGAGCATCAGTATGTTTGGTGTCTAGGTCCTTCTACGATTCTCATCTCTCAAGTAGTCCGATTGAGCCCTTAGGAGATCTATGTGATATTGAATGCGCTGATGGCGAAACATTACCTTACGATGGCTTCATTGAGGTCAAGGTCAATGAATAGGTTCCGGTACTAGTGAAGCTATTCCTTGTTTGTTACTGGTGGTACCAGATACACAGTTCAATAGGAAAGTGCCTGTGCTATTAGGAACCAATGTGCTTACCCACTTCTTGAAGGTTTGCAAGGTACAACATGGTGCCAGATACTTGCAGCATGCCAACCTAACAACGCCTTGGTACCTTGGTTTTAGAACCATTAACTTATGTAGAACTTGGAGAAGAATGACTGGAGACTTGGACTAGTATACAATGCTGATGGTTCCAGAGTTACCATACCAGCCAACAGCTGTGCAGTACTTAGAGGCCACGTTACCAAGGAGTTAGATGTCCAAGAGTTTGTGCCCTTTTACAGCCAACAAACAGTTCATCCATTCCTACGGATTTGGACATAGCCCCTACAATTATTGATTATGACATCAGTTATCCTGGATACATAGACACGCATATTGCTAATGTTACCACACGTACTGTTGTGATACAACCGAGAGCGATTCTTTGTGAACTCCAACCAGTTACTTTACAACGTCCGCCCATTGGCAAGCCATTTGAAGGAGTTGCATTGACAGAGCAAGTTGAGATTGAACACAGTACCCTAACACCAGAAGAGTTTGAGAGAGGGATACAAGTCATCATGAAGTTTCGTGATATATTCTCAAAAGGTGAAGAGGACATAGGCCATTCAGATGCAGTCAAGCATAGGATAGATCTTGTTGATGATGTCCCCTTTTAACAGCGACACCGGCGTGTACCACCTGCCATGTATAATGAAGTCCGGACACATCTTCAACAACTCTTATCTGCTGGAGTGATACGACATTCTCATAGCCCATGGGGATGGAATGTTGTATTAGCACGGAAGAAGTCAGGCCAGCTGAGGATGTGTGTTGACTTCAGACAGCTGAATCGTAAGACCATCAAGGATTCCTATGCTCTTCCCCGGATTGAAAAACTCTTGGATTGTCTCAGAGGGATGAAATATTACAGTGTCCTGGACATGAAGAGTGGTTACCACAAGGTTGAGTTGGAGGAGGACCATAAGCAGCGTACAGCACTCACAGTTGGGCCTCTTGGATTCTTTGAATACCATTGTATGCCATTTGGTTTATGCAATGCACCGGCGACTTACCAACGTCTAATGGAACAGTGTCTCGTTGGATTACATCTTGATATATGTTTAATCTATCTTGACGATCTGATTATCTTTTCAAGAACATTTGAGGAACATCTGGAGCGACTGGAACGTGTCCTACAGAGATTGAGGCAATGTGGTTTGAAGCTAGCCCCAAAGAAATGCCAATTCTTCAAAAGACGTGTGAAATATGTGGGATATATAGTATCTGAAGATGGAATTGAGGCAGATCCAGAAAAGATAAACAAGATTCAGGACTGACCAACACCTTGCACACCATAGGACGTCAGAAAATTCTTTGGATTTGCTGGTTACTATAGGAAGATTGTGCGGAACTTTTCAACAATTGCCAAGCCTCTTTCAGAACTAATGCCAAAGATTCATCGAAAGAAATCTCACAGTCCTAAGAGAGAGCAAGTTCAGTGGCAGTGGGAACCGACTCAAGAGAGTGCCTTTCAAGAACTCAAGACGTGTCTATCTACTCCTCCCCTTTGAATTGCACACAGATGCCAGCAGTCATGGTCTTGGAGCAGTGCTATACCCGTGAGTAACAGAATGGACAGCCAAGAGTGATTGCTTATGCCAGCAAGGGACTTCGCAAGTCGGAGCGCCACTATTCTGCCGACAAGCTTGAGTTTTTGTGCTTGAAATGGTCCATTTGTGAGAAGTTCCATGATTATCTTTATGGACAGAACTTCACTGTACTGACGGATAACAATCCACTCACTTATATCCTCACTAGTGCCAAGCTGGATGCCACCGGACACAGATGGTTAGCTGCCCTTGCATCGTACAACTTTGACATCAAATACAGAGCAGGAAAAGCCAATGTCGATGCTGACATACTATCTAGGCTGCCAGAGTCCAGTGAAGTAAACGAGAAAGTGGATGTGATTTCTCAAGACTCCTTACATGCTATTTATCTACAAATCTGTTGGAATGTGTTTGTTTTTCAGATGATGCTTTGCCTGATGAAGAACTAAACATCACTGAAGAAACCTGTTCCATCATTGCTACAGACTGGCGGAGAGCCCAAACAAGAGATCCAGCTCTAGACATTATCATGACCCATCTTAGGAATCGAACAAGACCACATTTCACAGACTACACTGGAGTGAGTGAGTATAGTTTTACGCCGCTTCTAGCAATATTCCAGCAATATCACGGCGGGACTACACTGGAAATACAGAGATGATTACTTTACTGAAGAGCCTTAACCACTTCAAGCTGAAGAGAGGTGTGCTCTACCGAGTAATCCAAGACAATGGAGAGGTACAGGAACAGTTAGTGCTACCAAAAAGATGCCGTAAAGGAGCGCTGCATAGTCTTCATGACAATGTGGGTCACCCTGGTCGAGATCGAACATCTTCATTGATAAAAGCAAGATTCTACTGGCCAGGGATGACAAAGGATATAGAGGGACATGTACAGAATTGTGAACGGTGTACAAGACGCAAGAC